CTACGGATAATATCAAGAGGAAATCGGAAGATGACAGGCCAAAGTGCAGGCCTGTGAGAAGGGTTTGGCCAAGGAAGACACGTATTTCACAATGTACGTCGGGCTGGGAACCTATGAGGAGATGGCGACCGAAACGGAAGGAGGTCAGTTGGTCACTGAGAGTGAGTCCGGTGATGTTACGGTAGGCTTCAAGCTTCAGTTACAAAAGTTTAATTTGCAAATGTCGTAAGATTCGATGTCGAGTACGCAGCAGTGGTGACACCGAATTGCTCACCGTACTCTGACAAACAAAGGAAGGAAATACATTTTGTTGTTCCGTTGGGAGGCAGTTTAGTAATATCAACATGTTTATTGGTGTCACTAAAATAAAACAATAGTTAAGACGTTGAAAGAGTGCATAGAGTGCATAGATCTTGTGGCCAAACGGTGAAAGAAAAGGCCGCACTTGCCCACAACACGGTTGCCACACGTCCAGTGCCTTTTTGTTGGACGTCTTTGAAGCGAACGCCGGTGCGCATTGCTGAAAACAACTCTTATTAGGTTGGCCAACGTTTTATCGAGACTCACCGCAGACAGTCCAGACGATTCTTCCCTTTGTATATCATCTCGACTCGTTCCAACAGTCTATCGAAGCGCTTCAACTTCCCAATCGATCGAAAAACGAGATGCCTTCCAATTGGTCGAAGATCATGCGTCGCCGCCGAGTAGTCGAATAGGAACTCGAATTCCGCATCCGTCATCAGTGCATCGTGCACTTCGATATATGGACAGTCGATTCCGTGTTTCCACACGAAAAGGTCCTTGATGCTTTTGACACAGTCCAGTAAAGAATCGATTGTGACATGGCACTCCACTTCGAAACACTCCACCAATCTTCGCGCCAATTCCTCCATTTGCTGATATGTCCACCTAACTTCATTGGGGCTCCAACTGCAGTCCGGGTTATCATAATAAACCCGCGCTTCTTGGCCTGCAGTTGAGACGCTCATCCGTGTGTTGATGTCCATAAACACGCAGCAGAGTTTGACGGGCATCTCGAGACGTTTTACATATCTTTTGGCCGTTTTCGAGCCTTTAGCAATCTCGAGTCTGCAAACAGAAGACTAGAACTGAGCGAAATGAGTGAAAGGGGAACTTACATTGTAGTGTGATCGAGCTGATCGAACACGCACTTCAGGGGACCACGGGAGAGGGAGAAAAGTGGGAACGCGGCCATTGTCTCGACAGAAGTGAATGGGCAACAGACGAGAAGAGCGAAGGCCGAACAAATGCGAGTGGCCTCTCGCCGTTCCGAACGGACACGCCCCCTCCTCTTGGCAGCCCGTTCCTTTTGTGTGCTCTACCGTATCCGTTCGAGGTCACATGCCACTCATCATTAAGATGCAATCGGCATTACGTGGCTGACCTGCTGCCATCTCGTACATTGCGCAACAAATATCCCAATGAGACCCATTAGAGTGCAACGTACGAGCCCCCCTTAGAATCGGAGTTGGCAGCGAGCCAAGGACACCCCTCCCAAACAGTTGCCACTGCAACTGCCGCACGCTATTTGGGCTCGTTTTTGACCAGGAACTTGAGGAATCCAAGTACCTTCTGCCATCTCGTACATTGCGCAACAAATATCACAATGGGAGCCATTAGAGTGCCCCGTACGAGCCCCTGAATAATAAATGAACAGATGGCAAGCGTGACCAGATGGTTTTATTCTATTAATGCACATATTGCAACGTGTGACAATAATAAAAACAGATTAGTAAGGTTCTGGATCCAGAGGCTTCAGCTCTTTCTCCAAAACGATTCCAGTGGAGATCTTCCAATAGTGCGGATAGTTCAAATTCCTGTAGTTTCTCTGCACATCCACTTCTTGCGGACATCCGAATTCGATCCTCTTGATGTAATAAAACTGGTCCCTGGGCTGCCATTCAATGTAAACGTCCAATCGCCTTCCATTCCAACAGTCTTATTGCCGTAATAAAGGTCCGAGTCGGCGCGCAGGCGAACAAACAACGAAAAGTGGGTGTCAGCCGTTGCGAGACCCTCTTCTTCTATTATATTGTATCCCTGAAGGTAGGTGTGATTGTACCGACTGTCCGGGCGCCAGAACTGTTTCTCGAGGTCTTCTGAAACTCAAAATTTGGCATTTTGACTCATTTTGTTTGCATACTCACTGATACTATTCATTTTCTCGTGACAACTCTCAATCTCTATTTTCTCCGACCTTGTGTAGGTCTCAAAAGCGGACAACCCGGAATACCACTGCAGTTTATTGGGCACCATTTGAACGAACGATGCTCCGATGATAAGGCGATACGCATCGTAGCTGGCCTTCATGAGGTCAAGGCCAGGCGGACATGCCACGTCGATCATCGAGATTGGCCATAGATTGTTGCCATGTTTGTCCTAGAAACTTAATGTTTTGTAGTGAAAGATTAGATATTGTACATACATATTCGGTTGTGATCTTGAAGTCCCAATCGTACTCCTTCCCGCCTCCGTACCAAGTGACGCCCATGACCAAGCGAAATGTGACACGGGCGGTGATTTTCGACGGCGAATGGGCCAACGGACTCACTTTTATGAAATTGGTCTGAAAACGGACTGATGACAACTGTTTCAGATGCTGAGCTCACATTATTAACAGCGGGCCTCCACATAATTCCGAAAATCTTGAACCACCTGCGGAAGTGTTCCCTCGTGTACCTCCTCGGCGTGTCACTCGTCGCATCGCAGACACTTGCCGTCAAGTACTCGTCCTTCTCCAATCCATTCAACCACAAAGTGGGCAGCTGGAAGGCATCTTCATGCACGCCCTGGTACTCTTTCGGAGTGACCAGCTGCAGAAAGTTCTTCACATCGCCACTCTTCCAAATCTCCGTTTCCACGTGTTTGAGACTCGTCTGCGAGAGATCAATGTCTCCGTGTTCCGTACATCCTCCCTTCACATTGAACGAGTCTATCGTGTAGTAGACGTAGGTGTCCATGTCCGGGAAACTCAACTTTAAATCCATCTCGTACACTTGTCTCGAGACGTATCCCATCTTGGATTCCTGTTTGAACGTCGTGATCAGCCGCATCTCCTCTCTGTTTTCGTTCGGTACGATCTCAAATGTCGCTTCTTCGTTCTGCAGATTTTTCTTCCATTTTTGACGATTCTTGGCAAGATAATCGAGGAATTGAACTGAAAGTTTGAAAACTAGAAGATATTACGAGTGCCTCTCACCGCAACCCACCATAATTGAGCCGAGTCGCTCCACAAATGGTTGCATTCATATTCTTGTCAAGGATCGTCATCAACTGGCCTGCAAATATTTCACAGTTGGGATTCTCGGCCGACGCTTGCTCGCGGAGCCACTTGTTTATGGTGATCGCCTGGAACGTCTTCGTCAGCGCCACTTCTCCATCTGACGCCGCACGATACGCGTCTTGTTGCATCTTGAACTCTGAAAATGAACGTTTTCCTCGCAATACCTTGTGTGCATACTCACCGCTTTGTCTTGCCAAATAATCGAGACCATCATTGATCACCATGCGTCTTCCAACCTTTCCCAGAAATCGATGAGGTTTTCGTGCTTCTGTCAAGTTTCCGGTTAGGAGAAGGAGCACAAGGACACGAAGAAACATTCGGAACTAATTTGGAAAAATGGGGAAAGGTGGAAAGGTCAAAACGCTTGTTCTTGTTGTTCTCGTGTAGGTTCCGGAATATTGGATGACTTAAAAAACACAGAGGTTACGAGTTCCCCTGTAATCTGAAAGTTCCAATCTACTTTCTTGACAGTTACATCGAAATCCAGGCCCAAATTCAATCGATTGGTGACACGAGCGACTATTTTCAGAGTTGATTGTTGCGAATTCTGTCTGGAAATGTTCGAACTTTAACGGATCCCTCACCTTATTCTCCTTCTCCACCCATTCAGTCGGATCCTGATGATAACCTCGAAGAGTATCAGAAACTTGAGCACTATTGTCGGATTCCATATCTCTGCTTCAAGTTCTCGGGACGGAATGTGTTGCGAATCGACGAGGGTTCCGTGTTCTGAGCATCCGCCTTTCACAGAGATCCACGATATTGTGTACATGAATTTGAAGCCGAGATCCGCAAAACTCATTTTGATGTAGTAGAAAAGAGAAGAGGGACGTGGTGATGTGGCAAACACGGGAGGAGAAGAGAAGTGTCGTCAATTCAGGTGTTTGCGGCACAGAGAGAGAGAGAGAGAGAGAGAGTGTGCGCTCAGAGACGCAGAGAAAGAGAAAAAGAATGCGTGGCGGGTGTCAGAGGGGTCCAGAACAGTTTGTATTCTGCCTCTTCCTTCTCCAAATTCCTTTTCCATTATCAATCGGAGGAAGTCAACGAACAGGAGTGAAAAGCGATGTATCTCAGTTGTTCGGAGAGGTATGAAAATGTTGTCAACTATCATCACAAGTCCGCACTCATATCCTTATTCAAGACCGCAAAGAACTGTTCTGCAAACGTTCTGCCTCGTCGGAAGCATTGTAGAACAGCTCTTTTAGTGCAATTTTGTTATGTGCCTTCAAAAGTTTCAATGATTTTGCTCTCGAGTCCAAATCGTTTTCCCACTTTTTTCAGAGTACACATTTCGGCTCCAGAAGGTGTCAGAATATCCAGTTTGCAGAAGAAGTAGACGAAACGGCGGCGAGAGAACATTCTAGGCTCTAGAACTGAAAAAGTCTACGTGACAAATGGGGAAAAGTTCACAAATTCCTTTTGTGCCACGTTGTCAGTTCTTCGCGAATGTTCCCTCGCCTTCTTCTACTTCTTCTCCTACTCGGACACCTCGCAACCAGTCTCAAACCCAAAAATGCCTTGAAAAAGGTGGTAAAACGATTCAGGCTCGGAAAGACAGTCTTGGACGCATTTCAAGGTACATTTACAAACTATTCAGGCCCTTTCAACACTATTTTACTTTAGAAAGTGTACTCGAAAAACCGCTTGAGAGTGCGAGCGCAGAGGAAGTGGGAAAAGTGAAGAAGAATCATGCGATCCAGGTAAGCCAGTGGATTATTGAGCAGGCGTCGAGCGAGAATCCAGCGTGGCACGCGTTTGGCGACATGTTAATGTCCGTTTTGGATAGAAATATGAGTGCGGATGTCTGTGGAGCCACTCCGTTCACTTTTTGTTAGTACACAGTTCTAGAAGGGACCACAATATCTATGTATGATGCTTTTCAGACCAATTCGTGGATTTTCTGAGTATGAATCGTCAGAAATGGAAGAAGAATCTGGAAAAGGACGATGCAAAGTATGAAGTTTTACCGGACACCGAAAAAGAGAAACTTCGATTCGTGACCTCGTTCGTCCAAGAGTCCAAGTACGGATTCACGTCCCAACAAATCTACGAGATCAACATGAGCCTAAAAAAGGTTCTTCCGGACAAGAAGAGCAAATTCATGTACACAATATCGTGGATCTCTGTGAAAGGCGGATGCTCGGAACACGGAACCGTCGATCCGCAACACATTCCGTCCCGAGAACTTGAAGCAGAGATATGGAATCCGACAATAGTGCTCAAGTTTCTGATGCTCTTCACTCCGAAGCCCTATCGAGGTTATCATCAGGATGCGGATAAGATTCCCACGTTGTGGCTGAATGGATTGGAGAAGGACGAGCACTTGACCGCGAGTGTCTGTAATCCAAAGACCGGCATTCCGAGGAGGTACACTGAAGCCGAGTTCCGCAGGTGGTACGAGTTGTTCGGGAGGATGTGGCGTCCGAAAAGAAATAGTGTGCGCCTAGAATACCGCTTTTTTCCAGTCATCTCAATGATTTGCAGACGGAATTCGCGACAGTCCAGAAGATTCATCAATCAACTCTGAAAATAGTCGCTCGTGTCACCTATCGATTGGTTTTGGGCCTGGATTGGAATGGAAATGCGAAGGAAGTCGATTGGAATGTGAAGATTATCGGAGAGCTTGTGAGTTGTCGCCTACGCTACCTCACCGTCCTCCTAGCCTTACCACTTTTCTCAAGAACCTTCACGACAACAAAAAATGGACAATTTCTGGGATCGACGTCTCCTGTCCGCCGGGTATAAACCTGCTCGGAGCCAGCTACGAAGCCTACCGCAACATCACCGGCTTCAGTTTCGTTTCGCTGATCCCTGTGACCAAGCGGGTCTACCAGGATCTTGGATTCCTCAAGTACCTGGTCAAAAACGAGTCGCAGGTGGAAATCTCATTCTGCGGAAACAAAATCGATGGGATCAACAATATTGGGAAGAGTTTCTGGGCGCCAGGCACCAATTTCACCAGCACCTTCATCGAAAGTGTCGCTCTTCCGGAATTGGATAATAGTCTGGCGAAAGAGGACACTAATTTCACGTTGTACATCGGATTAGGTACATATGAGAAGATATCGAAACAAGTTGACGAACAGGGTGATTCGATTCTGTTGTTCGAGGCAAAATGGCACTTTTACATTCAATGGGTCAGTTAGAAATTGGAAAAATGTTTGAAAATCTTTCGCTTTTTAGGATCCGATCGATTTGTTCTATTACATCAAAAGGATAGTGTTCGAGTGTCCCGGCTGGACGGGCCAAGTTCGAGAATACGAGTGGCCCATCGAGGAAACGCCGTCTTTTTTGAGAATTGGAAAATAAAGTATTTATTACTTGATCCATCATCCACCAATCACCGTCCAAGTCATTGTATTCTCGGGCCATCCGAACTTGATCCTCTTGATGTAGTAGAACTGATCCACCGGGTCCTGAAGGGGCAATACTTTAGCAATCCTCTCGTTCACTACAAAACATTAAGTTTCTAGGACAAACATGGCAACAATCTATGGCCAATTTCGATGATACGGCAATGAGACACTATTGGAAGATTTCCACTGGAATCGTTTTGGAGAAAAAGCTGAAGCCTCTGGATCCGAAACCTTACTAATCTGTTTTTAATATTATAATATGTGCATTAATATAGTAAAACCATCTGGATACGCTTGCCATCTGTTCACTTATTATTCAGGGGCTCGTACGTTGCACTCTAATGGCTCCCAGTGGGATATTTGTTGCGCAATTTACGAGATGGCAGAACTCAGCCACGTAATGCCGATTGCATCTTAATGATGAGTGGCATGTGACCTCGAACGATTACGGTAGAGCACACAAAAGGAACGGGCTGCCAAGAGGAGGGGGCGTGTCCGTTCGGAACGGCGAGAGGACACTCGCATTTGTTCGGCCTTGGTCTCCGCAAACATCTCGCTCTTCTCGTCTGTTGCCCATTCACTTCTGTCGAGACAATGGCCGCGTTCCCACTTTTCTCCCTCTCCCGTATTCCCCTGAAGTGCGTGTTCAATCAGCTCGATCACACCACCATGTAAGTTCCCCTTTCACGCATTTTCGTTCAGTTCTAGTCTTCTGTTTGCAGACTCGAGATTGCGAAAGGCTCGAAAACGGCCAAAAGATGTGTAAGACGTCTCGAGATGCCCGTCAAACTCTGCTGCGTGTTTATGGACATCAACACACGGATGAGCGTCGCAACTGCCGGCCAAGAAGCGCGGGTTTATTATGAAAACCCGGACTGCAGTTGGAGCCCCAATGAAGTAAGGTGGACATATCAGCAAATGGAGGAATTGGCGCGAAGATTGGTGGAGTGTTTCGAAGTGGAGTGCCATGTCACAATCGATTCTCTACTGGACTGCGTCAAGAGCATCAAGGACCTTTTCGTGTGGAAACACGGAATCGACTGTCCATATATCGAAGTGCACGATGCACTGATGACGGATGCGGAATTCGAGTTCCTATTCGACTACTCGGCGGCGACGCATGATATTCGACCAATTGGAAGGCATCTCGTTTTCGATCGATTGGGAAGTTGAAGCGCTTCGATAGACTGTTGGAACGAGTCGAGATGATATACAAAGGGAAGAATCGTCTGGACTGTCTGCGGTGAGTCTCGATAAAACGTTGGCCAACCTAATAAGAGTTGTTTTCAGCAATGCGCACCGGCGTTCGCTTCAAAGACGTCCAACAAAAAGGCACTGGACGTGTGGCAACCGTGTTGTGGGCAAGTGCGGCCTTTTCTTTCACCGTTTGGCCACAAGATCTATGCACTCTTTCAACGTCTTAACTATTTTTTTATTTTAGTGACACCAATAAACATGTTGATATTACAAAACTGACTCCCAACGGAACAACAAAAATGTATTTCCGTAATGTAAAGCGCGCCTTCTTCCGGCACGGTTTCTTCTACTCTGACTCAGATACAACAAGCTGGATCTTTCGTTAAAAAGATGTATTATAAAAAAGATTAGGGAGCCATAGAAATATTACAAAATAAGGGGGATAAAACTAAAGAAGGGACAGGTCCTTGCTGAGAAAAGGGACGACGAGCAGTGCGTCCTCTCTCTCCAACCCAACTGACTTCTCTCCGACTTGCCGGCGCTCCCTCTTCCGGAGTGAGGAGACACAGCCAGTCGGGGGTGCATCGGGTAGCGTCGCGTGGCGCCTGTCACAGTAACATCACCGGACTCACTCTCACTGACCAACTGACCTCCTTCCGTTTCGGTCGAAATAAACTTGAAAGTCCTACTGACCCATTGAATGTAAAACTTCCAGGTAGCCTCCAAAGACGTAAACCCGAAATAGCGTGCGGCGTGTCCTTGGCTCGCTGCCAACTCCGATTCTAATGTCGAACCTTTTTTTTCAACAGTATGCTTGAGTTGTTTGAGCATGTTTGAGTTTGGTGTCAATAGAATCCGTTTCAACCGAGTTATGAGCTCCCGATTGTTGAAACTGATCCGATTGACACCAAGCTCAAACATGCAATGTTTCAAACCTTCCTTATGAAGTCCCCCAGCCTGTTTGGCGCTCAAGCAAGTCTTATCTTTGTACGGCCTGGTTTCATTTTGGCCAAAAATCTGATATCAGGGGCTGGAGGTTCGGCATGCTTAAACAAAATTGACTTGAAAATGCTCAAAAAACTTGTTTCAAACAAGATTCGACTCATTTGAGATCATCGGAGTCTCCCGGCTCCACTCCCGAGCTCCACACAGAACATGAGGCTAAACCTGGGAGAGTGGCCCTAGGTGGCGTCGGCGTCAGTGCACATGATTTCAAAAAGGCTTTTTGGAGATCCTAAAGGTGCAAAGAACCCCATTCAGGATCTTGTTTATCAGTTTAAGAGGCTTCCAGAGTGTCTTCAGGGGTGGCCCTATACTTATGAAACGCACTGCAGATATCAGAGTTGAGCGGAAATGGAATTTTGAAATCCGGAAGACGGCAGACGGAAGACGGAACGAAAATTCCGCTTAACACTGGTACGCAGCAGTGTTGACACCGAATTGCTCACCGTACTCTGACAAACAAAGGAGGGAAATACATATTGTTGTTCCGTTGGGAGGCAGATTTATAATATCAACATGTTTATTGGTGTCACTAAAATAAAACAATAGTTAAGACCTTGAAAGAGTGCATAGATCTTGTGGCCAAACGGTGAAAGAAAAGGCCGCACTTGCCCACAACACGGTTGCCACACGTCCAGTGCCTTTTTGTTGGACGTGTTTGAAGCGAACGCCGGTGCGCATTGCTGAAAACAACTCTTATTAGGTTGGCCAACGTTTTATCGAGACTCACCGCAGACAGTCCAGACGATTCTTCCCTTTGTATATCATCTCGACTCGTTCCAACAGTCTATCGAAGCGCTTCAACTTCCCAATCGATCGAAAACGAGATGCCTTCCAATTGGTCGAATATCATGCGTCGCCGCCGAGTAGTCGAATAGGAACTCGAATTCCGCATCCGTCATCAGTGCATCGTGCACTTCGATATATGGACAGTCGATTCCGTGTTTCCACACGAAAAGGTCCTTGATGCTCTTGACGCAGTCCAGTAAAGAATCGATTGTGACATCGCACTCCACTTCGAAACACTCGGCCAATCTTCGCGCCAATTCCTCCATTTGCTTATATGTCCACCGAACTTCATTGGGGCTCCAACTGCAGTCCGGGTTATCATAATAAACCCGCGCTTTTTGGCCTGCAGTTGCGACGCTCATCCGTGTGTTGATGTCCATAAACACGCAGCAGAGTTTGACGGGCATCTCGAGACGTCTTACACATCTTTTGGCCGTTTTCGAGCCTTTCGCAATCTCGAGTCTGCAAACAGAAGACTAGAACTGAGCGAAAATGAGTGAAAGGGGAACTTACATAGTGGTGTGATCGAGCTGATCCAACACGCACTTCAGGGGAATACGGGAGAGGGAGAAAAGTGGGAATGCGGCCATTGTCTCGACAGAAGTGAATGGGCAACAGACGAGAAGAGCGAAGGCCGAACAAATGCGAGTGACCTCTCGCCGTTCCGAACGGACACGCCCCCTCCTCTTGGCAGCCCGTTCCTTTTGTGTGCTCTACCGTATCCGTTCGAGGTCACATGCCACTCATCATTAAGATGCAATCGGCATTACGTGGCTGACCTGCTGCCATCTCGTACATTACGCAACAAATATCCCAATGAGACCCATCAGAGTGCAACGTACGAGCCCCCCTTAGAATCGGAGTTGGCAGCGAGCCAAGGACACGCCTCCCAAACAGTTGCCACTGCAACTGCCGCACGCTATTTGTGCTCGTTTTTGACCAGGAACTTGAGGAATCCAAGTACCTTCTGCCATCTCGCACATTGCGCGTCAAATATCACAATGGGAGCCATTAGAGTGCCCCGTACGAGCCCCTGAATAATTAATGAACAGATGGCAAGCGTGACCAGATGGTTTTATTATATTAATGCACATATTGCAACGTGTGACAATAATAAAAACAGATTAGTAAGGTTCTGGATCCAGAGGCTTCAGCTCTTTCTCCAAAACGATTCCAGTGGAGATCTTCCAATAGTGCGGATAGTTCAAATTCCTGTAGTTTCTCTGCACATCCACTTCTTCCGGTGATCCGAATTCAATCGAGTTGGGATTCTCGCCGCGCGATACGCGTCTTGTTGCATCTTGAACTCTAAAAAGAACGTTTTTCCTCCTAATATCCTATGACATACTCACCGCTGCGAGGCGGAGATCTTGTTGCTCGGAACGAATGCATTCAAGAGTGTGGGAGTGGAGTTGAAATGGCGAGCAGAGGAGACTGGCGCCGGGAAGGATGAAGCGAAGCTGGGCCCGCATCACGACCGGGCGACTGAGGAAAAGCTGGAGAAGGAGATAGGAGGAAGACGGTCGTGCGCGAAGCAGGACCTCGTCTCAAGTTCAGTTCGCCGGCTTACTTCGACATCAAAGCGAAGGCCGACGTGGCGTGGACGGAGAAATACGATTGGAAGGGCGTCGAGAAGGTGGTCATGTTGGCGAAATGGACGGTCGATCCCACCGAGAACGAGAATCGGGCGGAAATCATCGAGTCGATCGGCAAAGACGTCAAGGATCTGATCGTGGTGCCAATTCGGATGGCATGCAAGTTCAACAAAGTCGGAGGGATAACGGAGTGGTGGAAAAAGAGGATGCGAACCCGTACGAACGTACGGTTCGTCGATCCGCAGACGCCCGTTGGACCAAAACAACTTCCGATGGTTGTGGTCAACCCGGAGAAGTTCGACTCGGCGGAGATGATGGGTGGATACCTCGATTCACTCATTCCGAGGAATGCGGCGGTGGAGAAACTGATGGCTGGCCGGAAGTTGGAGGTGGCCAGGAGAGCGAATCAATCGACATAACGTATGCGATCATCATATTGTTTTTGTTCTTTTAGCATTCTAGGATCTTTTAGGTATTCTTTGGTAATGTGGTAGTTTTTCTGTAAGTCCGTAGCAGAGGGACACGTGTGTCGGGAGCAGACTGTCAGTCGCCCATGTGCTCGTACTTCAGCCGGCCCGGGGTCCGGCTTTTGTCCACGGGGGGGAAGTTGCCAAAGGCAGTTCCCTCAAACCCTTTCCAGGAAGTCGCACAAACGGGTGCAAAGACGCTCTATGGGACACGCGTGAACTTTGAGCTGCGTGGCATTTTTAAGACGGAGTTTTTAGTTCTGGTTTTGGTTTAAAAAAAAGGCTTTTGCACGTTTACTTGTGAGAGACACTCTTTTTGGTGTTCTTTCTGTACTTTTCTTCGTTGATTCGTGTCTTTCGTTGCTCCTCAAGCAATAAACCTTCGTTTGATAATCTTTCGCGTTGTTTCTTGTGTTTTCTTGTATTGGACCCACTACCCCTTATCATAAGCGGGCAACTATCGATTGATTTTGGGCCTGTTTGGCAAGACAGAGCGGTGAGTATGTCATAGGATATTAGGAGGAAAAACGTTCTTTTTACAGTTCAAGATGCAACAAGACGCGTATCGTGCGGCGAGAATCCCAACTGGATCGAATTCGGATGTCCGCAAGAAGTGGATGTGCAGAGAAACTACAGGAATTTGAATTATCCGCACTATTGGAAGATCTCCACTGGAATCGTTTTGGAGAAAGAGCTGAAGCCTCTGGATCCAGAACCTTACTAATCTGTTTTTAATATTATAATATGTGCATTAATATAATAAAACCATCTGGTCACGCTTGCCATCTGTTCCCTTATTATTCAGGGGCTCGTACGTTGCACTCTAATGGCTCCCACTGGGATATTTGTTGCGTAATGTACGAGATAGCAGCAGGTCAGCCACGTAATGCCGATTGCATCTTAATGATGAGTGGCATGTGACCTCGAACGGATATGGTAGAGCACACAAAAGGAACGGGCTGCCAAGAGGAGGGGGCGTGTCCGTTCGGAACGGCGAGAGGTCACTCGCATTTGTTCGGCCTTCGCTCTTCTCGTCTGTTGCCCATTCACTTCTGTCGAGACAATGGCCGCGTTCCCACTTTTCTCCCTCTCCCATATTCCCCTGAAGTGCGTGTTCGATCAGCTCGATCACACCACCATGTAAGTTCCCCTTTCACTCACTTTCGCTCAGTTCAAGTCTTCTGTTTGCAGACTCGAGATTGCGAAAGGCTCGAAAACGGCCAAAAGATGTGTAAAACGTCTCGAGATGCCCGTCAAACTCTGCTGCGTGTTTATGGACATCAACACACGGATGAGCGTCGCAACTGCAGGCCAAGAAGCGCGGGTTTATTATGAAAACCCGGACTGCAGTTGGAGCCCCAATGAAGTTAGGTGGACATATAAGCAAATGGAAGAGTTGGCGCGAAGATTGACCGAGTGTTTCGAAGTGGAGTGCCATGTCACAATCGATTCTTTACTGGACTGCGTCAAGAGCATCAAGGACCTTTTCGTGTGGAAACACGGAATCGACTGTCCATATATCGAAGTGCACGATGCACTGATGACGGATGCGGAATTCGAGTTCCTATTCGACTACTCGGCGGCGACGCATGATCTTCGACCAATTGGAAGGCATCTCGTTTTCGATCGATTGGGAAGTTGAAGCGCTTCGATAGACTGTTGGAACGAGTCGAGATGATATACAAAGGGAAGAATCGTCTGGACTGTCTGCGGTGAGTCTCGATAAAACGTTGGCCAACCTAATAAGAGTTGTTTTCAGCAATGCGCACCGGCGTTCGCTTCAAAGACGTCCAACAAAAAGGCACTGGACGTGTGGCAACCGTGTTGTGGCCAAGTGCGGCCTTTTCTTTCACCGTTTGGCCACAAGATCTATGCACTCTTTCAACGTCTTAACTATTGTTTTATTTTAGTGACACCAATAAACATGTTGATATTACTAAACTGCCTCCCAACGGAACAACAAAATGTATTTCCTTCCTTTGTTTGTCAGAGTACGGTGAGCAATTCGGTGTCAACACTGCTGCGTACTCGGCATCAAATCATACGACATTTGCAAATTAAACTTTTGTAGCTGAAGCTTGAAGCCTACCGTAACATCACCGGACTCACTCTCAGTGACCAACTGACCTCCTTCCGTTTCGGTCGCCATCTCCTCATAGGTTCCCAGCCCGACGTACATTGTGAAATACGTGTCTTCCTTGGCCAAACCCTTCTCACAGGCCTGCACTTTGGCCTGTCATCTTCCGATTTCCTCCTGATATTATCCGTAGGCTGGCAAGATATGATTGACCCTGACCCGGCACTATCTCCGCGCAGGGACCCGAGATACATTCATTCTGTGTTCCCCTCACAGGTCACATGCCACTCATCATTAAGATGCAATCGGCATTACGTGGCTGACCTGCTGCCATCTCGTACATTGCGCAACAAATATCACAATGGGAGCCATTAGAGTGCCCCGTACGAGCCCCTGAATAATAAGTGAACAGATGGCAAGCGTATCCAGAAGGCTTTATTCTATTATTACACATATTATAATATTAAAAGCAGATTAGTAAGGTTTCGGATCCAGAGGCTTCAGCTCTTTCTCCAAAACGATTCCAGTTAATGTCCGTTTTGGATAGAAATATGAGTGCGGATGTCTGTGGAGCCACTCCGTTCACTTTTTGTTAGTACAGAGATCCAAGGGACCACTATATTTAAGTGTGATGCTTTTCAGACCAATTCGTGGATTTTCTGAGTAGGAATCGTCAGAAATGGAAGAGGAATCTGGAAAAGGACGATGCAAAGTATGACGGGCCAAGTTCGAGAATACGAGTGGCCCATCGAGGAAACTCCGTCTTTTTTGGGAATTGGAAAATAAAGTATTTATTACTCGATCCATCATCCACCAATCACCGTCCAAGTCATTGTATTCTCGGGCCACTCGAACTCGCGACGAACTGACTGAACTTTCGGGCATCCGAACTCGATCTTCTTGATGTAGTAGAACAGATCCACCGGGTCCTGAAGGGACAATACTTTAGCAATCCAAAAAAAAAACTTGAAAGTTCTACTGACCCATAGAATGTAAAACTTCCAGGTAGCCTCCAAAGACGTAAACTTGTCGCCTTGAGATTCGGTACCTCCTTCCGTTTCGGTCGCCATCTCCTCATAGGTTCCCAGCCCGACGTACATTGTGAAATACGTGTCTTCTTTGGCCAAACCCTCCTCGGTGTCCATCGCGACATGCTCGAGGAACGTGGCACTGTAATTGCTGCCGGGCGCCCAGAATTTCTTCTCAATCTCGTTGATACTGTCCAATGTTTCGCCTCCACAATTGTCGAGTTCAATGTTCGAATCGTTTTTGGTTAGATATTGAAGGAATCCAAGATCCTGGTAGACGCGCTTGGTCAGCGGGATCATGGAAACGAGAGTGAGTCCGGTGATGTTACGGTAGGCTTCATAGCTCGCCTCCATGAGGTTTAGGGCCGGAGGACAGTGCACGTCTAGCGAGGATACCAGCCACTTTTTGTTGCCGTGCTTGTGCTGCAATCGATATTCTAAAAGTTTGAGAATAATATAAGATTCTCACATATTCAGCTTTGATCTTGAAATCCCAATCCACTTCCCTGGCGTTTCCATCCCAATCCAATCCGATCACGAGTCGGAATGTGATGCGAGCTATTATGAGATCCTCAGTCCGTTCGATCTCCCGAATCGTCACAAAATCCATCTAAACAGGTATTTCTTCTCAACTTTGCCCATCCCTCTCCACCTACATTGTTTTTCTTTGGACGCCACATCCTTCCGAACAACTCGTACCATCTGCGGAACTCGGCTTCCGAGTACCGTCTGGGGGTGTCACTTTTCGGATCGCACACAGTCGCCGTCAAGTATTTGTCGATTTCGAGTCCCGACAACCACAAAGTGGGGATCTTTGTGGGGTCCTGCCAGAGACCTTGATAAGGGACCGGCGTGAAGAGCATCAGAAACTTCTTCGCCTCCACATTGTTCCAGATCTCCGTGTCCAGCTCGTTGACTTGCGTGTTGTTCGCGTCCATCTCTCCGTACTCGGTACACCCTCCTTTCACTGAAATCGACGTGGCCGTGAAATAAAGATCCTTCTCGGTTTCAATGTTCGGGTACGTCGCCTTCATGTCGATGTAATAGATTTGAGTGGAGAAGTAGCCGAGAACGGATTCCTGTTTGAACGACATCCGCATCCGGATCACGTCCCTTCTGTTGTTCTCCAACACCACAAACTTTGACTCGTCCTTCGTGAGCATCTTCTTCCAGCGCACTCGATCTTTGGCCAGGAAATCCACAAATTGAACTGAAACAAATCCAATCGATATTGTCGACGCACTTCTCTAGAACCATAATTCAACTGCGTGACTCCGCAAACATCTGCAGTCAACTCTTTATCCAGAACCATCGTCAGATGCTCTCGAAACTTCTGCCATCCGGGATTCGCCGACGACGCCTGCCCCCGAATCAGAATGTTCATGAGAACCGCGTGATCCTGCTTAATCCGTTTCACCTGTTCCGGAGTCGCTTTCGCGTATTCCGTCTCTTTCAGATGTGATACTAAAACCGGTTTGACATGTTTTCTTCAACACACTACTGTACTTACTATCAACTTCTCCGAGCATATCATCAGACAGCAGTTGGAATCGTTTGCCCACTTTTTTCAAAGTGTTCCCGAGTTTGAAGAAGTCGGCAATGCGTCCGAGTAGGAGAAGAAGCAGAAGAGAACGGAGAAGAAACATTTCGAAGCACGCAAATAGTTGGCACTGATTTTGATCTGTTTCGCTAAACTTCTCCGTGAACTCACCGTGGAGAGTTCCAATTCCCCGCTTTTCGGTGGTGATATTGCACATGTGGCCCTCATATATTCCTGTGAACCATTCCGAAAAGAGTTTGCGTGTTTCAGATCTGGCCCAGTGCCGACAATGAACGAAGATTCAAAGTGCACCAACTATTCCACACGTTTTCACAGATAATCTGCCACTTTTCGTCTCTTTCAACAGCAATCCGCGAGAGAAAGAGAATCAAAATAGAAAACAAAAACCCATTAGTTGAGTGACGAATGTTATGAATTTGAGGTGACTCAGAAGCAGCGAGAGAGTAAAACGGGCGGAGTTTACTCAGTTTCGGTATAAATAGCGGCGTGCAAGAGGTGTTCAGTCAGTCGTTTGTTCGTGTCTTCAACCGGAGACTCTGCGATTCCACCGATTTTCAAAATGAAGTTTTAAAATCGTTGGATTCCACCGGGAAACCAAATTTCCCCCCTATTTTCTCTACTTTTCTCCATTTATTCTACTCAATACCGAACTTTTTCAAAAAACAAGGTAATAAGGAACTAATGGATTTGGAAATGCGATTTCTAATGAATAGGAATACCAGACAAACATTGAAATTGTGTATTTTCAGACCTCGACGACTTTTCCGTCTTCGACTGTCTCATTTCTTTCATAGCCATGACTCTCGATCAACTCACATACATATATAGATTTTAGGTACGTTTTAACATAAATGCGTGAACAGAATGTGTATACATTCATGTTTTCAGCTACAATGAGATCTCACAATTCGATCTTCTCTTTGAAAATGTCTTGAATGCTCGAAAGCGTGCATCTCTGTTCAAATGGAGAACGGAGCAGAAGAAGAACATATTCGGAACCGACGGTGCGTCTTTTCCATGCCAAACTTGTCTCCATTTCTCAGTTTTTTCAGGAATGCTAATGGATTGCAGCAAGGATCTGGTTGTCGTGACTCGTCTCGACTTTTCAAGATCAAAGTACAGTATGAAGAAACATAATTGTATGTTCGTCAAGGATCATGTGGCAGTGTAATGATCCACTCAACAACCAGTCTTACTCCAAAGTCATTATAACTCAATTTGAAGTTATTATGTCTTTCCGCAACAATGAGGACCAAGGACATTTCTGACTTTTAAGTGCACTGTGCCCCTGTCAATTACATGTCATTAAAATCTAGTTCTTGATAATTACCCTGGGACCAATAGAAGGGACTTGCATCTTTCCCCAACATCCTCATCCAACTGCTACTGCGACTTCCCCAACCTATCTTCCTCTCACTATTTCCATATTACCTAATAAAAGCATTATCTGAACCACCTGCTTTTAAACCGTGCGAAGGATACCCTTTGAGATCAACGGGGGTTACGGAACACGACAATCCCTGGCTAATGTCACAACTTGATCGATTTCCAGTGATGTCACTCGCAAAGCCAAACACGGAGGATGATGAACACGAAGCAATGTTGACGGTGTAAATATTTTGTTTTTAGTTGTGCGAACAATAAAGTTGTGCGATTTTCTCTGTAAGACAACCGGCGGTTTGACAAGGATCCACATTTCTGAAAGATCTGAAAATAGTCTGAAAACGTGCTGTGTTTTCCAGTTTTCTACGGGCTCAATTGCAGACGGAGAGTCACAAGTTTTGAGGACTCTGTCTTGTGACGGAGAAAACTTCCATACTGTTTGTACAATCAAAGAATCGAAGTATCCGTGCAGCCCCCTTTTGTCAACTAAGTGCCTCTTTAAAAGTGGTATATAGGCCCACAAACTGTTTCAATCGATACCAATGGCCGCCAAAAGATGGTGCACGCAGAGAAAGAGAGAACAGTGACATTGGGTATAGATAACGGCCGCCGCGGGGTGTCTGGTCATTCATTCGCTTGTGTCTCCACCCGGAGACACCACCATTCCCCCCTATTTTCTTTACTTTTTCCAATTATTCTACTCAATACTGAACTTTTTGAAAAATGTAGTAAGAGAGAAAAGTTCATTATGATATCGTCAAGAGGATAGTGATGAACAAAGTGAAACGGCGTCCAAGTTGGATTTACATCAAGTAAGACATAGGCTTCTGACTGCATCATCAATCGTTCGCAAACATTTTCAGGCGAACCAAAACGTACCGATCCAATTACCCAAATTACAAAGTGTTATTTCAGATCATGAGCAAGCGTCCGGCAGCAATTGACGACATTACCACCGAGGCTAAGAAAGGCGCCATTCTATGGACAACTAAGGAGTTGACGGATCGGGCGGCACGACAGCTTAGAATGGAGCAGAACCAGAAGGAACCGGTGTGCCGCTTCTGCAATGGAGCCCACCAAACTTGGAACTGCTCCACATACTCATCCAAAAAGAAGTTCGATCTAGCACGGTCGAAAAATCTCTGCCCAGCATGCCTCCGAAAGAAGAACCATCACCTGTCTCAATGCCGTCGGCTCAAACAGGCGGCAGATCTATGCAGCAAAAGAGCATGCACCGACATACACCTCAAGTCGATCTGCCCAAACACACCGACGACCCAAGAAGAAGACCTACTCGAAGAGAAAGACTCGGAGGGCAAATAACTCAAAAAATAAATAAATAAATAGATGAATCAATAAAATCCTTTTATCTCTTATCAACATAATCAGACACCTCCAGTTTTATCATCATCAGCAGTTTTGTCAGCAGTCCCGATTTCCACTCGTTCTTCTTCTCGATCTTGCACTCGCTCAAGGAGAAGAGAAACACTATACTTAGTATGGAACCAATAGAAAATCGCACCGAGTATACCAATGAAAATAAAAACAACTAGAGAAATAAGCAACTTCAATTCCGAACCCATCAGCTTCTCACGATCTTCAATAGTAGTTACTACTGTTTTCGGCGTAACTTCGTCAATTAGAGATATAATGGTTGTAGAATCATCACGATTAACACCCATTCGCAGCCTCGGTGGGATTCCGAAAGGAAACAATTCACCAAGTCGATCTTCCTCAGTACAATCAGCAGCCAGCTTCGCAGAGAGTCGCACACGTACCCAACAAGGAATAGAACTGTCACCATGAATGCAAACCTAGGGTTCCTCCAGACTGCAACAATTAAACAAACATAAGGAAAACCACACCAACTCACTAACCCGTGCAAAATCAAACAGAATTCGCATTCACCACAATCTCGGACTACTTCCCACTCCGGAACGTCCAGAGATTGACAACAACAGCCGCGAAGAAAAAATACAACGAGAAAAATCTTGAAGAGCCGCATGATACAAAAATGAAACATGCCGGATCAAGAATTTTATAAACAACACCCGCCGTCCCGCAACGTGGGCGCCGGAAGATGACGGAAAGCTCCGTCATAACAATGGATGACAACCGCGGATTTCAACAAACATCATGGAACACCTACAGACCGGACCATCAGACCTCACTTCGCCACTTCGCGTGGGCCGGGGAGTGTTCCAACGACGCCAATGATCACACATTGGCATCAATGGAAAGTCACAATCGAATGCACACAATTCGTGCACTTTGCCGATTTAGGCAAATTGAGGCCAATGCACTGTGCGATCACCAAAGCCGTCACAACCAGTTCTCATGGTATATAAGATCAAAGCGACCAGCGAAGACAGTTCAGTCCTACACGCGCCACCGTCCCGTCATTCAATCTCCTGCCCTCCAGTCTCCCATCCAGCATCCACCGTCTCCCTCCAGTTCCTAATACCCATCCTTATTCATCCACATATATTTACAAACAATAAATACTTATTACTCTAAAGCATTCTACCACAGTCGCCACACACAGCACGTTGCGAAATACGAAGATCAAGATGAAAGGACTGAATTTGTTCGTTTTTGTTGAGAAGACTCGAATACTGTGTCAATCACTTCATGCTTTTTTACAGGTTACTTTTGTTAAAACTTTTCCCAGCAATAAATGAGTTATGAAACACGTTTTTAGAGCCACTTCCTGGGGGATTACAGTATTCTAACCGACTTTCTTCGATTTCCACACATTTTCGTCTCTTTTATCACTCGTTGGAGTACAATAGACAATTGTGAAACTTTGAAAGTACGTGGCCTGAGCCTCTGACATTTGTCGAATCACTTCAATTATTGTTCGGTTCCCCGGCTCCAGAATGCAAGGAATATTGGATTTGCCGGATGCGGCTGTTCACGTGGGGAAGTGCACAATTTGGGTCATACTGTGTGTAATTATCATTCTGGCAAGGTCTGGATGGATTCCTCGATTATCGGCCGAATTCCAATGTGCCCCTGGCATATTGAAGTCGCCGACCAGGAAATTGTGTTTGGCACGGGAGCTAACGATTCCAGTGGAGATCTTCCAATAGTGCGGATAGTTCAAATTCCTGTAGTTTCTCTGCACATCCACTTCTTGCGGACATCCGAATTCGATCCTCTTGATGTAATAAAACTGGTCCCTGGGCTGCCATTCAATGTAAAACGTCCAATCCCCTTCCATTCCAACAGTCTTATTGCCGTAATAAAGGTCCGAGTCGACGTGCAGGCGAACAAACAACGTATTTCACAATGTACGTCGGGCTGGGAACCTATGAGGAGATGGCGACCGAAACGGAAGGAGGTACCGAGTCTCAAGGCGACAAGTTTACGACTTTGGAGGCTACCTGGAAGTCTTACATTCAATGGGTCAGTAGGACTTTCAAGTTTATTTCGACCGAAACGGAAGGAGGTCAGTTGGTCACTGAGAGTGAGTCCGGTGATGTTACTGTGACAGGCGCCACGCGACGCTACCCGATGGACCCCCGACTGGCTGTGTCTCCTCACTCCGGAAGAGGGAGCGCCGGCAAGTCGGAGAGAAGTCAGTTGGGTTGGAGAGAGAGGACGCACTGCTCGTCGTCCCTTTTCTCATCAAGGACCTGTCCCTTCTTTAGTTTTATCCCCCTCATTTTGTAATATTTCTATGGCTCCTTAATCTTTTTTATAATAAATCTTTTTAACGAAAGATCCAGCTTGTTGTATCTGAGTCAGAGTAGAAGAAACCGTGCCGGAAGAAGGCGCGCTTTACATTACGGAAATACATTTTTGTTGTTCCGTTGGGAGGCAGATTTGTAATATCAACATGTTTATTGGTGTCACTAAAATAAAACAATAGTTAAGACCTTGAAAGAGTGCATAGATCTTGTGGCCAAACGGTGAAAGAAAAGGCCGCACTTGCCCACAACACGATTGCCACACGTCCAGTGCCTTTTTGTTGGACGTCTTTGAAGCGAACGCCGGTGCGCATTGCTGAAAACAACTCTTATTAGGTTGGCCAACGTTTTATCGAGACTCACCGCAGACAGTCCAGACGATTCTTCCCTTTGTATATCATCTCGACTCGTTCCAACAGTCTATCGAAGCGCTTCAACTTCCCAATCGATCGAAAACGAGATGCCTTCCAATTGGTCGAAGATCATGCGTCGCCGCCGAGTAGTCGAATAGGAACTCGAATTCCGCATCCGTCATCAGTGCATCGTGCACTTCGATATATGGACAGTCGATTCCGTGTTTCCACACGAAAAGGTCCTTGATGCTCTTGACGCAGTCCAATAAAGAATCGATTGTGACATGGCACTCCACTTCGAAACACTCCACCAATCTTCGCGCCAACTCTTCCATTTGCTGATATGTCCACCTAACTTCATTGGGGCTCCAACTGCAGTCCGGGTTTTCATAATAAACCCGCGCTTCTTGGCCGGCAGTTGCGACGCTCATCCGTGTGTTGATGTCCATAAACACGCAGCAGAGTTTGACGGGCATCTCGAGACGTTTTACACATCTTCTGGCCGTTTTCGAGCCTTTCGCAATCTCGAGTCTGCAAACAGAAGACTAGAACTGAGCGAACATGAGTGAAAGGGGAACTTACATGGTGGTGTGATCGAGCTGATCGAACACGCACTTCAGGGGAATATGGGAGAGGGAGAAAAGTGGGAACGCGGCCATTGTCTCGACAGAAGTGAATGGGCAACAGACGAGAAGAGCGAAGGCCGAACAAATGCGAGTGGCCTCTCGCTGTTCCGAACGGACACGCCCCCTCCTCTTGGCAGCCCGTTCCTTTTGTGTGCTCTACCATATCCGTTCGAGGTCACATGCCACTCATCGTTAAGATGCAATCGGCATTACGTGGCTGACCCGCTGCCATCTCGTACATTACGCAACAAATATCCCAATGAGACCCATTAGAGTGCAACGTACGAGCCCCCCTTAGAATCGGAGTTGGCAGCGAGCCAAGGACACGCCTCCCAAACAGTTGCCACTGCAACTGCCGCACGCTATTTGGGCTCGTTTTTGACCAGGAACTTGAGGAATCCAAGTACCTTCTGCCATCTCGCACATTGCGCGTCAAATATCCCAATGGGAGCCATTAGAGTGCCCCGTACGAGCCCCTGAATAATAAATGAACAGATGGCAAGCGTGACCAGATGGTTTTATTCTATTAATGCACATATTGCAACGTGTGACAATAATAAAAACAGATTAGTAAGGCTTCGGATCCAGAGGCTTCAGCTCTTTCTCCAAAACGATTCCAGTGGAGATCTTACAATAGTGTCTTATTGCCGTATCATCGAGATTGGCCATAGATTGTTGCCATGTTTGTCCTAGAAACTTAATGTTTTGTAGTGAACGAGAGGATTGCTAAAGTATTGTCCCTTCAGGACCCGGTGGATCAGTTCTACTACATCAAGAGGATGGAGTTCGGATGGCCCGAGAATACAATGACTTGGACGGTGATTGGTGGATGATGGATCGAGTAATAAATACTTTATTTTCCAATTCTCAAAAAACTCGGGAAATTCATGAAAAATCGTAAAAAAAGTTGAGATTTTGATCATAGAGGGCTCTGGTTTTTGAGCCAGGACTCCGATCGATGTAAGGTTTCTGAAGACGTCACGGAGCTGAAATCTCAATGTTTAGCGAATGTTACAAAAACTTCGATGGAAAACCGCCGGGAAAGAGTACGATTGGGACTTCAAGATCACAACCGAATATGTATGTACAATAAATATCTAATCTTTCACTACAAAACATTAAGTTTCTAGGACAAACATGGCAACAATCTATGGCCAATCTCGATGATCGACGTGGCATGTCCGCCTGGCCTTGACCTCATGAAGGCCAGCTACGATGCGTATCGCCTTATCATCGGAGCATCGTTCGTTCAAATGGTGCCCAATAAACTGCAGTGGTATTCCGGGTTGTCCGCTTTTGAGACCTACACAAGGTCGGAGAAAATAGAGATTGAGAGTTGTCACGAGAAAATGAATAGTATCAATGAGTATGCAAACAAAATGAGTCAAAATGCCAAATTTGAGTTTCAGAAGACCTCGAGAAACAGTTCTGGCGCCCGGACAGTCGGTACAATCACACCTACCTTCAGGGATACAATATAATAGAAGAAGAGGGTCTCGCAACGGCAGACACCCACTTTTCGTTGTTTGTTCGCCTGCGCGCCGACTCGGACCTTTATTACGGCAATAAGACTGTTGGAATGGAAGGCGATTGGACGTTTTACATTGAATGGCAGCCCAGGGACCAGTTTTATTACATCAAGAGGATCGAATTCGGATGTCCGCAAGAAGTGGATGTGCAGAGAAACTACAGGAATTTGAACTATCCGCACTATTGGAAGATCTCCACTGGAATCGTTTTGGAGAAAGAGCTGAAGCCTCTGGATCCAGAACCTTACTAATCTGTTTTTATTATTGTCACACGTTGCAATATGTGCATTAATATAATAAAACCATCTGGTCACGCTTGCCATCTGTTCATTTATTATTCAGGGGCTCGTACGGGGCACTCTAATGGCTCCCATTGGGATATTTGACGCGCAATGTGCGAGATGGCAGAAGGTACTTGGATTCCTCAAGTTCCTGGTCAAAAACGAGCCCAAATAGCCTGCGGCAGTTGCAGTGGCAACTGTTTGGGAGGGGTGTCCTTGGCTCGCTGCCAACTCCGATTCTAAGGGGGGCTCGTACGTTGCACTCTAATGGGTCTCATTGGGATATTTGTTGCGCAATGTACGAGATGGCAGCAGGTCAGCCACGTAATGCCGATTGCATCTTAATGATGAGTGGCATGTGACCTCGAACGGATACGGTAGAGCACACAAAAGGAACGGGCTGCCAAGAGGAGGGGGCGTGTCCGTTCGGAACGGCGAGAGGCCACTCGCATTTGTTCGGCCTTCGCTCTTCTCGTCTGTTGCCCATTCACTTCTGTCGAGACAATGGCCGCGTTCCCACTTTTCTCCCTCTCCCATATTCCCCTGAAGTGCGTGTTCGATCAGCTCGATCACACCACCATGTAAGTTCCTCTTTCACTCATTTTCGCTCAGTTCTAGTGTTCTGTTTGCAGACTCGAGATTGCGAAAGGCTCGAAAACGGCCAAAAGATGTGTAAAACGTCTCGAGATGCCCGTCAAACTCTGCTGCGTGTTTATGGACATCAACACACGGATGAGCGTCGCGACTGCAGGCCAAGAAGCGCGGGTTTATTATGATAACCCGGACTGCAGTTGGAGCCCCAATGAAGTTAGGTGGACATATAAGCAAATGGAGGAATTGGCGCGAAGATTGGTGGAGTGTTTCGAAGTGGAGTGCCATGTCACAATCGATTCTTTATTGGACTGTGTCAAAAGCATCAAGGACCTTTTCGTGTGGAAACACGGAATCGACTGTCCATATATCGAAGTGCACGATGCACTGATGACGGATGCGGAATTCGAGTTCCTATTCGACTACTCGGCGGCGACGCATGATCTTCGACCAATTGGAAGGCATCTCGTTTTCGATCGATTGGGAAGTTGAAGCGCTTCGATAGACTGTTGGAACGAGTCGAGATGATATACAAAGGGAAGAATCGTCTGGACTGTCTGCGGTGAGTCTCGATAAAACGTTGGCCAACCTAATAAGAGTTGTTTTCAGCAATGCGCACCGGCGTTCGCTTCAAAGACGTCCAACAAAAAGGCACTGGACGTGTGGCAACCGTGTTGTGGGCAAGTGCGGCCTTTTCTTTCACCGTTTGGCCACAAGATCTATGCACTCTTTCTAACTATTGTTTTATTTTAGTGACACCAATAAACATGTTGATATTACTAAACTGCCTCCCAACCGAACAACAAAATGTATTTCCTTCCTTTGTTTGTCAGAGTACGGTGAGCAATTCGGTGTCAACACTGCTGCGTACCAGTGTTGAGCGGAATTCCGTCTTCCGTGGTTTTTTCTTCTTACCGTAAAAGAGTAATAGCCTTTCAGAAGCCATTTACTATCCCCGAAGAACGCGAATTTCCACGGGCGCGCCAAAAGATGGTGCACACAGAGAAAGAGAGAACAGTGACATTGGGTATAGATAACGGCCGCCGCGGGGTGTCTGGTCATTCATTCGCTTGTGTCTCCACCCGGAGACGCCACCATTCCCCCTATTTTTCTTTCGTTTCTTCTTTCCAACGTCTCCATCGGATTCCACTCGAAACCCCCCCAATCCTCCTATTTTCTCTACTTTTTCCAATTATTCTACTCAATACTGAACTTTTTGAAAAAGGTAATAAGAAAAGTTCATGATGATGATTTGTATCGATCGATTTTCAGAGACTTCAAACAAAAAGTACTGAAGCAGATGCGGAGATGCTCTGGATACGCTGGCGGATGATGAGGCCGTCCTTTATGACGGCCAAATGATCTTGGCCGGTCTCACGATCGCGCCCCAAAGGTTAGTTTCGTCTCGTTTTCATGACTTTTCTCTTATGTGTGCTTCATTTCAGAGCCGGAGAGTACCGGTTCAACGAGAAGTACTCCATGAGAATGAAGCTCAGGGAGTACAAGAACATGGAGATCACTGGGGACGAAGTGATTGTGGAGGACAAGGGAGGCGCCTATATCGCCTCCCTTCTGACAGTCATCAGGCTGCCATCGTAAGTTTTCTTTTCTTTTTTTTTTGCTCAAATCCATACGAACTATCGCTTTTCAGGCTGCTCGATCTGACGAGGGAACGACAGCGCCGAAAAGACTTCACAAAGTCGGAGAGGAAGCAGAAGAAGGAGCTGATCAAGAGGGAAACGGAGAAGAAAGAAAAGGAAGCGATTGAGGAGACACGAGTCCGATCGCCGCGCTTTCAATGTTGATCAATTTCTCTGTTATTCTGTGTTTCATAAATATATTATTTTTGAACAAGGCTTTCTTCACTTTCTTTACTTTTTGAATCACATTATTGAAGTTCCTTTCATTCGACGCACTCTCCATCCGCTGATTTGTCGACCTCGGTTCGAGCAAGGATCCACGTTTCAGATTCCGATAATCTCTGGTTTTCTTTTAGATTTTGGCTATTCCCCGGTACTGTTTGCGTTTTGCCAACCGACCCTTCCGTTTGCATAGTATCTTTCCGTGCTGGGTCGTAGAGTGACGTATGTTTGCTTGGGAACACTTCTCTTCTCGCTATCTCTCCCCAATTTCTCTATTTGCGCAGCGTTTGGAAACTTTTCGACCCGTTGATTTCATAACCGTTTATTGATTGGGCATTGGTTTTGAGGGATCACATTATTATTACAGGCAAGGGGCAAATTATACATCACAATATCCAAAGGGTAATGTAGTTCCGCTCAACTCTGATATCTACTGTTGAAAAAAAGGTTCGACATTAGAATCGGAGTTGGCAGCGAGCCAAGGACACGCCTCCCAAACAGTTTCCACTGCAACTGCCGCACGCTATTTGGGGGGCGTGTCTTTGGCTCGCTGCCAACTCCCATTCTAATGTCGAACCTCTTTTTCAATAGTAACCAAAAACGATTCGAAAATGAAACTCGAGAATTGTGGAGGCGAAACATTGGACAGTATCAACGAGATTGAGAAGAAATTCTGGGCGCCCGGCAGCAATTACAGTGCCACGTTCCTCGAGCATGTCGCAATGGACACCGAGGAGGGTTTGGCCAAGGAAGACACGTATTTCACAATGTACGTCGGGCTGGGAACCTATGAGGAGATGGCGACCGAAACGGAAGGAGGTACCGAATCTCAAGGCGACAAGTTTACGTCTTTGGAGGCTACCTGGAAGTTTTACATTCAATGGGTCAGTAGAACTTTCAAGTTTATTTCGACCGAAACGGAAGGAGGTCAGTTGGTCAGTGAGAGTGAGTCCGGTGATGTTACTGTGACAGGCGCCACGCGACGCTACCCGATGGACCCCCGACTGGCTGTGTCTCCTCACTCCGGAAGAGGGAGCGCCGGCAAGTCGGAGAGAAGTCAGTTGGGTTGGAGAGAGAGGACGCACTGCTCGTCGTCCCTTTTCTCAGCAAGGACCTGTCCCTTCTTTAGTTTTATCCCCCTTATTTTGTAATATTTCTATGGCTCCTTAATCGTTTTTATAACAAATCTTTTTAACGAAAGACCCAGCTTGTTGTATCTGAGTCAGAGTAGAAGAAACCGTGCCGGAAGAAGGCGGGCTTTACATTACGGAAATACATTTTTGTTGTTCCGTTGGGAGGCAGTTTTGTAATATCAACATGTTTATTGGTGTCACTAAAATAAAACAATAGTTAGAAAGAGTGCATAGATCGTGTGGCCAAACGGTGAAAGAAAAGGCCGCACTTGCCCACAACACGGTTGCCACACGTCCAGTGCCTTTTTGTTGGACGTCTTTGAAGCGAACGCCGGTGCGCATTGCTGAAAACAACTCTTATTAGGTTGGCCAACGTTTTATCGAGACTCACCGCAGACAGTCCAGACGATTCTTCCCTTTGTATATCATCTCGACTCGTTCCAACAGTCTATCGAAGCGCTTCAACTTCCCAATCGATCGAAAACGAGATGCCTTCCAATTGGTCGAAGATCATGCGTCGCCGCCGAGTAGTCGAATAGGAACTCGAATTCCGCATCCGTCATCAGTGCATCGTGCACTTCGATATATGGACAGTCGATTCCGTGTTTCCACACGAAAAGGTCCTTGATGCTCTTGACGCAGTCCAGTAAAGAATCGATTGTGACATGGCACTCCACTTCGAAACACTCGGTCAATCTTCGCGCCAACTCTTCCATTTGCTTATATGTCCACCTAACTTCATTGGGGCTCCAACTGCAGTCCGGGTTATCATAATAAACCCGCGCTTCTTGGCCGGCAGTTGCGACGCTCATCCGTGTGTTGATGTCCATAAACACGCAGCAGAGTTTTACGGGCATCTCGAGACGTTTTACACATCTTTTGGCCGTTTTCGAGCCTTTCGCAATCTCGAGTCTGCAAACAGAAGACTAGAACTGAGCGAAAATGAGTGAAAGGGGAACTTACATTGTAGTGTGATCGAGCTGATCCAACACGCACTTGAGGGGAATATGGGAGAGGGAGAAAAGTGGGAACGCGGCCATTGTCTCGACAGAAGTGAATGGGCAACAGACGAGAAGAGCGAAGGCCGAACAAATGCGAGTGGCCTCTCGCCGTTCCGAACGGACACGCCCCCTCCTCTTGGCAGCCCGTTCCTTTTGTGTGCTCTACCATATCCGTTCGAGGTCACATGCCACTCATCATTAAGATGCAATCGGCATTACGTGGCTGACCTGCTGCCATCTCGTACATTGCGCAACAAATATCTCAATGGTAGCCATTAGAGTGCAACGTACGAGCCCCCCTTAGAATCGGAGTTGGCAGCGAGCCAAGGACACGCCTTCCAAACAGTTTCCACTGCAACTGCCGCACGCTATTTGGGCTCGTTTTTGACCAGGAACTTGAGGAATCCAAGTACCTTCTGCCATCTCGCACATTGCGCGTCAAATATCCCAATGGGAGCCATTAGAGTGCCCCGTACGAGCCCCTGAATAATAAATGAACAGATGGCAAGCGTGACCAGATGGTTTTATTCTATTAATGCACATATTGCAACGTGTGACAATAATAAAAACAGATTAGTAAGGTTCTGGATCCAGAGGCTTCAGCTCTTTCTCCAAAACGATTCCAGTGGAGATCTTCCAATAGTGCGGATAGTTCAAATTCCTGTAGTTTCTCTGCACATCCACTTCTTGCGGACATCCGAATTCGATCCTCTTGATGTAATAAAACTGGTCCCTGGGCTGCCATTCAATGTAAAACGTCCAATCGCCTTCCATTCCAACAGTCTTATTGCCGTAATAAAGGTCCGAGTCGGCGCGCAGGCGAACAAACAACGAAAAGTGGGTGTCGAGGAGAGTTTCCGCTGCATATCCTTTCGATGTAGAGCATTCACATGCCAGCGTTCTGAATTGACGATAATCAGCGTTCTGACTTGTTGATGAGAGTCCCACCCCTTATATCTCGGGAAATTTATGAAAAACCGAAAAAAAAGTTGAGATTTTGATCACAGAGGGCTCTGATTTTTTGCCAAAAGTTTCTCACTATTGTATTCGATAATTTGAGCCAGGACTCCGATCGATGTAAGGTTTCTGAAGACGTCACGGAGCGGAAATCTCAATGTTTAGTGAATGGCATAAAAACTTCGATGGAAAACCGCCGGGAAAGAGTACGATTGGGACTTCAAGATCACAACCGAATATGTATGTACAATATCTAATCTTTCACTACAAAACATTAAGTTTCTAGGACAAACATGGCAACAATCTATGGCCAATCTCGATGATCGACGTGGCATGTCCGCCTGGCCTTGACCTCATGAAGGCCAGCTACGATGCGTATCGCCTTATCATCGGAGCATCGTTCGTTCAAATGGTGCCCAATAAACTGCAGTGGTATTCCGGGTTGTCCGCTTTTGAGACCTACACAAGGTCGGAGAAAATAGAGATTGAGAGTTGTCACGAGAAAATGAATAGTATCAGTGAGTATGCAAACAAAATGAGTCAAAATGCCAAATTTTAGTTTCAGAAGACCTCGAGAAACAGTTCTGGCGCCCGGACAGTCGGTACAATCACACCTACCTTCAGGGATACAATATAATAGAAGAAGAGGGTCTCGCAACGGCAGACACCCACTTTTCGTTGTTTGTTCGCCTGCGCGCCGACTCGGACCTTTATTACGGCAATAAGACTGTTGGAATGGAAGGCGATTGGACGTTTTACATTGAATGGCAGCCCAGGGACCAGTTTTATTACATCAAGAGGATCGAATTCGGATGTCCGCAAGAAGTGGATGTGCAGAGAAACTACAGGAATTTGAACTATCCGCACTATTGGAAGATCTCCACTGGAATCGTTTTGGAGAAAGAGCTGAAGCCTCTGGATCCAGAACCTTACTAATCTGTTTTTATTATTGTCACACGTTGCAATATGTGCATTAATAGAATAAAACCATCTGGTCACGCTTGCCATCTGTTCATTTATTATTCAGGGGCTCGTACGGGGCACTCTGGTGGGTCCCATTGTGATATTTGACGCGCAATGTGCGAGATGGCAGAAGGTACTTGGATTCCTCAAGTTCCTGGTCAAAAACGAGCACAAATAGCGTGCGGCAGTTGCAGTGGCAACTGTTTGGGAGGCGTGTCCTTGGCTCGCTGCCAACTCCGATTCTAAGGGGGGCTCGTACGTTGCACTCTAATGGCTACCATTGAGATATTTGTTGCGTAATGTACGAGATGGCAGCAGGACTCAGCCACGTAATGCCGATTGCATCTTAATGATGAGTGGCATGTGACCTCGAAAAGTAGAGCACACAAAAGGAACGGGCTGCCAAGAGGAGGGGGCGTGTCCGTTTGGAACGGCGAGAGGCCACTCGCATTTGTTCGGCCTTCGCTCTTCTCGTCTGTTGCCCATTCACTTCTGTCAAGACAATGGCCGCGTTCCCACTTTTCTCCCTCTCCCATATTCCCCTGAAGTGCGTGTTCGATCAGCTCGATCACACCACCATGTAAGTTCCCCTTTCACTCATTTTCGCTCAGTTCTAGTCTTCTGTTTGCAGACTCGAGATTGCGAAAGGCTCGAAAACGGCAAAAAGATGTGTAAAACGTCTCGAGATGCCCGTCAAACTCTGCTGCGTGTTTATGGACATCAACACACGGATGAGCGTCGCAACTGCAGGCCAAGAAGCGCGGGTTTATTATGATAACCCGGACTGCAGTTGGAGCCCCAATGAAGTAAGGTGGACATATCAGCAAATGGAAGAGTTGGCGCGAAGATTGACCGAGTGTTTCGAAGTGGAGTGCCATGTCACAATCGATTCTTTACTGGACTGCGTCAAGAGCATCAAGGACCTTTTCGTGTGGAAACACGGAATCGACTGTCCATATATCGAAGTGCACGATGCACTGATGACGGATGCGGAATTCGAGTTCCTATTCGACTACTCGGCGGCGACGCATGATATTCGACCAATTGGAAGGCATCTCGTTTTCGATCGATTGGGAAGTTGAAGCGCTTCGATAGACTGTTGGAACGAGTCGAGATGATATACAAAGGGAAGAATCGTCTGGACTGTCTGCGGTGAGTCTCGATAAAACGTTGGCCAACCTAATAAGAGTTGTTTTCAGCAATGCGCACCGGCGTTCGCTTCAAAGACGTCCAACAAAAAGGCACTGGACGTGTGGCAACCGTGTTGTGGCCAAGTGCGGCCTTTTCTTTCACCGTTTGGCCACAAGATCTATGCACTCTTTCAAGGTCTTAACTATTGTTTTATTTTAGTGACACCAATAAACATGTTGATATTACTAAACTGCCTTCCAACGGAACAACAAAAATGTATTTCCGTAATGTAAAGCGCGCCTTCTTCCGGCACGGTTTCTTCTACTCTGACTCAGATACAACAAGCTGGATCTTTCGTTAAAAAGATGTATTATAAAAAAGATTAAGGAGCCATAGAAATATTACAAAATAAGGGGGATAAAACTAAAGAAGGGACAGGTCCTTGCTGAGAAAAGGGACGACGAGCAGTGCGTCCTCTCTCTCCAACCCAACTGACTTCTCTCCGACTTGCCGGCGCTCCCTCTTCCGGAGTGAGGAGACACAGCCAGTCGGGGGTCCATCGGATAGCGTCGCGTGGCGCCTGTCACAGTAACATCACCGGACTCACTCTCACTGACCAACAAACTTCCATACTGTTTGTGCCAACAACCGAGCGGAGTAGCCGTGCAGCCCCTTTTTGTCAACTAAGTGTCTCTTTAAAAGTGGTATATAGGCCCACAAACTGTTACAATCGATGCCAATGGTTTTTTAAGGAGGGGGCAGCCAACAGATGGTGCACGCAGCACGGTGATTCTTTGCGAGGGTGACGAGGAAAATTCTAGTCCATTTGGCCCGGGGTCGCAGGCCGTGGTACTAGGCCACGGTTTCCGCCGAGTCCCCCGGCTGAACAAGAAATTATTAGGCCACGCCAGAAGTTAGGCCAGGAGGCCGAACCGAAGAAACTCGGCCATGGGGAATTTTTCACGAATTTCGCGCTTGTTTCATATTTTAGCGCTTGTTCTCTGTCAATTAATGCTTGTTTTCGGCTGAGTTTTGTATTTTTTTATCTCAAAAATGAAAGAACGCAGTTTATAGAAGCTTTATTATTTTTTAGTAATTGTTATCAACAGAGAAAAATTGCCAACAGCAAAAACCAATAACAGCGCTGTGTAATATTCCTAAAGAGCAGTAAAAACGTCTTCAAAACGCTGTCGGAAACAATTGCGGCTAAACAGAAAGCGCGCGCGCCAAACTTGCAAAATTGCGTGCGGCAATTGCGCAAGACCACGCCCCTTCTTTGAATGGTGGCCGAGTTTCTCACTACACCCTCGCAAAGAATCACCGTGCGCAGAGAAAGAGAGAACAGTGACATTGGGTATAAATAACGGCCGCCGCGGGGTGTCTGGTCATTCATTCGCTTGTGTCTCCACCTGGAGACACCACCATTCCCCCCTATTTTCTTTCGTTTCTTCTTTTCAACGTCTCCATCGGATTCCACTCGGAAACCCCCCAATCCCCCTATTTTCTCTATTTTTTTCCACTTATTCTACTCAATACTGAAATTTTTGAAAAAGGTAATAAGAGAGAAAAGTTCATTATGATGATTTGTATCGATCGATTTTCAGAGACTTCAAACAAAAAGTACTGAAGCAGATGCGTCCGAATTTTTACGACGTAAAGTGAGCAGACGAACCGGGCCGAAAAAGCCGAAGGCTCAGACATTCAACAGGATCAAGTTCGTCCAACATGATCGTTGTGGCCATCGCAGCTTTCCTGATCCTGATTGGAGCCTGCGCAGCATACAATCCTGTCGGAAATCGTATGATGAAAGAAGGCTTCTGCATACTGATGAAGACAACGTCCCAGCAGCAGTTGGATGAATGCCTACTTGGAGCGAGGCAAGAACAAGATATGAGATTGATCCAGGAGGGATTCGTGACCTTCGGAGAAATGGAAAGAGGCACGCGGTTGATCAATGAAGCCATCAAGGAGAGCATTGAGAATACTTTCGCAAGGATGAGTGTCGTGACTAGTCTCGACTTGTCAAGATCAAGGTCGACCGCTATGTTGACGTCGTGTACTACTTTCTGGTGAAGTACCGTGTCACGGTACCCACCGAGGACATCCTCTTCTTCATGGAGGGCTTCCCCAACGAGCTCTATCCGCTCTCGGTTCTTCGGGTGACTCCGCCCATCGTACCCCGTCGTTTGTAAACTCTGTCAGTAATAAACCGTATGCTGTTAATCGTTTTATTTGTGTAAAATGTCGAACAGTTGTATTTAGTGAAGCTCTGCGATAGTTGTGGTTAGTCTCGGCTGGGATTTCACTTGTGCTTTGACAATTTGGGCTTAGGTCCTTCAACGATTGGTTCGTTCTTTTGTGGTTCTTCATGAAGTACTGTCTCTTCTTGCATTTCGTTGGAGATGTTATCTACCATGGTGTATGGGCAGATGGAGATGTGGTAAATGTGGTATCGTTTTCCGCATTCGACGTGTTTGCAAAGCAGTTGTGAATTGCGCAAATTACGGCAGTTGGTTGGGTGGTGGCTGTCCGAGGTCAAACAGATGCGACAGATGTGGAGTCGTGATGTTTCTTGTATTTTGTTGAGTTGAGGGATCACGTTGCAATCCGAAGTAGGATGTTCTTTCTTGCAGAAGCGACATGTTGGTGGTCCGCGTTTGGGACGGCGAAGTTCACGAGCGGCTTGTTCGGTTAATGCCTTGAGTTGCCAGGTGACAGCTTGTCTCTTGGCTTCGTCTAGAACTTCTTGGGCCATTGAGCGTTTGGACATGTTGCAAACAGTTGGGTTTGATGTGTTGTGTTCTGTAAACACTTTGTTGGGTTTTGTATGTAGGGAGGGTGATACGATAATTATGCGACATAGAATTGAGTGAGTGTTAGTTACGTGGAAAATTGTTTTGAAAAATGGGTGTCTTCTGATTAGTTTGTGTATGGCAACTATTGAGATCAGTGGTTTTTGTGGATAATCGATGGTCGTTGTTGTTATCTGCGGAATCTTCGTCCTCCTATCAGGAGTCTGGTGATTGCAGGTAGGCAACACATGTAGATTGCTAGTCCTGTTAGGATGATCATGATTATCATGGATACAATTTCCACTGCTCCTTTTGTAATCGTATCAAGTATGCTTCGAAGATCTGGTAGTTGCCATGGGTGTAGATCTATAATAGATTTTTCAGAGTTTATAATTTGATTGAAGTATTCAATTATTGACCCATGAGATACAAACATTAATTTTTCTGTGATTTTGAACGTGTTGTTTTTAGAGCCACAGTTGCGCAGGCGGGAATGCCCAACAAAGGGATGGTGGGTGAATTTCAATGTGCAACCTATCAAGACGCTCTAAACTTCCGATGTGGATTCGATGAGCATTTGTGCAGTTGCATCGCGCAAGGAACCGTGCTCAGATGTCCGTGTGGACACATTCACCTCGATGCGGTGCTCAAGAAGACGCTACTACCGAGAAGTGAAGCAGGGATCGCCATACTAACGGAAGGAGGACTGATCAAAACGAAGCTGACAACGAGTTCTTTGGTTTCGATTCAACTACAGTTCAGGAATCAATCGATTCATCGGATCGTGAAAGACGACAACTGCAGCATTGCAACGACGACGATCACGGGTTGCTTCTCCTGTGGAAAAGGAGCGTTGTTGACTGCGACGTGTACCTCCATGGTTCACAAAAGGATCGAAGCGACAGTCAAGTGCCCGACGATTGGAGTGGATTTTCTAGAATGCGGTATCAACGGAGTGCGAGGGAAAATCAATTTCCATTCGACCCAGCGGAAGATCGAGGAAACTTGTTCCATTTCGTGTGGAACAGTTAAGCAGGAATTCTCCTTGCAAGGAGAACTGGCGGAAGAAGCAACGTTCGATGCGTCTGGACTTCGGGATCGGTTTGCGGAATTCACTCAGAAGATCGGGGAAGGAGGAAGTTTCGACTTCATCACGGGAAAGATAGCTGCCGTTTGGAGCACCATCACTTCATGGATCGGCTCGGGAATCGTCATCATGGTTGTGCTGGTTATCGGAGGAGTATGTTGTGTCCAGTGTGTCGGAGGAACGTCGGTTGGCTGGCGTTACATTCCCTTGGCCCGGGAGTGTCGCAGATCGAGATATCGACGCCTTAGGAGATGATCAATGACCACAGAACAGAGCATTCCCATCGACTCTCACGATAATAATAACCATCCCCATTCCTCACCGTTCCCAGGCACATTCACGGTGATTCGATTAGCGGAACTCCGTTAAATACCCCTGAATCGCTGTTCTCAGGATATGCTCTTCTATTCTTTCTTCTACTTTCTACATTCTTCGACTTCTACGATTCCTTCCGAATAAATCGTTACACCATAGCCCGCACCTGTTTGCTCTTTCTCCAAAACGATTCCAGTGGAGATCTTCCAATAGTGTCTCATTGCCGTATGATCGAGATTGGCCATAGATTGTTGCCATGTTTGTCCTAAAAACTTAATGTTTTGTAGTGAACGAGAGGATTGCTAAAGTATTGTCCCTTCAGGACCCGGTGGATCAGTTCTACTACATCAAGAGGATCAAGTTCGGATGGCCCGAGAATACAATGACTTGGACGGTGATTGGTGGATGATGGATCGAGTAATAAATACTTTATTTTCCAATTCTCAAAAAAGACGGCGTTTCCTCGATGGGCCACTCGTATTCTCGAACTTGGCCCGTCATACTTTGCATCGTCCTTTTCCAGATTTTTCTTCCATTTCTGACGATTCATACTCAGAAAATCCACGAATTGTTCTGAAAAGCATCATACATAGATATTGTGGTCCCTTCTAGAATACAAGAAAACATGATTTTGACAGTAATTGCAGACATTTTCGACCAGAATTGATTTTTTCATTTCTCAGCAGTTACACTTCCAAAAATTCATTTTTCGGTATCTCTAGACGTTCTATGTGTAAAAAATGTTAAAAGTATATAATAAAAGAACGAAAACTACGAATGACATGAAAATATTAGCGGAGATTCGTTGGAAACGCCGGCGGAACTCGAGGCGAATTCATGAACGGAGTGCCCCTAGCCATAATTAGCCCTAAATGTATTAATTCGGGGAGAATTGTGTCTTCCAATTTTTATTATATATGAGAGGAGAGTTTCCGGCGCATATCCTTTCGATGTAGAGCATTCACATGCCAGCGTTCTGAAATGACGATAATCAGCGTTCTGACTTGTTGATGAGAGTCGCACCCCTTATATCTCGGGAAATTTATGAAAAACCGAAAAAAAAGTTGAGATTTTGATCACAGAGGGCTCTGGTTTTTTGCCAAAAGTTGCTCACTCCTATGTTTGATGATTTGAGCCAGGACTCCGATCGATGTAAGGTTTCTGAAGACGTCACGGAGCGGAAATCTCAATGTTTAGCGAATGTTACAAAAACTTCGATGGAAAACCGCCGGGAAGAAGTACGATTGGGACTTCAAGATCACAACCGAATATGTATGTACAATATATAATATTTCACTACAAAACATTAAGTTTCTAGGACAAACATGGCAACAATCTATGGCCAATCTCGATGATCGACGTGGCATGTCCGCCTGGCCTTGACCTCATGAAGGCCAGCTACGATGCGTATCGCCTTATCATCGGAGCATCGTTCGTTCAAATGGTGCCCAATAAACTGCAGTGGTATTCCGGGTTGTCCGCTTTTGAGACCTACACAACGCGCAATGTGCGAGATGGCAGAAGGTACTTGGATTCCTCAAGTTCCTGGTCAAAAACGAGCCCAAATAGCGTGCGGCGGTTGCAGTGGAAACTGTTTGGGAGGCGTGTCCTTGGCTCGCTGCCAACTCCGATTCTAAGGGGGGCTCGTACGTTGCACTCTAATGGGTCTCATTGGGATATTTGTTGCGCAATGTACGAGATGGCAGCAGGACTCAGCCACGTAATGCCGATTGCATCTTAATGATGAGTGGCATGTGACCTCGAACGGATATGGTAGAGCACACAAAAGGAACGGGCTGCCAAGAGGAGGGGGCGTGTCCGTTCGGAACGGCGAGAGGCCACTCGCATTTGTTCGGCCTTCGCTCTTCTCGTCTGTTGCCCATTCACTTCTGCCGAGACAATGGCCGCGTTCCCACTTTTCTCCCTCTCCCATATTCCCCTGAAGTGCGTGTTCGATCAGCTCGATCACACTACAATGTAAGTTCCCCTTTCACTTATTTTCGCTCAGTTCTAGTCTTCTGTTTGCAGACTCGAGATTGCGAAAGTCTCGAAAACGGCCAAAAGAAGTGTAAGACGTCTCGAGATGCCCGTCAAACTCTGCTGCGTGTTTATGGACATCAACACACGGATGAGCGTCGCAACTGCAGGCCAAAAAGCGCGGGTTTATTATGAAAACCCGGACTGCAGTTGGAGCCTCAATGAAGTTAGGTGGACATATAAGCAAATGGAAGAGTTGGCGCGAAGATTGGTGGAGTGTTTCGAAGTGGAGTGCCATGTCACAATCGATTCTTTACTGGACTGCGTGAAGAGCATCAAGGACCTTTTCGTGTGGAAACACGGAATCGACTGTCCATATATCGAAGTGCACGATGCACTGATGACGGATGCGGAATTCGAGTTCCTATTCGACTACTCGGCGGCGACGCATGATATTCGACCAATTGGAAGGCATCTCGTTTTCGATCGATTGGGAAGTTGAAGCGCTTCGATAGACTGTTGGAACGAGTCGAGATGATATACAAAGGGAAGAATCGTCTGGACTGTCTGCGGTGAGTCTCGATAAAACGTTGGCCAACCTAATAAGAGTTGTTTTCAGCAATGCGCACCGGCGTTCGCTTCAAAGACGTCCAACAAAAAGGCACTGGACGTGTGGCAACCGTGTTGTGGCCAAGTGCGGCCTTTTCTTTCACCGTTTGGCCACAAGATCTATGCACTCTTTCAAGGTCTTAGCTATTGTTTTATTTTAGTGACACCAATAAACATGTTGATATTATAAATCTGCCTCCCAACGGAACAACAATATGTATTTCCTTCCTTTGTTTGTCAGAGTACGGTGAGCAATTCGGTGTCAACACTGCTGCGTACTCGGCATCGAATCTTACGACATTTGCAAATTAAACTTTTGTAACTGAAGCTTGAAGCCTACCGTAACATCACCGGACTCACTCTCAGTGACCAACTGACCTCCTTCCGTTTCGGTCGCAATCTCCTCATAGGTTCCCAGCCCGACGTACATTGTGAAATACGTGTCTTCTTTGGCCAAACCCTCCTCGGTGTCCATCGCGACACGCTCGAGGAACGTGGCATTGTAATTGCTGCCGGCGCCCAGAATTTCTTCTCAATCTCAACGGGGCACTCTAATGGCTCCCATTGGGATATTTGACGCGCAATGTGCGAGATGGCAGAAGGTACTTGGATTCCTCAAGTTCCTGGTCAAACACGGAGGCGAATGAACACGAAGCAATGTTGACGGTGTAAATGTTTTGTTTTTAGTTGTGCGAACAATAAAGTTGTGCGATTTTCTCTGTAAGACAACCGGCAGTTTGACAAGAATCCACATTTCTAAAATATCTGAAAATAGTCCGAAAACGTGCTGTGTTTTCCAGTTTTCTACGGGCGCAATTACAGACGGAGAGTCACAAGTTTTGAGGACTCTGTCTTGTGACGGAGAAAACTTCCATACTGTTTGTAGAATCAAAGAAGCGGAGTATCCGTGCAGCTCCCTTTTAAAAGTGGTATATAGGCCCACAAACTGTTTCAATCGATACCAATGGCCGCCAACAGATGGTGCACGCAGAGAAAGAGAGGACATTGACGTTGGGTATAAATAACGGCCGCCGCGGGGTGTCTGGTCATTCATTCGCTTGTGTCTCCACCCGGAGACACCACCATTCCCCCCTATTTTTTTTCGTTTCTTCTTTTCAACGTCTCCATCGGATTCCACTCGGAAACCCCCCAATCCCCCTATTTTCTCTATTTTTTTTCCACTTATTCTACTCAATACTGAAATTTTTGAAAAAGGTAATAAGAGAGAAAAGTTCATTATGATGATTTGTATCGATTGATTTTCAGAGACTTCAAACAAAAAGTACTGAAGCAGATGCGTCCGAATTGTTACGGCGTAAAGTGAGCAGACGAACCGGGCCGAAAAATCAGAAGGCTCAGACATTCAACTGGATCAAGTTCATCAAACATGATCGTTGCGGCCATCGCAGAGCATTGAGAATACTTTCGCAAGGATGAGACAGAGCCAGAAAATGAAAGTGGAAGAAGGTGGGAGGATGATGTACAAACACCACGATACGAGCTTCTCAAGAGGATTGCATCAATTCTACAAAACACTAATGAAATCGAATCTATACGAAACAGTGATTGTCGGATTGTCGTACGATGAAGCGTATGATGTCAGCGATAGTTGGGATTCGGTTCTTCTGGAGTCAGGTATTCATGGCTGCTACCTGGGCAGTGTTAGAGAAACAGATATTCGGGAAATTGGAGTCTTTGGCGCGAGTAACGGAAGCACATCAGGATAAAGACAAGATCAAAGTGACTCGGATTGGACCATCATGGTATTCCGTACCAACGATTCAAGTTTTATCCCAAATGAATATGCCATCGATATTTTCTGTCATGGTGATAACCTGGCATATCGTTCCGCCTATGTTGTATGCATCAAGTGCCTGTTTGGTAAATGCGATCGTATTCTACGCGATATGGAGATATCTGGATTCAGCATTTTTTGAGATTGCTTGCCAGAGATCGCAAGAAGGAGCCCTTGTAACACCCGGAGGGCAGACATGCCGATATTCGAGAATGGATGAATACCAAACTGGAAGGAGGACGATCCCATGGTTAGCATTCATATCGGCAGGTTTAAATGATGGAAACATTCGTGGAAGTTCAAGCGGAAGCAATCGTGTCAACATGTATACAGAAGTCACATCACTTCACTCGGGATTTCGACATCACTCATGAGTATTCTCATCGATGCGCGCTCGTCAACGATGCTACTGGTATCGTCAAGAGGATAGTGATGAACAAAGTGAAACGGCGTCCAAGTTGGATTTACATCAAGTAAGACATAGGCTTCTGACTGCATCATCAATCGTTCACAAACATTTTCAGGCGGGACGGAAATCTGTGAGCAGCAAACGTTCTACATGCGCGGTGACGATATCGTGTCGAGAAAACAATTTCAGCTGGTTCTCGCTGGTGAGATCGCGATGTTCGTTCGGCGATTCCGCGTCTCAAACACTCTGCCAATTGTGTCGATACACAAGATTGCGCAATGGAGAGCTTCATCATTGCGGCCGTTCATATGATCGTGTGGTACCGAAGCCCAAAATCGGATTGGATAGTATCGGAAGATGGCGGACACAGCACGTTGCAAAATACGAAGATCAAGATGAAAGGACTGAACTTATTCGGGTTACTTTTGTTAAAACTTCTCCCAGCAATAAATTATTTATAAAACACGTTTTTTAGCATTCGCGGGCGTTGGGAACGATTTTTAGACCCACTTCCTGGGGGATTACAGTATTCTAGCCGGCTTTCTTTGATTTCCACACATTTTCGTCTCTTCCATCACCCATTGGAGTACAATAGACAATTGTGAAACTTTGAAAGAACGTGGCCTGAGCCTCTGACGTTTGTCGAATCACTTCAATTATTGTTCGGTTCCCCGGCTCCAGAATGCTCCATCGTTATCTCCTACTTCTTCTCCTTCTTGGACCCGTCATAGACACTCTCAAGATCCGGAATGCGGTGAAAAAAGTGGGGAAACGATTTGGACTCGAGAACACTATCATTGAAACTTTTGAAGGTATCAGACTATCATTTCTTCAGCTAAAGTTTTGTTTAAATCTTCAGAAATTGCACTAAAAGAGCCATTCTACAATGCTTCCGACGAGGAGGTGGCTGAAATCAAGAAGGACCACGCGATGACCGTGAGCCAGTGGCTCCGAGGGCAGGCGTCGAGCGAGAATCCAGCGTCGCAGGCGTTTGGAGCCCTACTTATGTCGGTTCTGGATAAAGACATGAGTGCGGATGTCTGTGGAGCCACTCCGTTCACTTTTTGTTTGTACACAGTCCTAAAAGGGACCGACAATATTTGATGGTACTTTCAGACCAATTCGTCGACTTTCTCAAGTTGAGCCGTCCGAAGTGGAAGAAGAATCTGGAGAAGGACGATGCCGAGGTCAAAATTATGCCGGATAAAGACCGCGAGAAGCTCCGATTCGTGACCTCGTTCGTCCAAGAGTCCAAGTACGGATACACGTCGCGACAAATCTACGAGATCAACATGACGCTCAGTTTTCCGGACAAGAGGGGCAAAATATTGTACACAATATCGTCGATGTCTGTGAAAGGCGGATGCACCGAGCACGGCACCGTCGAAAAGGACAATATTCCGTCGTGGAGCATCGACACCGACGTCTGGACGACGTCGGATGTCTACAAGTTTCTGCTGCTCTTCACTCCGATCCCTTTCCGAGGTCAGCATCAGGACCCGCACAAAATCCCGAGTTTCTGGCTGAAAGGACTGGAAATCGACGAGCACTTGAGCGTGACGGTGTGCAATCCGAAGACGGGCAATACGAGAAGGTACACGCGCGACGAGTTTCTCCGGTGGTACGAGTTGTTCGGCAAGTTGTGGCATGCCAAGGATGACAAGGTAATCCGGCGGCGGGGAATGTCTGTCCTTAGACCATCTACTAGTTTTCAGAGGGAATTCGCAGATATCCAGAGGGTCCATCGAACTGAAGTCGATGTGATCGCTCGTGTCACCTATCGATTGGTGCCCGGGTTGGATTGGGATGGAAAGGCGAAGGAAGTGGACTGGAATATGCTGATAACGGGAAAATATGTGAGTCGTGTCGTTGTCTCGTTCTTCTTCTTACAATATCCGTTTTTCGCTAGGACATGCACGGCAACAGAGGTTGGTATCCGATCAAAGTGGATGTGTCGTGTCCCCCTGGCATAAACCTGCTCGAGGTGAACTACGAAGCCTACCGTAACATCACCGGACTCACTCTCGTTTCCATGATCCCATTCACGAAGAGGGTCTACCAAAATATTGGATTCCTCGACTATCTGATCAAAAACGGTTCCCAGGTGGAATTGTTGAATTGCGAAGGAGAACGGATGGACACAATCAAAGATCTGGAGAAGAATTTCTGGGATCCGATGAGCAATTATAGTTCGACGAGTCTTGAGAGCGTTTCGATGGATACCGAAGAGGGACTCGCGCGAGAAGACACGTATTTCACGATGTACGTCGGAATGCGCGCCTATGACCGCATTCCGCAGCGATTCGATGGAAGTGGCGATCGGACGAGCATCTTTGAGACCACGTGGCACTTTTACATTTACTGGGACGAGGTGGACATGTTCTACTACATTAAGAGGATCGAGTTTGGGTGTTTGGATGTGCAGAGAGTGACACGACAATTCGGATGGCCGCTTCGGGGGTACATTCGATTTTGAGTTTTACAACCGAATAAAACGTTTAAACTCTTGCTCGTCAAATCGAATCCCTAGTCCGCAATCACCGAGCGATGCACAGATTTGGAGCTACAGTAACCCGGGAAACGTGTAGCTTGCCCCACTAACCTCCAACGAAAGTGACAGTTTCCAACAAAAATGCAAAAGTTGTTTGCACCCGGCTCCAGAATGTTCGTTCGTTCCCTCCTTCCACTTCTTCTCCTCCTCGGACACCTCGCCGACGCCCGCGCACTCGGAAATGCGCTGAAAAGAGTGGGAAAACGATTTGGACTGGAGGCGAAGTACGTCTCGAAACTCAGCGGTAAGCCCCCAAACAACACCACAAAAAACCCCTTCTAACTTTTTTTTTTTTCGAGAATACGACCAACTGCGGGAGAACTATCAGAACGCGACGGATGAGCAGGTGGCCGAGATCAAGAAGGATCACGCGATTCGGATGAGCATTTGGCTGCGGGGACAGGCGTCGGACAAGAATCCCGACTGGCGGGTGTTCGAGGAGCAGTTGCTCGCCGTGCTGGACAAGGATCTGAGCGCCGACATTTGTGGATCCACGGCCTATGGTTATGGTGAGAAGGCCGCCAACATTAAAACGTCAACGACGACCGCCTCGTTTGCAGTCCAATTCGTGTCCTACCTCAAAAACAACCGTCGAAATTGGGAGGCGAGCCCGGAAAAGGACGAATCGTCGTACGAGGTGAAGCCGTCCGGCAAGAACGTCATTTCGATGACGAGCTCGTTCAAACAACGCTCCAAATACGGTTACTTTTCCACACAAGTCTATCAGATTCGATGGAAGTTGACTGTGAGTTGATGTTGGTTTATATGGTGCATCGGCGGGGCTCATAGGATTTAATATGCATCAAATCTAGATGTTTCCAGTTCCCGGAGGACCTGCCGCACGTCTACTACACGGTTTCCTCGATATCCGTGATGGGCGGATGTACGGAACACGGAGAAGTGGACCCGGCGCTCACGAACATGAAAGACGTGCAAACGGAGGTGTGGAACAACACGAACGCCCAAAAGTTCTTCCTCCTCTTCACGCCCGGTCCCTATCAAGGCACCGAGCAGAAAGCCGACCGGATCCCCCAGTTTTGGCTGAAACGGCTCGACAAAAGTGGGCGTCTGAAAGCGAGCGTATGCCGGGCGAATGGGACCGGAGCGGGCGAGTACACGGAAGGTTAGACGGAGGGAAAATTGACATTTTTGAATGGCCTGTTTTACAGACGAATTCTTTCGATGGTACCGCCGATTCACACTGCTATGGCACCCGAAACCCGCCAAGGACGGAAACTTTGTAACCTTTTTGTTGTTGTTGTGGTTTCCTTCTCAATTATTCTTGTTTCTGTTCAGACGACAGACTACGTGAAAATCCAGACGCTCGAGCACACGCCTGCGAGAATAATCGCGCGGGTGACGATGCAATTGCAGCCGGGAGTCGACGAGAAGGCCGACGAGACCGAGTGGGATTTCAAAGTGGTCGGCGATTATGTGAGTCCTAGAAAGTGTTTGTGAAATCTTGACATCTAGTACTGCGCTTTTGTAGTTGGCGACTTTTTTCTAGGACCAATCCCTGGGGTACTGTAGTCCTGGGAAGTTGGCGCTCTTCCGAGAAGGCTCGAACTAATCCCAACTTCCAAGAGCTACAGTACTCCAGGGAATGGTCCTAGAAAAATGTTGTCAACTACAAAATCGTAGTACTAGATGTCAAGATTATGCTCAAAAACGTTTAAAGTTCCAGAATGTGTCCTAACGCTACAATACCACTTTTTCCAGAACGTTCACGGCGACGAACTGTGGCACATCTCGGAGGTGGATGTGATGTGTCCGCCGGCGTTAACCGGCACTCTCCAGCAACACAACTACGAATCGTGTCGCGATATTGTGGCTGTCGGCTTCGCGTCGATGGTTTCAAATGAAATGCAATGGTCCACCGGGCTAGAGATCCTCAAACACTTTATAAACACCGCGACGATTGAGGTGGAGAGTTGTGGCGCCAAAATGGACAATTTGAGTGCGTTTTTAAAGGTATTTTGTTGGAAAGAACAACATTTTTTAGACGATCTGGAAAAGTATTTATGGCAGCAGGACGGTCCTTACAGTCATAAAATTATTGTAGGTCAACCTAGTGTACCCATTTTTTCAATGTTTCGCAATGACAGGGCTACACAATAGCGAGAGAAGGCGGTTTGACGGCCGACGACGACACGCACTTCTCGATGTTTGTGGGAATGCGCGGATGGAAGGACACTCCGAAGCTGGCCGCCCATTTTGAGGGCGAATGGAAACTGTTTGTGCATTGGGTACGTTTGGATTGTGGCGCCCATCTTGCAAATTTGTCTCTTCAGGACGAAAAAGATCAATTTTATTATATTCGAAAACTCGATTTCGCGTGTCCCATCGATTTGGTCAGACTTCACGAGTACGCGCCGATTACGAGAAATCAACTGGTTATGAACAGATTTGGCGTTTGACTTTCAACTCGGAGATTATCGATTGATGCTTCGAATAATAAACTCATTTATTATTAGCGCTGACTATTCACTCAAATTATTAGGCACACGATATGGCAAGGAAAGTGAAGAGGATACAAAGTTTTGCAAAAAAAAACAGTTTACAAATTAAAATGCTCTTTCGTTGGCAAAAAAGAGCATGGAATTGGCGAGATAAAAGATGATGCGAGAGACCGAATGAATGAGTTTGGTGTGCGTTTGGAACGAATTGTAGATGAGCAGGAACGCGCTGAGCCACGAGAGAATCGCTCCGAACAGGCGGAGCAGAGAGGCCTGTAACTTTGGGCGGCTACGGTAGATCAATGAAGTTTGGAGATTTTTGAAAATTTAAGTGCTGAATCGATAGTGTGCTCTACAACTTTGTAGTTGATAACAGCGCTCCACTATAATCCGAATATCGGAGCGCAGAGACGTAATTGCGAGAAACGTTCAACTACAAAGTTGTAGAGCACAAAATTGTCTATTGATTAGTCATCTAGCTTTTTGAAAAATATCAAAAACCGACCTGTCTCGCATCGAAATCGCCGTGTTGTCCGTTCTGGCAGACACTCGCAGACGTGGCCAGAATGCAGACATGAGAGGCCAGGAGGATGGTCAGAATTGTGGCCAAGAATGGGATTGCGACAAGAAGATCCTGGAGGAGATGGAGGAAATGGCCGAAAGAGAGGAAAACGGACAGAAGGAGGATGGGCGAGGAGACGGTGCCGACGAGGTCTCTGCAAGTACACAAATAGTTGAGTTGCAGAGAAGGAAAGAGGCAAAAAAGTTTATGCGCATGTTTATAGTGTCATGGATCTCCTCTTACCTATACGACAAATAGTAGAAAACATTGGAAATTGTGTAAAAGACGGCGGAGGTGGGCGCGGTCCGATTCACAGATTGGAAATACGTGGCAACGGCGGACATGAGGAACGAGAGGGCGGTTGCGATGCGGGTTCTGGAATGGTTGCAAAGTGTCCGGTTGCGCGATAAGCTCACTTTGGATTCATGGTGGTGGCGAGTGTGAGAATGGTGAGGACGACGAGTGGAAGAGAGAGGAGCACGTGGTGGTTTTTTTCGAACGACGAAGTTTCAATGTAGGCCAGAAGGGTCGAACCGCCGTAAATGGCCAGGCATTGCGCCGGTGATAACATCTGCAAGTTTTTGAGCATTTTTCAAGTTTTCGCTCAAAGATATACGAATAAGGAAAACCCTGTGCAAACGACCAAAACGAGCGCACGAAAATCGATAAAAGAGCAAAGTGTTTATTGTTAATAAAATTGCAGGTAAAGCTCGATACAAATACTCAAAAATGCTACAGAGAATTAGCGGAAAAGAAATCAGGGGAGGGGGCGGAGAAACTGTACAAAAATATGTCAAGAGAAGGAGAAAAAGTTCGGTCAGTTCACTTTGACCGACGACGATTTTTCGCTTTTCACTTTTTGCACTTTCACGGCCGCCAGCGAGTTTCCGTACAAAATGAGGTATTGGGCCGAGTAGTAGGTGGAGAGTACGATTAGCGACGGGGCGAGTTTCCAGACGCCCGTGTGCGACATTATCAGCACCGAATCGGAGATGTAGAACAGCGTGAAGCCGATCGCCCGGTACAGAAGGCCCTGTAAACGGGTTTTTTGCGTCTGCGCATTGAACCAGCTCTTTTAAACTTAAAAATCGATAACGTACCTCCTCATTTTGGGTGCTGGATCCGTTGAGGTACTGTGAGACGGCGATGAAGGTGCACGTGGAGAGAAGGAGCGAGTAGAGGGCGAACACGGCGACGGGGCCCTTGTGCTCGGGGAGCAGCGGCAGCAGGCACAGCTGCCCGATGACGACCGCCCACGCGAGCATCCCCAGCAGGAACTTGTTGTGGATTTTGGTCTCGTGGTGACGGAACAGGCTCTGCAAACTTTTTTCCCGTCTTTTTTCGCGTTTTACTGCGATTCTGCGCCATGACATCATATTTGACGACAATTTGCACAACTAACCAGGTAGCAGAGGTGTCCGAGGCCGAAAGCGAACGCGCCGAGGATGATTCCGTCCTGGTGCATTCCGATAACCCAATCGCCGACGCCTCCGAACACCAGACCGATGGCCGCCGTTTTCCGCTCCTCTTTTCCTAGGCCACCGCCATTCAGGTAGGCGAACGCCGCCAAAAGGATGATCGGCGTCACTTTCCTGCAAAAAATTGGGTTACTGTAGCTCCAATCGCGGAAACTGACCAGAAAGAGTAGGAGAGTGTGAAATGATCGTTGAAGCCGTTGGATTGATAGTAGAAGTTGGCGACCAACACGAAATACGCGAGGCCGATCGATGAGAATTGGGAACGCATCTGGAAATGATTCTTTTTTTCGGAGAACATGTTTCGTTCGAATAAAAACCGATTTCCAACGTGATTTGTCCAACAAAGCAATAATTTATTCAATTTCGTTGAAAGGGAGAAAACTTTGCAAAAAACTAAAGTCTAGGCAGCGAATTTCGATAGAAATGATAAGAAACTTCATTTTCGGACAGAATAATGTGGTTTTAAAATATCGGGACACTTAAAAATGGCATTTGGTTTTTTGAAGTGAACAGGTTCCGAAAGTACTGGTTTTCAGTGACCTTTTGGTCCAAAATGGGTGGAAAATGGACAAGTGGGTCTCAAGTGGAAAATGGAAGTTTTTAGTAGGTTACGGTTGGAAGCCAGAACTTTTCTAATCCATAAAAATCCACAAAAAAGCGGAAATTTTCAATTTGTCCGTATGTGCCCGTTCTGTCCCTTTTATGAGCACGTTTCCTTTTCTTATCACTGAAAATTGATGAAGAAATGGTGTTTGGCATTGAAATGCGCTTCTTCGCTTTCGAATATTGTCTAGCCGAACAAAAGTGGCCACAAACCACAAATCAATGCTTTTTCTGCAAAAAACACCCAGAATTTTGTATCAAGAACTAATAAAGTGTGACCCAGAACCTAAACAAACAATGCATAAGCCGGTCGGGTCGGGTGGGTGCCTAAAAAAAGTTTTTTTTTTCGGTTATTGAAGTGCTAAACCAGTTGTGTGTGGTCTACAAGAGGATTTGAAGAGGGGCGCCAAGGAGAAGCCGACTTTTTTCGAGCGTCGGCATTGTTCCTTAACTTTTTCTCTCAAAAACTATTAACACCCCTTATGACCTCACAAAAACAACTACGTCAATCATGAAAAAGCGGAAATGAGCTCGCGGAGCCCACACACGTGACACCGAGGGAACACGTGTGTTTGTTTGAACTATTCGCACTCAAACCCATGCGTTTCCTCTATTTTCCGATTTTTTCCGGCAAAACGGCGAATTTTGGGTTACTGTAGCTCCAAAGCTGTGCGCTTCCGGTGTTTGTGGACTTTACACCGGATTTTATGGGAAATCGGGGTTTTGGGAGGTTTTCGGGTTTGCAGAGAGTTTTTGTAGCTCTAAAAGTGTGCGAACATCGCATTTCACGGAGAAACAGGGGTTTAGGCTGGAAAATGCGAAAAGTGGGCGAGAAATGCATTTTTCAAGTGTAAAAATGGTGTTTTATTTACAGCGCTCAGCCGCCTCCTAATTTGACGGGAAAAAACAAGTTATCCGCGTCGATTCGGCCCATTTTCGTGTAATAATCTAATTTCTCGAGTTAATAGGCAAATACGTGTTTTCTTGCCAACAAACGTTCTTTAAAAATACTTTTCCAAGTAATTTAGAATAAATACTCGTGGAAGACAGCAGAAAATCGCCGAAAGACTTAGCAAAAAAGGCGGAAATTTTTCGGAGGCGTCAGAGTCGGTCGAGCACAAAAAAGTGCGAGGGAAAAGAGAAAAAGACGGAAAATGGAGTGTTCGCGCTCGTTGAGACGACGAGAGAATTCTGACGGCTTTTTTCTCTTTTTTTCATCCGGATATCGACGATTTCGTTTTTTTTATGCTCAAAACTGCCCATTTTTCGATGTATTTACACTTTAAAAATAGTGCTGCGCCTTTAAATGTTTTACAGTAACCTACCGTACTTTAAAGGCGCATAACCACACAATTTTCACGATTTCAATTAATTTTTAGCGATAAAACCAGATTTTGAGCTCAATTTCTTGCAAAGCGTTAAAAAAAACTGAAAACTACGTATTGTAGCCTAAAAATTTGCGTCCAAAAACGCGAAAATAACCCGTTTTACCTCATTTTTCTAACCGATAAAACGGTTCCGCCTCTCGTCGTTATCAGCTGATTTCCAATCAAAAATCAGCCACATTGTGTAGCTGAAATTCACAATTTACACACATAAAATGGCACAAAAAGATGAGAACAGGAGTGGAATACCTGAAAATCGGAGGGAAATTCGCCAAAGAATGCCTAAATTTTTATCGTTCGAGAAATGGCGAAAAATGGGATTTTAGGGGAAAATACAAGTTTTCGAGGGAGAGGCCGTTCCTACACAATATACACTACAAAAACGGGCGGGACAATAGAGGTTTTGCGGGAAAAATTGAAAAAAATCCAGATTTTCGTCGATATGAGTAGCCGTCTAGTTGCCTTTGAGCACTTGTTGTCTAAAATCGCCAACGCATTTTTCGAACGCCTGAAAGTTACGAGAATTGCGTAAAAATGAAGATTTTTATGGCATTTTCCGTTAAAGAACAATTTTTTAAAAAGCCGCCATTTTCAGACACAAACGAACCTCGGTAAGCGGGGCGCACTTCAAAATCCGTCCCGGATTGTCTTGGAGGCATCTGACGATCTCCTGAACGAAAAATTTACACAGAACTTTTAAAAAATGCAAATTGTCTGTACAGTTTCATTATCCTGGCACACATTTTCGCGGTGATAGGCGAAGAATTGTTTCTGGACGCGTTCGACGGTCTCGTCGAAAATCTTCTTTCGCTCCTCCAAATCATTTCCAGAAACTGGCGCCGGCGCCACAATTCCGGCCGTCTGAACATGAAAAATTCAGGTTTGGGTCAAGAACGCAACTTTTCCATTTCCAGACCTTTCTCTGCTGCAATTGGCTCAATTTGGCCATGTCCTCACGCAATCTGGCCTTCTCCTCACGCTCACGAGCTAATTCTTGTCTGGAATACAAAAAACTACAGATTTTCCGGAAAGATCTAGTAGAAACCTGAGTCGCTCGCTCTCGCCATCATTTCCGGCGACTCTCGTGGCGTTTACGCGCTTTACAACGTCGGAGGACACGCCGACAGTTCTGAAAATGCAATTCTCCCGTAAAATTGGCATTTTTCAATAAAACCAACTTGTATTCTTCGGGAACTTCGTTGCGATCGATGCGCACGACTTCGGGACGTGCTTCTTGTTCGGCACTTTGTTGGGCTCCCATCTGAAAATTCAAAATTTGCTGAAAATTGAAAAAAAGGCAAAAAATCTGGTTTCAAACGGATTTTTCAGAATGTTTGACGTTACTCTAGCGAAAAACAGATAGTTTTAATTTCAAAAATTACACAGTTTGCAGCAAGAAAAGATAAAAATCTGATCACCTCAAAAACCTGATAATCCGGGGATTTTCAGCAGAAATGGTGCAAAACGATAAAAATCGCGTAAAAATAATCGCTGGCGCATTTGCGTGTGGTTGGCGCGTCAGCAGTGTACGCTGGCGCATTTTCAGTGGCAGCCGGCGACTTTTGGAGTGTCACAATGTCGCCCGGTTTAGCAGAAGAGAATTCGTTGAAAATCAGAAGAGAACAAAAGCAAAATAGCTTAAAACACAAGAAGAAGTAAAAGTGTCTATTACCAGCGAGAAGCCTTGAGAAAACAATAGAAGCGTGCTGAAAGGAGCAGGAGCGCGTAGAAGGCAGGGAGAGAACGGATCGCACGGGGAATCCTCACTGGAAGATCAGCATCTGCAATCGAGCGGAGCCACTTGTGTCAGATTCGCCGCCGTCCTCTCCCTGCCTTCTACGCGCTCCCGCCCCTTCCAGTAGGCTTCTATTGCCTTCTCCATGCTTCTCTGAACCGTCGCCTATCAGAATTCCATTACGACAGCTTCGGATGCTAGGAGAGCAGCCACTGGAAGCGAGCAGAGCCACTTGCGTGCGATCCGCCCGCGTCGCTGTCCTCTCCCTGCCTTATACGTGCTCCTGCTGCTTGCCACACGCTTCTATTGTTTTCTCAAAGCTTCTCGTTGGTAAAATAGACACGTTTACATCTTCTTGTGTTTTTAAGCTTTTTTTTACTTTTGTTCTCTTCTTATCTTCAACGAATTCTCTTCTGCTAAACCGGGCGACATTACGACACTCCAAAGGTCGGCGACTAGTCGCTGGCGGCCAGTGAGTTCTGAAAAATTGGTTTTTGCTCTTCAAATCCGTCATTTCCGGGCCGTAAACGCACCGAATAACTAACTTTTCATCGATAAAATCCACCAATAGCCCTGTAATCTTGTAAAACTATCGAAAACCCACTCAAATCCGAGATTTTTATCGAAAAAACTAGACTCTATTTTCGGCGGCGAAAAATGATGACAAAACTTGCAGGCAATTCGCCAGTTTTCATAAATCTCCGTTCTTGATGGTTTCCTGCTGCCTTTCTGAATTTCCTTGTTTTCAGAAATGACCGAGAAGAACGACCGTATTCTGCTGCTTCATGCTCCGAAATTGCCGCTGGAAGAGCAAAAAGTCGCTGAGCTCACCGCCGACCTCCACGATTGGGCTCATGTAAGATATTCAGCTTAAAAATGTATAAACTTCTTTTGAAAATTTAGGCTAACGGGCTCGTAATGCGACTCGCAGCGGACAAATTGAGCAGCGAAGTGTGCCAAACGACGCCGTTGACCCTTCTTCCGTCGCCGTTCCCGAAAAATGTGTTCGAAGAGGCCGTGCGCATTCAAAATGTACATTTTCACAAGTTTACACGTTTTCACTGCAAAAACTAAGCATATTCTCTGAATTTCCACAAGTTTCTTGCAAACATCTCTCATTCGAATGCGCATTCCCACATTTTTTCGGAAGAAAAGCAATTTTCAGCCAAAAAAACTCAAAAATTTCATATTTGCAGCTGTACGCGTCTCTTTACCACACAATTGCGTACGAGTACGACTTTCTCATCAAAATCCATGAGAATGTGGTGAAAACCGACGATTTTACCCGGAATATGGTCGAAATTCTGAAAAAGGTCAAGGAACAAGGTAGGCACTTGCGAAAGATGATTTATTTATGATTTCAAACACTGAGAATCCAACGTTGCATAAAAAACGTTTCTAACACAATTTCCACCGAAAAATCGAGACATTTCGATAAAAAAAACAGAATTTCTCAAATAGTCCGCAAAGTTGTCGTAAGTTCACGCGCATTGGTGTTTGCGTTCAATGGGCCGGACGCTACGACAAACTTTGAAAATCATGTGTAAAACATTGGATAAAATGGCAATCTTCAAGCCGTTTTTTGGCTGAAAACAAGTAAAAGTAACAACAAACGAGACAAAAAATCAGATTATCTCAATTTTCAGGCCTAAAACAGCCGATAACGCTGGCGATCCAACGCTCGGATTACATGTGCCACAAAGACAATTTCTCGAAGGAATACGAGCTGAAACAGATTGAAATCAACAATATCGCTTCTTCGATGGGCGCCCACGCGCAACGCCTGACCGATTGGCACCGCAGAGTGCTCAGGGCCCTCGAAATCCCCGAAAATGTCATCGAAAAGGCGATTCCCGAGAATAAGCCCATTCCGATGATCGCCGAGGCGCTTTTCAAGGCTTGGTACGCAATTTTTATCCGAAAATGATAATTTTTATGAAAATTTTCATTTTTCAGGTCGCACTTCTCGAATCCGACGGCTCTGGTCCTCGTGGTCGTCGAGAATGTGAATCAAAATCAAATCGATCAGCGCCACGTGGAATACGAGCTGGAGAAACTCGGAGTGCCGCTCACCTCGATCGTCCGCCGAAATCTGACCCAGTGTCACACGCAGTACGCATTTTTCGCACTTTTTCGAGGAAAAATGAAAATCTTGCACTTTTTCTTCAAAAGTACACCGAAACTTGTTATTTTGTGCCAAATTCTGTGATAAACCGTGTTTTCCTTGCAGACTATCGCTGAACGAGTCGAACGATCTGATTTTGGAGGGACGTCAAGTGGCTATTGTGTATTTCCGTGCCGGATACTCACCCGATCATTATCCCTCCGAGAAAGGTTCGTTTTTTTACTCCTTTCCACAGGAGATTCATATTTTGGAGCCAAATCGTATATTTTGTTAATGTTTAGGGTTTTGCGCACATTCTGAGCCAAAAACGCGCAAAACACGTTCTGATTTAACTTTTCAAGGCTCTATTCAAATTTTATAATGAAAATCAACGTTTTGATTTAGTAGTAAGTACCCATTTTTGCAGAATGGGAAGCCCGCGAGCGAATGGAGCTCTCGACGGCGATTAAGACGCCGTGGATCGGACTGCAAGTGGCCAACACCAAAAAGACGCAACAAGTAGGCTTCATTTAGCACTTTCCCATCAAAAATGACATTTCAGACCGAATTTTGATAAATTTACCAAACATGTTGTTATTTCCAGGTGCTTTCCGAAGACGGAGTACTTGAGAGATTTGTGGGAAAGCCACGTGAGGCACGCGATATTCGGGCATCTTTTGCCGGAATGTGGGCTCTTGAGAATAAGGACGAGGTCTCGCAGAAGGTTATTCAGGTTAGACTTTCTTTATTTGAGAACAATTCCAGTTTCTTCGAAATTTTCAGGGCGCGCAAAAGCATCCGGAGGCATTTGTGCTGAAACCGCAAACGGAAGGAGGCGCCGCCCTTCACACGGGCGACGAAATGGTCAGAATGCTCAGAGAGCTGCCGGAAGAGCAGCGCGGAGCCTACATTCTCATGGAGAAGCTCAGGCCCATGATTATTGAGGTCGGGCGATTTGTTTTGCAATTTTTAACGATTATCGACTTTTTCAGAACTATTTGATTCTGGCGAAGAAGCCGGTGACATTTGCGAAATCGGTCAGCGAATTGGGCGTCTACGGCTACGCGTTCGGCGCTCAGGGAGCTCCGGAGCTCAAAACGGCCGGACATTTGTTGCGGACGAAGCCGGAATCGACGGAAATGGGCGGAGTCGCAGCCGGAAACGCAGTCGTCGATACTCCCTTCCTCTACGAATTTATTTGAATTCTTCTCCATTGATTCTGCAATTTTTATGTAAATTTTCCACAAAAAGCGTCTGAAAGTCTGAATTTTCTCAATTTTTAGGTGATTTTTTGTTAGATTGATACTGATAACTGTGATATAATAATGATAATGAGCCATATATTTATTGTTCTTGTTCGGACGGGGCTGGGCAATTGACCCCCAGGATTTCGGTCTGGAATTTCGGAATAAAGATATTTATTCAAGTAAAGAAGCGCATAAAATGCAAGAATGAAAAGCGCAGAGTACAGAGAAAATAAAGCAGAAATATTGCAAGCTTTTAATTGTGAGTATGGTAAATTCCAGTGGGAGCAGCGAAAAATCGATATTTTGTTCTGAAAGGACCCATTCAAAGGTACAGAGATGCAGGGAGAATGGAATGCAATCATTATTATTAAGGGAATAGCTGATGTCAGTGTGAGAAGCGATAATTTTCGCATGAAAACCGAAAAGTCGATACTTTCCCATTGAAAGGGACAGAGATGCGGAAAAAGGAAACATTTTGGAGTTTGTCTTACAGTGATTCAGGAGAGAAGGCATGCAATTATTATTATTATGTTTTTGCGGAGAAAGGCTCAATTTCTACCGAGTCGATTATATTCCTCGTGAGGAGGGAGAAAGGGATAATGTGCGAACAACGGAAAATCGAGTGGTGCGAGATTCCTCCGCGTGTTTTCTCCCCGCTGAAATTCTTGCATTTCCATAAATATTCTCATGCTCGGTGATTCATCCGCGTTGTTGCCGACGTTGTTGCCGACGTTGTTGCCGACGCTGCCGATGAACGAGATCGATTTCTTGAGCAGCGCCCGGAGAGTCTTCTCGCCAAACTCTTCGGCGTCGCGGCAAATCTCGACGCAGTCGGCCGGCGTGTCGATCGATTTGAGGCACGAATGCTGCAGATCGGCCAGGTTGAACTGCTCCGCGAGCACCAGTTTGCGGGTCATCGGCACGAGTTTCTCTTGTGAGAGGTACGTCTCGCACTGCTTCAGCACCATCTCCACGTTGTAGTAGTTGGCCAGCTCGAGCACTTCGACCACGTTCATGACTGAAAAAAAGGAGTTGGTTTGGGGAAAACATGTTCGATCTCTGAAGTACCGGGGGAAACCCTGAGAGTCTAGAATACCAACTCTCAAATATTGCTATGAATGCAAGACGTCGATGCATTCGCGCTACGTCGAAAGAAAGATACGCATGGTACAACCAGACTTACTTGTGAGATGTGCCTCCGACGAATGGATCAAAGAGAGAAAGGTCTGGAAAGACTCGGCGGTCGTTGGAATCACATTGACTTTCGCGGCTTTCGCTTCTTTGAAATCGCCGAGGAGCAAGGCACGGAAGACCGGAGAGTGATAGCTCAGGATCTGAAAATACATCAATCCCTGGAAAGTTTGTATGAATCTCCGACGTACCGCTCTGGAGACGTGGAATTCCTTTCTGCCGGCGACGAGGATCACATCGCTGAGTCGGTCGTCGACTCGATCGAAGTCGTGCTTCCGTTTCTGTCGGATGCCGACCATCTTGAGAAGTGTGACGTGGAGCTCTAACCGCATCAACTCGTCGCACACGAACTTCTCGGCGAGCTCTCCGCGAGTGGGCAGTCCCGTCCCGAATCGGATCGTTGAATTCGACGCGTGGAACACTCCGGTGGCCACCTGCTCGAAATTCACCGGATTCAGCGGACTCACTGCGATGATTTTGAGCAGCACTTTCGCTTCGATCGACCACAAATTCGACGTCGATTCTTTCGCGCACTTAAGAGAAATGCTGGGTCTTTCGTTCGCATTGTTATGCAACAGCATGGACCTGAAAATATGAATTGAATATGCATTCGAAAACTGTCCCTATTTTACCATTTCTCGCCAAAGTGTGTAAAAGGCATCGAGGTTTGATAGGCCTCATTGAATTTGAAACGATGTTTGATGGTGAATTGACACACCGGCTCCGACATTCTGGAAACAAAATGTTTTCCATTTCTAACCAGCTTTTACCGCAAAAACAGGCGGAAAATCGGAAAGTTACGATAAATCGAGTGCCGCTCGAAAAATCGATAAACCGAGTGCCGCTCGAAAAATCGATAAATTTGTGCGGGCCTTCCTTTTTTGTGCTCTCCGACTGAGTGCATGATCGAAATTTCAATTTTTATGGAAAAAAAATCGAAAAAAGCTTTCGACACACTTTTTTGGATAAGCTTTAAAAATATTTAACGATAAGACACACTGGCAGCGTAAAAATCTGGATAGGGATTCGAAAATACAGGGACGGACTAGTTCTTTCATTCTCGAAAACTAGTACACCGGAAACGGCCAAGGCCGTCAAGTATGCACAAATATGATTTTAGTGCAAATGCGCTCTAATGTCATTTCATATTTTTAACGTACGTTAAAAAACAATTGTTAACCAAACATTTAAGGAAAAAGAAACGATAACGGCAGAAAACGAGAAAAACAAGAACAATAATATCAATGTTGAATTTTTTTCATCGGTATCTCTTAATTTCGGCCTCCCACTGCTTTTTGACAGCTTCGTAGAGCCGCAGAGCCACGCGAGCGTCTGTGATCTGCAAAAATGGATATAAATATTATTATGAATTCACAAGAATGTGCAAACCGAGTCATGTTCTCCTTTTTGAATTTCGATTCCCAGCACTTCTTTCGCCAGTTTTTTGAGCGACGGACTCTGGAAATTGGTGGGATTTTTTTGCGAATTGAATATTAAACTTGATGTCTGACTGCTCTTTCGCGATCTCGGCCTTATCACTGACTTCAAGCTCTCTTTTCGTGATCACATAATAAATGCTCAGCTATTGCCCTGCTCCGCTCCAAGCAACTCTCGAAATGCTTCCGCTCTCGCTCCCCCCGCTCCTATCGGGAACTACGTCTATCCTCTACTCCATTACTCCTCTGAAGTTTTCTCTTCCTCTCCGTCGTCCGCCTTTGCTGAACTATACCGCTATACCGCTTTGTTACAAGAGTTCCCATTTCCTCCCGCCTTTGAGCTCTTTCCCTTACCCCATGCTGATGATTGGCCATATTTCGGAGGATCGAACATTTGGCGGTGTCCCGTGTCAACTTTCTCGTGTGATTCAGTTTGAGCACCTGGAAATAACGATTTTTCGGAATATTTTGCAAATTTATACGACACAAATCACTACAAACCCGAAAATCGTTGTGAACGGCATGTCCGACAATAATGCGTCCGTCGAGAATCTTCGAGATTTCGGTTTGGGCCCGATCGAACGGAATGGCGCGGTGCATGTTTTCCGGGCGGATTCCCGACACGGCCGTCCGGTAATCCGTCACTTTTTCCGACGGTTTCACAAATTTGTCGTACACAATTTTGCCGAGCTGGAAAATGGGAAATGTTGGGATTTCAAATCTGATGTTTTTCATTTTTTTAAAAACCTCATTAACGACGGAAATTCTCGCCAGAATGTCCGTGGATCCGTTCATGCCGGCGCCGACGTATTCGCAATCGATTGCCAGCACTTTTGTGAGTTCTCCTCTGAAATTTGAGCGTTCTCAATGAAAAAAATTCTATTATTCAAAGGATAACCTCTCATTGTCCTCAATCACGACCGGAATATCGTGGTGCACTTTTTTGGGCTCTGACGCCGTCGCGAGTGCCTCCTGGGCCCTTCGTTTGCGATTTTCGCGCTGTCTTTGCTTTTTCGACTGCACTTTTGTGAATCCTTCGTCTTTTCCTACTTTGTCCACCTTTTCGGCAGCTTTTTCTCGCTCCTTCTCCTCTTTTTCCTCTTTCAGCTTCATTTGAAGCACTTTCCAGGCCGGCGACAGATCTTTCGGGTCGATTTGCTTCGCGGCATGCTTTGATTCCATGATTTTTGCTGGAATTTATCGAAAGTGTGTAAAATAACAATATCAGATATTTATTTGACGGTAAAAACCAAAAAACCCGACGAAATACGAATAAATATGCCGGAAAATTGGCAAAAGAAAGTTTTTTATGGAAAAGTCTGCAATCCGACGTGACGATGAACACTGCGTACTCGACATCAGATCTGACGACACTCGCTCAGTTAACGGATAATGTCGAATTCGGCGGATTACAGCTGTTTCTCCGGCCATTTATCCGCGTCATTCGGTCAAATCCGACCTGAAATTTCAGATTTTATGCGAAAACATCGATAATTTACCTTCATTTCATCAGTAACGCAGGCCAACAGCAACCGCCACGCTTTAACGGTATCGTGGTTGAATTTGACGACGTCCTGGGATCCGATTATGAAAACTGATATCTCTCCGAACTGCTCAATCATAGTGCCGGTAAATCCACTTTCAGCCATCTTCAAAAAACAGGTTTTTTGGCTTGAGAACTTCTTTTTTTCAATTTTCATTACCTGAGCATGTTTCTCTCCATAATGTCGAATCATAGTGAGTTGCTCGTGAATATTGTCCAAATTTTCGATGAGTCGCTCAAAAATTCCGACCATACACTTGCAATGATCGTTTTCTGTTTTGACGAGCGGCGGAGAGGAGCGCTCGCGGCTCAGTGAGTTTACGAATGCGGTCGTGAGGAAGATGGAGCTGGAAATGAGAGAAATTAGAGAATTGACCTAAAAATTCGAATTCCTCTCCTAAATTAAACTGTTACAGAGGAAAAGTTCGATAGAGCGCACTTGCCTACTCTTCAGCTCTAATTTCACAGTTTCTGCGCGGAAATTTCGCAAAAAGCCGACTAACCGCATATCTGGACACTTATTCTCGAGTCTTCTGAAGATTTTCTCCATCAATTTCAGAAAAGTGCCTCCCGAATTCATCGCGTTGAAACTTTGCTGAAAATGATTGTTCTTGTGGTGAAACGCGGAAATTTGCGCGACTCACTCTCAACAATTTCTTCTGTTTGGGCGTCAAATTCAATTTGGGACATCTGTTGATTTGTGGGTTCACATTCGTGTCGGACAGCGATAATTGACGGGATAGCGGCTCTCTGGAAATGTACTTTTAGACAACACATTTTCTAAAACAATTTTTCTCACTTACAGAGCTCTGAACCGCATGCTTGTGAACATATTTTTAGCTTTCAAGAAAACAACACTGAAGCCGGGGCGGTTCGTAGAAAAAAGAAGAAAAAAAAATGACGAGATGCCTCCGAAAATTCGGGAAAAAGGCGTCTCAGAAGGGTCTAGCCGGCCGGTACTTGACAATTGATCATCTCTTTTCCCCCCGCTTTATTTCACCGGTCATCTTTGTCTTTCCCCAAAACAACATTTGGATTGAAGTATCGAGGGACCGAATTTCAGGCCGATCGGATCGGGTGGCGTCTAAACACCAACTGGTCCGCACCGTTTATGCTACAATCCATCGTTTCTCGGGTCTAACGTCACCCTTGGAGAATGCCAGAAAAGAAAAGGAATCATCATGGCGACTCCTCAGCAGGTGCCAGAGAGCGAATCACGAGAGAGGATAGAACGTGTCACGGCGACCAAAAGTGTAGAAAGGGGCGTGGCCTAATTTGAGACGCGTTTTCTGAAAATTGCCGCAATTCCAGCACTTTTCCGATATTTTTGTGTTTGATATCGACGAAAGAAGAGACATTAAAAAAGAGAAAACATTGAAATTTTCGTGAAAACGCCGCGTTTGAGACGTTTTTGGCATATTTCGCAATGCCGCAATTTCGGAATTTTTATACCGGCCGATCTGGATAGTTTTGAGACGAAGTGAGTGTCGGAAGTGATTAAGCACGTTAATACAAGTATTTTAAGCGTTCAAACGGCAAAAAGTATCGGCGAATGACTGAAATTCGCGTAATTTCAGCACAAAACTTGAAAATCGATTCAATTGATTCATTTCTGAATGAAACCTGCTCGTTTTTGGCTCAAAAAGTGCGCGCGATGATTAGTTTAACAAAGTTATGCAATCGCATCGTCGAAATCGTACAAAATGCGGGTAATTTTTGACGAAAAACATGAAAAAAATGGGGTTGAATTTCGAAATTTCGCGCCAAAATGGTTATAAACCGTGCAGAAAAATACGAAACGTGTTCATTTGTCTCAAAAACACTACCGATTTGAATGAAACACTGTCAAGTGGATTGAGGTCAATTTGGCAGAGTTCGTCAAGATGAAAGTTCGGGGTCTTACAGTTTAATCAATATAAACTCCACACAAATGTGCAGCCGTCGGATTTTTAGGTAAAAGTTCGCCAACTCACCGAAAATGAGTAATCTTTTCGAGAAGTGTCAGCATTCTCTCTCTCTCTCTCTCTCTGAAATTTTGCAAAAAGTGACGAGGAGACTTCGAAAAGCAACGATGATATATGAATAGAAGAGAATCGGCAAGAGTGATGAGAAAATGAGAGAAGTGAGCAAATTTTCCGCTCATCGGAGCACAAGAAGTTCGATTCGGTCAGATGACTGCCGAGTTGGAACCGGACTAATTGAACGCACAATATGTGTGGACTTTGACGCGCCTACACACTTTTTTCAGCCAGAAGAAAAAAAGCGGTGAAACGATGTGATATATTTACGCGCAGAGCGGATATCCCGATTAATGACGAGATTTTTGGTGGTTTAGTACGAAAGTGGGCTCAGAAATGAGCTCAAAAACCGAGTTTTGGATTTCGAGGCCATCGCCCGAAGTAGTTTGGTCATTTTTGCGATCTTTTGCATGTTAGTACGCGCCTCGCATTGAAAACCGGCAAGGGCAACACGTTTTTGACAGAATTTGGAAAGTTAGGCCATTTACAAAAATCGCTCGAATTTGACAAATGCGTAGAGTAACGCTTTCGAAAATGGTCTTTTCATACGCAATTTTCGACCAAAAATCGGTCGACAAAACTTGATGATTCATTTTGCGGGAATCAGACCAAAAAATGGTGATTAGGTGGGTGGGAATACGTAATCATGGGGAAAAAGAGGAATCAAAGACGGATTCGCGCTATTGTCTATCAACTTTTCCATGTCTGTGTGCGTCATCCGCAAAGAAATACGGAAATTTCATTCGAGAGTCGAGTGTGTGACGTCGGGCGGCAAAGTTTTCATGGGGTGGCCTAAACTCCCAATTCTAGGCCGTCACATGAATGTCCGTAAAGTGATGGTGCTTTTTTTTTCGAATTCTCCATGAAATTTGACGCCCAGACCTCGTTTTCCGGGCAAATTGGATCGGCGGCCTAGTTTTCCCACTTGGTGGCCTAACTTTGAAAACGAGGAAGTTGTGAGTAAGTGAATACTATCAAATTTTGAATTGAATCAACGAAAAGGCGAGAATGTCCCTCCCAAACAACTTTATTTTCGAAAAGAAGAAGTTGGAGCATGAAAATACGTCATTAAATCTTGTGAATTTTCGAGATGCGTCAGCGGAGATCAAAAATTGATAAATGCGGGACGGAGAAGTGTGTCATTTGGGAGCCTAGGCCACGGACGGAAAGTTCTAGGCCATCCTGCTAAAAATGGCCAGAATGATCGAATTAGTTTGCAGGCGAGTTCAAATACGAATCGAGATTATCGTTGAGGATTTGTGGCCAAGAAAAAAAAATGATTTGCTTTTTTCAGTTTGTAGACGGAAACATGTCATTTTTCCGTCCAAACAGACACGATTTCTAACGTGATCCGGAAGCTGGCGAGACGTAAGTGAGATCAAAGTACGTACTTCCGTCCGCGAGTTATTATATTGTCCTAAAATCTCCACTTTTTTTGGTTGGAAACGGGTGAGGGGCGGAGGTAAAGGGTTTGGGTCAGTTTTTCAACTTTTGAGTGAATATTGTACGGTTCAGAGACAGGATCTTGTTCTGAAATTTGTTTTGTGAATTCTTCGGGTCTAGTACTGTACTTTTGTAGTTGACACTTTTTTTGTACGACCATTCCCTGGGGTACTGTAGCTCCTGGAAGTTAGGCAACATTTTTAGTGCACTAAAGCTGTCCCAACTTCCAAGCGCTACAGTACCCCAGGGAGTGGTCCTAGAAAAAAGTGTTCAACTACAAAAATACTCTACTAGACTCTAAGATCCCACAAAACAAGTTTGGGACTGACAGGACGTCTTCGAACGCAGAAATATGCGTTCAAAGTTTGTTTGGACTCACGCGGGCACATCCAACGCATTCGACTTTTGAACCGACGGTCTCCGCGTACATTCGTCGCTCTTCCAGATTCTGTTCAACATTTGCAACACACTTTCACGTCTTCTGCAACGAACATTTTGAAATGGTGACAGAAATTCGTTCGGACATGCACTGGAGTCTATATAATCTCTCAGCTCCAATGAAAATCCTAATGCGTGGACGTATACCGTGAATCTATTGAAATTCCCGGTAAATGTACACAAATCCTTCGGGGAATTACGAATTATCGACTTCGTAATGCATAAAAGTGAACGGAAAGATTAGAATTTCAATTCAATGATTTTATGAATGGTTTTGTGAAGCTCATTACGGTGGCATAACTTTCCAATGTGCAAAAGTTAGGCCACTCCAACTTTGATGCGCTCTAACTCAATTTCGCCGTGTTTAGTGTCAATGCGAGCCTCAAATTTTGATCGTTTTTCCCATATCTACCCGGGATTACGGTACTTGCTCACCTCAACTCTCCGCCGGGTCCGACGACGACTGCTCCGTGGCCTCCTGGACCCCTTCTCGGCGAACTCGAAGCACTTCGCGAAAATCGTTCGGCGTACGAAGAGTTGGGACACAACTGAACACGAAACTCTTCTTTTTTGTGTGTTCTTGCTCACTTTTTGTGGAGCAAAAGGACTCACATTCTTTTGAGGAGGTGCTGTTTGATGATGGACTGTCAGACATTCGGCATTCGCCATTGTCGGCATTTCGTGAACGCTTACCTGCAACAAAAAACGGGGGGAAAATGAGCGAGACAAGCGGTTGGCGCGTTTTTGGTGCCCCTGGCGCACTTGTCGTCATGTCACATTTCAAATCAATCACGGATGACACACCTTTTCAACAAAACATTTCCCATAAATCTCTTTTTTGTTCGAATGTTCAAACGTCATCGGATTAGCCCAAAGAGTGTCTGGGAGTGGATCATAGTTTTTGAGGACCTTGAAAAATAAACGATACTCCAAGTTTTCCGGGCCAAAAACGAAAGCGTCGACAATTGTGGTGTTTGGTCCGCAATGACTGTGTAATGCAGAGATTTAGAGCTACAGTAACCCGGGAAACGTGGAAACTTACGGTTGGAATGGAAATCTTCTTGGTCGCAGTGGTTGACGGATGTTTGACGTACAAAGTGGACGGTCTTTGGCGGCGGATGATCGGAGACGGCGGAGAGTGATCCGGAGGGCTCCGCGTACTGAAATGATTGAATTTGGCGCACTAATTAGAGGTTGCGAATTGTATAATTGCTATTTTCGCGCCGAAAAGTATAAAATCGAGTGTTGACACAAATGTTTGATGCTTTGAAAGATGAGAAGAATGTGGCCGATGCACCATGCGCACAAGAGGACCCTAACTATGTCTTCCGGCTTTTCGGGTGCCAAAAAGCACAATTTGACTCCCGCATGTTTCCATTTCAATGCATTGTCTGAAAATGACACTCTTCCTGATCTTGACACATTCTACGGCCATTTCCTTTGGGAAAAGGTCATCGTGAGTGAGTCATTTGGCGAAAAACTGCCCAAGAAGAAGCGTACAGGGAACTGATATTAAAAGTGACACTTTTTTCGGGTTCCGAAAAGAAAACTGATCCGTGTTTGTGCCCGAGCACACGCCCCTCTCAAATTTGGCTAATTTGTGCGAAAATGTGCAAGTTTTTCCATAAGCGGAAGCGAAATTCCCCTCTCCCCGTGGCGAGGCACCGGAAGTGCGCCAACGCACCGAAAACGCGTCAGCGATAGAGAAAGCTCACAAAACACCAAAAAAGAAGCTAATTTCTGCCCTCCTTCAGCTCTATTTTTCCAATTTTCTTTGACAAAAGTGCAATTACTACAAGCTTCTGCTCATTTTCGCCAAACAACAAAGAAACACAATTTTCTCTCGTCTTTCTTTTTGAGAAGAAAACGAAGAAGATACAAATGAGAGAGTGACACGCGAGAATTCAAAAATTGGCCTTTATTTTATAGCCCGGAACTCGGAGAAAATGTGCATTTCTGTGTGCTGCCGTCATTTCGGCGGTCTGTGAATGCATTTCAAATGAATATATGTCGCCTTCGAGAAAAGGACCACACATAAATAGCAAAGTTGTTCGAATTAATTGCTGACAAACTCGTCGTGTTTTTCTTGTTATTTCTTCAAATGAATTGCCAATTTTTCCCCGATCTTTCACGAGTTCACGACATTTCGGCGATTTCTGCTATCAAAAACGTGCGCAAGGATTGGCGAATCCACAGGAGAAGACGAAATCCGCTCCGAATTGTTCGGCTCCTCCGATAGCTGGACGATCGGCGCCCACCTCACGTGAGCAAAGTATAATTAAGTGAGAAAATCAGTTTCCGCCGCCATTTTTAAGTACGTCTTGGCGCTTTCTCTCTCACTCTTTCTCGTTTTCCAACAGAAAACGATTTGCACAGAAATTTCGCCATTCCACATAAAAATGTCATGGGAAATTAGCTTCCGCTCGTTTGGAAAATGCGAACTTTCAGCGAAGGAAACAAATGAAGAATGTATCATCGAAAATTCTGTTGGGAAACACGGAATATTCGATTAGCAATTCTTCGCGTGTGTCATACGCACATTTTTTTTTATGAATTCGCGAAAAATGGGCGTACTAACCTCTGGGATCGTCGAAAAACCGCGTGTTTGTGGGTCACACTCATTTTTGCGGACGTTTCGAGAAGACCTGCAAAACATTGAGCATTTCAACAAGATAATGATGTATCGATGTCACAAATCATCGAGAATTCTATGAGCTCCGGATGAAAAAGATGGAAAATCCAATTATTTTGAGGCGAAAAAAACAGGTGATAACATTCTCTGATTGAAAAATGAAGACGGAACAACTGGTAGGACCACAACGGCGGAGGAATGAGTGAAAGTGGGCGTGGTCTAAAGAATCGAGGGAATCGAGGGGCCTAAAAATGTTCGACAAATTCACAAAGATATAAGGAAAACGTGTTGTTTATGGATTATAAAGTGGAAAAGAAGGCGGCGGGCGGAAAAAAAAACCGAGTGAAATGAGACAAAACAGAGAGCACAACGACGGGCGGGGCGCAACTTTCACGGCACTCGACTTTTTCCATTTTCCGCCCCTTCTTTTCCCTTTGTTTTGATCTCGGCATGGAGAAAACGCACCGGAAATGAGCTAGACTACTCCCTTTTACGCGTTTTCGGTGCCTTGGCGCACTCTCGGTGCACTCAACGGTTTGTCTCGTCAGAACATTCGGAGAACTAGTTGAATTGAGTTGACTTACCCAAATTCCCACGATATTTCTCAATTTTCGCTTCAAAAAAATATCAAATTTCACCACTTAATCATTACAGAAAACGACGGAAAATGCGAGAAATCAGGACAAATTGAATGAAGAGAGCATAAAAGGCGACGCATTTAAGTGGAGACAAGAAAAATGAGTGAAAGCGTTGAGAGAAGAAGTGTGGAGAAGGAGGCGGGCGACGAATTGCACAGCTCGCCTGAAAATGACACTTTTTGAGAGGTCTACACTATCGAATATTGATGGCGTTGCTTTGAACGCAGATTTTTTTGTTCTCAAAATTGTCTTGGGATATCTTGGGGTCTCGTAGGTTATTTTTGTAGTTGAACGTTTTTGGGTAAAATCAGTTCCCGGGGTACTGTAGTCTTTGGAAGTTGGGACACGAATTCACTGCACTAAACTTGTCGCAATGGGAGTGGTCCTACCAAAAAAAAGTTCAACTACAAACATCACCTACCAGACCTCAACATTTCCCAAAAAGCATTGTAGAACCTCATGACGTCTCTCAGCGGAGAAATCCTCATTCAAAGTTAGGCATCCTACCTTGGCAAAAGCACTGATTCGCCTGGAAGCTCAAGGACACGCCCCTTTTGGATCGGGACGAGATTTGGGCCGTGTCGACGCCAGTGGAGACGTTGAAAATCTGATCGGTCCACGAGCAGACGTCCTGGGCGAACGGGTTGAAGCTGGCGCACCCGCGGGACTCGTAGTTGTGGCCTGAAAGAGGTTACGGTAACTTTTAGAGAAATTGTTGTCAAATATGATGTATTCGAGTGTTACTGTGGAGACGCAAAGTGTCGCAAGATCCGGCGCATCGTCCACAACCACTCACCATTCATCTTTCCGATCGTTTTCGTGCAGTAGACGCCTTTGCAAGTGCCGCTGGTCCCTGCGGAACACTCGCCGGACCCATCGTACGCGCCACAACTCTTGCAAGTATGTACCGATCCTAGAAACTACAGTACGATTTGGGCGTATGGTAGTTTATACCTGAATTACAGGTGGCCACTCCGGTATTCGAAACCGTCGTGTCGATGAGCTTCTTGTTGCACTTGGTCTCCTCGGAAGTCGGCTTACAGAACGCGATTCCGGCCTGAAAGCAAATTGTCGTAAGATCTGAAGTCTAGTCGGCAAACATTGAACTCACATAGGCACTCGTCTGCTCCTTGTCCGAGCTGAGCGGCGTGACGGTCCCGTAGTCCGGCACCTGGTTCACCTCGCAAGTGCCCGTCTCATTCGTGACCGTAACCTTCATCTCGTCCCACACGAACTGCTCGTGGCACCCACGCACGTAGTTGTACACGTGCTCCACCGGAATCATCAGTTCGAAGCACGACGAGGCACAGTTCGGCGAGAGCAGCGAACTGTCGATCGCCGACGCGTCGGCGGTTGCGCAGCTGAAAGAATACATGAAAAAAGACCTCGTTAAATCGTTTAGGCGCCCACACGCTTTTCAGACTACTACAATACTCACTCTTTATCGAATTTCAGGCCGCTGGGCTTCAACGGAAAGCCCGTCTGGGCCCAATTCTCGTTCATCGACGGCGTCGCGCACTGAATGCACGTCTTGTCATCGGCCGAAACTTCTCGCCAGATCAGCAGGAGCACGACCAGCGAAACCATCGTTTTCGATGACGTCATCGCGAAGGATGCTTCTGGAAAAACGGGAGAATTGGAGAAGAAAAGGGCGGTTTGCGGTCGGATGACTTTGCACAATCGGTCACAACCTTTTATACATATTTATATTGGCGGCTCGCGAAAAAATTTGTTTTTTTTTCCTCGCGTGATTCATTTTATGATGTTTGTGAATGAAGACGTCTAGGAAGGGAAGGGTTTCGATGAAAAACAAAAATGCCATTTTTATTACTGTAGTCAGTCAACAAACTTTGACTTTTCACTGAAAATATTTGTTTTTCTCTGAAAGTGATGATGATGTTCCGTGGTGACTCACTTGAGTCACTTGAATTTGACGATACAATAGCGGTTCTTCACTTGTTGACTTTCAACGCAAATTTCTGCCTTGGGAGACGTCGTGTGGTTTTCAAAATTTTTTTGGGAAATCTTGGGGTCTAGTACTGTACTTTCGTAGTTGACCACTTTTTTGTACGAGCACTCCCTGAAGGACTGTAGCTCTCGAAAGTTAGGGCACACTTTCACTGAACTAAAGTTGCTCCGCCTTCCAAGAGCTACAGTACCCCAGAAGGTGATCGTACAGAAAAGTGGTCAACTACAAAAACATAGTATTAGATGTCAAGATTTCACAAAAAAAAGCTTCTGGAGCATTAGGATGTCAGCCAGGGGTACTGTAGCTCTTGTAAACTGTGGCAATTTCAGTGTAATGAAAATGCGGATTCTGCTTCAAATTTATAGCTGAAATGGGACAACATTCAAACAAAACTCAAAAATTAACAAGAACAAACAATTTCCCGTCATAAACTGGTCCTTTTTCTCTGGACCAGCTTGGCGAATGTCTCAGCGACGAGCAGCGGGAACACGAGAGTCGCCTCCGCGTGGACCTTCACCGCGCCCGCGCCCGGCTTCACTTTTCCCCAGCTGATCGCCTCGTCCGGTTGGGCGCCCGAGTCGCTGCCGTCAAACTCCTGGCCCGTGTTGATGAAGACCGTGTGGTCCGAGCCGTTTCGCATCAGATTCGCGTTGTTGATGTGATGCTTCACGACGCCTGCAAACGTTTCGTCGTTTCGTATCGAAGACTGGGCGAATTGTTTCGATATTTCTGGTACCTCCGCCCAAAATGATGCTTCCCGTTTTGAGACTTTTCACGGCAATCGTGTTGATGTGACGGACGTCTTCGACAATGTCCACACGCAGTCCGGGCGCGCTTTTCACCGAATGAAAGTACAGCATGTCGCCTGAAAATTGCAATTTTCTCAATTTGACGAACCTGACTCAGTGGCCGCATAGGTACCATAAGGTACCATAAGCGGCAACCATAAGACCCCCCCCCCCCCTGTGGAATAGGATTTTTAAACAATGTTTATCCAAGCTTCGTTTTATTGTATTTTCTGCTAAACATGTATGACCAGTATGACCCATAGAAGTAATTTAGATAGTTGAAGCAACTTGGAAACTTTGGCAGCCCCTCCCACGCGCCTGTCCCGAACTGCGGGCGGTCAACTCAAAACACCTATGAGTGGCCGAGTTTTGAAAAGTTGATACAGCTGGAGCTCCGAGAGCTTCAGGTGGTCCAACTTTCGAAAAGTGTGAAAACCCTGGGAAAGCTGGAGAAGAACCAGAAACCCTAGGCTTTCCAGGCAGTAGATGAAAATGTTCAGGTCCGTACCCAAAGATCCGTCGGTGAGCGCCGGACAGAACACCGGAATACGGTGTTTGGCGGCCCAGTACAATATGGACTCCTCATTCCCAATTCGTTCTCCGAGTCTCTGAATCAGTTTGGAGGGTGTCCAGTTGACTCCGCCCACTTGTTGCTCGGTCAGACATTCGTCCAATATCGGATTGAGCCAATCCTCGAACGCGCAATAGTTGTCGTTGGGAATCAGAACGTTTCCGGCTCTGTTCATTCCGTTCGCCCTCAACGTTTTGCCGTCCATCGTGAACGCGCCGAGGTAGGACGGTTTGAGGCATTTGATGAGGTCCTCTTCGATTCCGCCCGCCGACGTCACTATACAATCCACCAGATCGTGTTGGACCACGAAACGGAGCACCTGAAAGAAAAGAAATATTCTCCTGTGAGTGAACCCTTCAAAAATACCTCTCTAAGCCCGGAAGTGACTAAATTCGAAGTGTATCCGAGAAAAATCGTGCATGATTTCTTCTCCCTTCCCTCCGGATACGGTAGGTATTTCTCGTCCTCTGTCGAAAGTGCCGTTTCTCGCAGCGAGAGCATCGTATTAACTTGCTGGATTTGAAACTTTGAAAAAATGTCTAAAAATGTCGAGTTACCTGAATAGCCTGCGCGAGATGAGTGGCCTGAAATCCGGTGCTCAAATACGAGGCCATGACAGCGGAAAGCGAGAAATTATCGATTGATTCGTTGAAGTCGAATCCACGAATCGGAATCGAGCCTTCGGGAATTTGGCATGATTTCACGAGGACGGCTCCTTGCGCCGTCGCCAAATCCTCCTGAGACGGTCCTTTTGACGCGCCACTCATTTTCACTCTGAAAATGTGCTTTCCGCGTTTTTCTAGCGATTTTTACACAACATTATGCAATTTTGCACCGAACACAACTTAGCGGCCGAGTTTTGTAAAAATGCTGGCCATCATGGACGTGTAGTGCTCAAGATGGCCTAAACTTCTTAAAACTCGGCCGTAACATGAGAATTGTGAATGAAAAAAGGAAAAGATAATAATACATCCGATTGAACAAACAATTCAAGACAACGTGAACATTTTTCAATAAAAATGTATTTTCACAGGGGAGCAAGTGTAGTAGGCGGGGAAAATGGGGAATGTGGGGTGCAATAATGTTATTACAAAGTTTTACAGACTAAAAATGATTCTTCAAATCTCTCAATTTCTGCATTCCCTCAATCGGATCCTCGGCTCCCACTTTCTCTCGAATCTCCTTCGATTCTCGCACTCTCATGAACGGATTTGTCTCCTTCTCCTCCAAAATCGTGCTGGGCACCGTGAATTCTCCATTCTTCGTCCTTTCCAAAGCCCATTCCAACTTTTTCTGCACTTTCCGATTCGCCGGTTCCACGTGGGCGGCAAATTTGAGATTGGCGGCCGTGTACTCGTGTCCCGGATAGATCCACGTGGCATTCGGAAGGGCCGAAAGGACCGAGTTGAGGGCCGTGTCCATTTGCGGGGCGGTCCCTTCAAAGAAGCGTCCGCAGCCGGCGATGAAGAGCGTGTCGCCCGTGAACACGACGCCCACGCTTTCTTCCGAACTCGGATCCGTGACGTAGTAGCAGATGTGACCGCTTGTATGGCACGGAGTCGATAGGCATTCGATCTGCAAAAAAAACCCCGTTTCTTTTTTTGAATGTTCTGACGCAAAATTGCCTGCACCTTCAAATCGGCCAATTCGTGCGCGTCTCCGTGTTTCACGTGATTGTCGACGCCCGGAATGCGTTGATCGCCGCCAAAAATCGCAATTTTCGGGAACTCGCGGCGGAATCGCTCATTTCCGCCGCAATGGTCGTAGTGGTGATGGGTGGTTAGCACTCCCGAGATTTCGATCTGCAAAATATCGATTTTTGCTTTAAAAAAACGGGACTATTTTTATACTGTTAAAATCGCTAAAACCAACTCACTCCCTCATTTCTGGCCAGTTCTCCATAGTTTTCCTCGTTCACCAAATCCACCAAGAGCGCCTTTTTCGCCTCGGCACTCTTTTTCACAATATACATGAAATTGTCGGCTCGTCGGAGCAACGATTTCACGTATACCATGTTTTTCGGCTGCAATATGTATTATATGCTCAAAAGTTACAACAACAACAACAAGAAAATCATTTAAAAAGAGGTAACATTTCCGGTCGGAAAACAGAAAAATTCTTCAACTTCTTGCAACAAAAATACATATACAATTCATTTTTACACATATTCAATGGCAGAAACAATCGACAGAGATCAGAAATGGCTCAATTTTTGAGTTTTTGAGCAAAGACAACCAACAAATCTAGTAAATCTCCTGTTTTGGCTCATTTTTGACGGGCAGCCGCAGGTTCACGTGGTCCTTGGCCACCAAATAGAGAATGTCCGAGAGCGACTGCTCGTACTGCTGCTCTTCGGCTCTCGCGTGCATCCCCTGCGCGCCACGTGGCAGACTTTTGAATTTCGGTCCGAAGTTCATCGTCACCGACGCTCCTGCAACACAAATTTGTTGAACTTTTAGGCCCAAATAACTCACTCTGAAAAATGGACACCGACGGGAAATAGGTGCCGCCAAAGATGTTCTCAAACGCTTTTCCGCACGATTTTCCGTTGTGGAAAAATTCGACCTGCAAATGATTTTACGATTTAAAAAAATTGTTATGTGCAATTGACCGGGCCTTGTCCTGGACTTTTCACAAAAAATTCACTTTTGAACCACTTGCAACATTCCGATGGGGACCAAACTTCGCAGCCTTATTGGACTTGGATTCAAGTATATTGGATTCAAGTTTCAGACTGATCCGATTATCTGGTATCGAGATCCACATATCTCGGGACCAAATGATCGGACCGATGTGACACTCGGACCCAAGATACTTCAATCCAATTGCAAGAGGCCTGCAAAGTTTGGTCCCCATCGGACCATCGCAAGTGGTTTAAGATTCCTAGCCAAATTGCTCAGCCTTGCGTGACACCTTTAATAAAGTAGTTTTCTACAAAACGTACATAACTGCCGGGGACCGGTACCAAATGCTTGACGGCGACGGTCGAATCGCCCTGCACTTCGAAGAAAAGGTTCGATTTGAAATTGATGAGGTTGGCGTCTTTGAAAGAGGACGGAAGGTACGTTTCCGACGACTGATCCAGCGGGACCAGCAGCTGATCGTCCACCGGAAAGTGGATCAAGCAGCCCAGGATGTCACCGGCCTGCAACATTTTTATAAACGACGCTACAACGGAAAAGGACTGCAACGAAATAGAACTCTTAGTAGTCAAGCCTGAAACCCGGGGTAGCCGGGGAGCAGGCTTGTACCGCCATAATAAAATAGGGCAAATGTACCTTAAATCCAGCCGGATAATACGTTTTTCCTTTTCCATCGTGGAATTTCGTGCCTTTCTGCGATCTCCATCCGTACGAGAACTTGTTGTAGCCGCAGCATGCCTGGAGGACCGCTGCAAAACAGTTTCTGTTGAAGCTTATTCATCTTTCTAAGTTTCCGCAAAAGTGATGCATTTCATATAATTTTTCTGTTCCACTACATTCCATCATAATCGAAGTGAAAAAGGTGGAAAGAAAGTGAATGCATTGCTTTCAACGACAGTTTCTAGAAATTTCCTATCGAAAGACGCGCTGACGCACTGTTTTCTGACGAAAAATATCGACAACAACACGTTTCCTTCATGTTTTCCGATAAACGAAACAAGAACAATGAGAAAAACAAGTGAACATCGATAGTTTCGCGGTGCGCGGGTCGTAGGTCATATGGGTCTCGCAGCGATATTGGCAAAGTTTTCGGAGAAATGGGATGCGCCTTTAAAGTTACAGTGGGCGCGTTGCGGCCTTTGCGACGGCAGGCGAGGTTGGAGAAAAAAAAAGAGAATCGCTCTGGTCCTCCTCTCGGAAGGAAGGACCGCAGAACGGGACGCCAAAATGATGACAATTGGTGACCGGGTCAAGACCGTTCAAGGATTGTCACATAGATCAAACGATGTTTACGACTGTTTCGTTGGTTTTGTCATCATTTGTTTGTAGTCTGGCGCCGCGTTCTGCGGTCCTTCCGTCCGAGATGACTATCCGGCGAGAGCGATCCTCTTTTTTTTCTCCCCGTCCTCCTGGTCGGCCCAAAGACCGCAACGCGCGCTAGTTTTGAATGCGCGCCTATAAATTTGTCCGATCGCTGCGAGACCCTTCCGTATTTGACCTGCGCGGGCACCACGAAATACCGTATTTTCGGTCGATTCTAGAATTCTGTTCGCTGTTTTGTCTCTTTCAGAGTTGCCACGGGCCGGGCCGGGCCAAAATTTTCAAAACTCCGGCCCGGTTCAAAAAGCGGGAATCCAAATTTTGAACTATTGATTAAATAAAATGTTTGTTTTTCGTAGAACTAACGAATTTTGCAAGTATCGAGCATAAAAAAGAAATGTAGTTTAAAAAATAGTTTTTATTGGCATCAAAGCAAAAGTTTTAATTTTGATCCCCGCAAAAAAAAACGAAAAAAATAGATTTCCCCCAAAAATTTGAATTCGCGCCTTTTGAGCCGGGCCGACCCGTAATTTGACAAGTCTGGTCTCTTTTATCATTCTTTTTCTTGGAAAAGAGGTTGTTTTTTACGATTTTTTTTCCGCTTTTTGTGCCAGAGTGTGATTTTACGAAACGAATTTTTCGAAGAAACACCTAGAGTAACGTTAGAATTTTAGTTTGCCTCAATTTTATTTCCATCATATAATCCATTTCTTGACTAACCGTGCTGCTGGCTCCATCCGATGCGAATGGCCGAATTTCCGGGCTGTTCGTCGAAATTCACCTCGAAATACCAGGTTCCTTTGGAAATTCCGTGGCTGGCACGTGCCATCGCGTACCCTTCGAAGCCGGTCACCGCATTTTGGGGGCCAAGTGACAACTGCAATCGCGAAATGAACATTTTGTCGATGTTTGACAAAACGCACCTGAAAAGCTCTGTCATTCGACGAAACAGTCACAGTCGGATTCAAAAGAACACGATACTGAGCCGACGGGATTTTGTAGACGCCCGTGTTGTCCTGATGCCAATTTGTGCTGAAATTTTGCAACTTTCTCCAATTTCGCCCACTTTCCTCACTCTTCCGGCACGTTCGGATCGGTTTCCGTCAGAAAATAGCGATAATTGTCTTTGCTGAACGGAATGTCGACTTGCGCGCCGCCCGGAATCGCCGTCGACGAGTAATCGGCCGCCCTGGAAGAACTTTCGCAACTTTATACCGTTCTACACGTGAGGAGGGTTCGATTTTTACAAATTCACTCTTTCAAAGAAATATTTTCAAGAGGTTTCATCGAAAATTTCCTAATTTTGATTATCTTAGGCGTGTTGTTGCATTTTGTCACTCACAACTTTTGTTTCTTGCCGGGCGCGGTCGCTCCTTCGGCGTGCCGTCTTTTCGATGCGCCGCGCGTTTTCGGTCCCTCGATGGGCGGCAATTCTACGTGGCGAGGCTCCCGAACCTCTCTTTCCGACGCCGGACGTTTTCCGATCTGAATCTGGCCGGGCTTTAGCAAAAGTTTTTACACTTTCTCGTGCTTTTTCCGATAATTGCTTAATTTTTTTGAAAAATTGAGCATACCTGCTTGACGGCCTCGTGCAATGGACCTAAGAGCGCCAAATTCTTCTCGGCGAGCGCAAAAAGATCCTCATCCGACTCGTTTTGCTGAAAATTCGCAATTTTCTCATTTTGTCGCTCAAGATACGATGCTTACCACGAACACGTTTCGCTCTTTTTGCAGAATCACCGCCAAATTCGAATGCCACTGATGCCGTTTTTTGATCGCAGTGAGCATGTGCCAATTTTCGTCCATGTACGGTACGATTGTGTTGTTGAGGCTGAAAATTAGGGGGTTCTCAACGATTTTTAGGAATTTTCCACCTCAAAAAGGTTAAATCTTCGGGAATAATATCTGCGGACAGCTTTCCGACCTCATTCAGCTTGTCGGCGCTGAGTTTTGCAAAAACTGTCACACACATTTGCACCAAATCCGCTTTTTTTGGCTTCCATTCTTCGCCGAGCGGTCTGCACATCTTACAGGTGAATGTGTAGCACGTCATGAACGGTACTCCACTGCTGGTTCTGGAAAATTTGAATTTTGAGTAGTTTTTCAAAATTTTTGACACTCGTCAATTTTTTCAACCTACAAGCCTCCGTAATCGTTCAAACACCGCCCGTGAAACCATTTGAGGCACGTGGAGCACACTACCTCCACCGAACCCAATTCTCGCTTTCCATCACTGCAAAAAATTAATTTTCACAAATGCTGCCAAACTTGTTGATTTACCAGTAACAAACGGTGGTCGGAGCGGTTTTGGGCACTGCCGCACGTGACCGAGAGCCTTTTGAGCTGCGCATTGCTGAAAAATGAGCAAAACGTTAATTTTTTTTAGCGAAAAAGCAAAAATATTAAAAATTCGATGAGAGACAGTGTGAGAAACGTGGAGAGTGCAGAGAATCAGCCGCTTGGCAGCCAGCCAACACGAAGTAAGATTCGCAGGTTGGTTGGTGTACGGTAGCGCGACGCGACCGCGACGCAGCATTTTCGAAACGTTTCGTCGACGAAACTCCTCTTTCGCACCCCTTCCCCAGTGAAATCCGTTGGAAATTTACAACTTTTGTGAATTTTCGCCGAATTTTCGCGTTTTTCCGGCTAATATTCTCCGTTTTTTCGCCTGTCTCCATCGCTTTTTAACACAAATCCCCTCAAATCAAGAGCAAAAAATGATGGGAATCAAGAATTACAGGTCCGAAGAGGAGCACTTGCTCTCTCTATTGGACAAAGAACAGGGCCCGTTTGCGCGAGTCTCCCCGCAGGAGGATCCCGTCATTTTCTATAGTCCGACGTACGAACGCAAGCTTTTAATGGAGTACGGTTGCGATTTTGGCGGTGAGTCGTCGTCGCCCGATCATCAGAATGCCCGTGACGACGAGGAGGAGCAGGCGCTTTTCATAAAGCGGGAACAGAAACTCGATCCGTCGTGGTTCATGTCGCCATCAGAGTCCGAAGACGTTCCGTCCATCCACTCGACGACTCCGGAATTGCCGATTATCAGACAGAAGAAGCACGTCACCGCGTCGTCCCGATTCAACCCGTATTCGAGCGGTCCTCTCGTCAAAGTAAGTTATCTTTATCGATCCTTTCCTATTTGATTGTTTACTCATGGATTTTGATTGCGAAATTTCTTGTTTACCGTGTTATTTTCTTGCTATTTTGCTCAGTTTTTCAACAAATTTCGCGAAAAATCCGAGTAAACTGCCAACGGTAAGCCATCCCAACCCATCGCAATTCACTGACAATTTGCCTATTTGCCAACGTTTCAGGAGCCGTGTTCTATGAGAAACTTCCGCGGAAACCACCACTATAGAGACGAAGTAAACATGAATATGAATACATACCAAGTTTTAACCCCTCCCACTAGGCTCCCACATCTGATCAATTTCCGAACAATCCATAGTAATTCGTGCATTTTTCAGTCTCCGAAACGAGGACGTCCGTCGAAGGCGACGAGCAACACGAAGATGGCCAACTACGCGCGCAACTACCGTGAACAAAAGAAAAATGAGATGGCGACGATGCAGATGAGGAATCAGGAGCTCGAGGCGGAAGTCAAACTGCTGCTCGAGGAGAACTCTCAGATGAAGAAGACATTGGTGCGCGCGACGGAGGAGATCCAGCAGCTGAAGAAGGTGATCGACCAGGACTCGCAGATCGCGCGCGTCGTCGCCAACATGGGCGGCGCGCAGAGCAACGAGTTGACGCTCGGAGCCCGCCCGGGCGTCTGCGTGCACGTCGGATCGCTCGGCACGACCGTCGAGGTGTGCAAGGCGTGCGCCGACAACAACAAGGAGCGGCTCGACTCGAAGTTCAAGGTCGACGAGGAGCTCGAGCTCTTCGACGGTGACTTCACTGCTTTCGATCGGTTTTTGAACTGCTGAACGCTGCACTGTTTAGTATAGTTATTATTCTAGCATTCGAGTACCCGTCTCCCCCATTTTCTGTGAAATTTGGGCATTTTTTTGGCCAAATTGGCATTTTAAACGCAAAATACCGGTGAATATATTTCACAAAAACCTCCCATTTCTAAAACTGCCCCTTTGCTTTGTAATTTTTCTGAAGATTCTGACATTTATCCCCAAAAAAATGCCAAAATTCTCGAAAAATCCCCAAAAAATAAGCCTCCCATTGAAACGTGTCATTAGCCGAGATATGAAAAATAATTCCCTCTTTTCTAATTATTCTCGCGTTTTCCCATCGATTCTCTAATCCATACACATCTAGGACAAGCTCGCTTTGCTGTAAATTCCGGATTCTCCACCCATTTTCCATGTTAACCCATCAAATTTTACCTTTCGTTGTTCTTGATTCTTGAAGTTGTTGAAATTTTTCCATTCTCTTTCTCCTCTTTCTTCCCTCAAAAAATGTGTTAAAATAAAGAAAAAAAAATCAAAAAGTTATATAACTTGCCCATTTTTCTTGATTTTTTGTATCTCAACGTTTTGTAACGTTATCCATTCTTCGAAGGGGTCTCCCTCGCACTTTTAAACCATTCTTTGCAGAAATCACTCCACAATACTCCTGGGAAAGGTACGACGAAGCCGCGAGAATGTCGACGACGCAATTCGTGCAGATTGTGGTGGAGTACTCGGAGGAGACGGCGTGCTCGCCGAGCCCCTCAACTTCCAACTCCTCCTCCGGCTCTTCTACGCCAAAAAGCTCCGCTTCGGCTCCCAAACCCTCGAAAACGTCGAGAAAATCCTCAATGTGGCGCCAGTCGTCGCGAAAATCTCTGACCGGTACGAGAATCGGCACGTGTCGAGGCTACCAATTGTGGAAATTACAGCGGGTAGAGCAAAGTATGCTAAGAAGTATACTAGCGCCTCGTCGTCCTCCTCGAAAATGCGACTCGTGAAGTATAAGGTGGTTTAAATCGCGCTTTTGGCCCGAAATTTTGGAAAAGCTTGAGAGAACCTCACAAATTTCATCAATTTCATTGATTTCGACCCTGCTCGGACGATTTTAATGGAATTTTCAATGGTTTTGAGCCGCAACCTGTGTGAAAGCCGTAATTTTCATCGATTTTTGAGCAATTTAACTGCAAATAACCCCATTTTTCCCCTGAATTTCCACTCCAAATCATAATTTTGGCCGTATCTGTAGATTGATAAACAACACCAAGAGCGGTTAGCAGCCAGCAAGGCACGCGTTGAACGGTTGCAACGAGAAAGAGAGGAGTTGCTCGCAGGGAACAGCCAGCTCGCAATTATGGTAGGTTACAGTAAGAATGTTTTCCCATCCTAAATGATTTCTATTTCAGTGTGAGTCGGTGACGACGAGTGCGAGATCACTGCGCGAATCGTACGAACGGCAGAGATCCGTCTATCGGGCGATAATTTCGAGCGCGGCTCTTCTGGAGCACGTGGTCGTGGAGCCGGCGGAAGGAGAAGACGGAGAGGAGGCGGAAGACGAGGGATTCATCGGAACCATCTATTATTGATCCGAACTTTCCTTATTCTTTTCATGCTTTTCTCTTTATTATTGCCTTTTCCCCTCAAAACACCTGAAATTGAGCGATTTCCGCTGATGTTCAGACTTTCTCCGCCAGTTTTTCGCATTTTCCGAGTTGTACTGTATATAATTGAAGAAATGTGAAAATCTAATTGAAATTTGACGAAGATTGGTCTGAAATCGGCGGAAATTGCAAAAACCCAGAATTATTGTGCCGTTTTTAGTAGAATCCCCGCCGTTTAGTCGTCATGTTCTTAAGCCCCGTTCTTTTCCAGAAAAGTTTTAAGAAGCCCCGCCACCGGATTTTCATACGGTTTCCCTCTAAGCTCCGCCCCCTGCAAATGCCAAGAGAGTACAATGTGAAAGGCGAGGTAACCGTCGCGCCAGAAGCGACTGAAAACTTCCACTAAAAATAGGCAAAATGATCTAAAAGAGTCAACAAATATACGGTAGCAATTGAAAATTAAAGAAAAGAACAAAAAAACATTAAAACTGAAAAAGTTGGTTGAATAAACATTTTGAAAATTTTACAACTTTTTCTTATTTTGTGATGCTTGTTGGAGTGAAAGCGTTCTGGGATGGGCCCAGAAAATGGAAGACGGACAATTTGAAACCGACAATAAAGAGTGTCGAATGTTTTCATCTGGTTTTCATCTTCTGAATTTCTGAAGTATTTTGAGTATTCGCAATGTTTTTCTCTCATAGACATTGCTGTCACTTTGTCGTCAAATTCGGCGTGTAAAAATGGGCGCAAAAAAAGATAAATTTGCGCGAAAGTAGGTCACGGGGTCAAATGGCCACGTGGCCCTCCGCACCGCCCATTCCAACCCAATCCCAGTCGTTTTCTTCGCTTTTTAGCCTCTTGTTGCTCGTTGTTCTTGATCTTCGCCTGAAAATGTGCTGCAAATCTGTTTCGCATGTTAATGTTTTTTTTTATTTTGCCGATTTTGCGTTCAAATTTAGTCGATTTCCTCTGGACTACTACCGAAATTTTCGCTTCTCCGCCAACGTTTTGCCTAAAAACTAGATGTTATCAATGTTTCGCCGGATTTTTCGAAGTTTTTTGGCGCTACAACGTAATAGAACTGCGACAATAGAACTGTTTTTCGGTGGTGTGCGTCGGCATTTTGTTTTTGAAACTGAGCAATTGCCTATATTTCGATTCGACAATTCGATAGCAAGCTTCAAGAAAAATGCTTGAAAACTTCAGAAAACGATTATTCTACAGAAAGGCGCTTCAAACAGTTCTATTCTCAGGTAATAATAATAACAGTTCTATCACGTTGTACCGCCGGTTTTTCTCATTTCCCATCGAAACTTGTTGATTTTTTGCTTCTTACTACTTTGTATTAGTCTATGGCGTATTTTGAAGCTGAATTTATGCAGATTTTGTCAAATTTTCAACACACTTCTTCGTGTCCGTCATTTTCCCTTTTTCTCCCTCTCAATTTCCTCCAATTTACTTTGTTTTTTTTGCAGGGGAAATGCAAGCACAACAGCAGCTGAAATCAGGCGGGGATATTCCGAAAATATCGCCGAACCGCACGGGCCTCAATTCGCGTCGATCGATCAATAACGGCGGGAGCAATGCGAAAAAGTGCACGGGCGGTGCGGCTCCGTTTCTGGCGACCGACGTGACCACTCTGGACATTAACACCATGTTTCAGTCGAAGAAATTGAAGAGGAATGGAGCCGAACGGCCTGCGGTCGGAAGTGCGCCCAGCACGCCCACGCAAAACTCTTATCAGGTTGGAAATGGAAAATTGACCAATTTCTCCGCGAAATTCAAAATTTAACCCTATTTTTCATGTTTTTCGTCGAAAATCACACAAATTCTGTACGACTTACGCGATTGCGCATATTTTGAGCATAAAAATTTCAAAATTCATTCAGAAATAAATAACTTACATTGCTTTTGAGTTTTTTTGCTGAAAATGCGCGAATTTGAGTCATTATTGCTGCTGGAACGCTCAAAATTATTTCCGACACTAATTTTGTCGGAAAATTGTTCGGTTTGGCCGGAATATGCGACAAACGTTTCGAACGTGGCGTTTTTACGGAAATTGCAATGTCTACTTCTTCAAATGCATCGACCATCAAATTCGTCGATTTTTGATTCAAAAAGAGCTGAAATTGCAGAAGTTTCCCGAAAACCCGTCTCATTTTAAACATTTGGCCCGCGGCGAGTCGCGTATGCATCAGTTCACTTTCTCGCTTCATTTTTAAGAAATCTCATTTTTCAGTCGTCGGCGTTCAACTTCCCGACGTACCTGAATCCGACGTCGCTCTACTCGAACCTGGATCTGATGCACGCGGCGTCCGGAGGGGACCATCTGCCGCCGCTGATGAGCGTTCCCGCCTACAAACCCAACAATTTCATGCACGCATTCGGCACCGGCGACACGAATCCTTTGGATTTCGCACAGTTTACTGGTGAGAACAAATTTTGTTTTGAGAAAAGGCATTTTATTAATTGAAAGATGCCTTTAAAGAAAATCAATTAAAGTTTCTTCATTTTGATGGCGGTGAACGAAGTGGTTCCTCTCTTGCTGCTCGGGTAGAAATTGTGGTAGAGGGAGACGGTAAAGTCGGCGCAAGTCTCACATGTCCTTCTTCGGATAGTCCTTGAGAATTCCGGTGAAATGGCTCCCAATCGCCAGATTATTGTCGATGAGGAGCTGAAATTACTTACTTGTTTTTTCTACTCGAAAGCGTTTAAAAAAATACCCCTGTCAGTCTCAGCAGTGGGGTCGCGCTCGTCATGTCCAACGTGATGTTCACGAGCTGATTCTCCAACGCGTAATACCGGAGAAAGGTGTCTTCGCGAGGATTACCTGAGATTCCGCCACGGATCACCAGATGTTTAGCCCTTTGCACAATATCCAACCTAACAACGTCGGAACAGCATGGTGCAAGAGCTCGAGCTTCTCGAAACTGTGGTCCTTAATCCGATCGAACCACTCGTCGGAGTACATGTGCAGATCCCACGTGAGATTCTCGCATCTCACGAGCTCGAACGGATCACGGCATCGGTTCAACGTCAGATGTTTCACCTCGCTCTTCAAAAAGTGCGCGAGATAGATCCGCGCCACGTCCTTCTCCGTGTACATCAACGTAACCTCGGGCGCCAACCGACACGACACAGCCACGTTGTCCGTCCTGAAGATCTTCTTGAGCGAATCGTACGACCACATACGGGTAGAAGACATGATCGAGTGAATTGGAAACGGTTAGAATGGGAGAAAAGGAATAAAGGACCTGTGGAGGAGTAGGCCAACGAATGAATGAGGGATGTAATGTGAGTGGAGTGCACATTGCACACCTGTTGCAAGGTTAGGCGTACGGTAGAAATTACAAAACTACGAAACGAAAAAATGTTGAGTTTCCCGGCAAAAACCCAATATCCGCGCCCCTTAACGCTCCAATATTTGCAGAAGAGTTGAACGCGCTCCAGTCGATGTCCTCGTTCCCGACAAGCTCTCCGATGTCGCTCCAATCGCTGTTCTGTTCGGAAACGTCGCCGTTCCTGTCGGGATTCCACCAGCAGCATCAGCAGAAGAACGGTCTCCTCCACCAAACGATGGGACCGGCCCTATCGACAGTCTCCTCCTCCTCCACGTCCCGTTCGCCGAACGGACGCAAGAATCGGATGGTCGAGGTGAAAACGATCAACGATCGACCGGTCATTGTGGTCAGCGATCCGACAGCCGCCTCCGCAGCCGCTCGTTCTACCATCGTCCAGCTCAATCGCAACGTTTTGGGCATTTTGAAGGGGTTGCAAGCGATCAAGAAACGGCCGACTTCGCAAGAAGCACTCTACTCGCGGAAGGTGTTCATCGGAGGACTCCCGATTGATGTCACTGAAGGTTTGTGCGGAGAATATCCAAAATTCGTGAAATTTCGGTTCAAATTGCGAAAAGTCCTGTACCTTACGCGATTTGACAAAAAATCATTGAAAATCTTGCAATTTTCCACATGAAATCGCTTGCAGAAGAGGTGTGGACGACGTTCGGATCGTTCGGAAAAGTGCTCGTCGACTGGCCGCGCCGCCCCGAACACGGATCTCGCGGCGACTATTTCGACATGGAAATGGGACGTCGCAACTGTAAAACTCCACTGTTCAAGTCGAAATTTGCGAATTACTCTGATTTTCAGCCCGTTCGGTGTCCGGATACGTGTTTCTCGTGTTCCAGAATGAGCAATCCGTGCAGGAACTCGTGAATGCCTGCGAGTTTTACGAGAACAAGTATGGATTTATCGTTTTTTTTCAGTGCATTTGCAGTGTTGTCTTGCAGATACTACCTCCAACTGTCCTCGCCGACAATGAGCGACAAAGCGGTGCAAGTGCGTGCGTGGCGCCTCTCGGATATTGATTATTTCTGCGACGAGAAGTCGTTCGTCGACCACCGCCGCACCGTTTTCATTGGCGGAGTGCCACGTCCGACGCGCGCCTCCGATCTTGCCAGATGTCTCGAGGAACACTACGGAAAGGTGTCGTACGTCGGCATCGACATTGATCCGGAACTGAAGTACCCGAAAGGAGCCGCCCGTGTCACTTTTGCCACGGCTCAATCGTTTGTGAGAGCCATCTCGGGACGATTTGTGCAGGTCACCCACGCGGACACCAATAAACGAGTAGGTTTTTCCAGGAAAATTGTGATTTTGAAGAAAATCCACGATTGTGCGCCAATTTCAAGCAATTTATTGAGTTTCGACTATTTCAGGTGGAAATCAAGCCGTACGTGATGGAGGATCAGTACTGCGACGAGTGCCAGGGAAAACTGTGCAAACACAACTACGCGCCCTACTTTTGCGGCGATCCCGCGTGTCTGCAGTACTATTGTGAAGCCTGCTGGGACCGCATGCACTACGAAATGAGCGAACTGCGCAGCGAGCATCGGCCGATGGTCCGCACTGGAGATCAGACGCGGGTGAGCGGCATTTGAATAGATTTACAATATTATTTATGCTTCAGATTCTGCCACGTCCACCGCATCACTCCTCTGCGCATTTCCATCACCGTCAGCAACAGAACCACCACCAACTGCATCAGAATGCGGAGAGCACGTCGTTTATCTCGAGAATCGTCAATCGCCATCACTCTTCCCCGAATACCGGAACCGCGAAACCGTTTTCCGCGATCCCAACCGCTATTGGATATTGATATTATAATATTAGAAGATAAAAAGTCTGTAGAATTAATTTTCCTCCCCTCCCGTTTTATCTGCACCCCCTCCCTGAATACACTGAGATTTTAAACCAGAAGAATTATTATTTTTTAAATTTTTTGAAAACAGCTATTCCTCCCCCGTTCATTTTGTGCCTCTAAACGTACCATACATTTCATGTGTAACCACAATGTAACATCTCTCATGTTTTATCGACTTTTTGCCCTGGCCGCTCCCAAACCCTCCCCCTACACAGTAGGCTATCATTTTATCATGTCATATTTAGAGATTATTGATTTTTTAACGCATTTTTTTGCCATTTTGTGTTGGATTTCCCCCCACTTATTGTTGCAAGTACGCTCTACCGAACCAAATTTCCAACATGTTCGATAGAGCGAACTTTCACCCCCGAATTCAATTGAATTGCAAACAGACAATTAAAGATACTCGTGTTTCATTCCCGCCCCCAGCAAATATTTATATTTATATAGATTGCATTGAATTGAATTTTTCAAAAATTTAAATTAATATTATTGAGCTGTATGCTCCCATCCTCCGCGAAAATGATTAGAATAATAACAATAATGTTTTGTTGTCTCCCCCGATGAGTTTTCCTAATAAAACGCCAATTTTTGCCAATTTTCTGCATAATTTTGGCTAATTTCGCGGGTTTATAAGGCGAAACTGGCTCGCAGGAGTATCGACAGCGAAAATGCCGATTTCCGAGCTGGAAAAGGTTAGTCTGAATCGGTTTGTAGTTGTGAAATGTCCTCGGACACTTTGCAACCGATTAATTTTGAATGTTTGCAGAAATCGACGGGCCTTTCGTTCGAAATCGCTGCCGAAGAGATGCGACGTCTGAAAGCGGCCCCATCGGAAAGGGAACAAATGAAATTGTACGGACTGTACAAGCAGGCCCTCCACGGAAACATTCCCAACGAAGATATCTATCGTAAGTGCGCTCTAAAGAGAATTTGCGTTTTCTCGAAGAAGTCCGATGAAAATTCGGCTTTTTTACATAAAAAAAATAGGAAAAAAGCAATTGCGGTCTAATGAGACACGTTTTCAGCGATTCCGGCGGGCGACGAGCGCGGAATGAAAAAGTACGCGGCGTGGAAGGCGCAAAAAGAGATGAATCCGGAGAGATGTCGCCAGGATTACGTGAGGATCGCCGAGGAGATGATCAGAAAGTACGGACGGAAGATTGTGCGAACCAAGTGGAATTCCGAAGTGTGGTCCGTCGATTATTGATTGATTTTTGGGAGAACTTTGAATAAATGACTCTTTTTTCTTTCGCCAAAAAAACAGATGAAAAAGTCAGATGAACTTTGAGGCTGTATCGACTGTATCGTCGGGAGACGTCCCATAACCTTCAACATACAGCACAAACAGGGAGTGGTCCTAGAAAAAAGAGACCAACTAGAAAAGGACAGTACTAGACAGGAACTCTAGTCTTGCTCGTCTCTTCGTGTTGAGACTCGGTCGGCGGCCTAGAATCCGGCGGCCGAGGGTCCAGTACTCGTTCAAAGTTTGCGTTTTCAAACAATTTCAAATTGCCCGCCAAAGTGCACTACATAGGTTGCATTTGCTTTATTATTCAAACACCGGTAATGGTCAGATCAGTGTCAGTTCCGCTGGAATTCGAGGTGCTCGTGTTGGTGGTGATTGGCGAGTAAATCGCGTGGCTTTTCTTGAATCGATCCATCCGAAGCACTCGTGAATCTGGACACATTATCGATTTTTCGCGTGGAAGAGGTTTTCTAGGCCACATACCTTGAATATTCAGTGGAATTATGGATTTTGACGATTGGACCGTCGCCGGATCGTTCGAAAGCGACGCAACATTGAACAGAGAGTCTTCGTCGTCGGCGCACTCAAAAAATCGATAATTTTCCACTGAACACATAAATTCGAAAATACCGGATAATCCTGCGGACTCTTCTTTCCGCGCCTCGCTTTCCGCACCTTTGTCTTCAGCCGCGACACGTACTCCGCGGGCGGCGTCGGCAAAATTCGGACGGCGCCGAGCCGCTCCTCGTCGCTGAACTCGTACGGACCCATCGGACTTTCGTGCTCTGAGACGGGGACTAGGTTTTGCGGCGAAAAAGTTGGGCCACGCTTTTTTTCGCGAATTTCTCATAAAACTGGTACTTTGGAAAATGCGAAAATGAGCTGTAAACGCGCTCGATTGTTAAATGTTTGCAAACAAGTGCGTTTTTGTGACTTTTTCCGCTCTGCTACAAAAAGATTCAAATTGGCGCCAGACCGTCGTCCTCGGAATTCCATCCGTTTTGTGTGGATTCTGGCGACAAAACCGTCGAAATCGGCGTCTTCAAATCCTCGTCTTTTGCGTTGAAAATGAAAAATTTGGCCAGATTTTTCGTCGGTTTCTTGTCCTTTTTCTCCTTTTTTTCAGGCTTTTTTATCTGGAAATAACTTCTCGGAGACGTTTGACCAATAAAACAAACAAACGTTTTTCTCGATTCTCTTCCGATTTTCCACCTTTTTTGGCATCGTCTCCGGCACCGTACACACGTAAATTTCGACTTGCTCGGCTTGAGAGTCTGCAAAACAGAGCAGCAGAACAACAATTTTTTGCTTTTGAACAACTCTCACGATCTCCTTTGAATTTCCAGGGCGTTTTGAGGCAGGAGACGAGTACGAAACTGACTAGACAGGGAAAAGTTACGGTTAACAACCACAGTTCTTGTTGCATTTCAAATCGAGTTTTACGGGGGGCGAGAAATGAGAAATAACTCGTTTTTTGTGATTTTATGGGACTTTCACGCTTCTAAATCTCCCCTCCTGAAGAAAATGTTACCTTCTTTATGCATAGCAAGACTTTTGGGACCTGGGCCCGCCGCAAGCGGCTAGATTTCGAATGAAATCTATCGAAAATTTCTATCGAGAAACAAAGAGGTTTGAGTTAATAAAACATTTATTAGTAAAACTTTAAAACAATTTTTTAAAATATTCCTCTAAGAGACACAATATTAATCTCTGGCAGTGTGGAGAGTAGAGAGGGACGACAACGAGCGAGCCGTTCGAATGCTCTCGTGGTCAGTCTGCAAAAACCAACGAGTAAGAGTCATCGGATGATGTGCACTCAATACCTCTTTTACGTGGAACGACTCTCTCCATTCTCTGAGCTTGCTCAAAATCGATGCAGTGAACGTGGCGTCGGCCGTCTCGGCAGCCCTCTTATTCACATATTCGATCACCTCCCTCCTCACATCCTCGCCGACTGTGTCGTATTCGGCCAAGTTTCGCAAATCAGTCACGCACGCAACATTCTGCTCATCCGTCATTTGTTTATTCTCACTCAGATCCTCCCATGCGAGACGAGTCGCCAGGATCTGTGTCAAGTAGAGCAGATTTCCACCGTTGGGTCCACTGAATGCTCCGAATCGGTACTTTTGCATCTCGCGCACGAATCTCGGCAGACTCGCCAATTGGTCTTGTTGAATCATTTGGATGAGCAGCCAAACGCCGGCAAAACAGCAAGCACGATCCGTTCCCATGGAGCTATGCACGAACACCCGACCCTGTAATCGGATACGGTCGGAATGAGTTCCCTATATTGCTCACCACTCACCTTTTTATTTCGGAGTTTATGGATCACCGTGCAAATGTCCTCAATGAGATCAGAGTCGAACAGAGACGGAGTCATTCCTTTTTCCATTTAGGAAACTGATAGACGGTCACCAAGTGCTGGCAAGCCTTTCCATCTACAGGTCCCGTAAGGAGGAGCTCCTTTCTGATCACCTCCTTTCCATCGTGTCTCTCCAACACTTTCACTGCGATGTCGCCAAACGATAAGACCTCATTCTTGTCATTCGGAATGTAATTGGCCCAACGTATCTCTCCATCCTCGACGTTACTGCCGCACACAACGACAGTCTCGATTTTCATCTTCATGCAGTTGATGAGCAGATCTTGTCGGGTGTCTGCCATATTTTCGGCAGCGCTGGAAGGTCCTTGGCCGACGAGAATGGGTCTGTCAAGTGGCTGAGAGATCTCATTCATGTGGAAGAAGTTGCTGAGTCCTTTGATGGATTGGGAAACACACTTCAAACCGCCGCTGAAAAAAAAAGTTCACAGTGAAAATGAATGCAAAATATGGCGGAACAAACCGGCATCTGTCCAAATGCTTTTCTCCTTCAATAAATTCGTTTTGGCCGTACTCGTCCACACGCTCCGCTGATGTAAAGTGGTCGAACCAATTTGAGGCTGCACTTTTGGGCCGCTGGATCAAGGCACCTTTCACTTTCAGTAGAAGAAGTGGAGAGTATCCCCAGTTGCTCACAAAATTCTTAACATTATTTGGCATTGAGATCTCTGCGATGGAATCCTTCCGCGCTGAAAAATTTCGAAGATCAGTGTTGACGACAGATTATGGTGACAATACCAAGCGCCTGGGCTTTCCTCCTTTTTTCCCAAATTTTCTTAGCCTTCTTCTTTCTTTCTTGTCTTAGCCTCTGCGCGTGCACAGTTCCTATGATCCCGTGTCGGTTCGGCTTCACTTGTTCCCTTCGGTTCCTACGCCTATTTCCTTCAACATTCTCTTCAACAATCTCTTCCACAATCGGCTGCTGTTCATTTTCTGCTTTAATAACGGCTTCTGAGTCTTTTGGCTTCTGGAACTGCTGTTGCTCGTTCACCGTTTCTCCTTTATTCTCTTTTTTTTCATTTCCCGGTAGATCAACGACCGCCTCGCTTGGAGCTTCTTGAGTCTTAACGTGGTTTTCATCGGTCCGATCGATCAACGGCGTCTTTTCATCCGATTTTGCCTTCTTCGCCCACCATCTACATCTTCCACGACACCAACACACTACAAGAACGATCATGCCGACAATCAACGCGACAATCGCTATAATGATAGGAATATCCACTCTGAAATCGAAAGTAATAGAAGTCATAGCTGTTAAAGTTGAGATTACCCCATGTAGGCGGTGAAAAGGAATATGTATTCGGCAGTTGAAGTGGCGATTGTAAACGGAGTCGAAGTTCTGAAAAAAATAAGTTAGGGGATGGAAGAGCCGGAAAGTTAGTCCACTCACGGAGAAACAATTGGCTTGACGGTCGACGTTGTTGGCTTCTTGGCTGGCGGAATCGGAGCATTTGGAATTGGAGCAGACTTGCTGACGTTCGCGAAAATCGTATCCATAGTGCTAAGACTGGTTTCTACCGTCTTCAAAGATGGGCCGAAACGGGAAAAGTCCAAGTCGGCACTCCTCACGGCGATCAGAGCTTGATTCACAGAGTCGACGAGTGTAGTTGTCGGAGCAACCGTCTTCAGTTTTTCCAATGCAGACAGCCTCGCCTCCACGTGCAAATCCACTGATTTCATATTGAAGAAATGACTGAAGAAGAGCTTCCACTTTGCAAATCCAGAAGTCGTCGCTCTTCTCATTCTCTTCGGGGAAATCGCGCGGTCCTTCCGAGTCTTCAGATCGAGGAGCAGTTCTGTCACCTCCGTCTTGGTCTGATCGAAGTCGCCCCACAGATTTTGAATCTCCGCCTTCACACTCGGATCCTGGATCTTCGCAATCTCGCCGGTGACCTTTGATCCGACCTTCAGGAAGTTCTCGAACTTATCCTTCTGTTTCAGAGCCTTGTCGACGTTCACCACTGCGTGCACCGAGTCTCCGAACACTTTCGCCTCTTTTCCGAGTCCTCCGAGTGCCTTCAACTTCATCACTTCCGCCACGTCTTCCTTCTTCTTCATCTCGTCCGGCACTGAATCCAACGACTTCAGAACTGGTTTCGATCCGGAAATGGCGTCGGTGACAGTCTTCAGATTGGCGGTGAATTGGGTGTCCTTCCCGAAGATTCTTATCTTTTTGGTCACTTTGATCGACGTGCTCAACGATTGCATCTTCGGCGCCAGTCCCTTGTAGCACTCGAACATTTGCACGTAGTCTCTGCTGTTCTGCACAAACGTGTCAATCTCCGATTCCTTCCCTGCGAGCTCCTCGACCAACGGCGGCAATTCGGCGGCTTTCAGTGTGGTTTTGATTTTACTGAGCACGGATTTCAGGCCGACCAGAGTGGACTTCATTTTGTCGAGGTGTGGGAAGTCCTTTGCTTTTTCAATGATTAACTTCAGCTCATCTACTTCAGGGTTATTTGGGTCTTTGAAGACGATCAATTGAGCCAGTTGGTCGAACGGATCAATGTACTTCAGATGTTCGGCCTGTTCCAGAGCTCTCAAGGCAGGAACAAACTGGACAAGATGATCGTGAAGAGAAGTCGACGCCGTGATGAGAAACGTTATGGGGTGAAACTTTGAGGAGAGAACAGGAGCCGATAGAGAGCAGCTGCTCATCTTCGAAATGTCGTCGGCAGAGATCTGGTCCACCGAATGAACCTTTCTGATGTCTTCGTGCACAAGAACAGCTCGTCTAACAGCTTCCGATTGCGCAGGATCCGCGAGCGGTTTCCAGTTCGTCTCCAGAGACGTCGTCTTGTCCGCAACGACATTCAGAGGCTCCAATCCAGACGAGACGACGTTCGAAGGGAATCCATCATTGAGTGACGTCTTCTGAACATCCGTCGGCAACGTCTTCAGATCGGCGTATCCGTGGGCATATCCGGAAGTGAAGACAAGGTTCTTCTGGGCAGCAGGATCAGTCTGGGAGTCCACAAGTGTCTGCATGCTGGCCAGGTCCGGACGGATGGCTTCTGACTCGTCAAAGAGGCCCCTGGTGGACGAGAAGCCGGTGAGCAGGGCATCCTTTTCAGGTTGGACGAGTACAACCAACTCGCTCGATCTTTTTAAGTGAATATCGATAATCGCCATTATCTGGCCTTGTGACGTCGCGGAAAGCGATCCAGTGTCCAGAAGAGGAGCGTACTTCAGCAGGATCTCGAAAAGCTTTACAAATTTTTCGATTTCGGTTTTGTACGACGGCAATAATTTGTGGAGGGTCAAATAGTGTGCTGCGTAAAATATGACCGGCTGGCTGTTGTTGCTGACTGATAATATAACTTTATCCAGATTCCCGATAACTTCCTCAATGAACGGAAGGATCGTGTCCAGGCTGCTCACGTCGATTGGGTCCCGTGAAATCGCATTGACGTGTAGGAAGTAGTCCTTGGCTTTCTTCACATCGCTCACGGAGCTGATTTTCTTGTAGTGGAGCGTCCATTCGGTCACCAATTCAATCATCTTCTCGGCCTTCTGTTCCGCTTGATTGTCGGGAATTTTCAGCGCCACTTCCTTGACTTTCCCGAAGAACGCATTCACTTTGACATCATCGAACTGCGCCAACTGTTTGAGATCGGAAGAAGGGATTCGCATCAGTTCGGAGAAGGCCTTGTCGGCGGGGATCGATCCGTCGATGAGTCCGTTCTGGAGGGCAATCGAAGTGACGATATGGGCAGTCCCACCCAGTTCCCCGACCATTCCGTCGAAGTCGGTGGCTGAAAATTGGAAAGTGTTCTGATTGGAATTCGGACGGATCGATCGCTCACTTTGTGCGGCTCTCGGCTTCCGGACGCCAGTTCCCGATGCACTCAACCCATTTACGGTCCCACTGAAATCGGCGACTGAAAGATACAATTCAAAGTTTTGTCTGCAATCCGTTGACGATTCCACTCACCTCGTGCGGCTTCCGCCTTCCCGAAACCGACTTTTGGTCCGGATTCTGGGCGATTGACGTCATTAACTGTCGCGTCGGAATCAATGTCTAAAGGAAACGATTCTCAGTTCTGAATTTCACTGAAATCCACTCACTTCTAAGCTCTCTCGCCCTCCGAACGTCAACTATTTGTCCAGATTCGGGATGTGTGTTGTCGGGAATGTCCGGCCCTAAAAATTGCTGCTTTTCATCAGAAATTTACAAAAAAATCGCCACTCACTGTCATATGCTGTGCCACGAGCTTGTGTGTCGTTTTTCAGCATCTGTTCATTATTATCAACTTCTGAAATTGACGAAACTGATGAAAAAACATTCGAAAATTGTATTCAAACTCACGTTGAAAAGCTATTTTGATGGCAAACATAACAAAGATAGTCCAAATTAGAAAGCACTTCATTGTATTTCAACGATTGAGTCTGAAAATCGGGAAAATTAAGTGGAGAAAGGCTGATGCCACGTGGCAGTGAGCGAAAAAGATACATTGTCAACTGGAGAGTCATTTTCTGTGAAATTCTTTCGAAAACATCCGTAATTTTACACTTTTACTATTCGAAAATTGCGGAATTTCACGGATATTTCAGTACTTTAGTGAATTGGCGAGTAGGCTATGATTGGATTGTGGGAAAATTTGATTTTTTATCGAGGAATTTGGAGGTTTTACAAGTACAACACGAAATTGTCCTTTTTTCCACTTCATAACAAATTTTACCTAGGAAAAGTGACCAAGCAGCGTGCTTCTATGAAAGATGTTTGAAAAATTAAAATTGCAGACAGGAAAAGTCATTTGCAAGCGAATCATTGTAAATCTGAGAAAATCAAGGCGAAAAAGAAGACATCTTCTCGAAAAAATCGGAATGAATAGAAAAAAAAGACGGGCGGCGTGCCACGTGGCGTGCCACGTAGCGTGATCTACTTTTCAATGGAGCGCACTTGCATAGTCAAAACGTGGAAACTGAAATTCAACGGAAAATGACGGCGTTTTCGGAGAATCGACAGTGCAAGTTCACAAAAAATGTACAGAATGAATGAAAAAATGATTTTTATTGGCTAACAGATTAAAAAACCGGGTGAAAAGAGCCAAAAAGCATTAAATTCGAAATACAAAAATGATTTCCGACCTGCACCTCCTGCGAGTCGACATCCGCACGAAAATTCAAATTGTCGCCAGACCATGACAATAGTTTCCGACAAAAGCATCGCCAAGAATCCATTTCGGATCCCCCCCGTCTCCACTCGTTCCATAGAAAGAAAGTGCGCATTGACCGTTCTCCAGGTCCAAATCGACAACATAATCCTCGAATTTGATGGTATATTAAAACTTATGTCGCTGAACAGAGCGTCAAAAGTTACATCTTTGGACACTTATATCTCACAATCCAATGATTTTTTCAAAAGCTGGTCAACCGCAAATCTCCAATAACCCTCCTTAGACCTAAAAATTTATTTCAACTGCATGCTGTGCCGTTAAATTTCTACCGTACCCCGGAGTGTCGTACGGCACATTGTTTAGCGGAGAAAATCCAGAAAAACACTCATTCTTCGTCGTTTTTCTTCGTTTTCTTTCAAATTTTCGCGTGTTTTCAGATGTCGTGGCACGTGTGCACCATCTGCGACGGCTGCATCGACAAAGGCACACCAGAAACACCGAAACTTACCGTTCAAAAAGTTGGTTTTGTCGGAAAGCCATTTTTTTTTAGAAAAAACTGAAATTCCAGAAGGTAAACTACCACGAGGCGTCAGAAAACCGTCAATTCCGCATCACAATCGTTCGGCAGTGCGCGGAGGCAACGGAAAACGGACTGGAAGCGCTGGAAGCGGCCGATCCGGCGGGGGACGGCCGGAAATCGGAATCCGTTCATTTCTATGTCGATCTAACCGAATTGACCACTATTTGCCCGTATTTTCAGCAATTTCAAAAGGTTTGTGCAAAAGCGTGAATCGAAACATGAAAAAAACTAAGAAAAAACATAATTCTTTAAAAATCTCTGTTAAAATATATGTTTGCAGCATTGCTACGTGGAATTCTCGACGAACTGCACATCCACGTGGATCTCATCCACTTCAACTTCCTCTTCCGCTCCGTGCCCCGCCCACACATTCTCGTCTCCGATCTCCCCGCGCTCGTTCCACTCTTTCCTCGAATCCGCGTGCCCGGCGCTCTACTCGATCCGTCCGGTCCCGCTTTCGCTCGATTCGGTGCCGCCGGTCCTCGAGATCCTCTCCCACTTCCACTCGGAACCGCTTCTGACCAACTGCGAGCGCTTCCTGATGGCGGTGCCATTCGGATCGCTCGACCCGGCGCTCCTCATCCGGATCCTCCACCGCGGACTGTGCGTCAGTCTCGACCATCGCATTCTCGCCCGAATATTGTGCGTCTGCCTCATGAACACCCACAAAATGGCCGACGTGTCGCAGGAGTTGCACGGAACCGTCGGCGCCGTCTTCGCACAGGCTTTCGTCGCGTTAGTTGTGGGGGTTTTTTTGGATTTTCTCTTAAAATTTTCAGAAACGCTGCGAAAGGGTTCCGACACGTGAAACCGCTGGAGCAGGAGTCGCAATTGTGGCCGGAAGCGATGCGGAATCTGATGGGCGGCGCCGATTCGACGCGGAAAACGGCCGGACAGCCGAAGCGGAACGGACGCGGAAAGAATCAGCGGAAGGGATGCGATCACGCCAACGAATCGTGCGTTTTTGGCAGGGCTGACCAATTGACCTCGACTTTTGGACGACTTGCAATATACTGCTCGGACCCAAACTTTGCAGCCGTATTGGACTTGGATTCAAGTATACTGGGTTCAAGGTTCAGACCGATCGGATCGTTTACTGTCGATATATAGTGCTTGAGGGCCAATTTCGGTGAATGATCCACATATCTCGGGATCAGATGATCCGATCGGGCTGAAACTCGGTCCCAATATACTCTAATCCAAGTCCAATAACTTATTGGCAATAAGACTGCAAAGTTTGGGTCCGATCGGATGATTGCAAGTGGTCCAAAAGACCAGGCCAATTGGCCAGCCATGGTTTTTGGGGAAAACATTCGATGAGATTTAAAAACAATGATTTTTTTCTTTCCGAGCTGGAAAAGGTTAGTTTGAATCGGTTTGTGGTTGCGAAACGTCATCGGACACTTTACAGCCGATTAATTTTGAATGTTGGCAGAAATCGACGGGCCTTTCGTTCGAAATCGCTGCCGAAGAGATGCGACGTCTGAAAGCGGCCCCATCGGAAAGGGAACAAATGAAATTGTACGGACTGTACAAGCAGGCCCTCCACGGAAACATTCCCAACGAAGATATCTATCGTAAGTGCGCTCTAAAGAGAAGTTGCGTTTTCTCGAAGAAGTCCGATGAAAATTCGGTTTTTTTACATAAAAAAAATAGGAAAAAAGCAATTGCGGTCTATTGAGACACGTTTTCAGCGATTCCGGCGGGCGACGAGCGCGGAATGAAAAAGTACGCGGCGTGGAAGGCGCAAAAAGAGATGAATCCGGAGAGATGTCGCCAGGATTACGTGAAGATCGCCGAGGAGATGATCAGAAAGTACGGACGGAAGATTGTGCGAACCAAGTGGAATTCCGAAGTGTGGTCCGTCGATTATTGATTGATTTTTGGGAGAACTTTGAATAAATGACTCTTTTTTCTTTCGCCAAAAAAACAGATGAAAAAGTCAGATGAACTTTGAGGGGTTACTGTATCGTCGGGAGACGTCCCATAACCTTCAACATACAGCACAAACAGGGAGTGGTCCTTTCAAAAAAAGAGACCAACTAGAAAAGGACAGTACTAGACAGGAACTCTAGTCTTGCTCGTCTCTTCGTGTTGAGACTCGGTCGGCGGCCTAGAGTCCGGCGGCCGAGGGTCCAGTACTCGTTCAAAGTTTGCGTTTTCAAACAATTTCAAATTGCCCGCCAAAGTGCACTACATAGGTTGCATTTGCTTTATTATTCAAACACCGGTAATGGTCAGATCAGTGTCAGTTCCGCTGGAAGATTCAAATTGGCGCCAGACCGTCGTCCTCGGAATTCCATCCGTTTTGCGTGGATTCGGGCGACAAAACCGTCGAAATCGGCGTCTTCATATCCTCGTCTTTTGCGTTGAAAATGAAAAATTTGGCCAGATTTTTCGTCGGTTTCTTGTCTTTTTTCTCCTTTTTTCAGGCTTTTTTATCTGGAAATAACTTCTCGGAGACGTTTGACTGAGTTAATAAAACATTTATTAGTAAAACTTTAAAACAATTTTTTAAAATATTCCTCTAGGAGACATAATAGAATCGCTGAATCATCTCTGCTCATTTCTTGATTAATTTCTGGCAGTGTGGAGAGTAGAGAGGGACGACAACGAGCGAGCCGTTCGAATGCTCTCGTGGTCAGTCTGCAAAAACCAACGAGTAAGAGTCATCGGATGATGTGCACTCAATACCTCTTTTACGTGGAACGACTCTCTCCATTCTCTGAGCTTGCTCAAAATCGATGCAGTGAACGTGGCGTCGGCCGTCTCGGCAGCCCTCTTATTCACATATTCGATCACCTCCCTCCTCACATCCTCGCCGACTGTGTCGTATTCGGCCAAGTTTCGCAAATCAGTCACGCACGCAACATTCTGCTCATCCGTCATTTCTTCATCCTCCCATGGGAGACGAGTCGCCAGGATCTGTGTCAAGTAGAGCAGATTTCCACCATTGGGTCCACTGAATGCTCCGAATCGGTACTTTTGCATCTCGCGCACGAATCTCGGCAGACTCGCCAATTGGTCTTGTTGAATCATTTGGATGAGCAGCCAAACGCCGGCAAAACAGCAAGCACGATCCGTTCCCATGGAGCTATGCACGAACACCCGACCCTGTAATCGGATACGGTCGGAATGAGTTCCCTATATTGCTCACCACTCACCTTTTTATTTCGGAGTTTATGGATCACCGTGCAAATGTCCTCAATGAGATCAGAGTCGAACAGAGACGGAGTCATTCCTTTTTTCCATTTAGGAAACTGATAGACGGTCACCAAGTGCTGGCAAGCCTTTCCATCTACAGGTCCCGTAAGGAGGAGCTCCTTTCTGATCACCTCCTTTCCATCGTGTCTCTCCAACACTTTCACTGCGATGTCGCCAAACGATAAGACCTCATTCTTGTCATTCGGAATGTAATTGGCCCAACGTATCTCTCCATCCTCGACGTTACTGCCGCACACAACGACAGTCTCGATTTTCATCTTTATGCAGTTGATGAGCAGATCTTGTCGGGTGTCTGCCATATTTTCGGCAGCGCTGGAAGGTCCTTGGCCGACGAGAATGGGTCTGTCAAGTGGCTGAGAGATCTCATTCATGTGGAAGAAGTTGCTGAGTCCTTTGATGGATTGGGAAACACACTTCAATCCGCCGCTGAAAAAAAAGTTCACAGTGAAAATGAATGCAAAATATGGCGGAAAAAACCGGCATCTGTCCAAATGCTTTTCTCCTTCAATGAATTCGTTTTGGCCGTACTCGTCCACACGCTCCGCTGATGTAAAGTGGTCGAACCAATTTGAGACTGCACTTTTGAGCCGCTGGATCAAGGCACCTTTCACTTTCAGTAGAAGAAGTGGAGAGTATCCCCAGTTGCTCACAAAATTCTTAACATTATTTGGCATTGAGATCTCTGCGATGGAATCCTTCCGCGCTGAAAAATTTCGAAGATCAGTGTTGACGACAGATTATGGTGACAATACCAAGCGCCTGGGCTTTCCTCCTTTTTTCACAAATTTTCTTAGCCTTCTTCTTTCTTTCTTCTCTTAGCCTCTGAGCTTGCAGAGTTCCTGTGATCCCGTGTCGGTTCGGCTTCACTTGTTCCCTTCGGTTCCTAAGCCTATTTCCTTCAACATTCTCTTCAACATTCTCTTCCACAATCGGCTGCTGTTCATTTTCTGCTTTAATAACGGCTTCTGAGTCTTTTGGCTTCTGGAACTGCTGTTGCTCGTTCACCGTTTCTCCTTTATTCTCTTTTTTTTCATTTCCCGGTAGATCAACGACCGCCTCGCTTGGAGCTTCTTGAGTCTTAACGTGGTTTTCATCGGTCCGATCGATCAACAGCGTCTTTTCATCCGATTTTGCCTTCTTCGCCCACCATCTACATCTTTCATGACGCCAACACACTAAAAGAACGAGCATGCCGACAATCAACGCGACAATCACTGTAAAGATAGGAACATCCCATCTGAAATCGAAAGTAATAGAAGTCATAGCTGTTAATGTTGAGATTACCCCATGTAGGGGGTGGAAATGAATATGTATCCGGCAGTTGGAGTGGCGATTGTAAACGGAGACGAAGTTCTGAAAAAAATAAGTTAGGGGATGGAAGAGCCGGAAAGTTAGTCCACTCACGGAGAAACAATTGGCTTGACGGTCGACGTTGTTGGCTTCTTGGCTGGCGGAATCGGAGCATTTGGAATTGGAGCAGACTTGCTGACGTTCGCGAAAATCGTATCCATAGTGCTAAGACTGGTTTCTACCGTCTTCAAAGATGGGCCGAAACGGGAAAAGTCAAAGTCGGCACTCTTCACGGCGATCAGAGCTTGATTCACAGAGTCGACGAGTGTGGCTGTCGGAGAAACCGTCTTCAGTTTTTCCAATGCAGACAGCCTCGCCTCCACGTGCAAATCCACTGATTTCATATTGAAGAAATGACTGAAGAAGAGCTTCCACTTTGCAAATCCAGAAGTCGTCGCTCTTCTCATTGTTTTCGGGGAAATCGCGCGGTCCTTCCGAGTCTTCAGATCGAGGAGCAGTTCTGTCACCTCCGTCTTGGTCTGATCGAAGTCGCCCCACAGATTTTGAATCTCCGCCTTCACACTCGGATCTTGGATCTTCGCAATATCGGCGGTGGCCTCTGATCCGACCTCCAGGAAGTTCTCGAACTTATCCTTCTGTTTCAGAGCCTTGTCGACGTTCACCACTGCGTGCACCGAGTCTCCGAACACTTTCGCCTCTTTTCCGAGTCCTCCGAGTGCCTTCAACTTCATCACTTCCGCCACGTCTTCCTTCTTCTTCATCTCGTCCGGCACTGAATCCAAAGACTTCAGAACTGGTTTCGATCCGGAAATGGCGTCGGTGACAGTCTTCAGATTGGCGGTGAATTGGGTGTCCTTCCCGAGGATTCTCATGTTTTTGGTCACTTTGATCGACGTGCTCAACGATTGCATCTTCGGCGCCAGTCCCTTATAGCACTCGAACATTTGCACGTAGTCTCTGCTGTTCTGCACAAACGTGTCAATCTCCGATTCCTTCCCTGCGAGCTCCTCGACCAACGGCGGCAATTCGGCGGCTTTCAGTGTGGTTTTGATTTTACTGAGCACGGATTTCAGGCCGACCAGAGTGGACTTCATTTTGTCGAGGTGTGGGAAGTCCTTTGCTTTTTCAATGATTAACTTCAGCTCATCTACTTCAGGGTTATTTGGGTCTTTGAAGACGATCAATTGAGCCAGTTGGTCGAACGGATCAATGTACTTCAGATGTTCGGCCTGTTCCAGAGCTCTCAAGGCAGGAACAAACTGGACAAGATGATCGTGAAGAGAAGTCGACGCCGTGATGAGAAACGTTATGGGGTGAAACTTTGAGGAGAGAACAGGAGCCGATAGAGAGCAGCTGCTCATCTTCGAAATGTCGTCGGCAGAGATCTGGTCCACCGAATGAACCTTTCTGATGTCTTTGTGCACAAGAACAGCTCGTCTAACAGCTTCCGATTGCGCAGGATCCGCGAGCGGTTTCCAGTTCGTCTCCAGAGACGTCGTCTTGTCCGCAACGACATTCAGAGGCTCCAATCCAGACGAGACGACGTTCGAAGGGAATCCATCATTGAGTGACGTCTTCTGAACATCCGTCGGCAACGTCTTCAGATCGGCGTATCCGTGGACATATCCGGAAGTGAAGACAAGGTTCTTCTGGGCAGCAGGATCAGTCTGGGAGTCCACAAGTGCCTGCATGCTGGCCAGGTCCGGACGGATGGCTTCTGACTCGTCAAAGAGGCCCCTGGTGGACGAGAAGCCGGTGAGCAGGTCATCCTTTTCAAGTTGGTCGAGTACAACCAACTCGCTCGATCTTCTGAAGTGATTATCGATAATCGCCATTATCTGGCCTTGTGACGTCGCGGAAAGCGATCCAGTGTCCAGAAGAGGAGCGTACTTCAGCAGGATCTCGAAAAGCTTTACAAATTTTTCGATTTCGGTTTTGTACGACGGCAATAATTCGTGGAGGTTCGAATAGTATGGTGTGTAATAGTTGACCGATTTGCTGTTGTTGCTGACTGATAATATAACTTTATCCAGATTCAGGATAACTTTCTCAATGAACGGAAGGATCGTGTCCAGGCTGCTCACGTCGATTGGGTCCTGTGAAATCGCATTAACGTGTAGGAAGTAGTCCTTGGCTTTCTTCATATCGCTCACGGAGCTGATTTTCTTGTAGTGGAGAGTCCATTCGGTCACCAATCCAATCATCTTCTCGGCCTTCTGTTCCGCTTGATCGTCGAGCATTTTCAGCGCCACTTCCTTGACTTTCCCGAAGAACGCATTCACTTTGATATCATCGAACTGCGCCAACTGTTTGAGATCGGAAGAAGGGATTCGCATCAGTTCGGAGAAGGCCTTGTCGGCGGGGATCGATCCGTCGATGAGTCCGTTCTGGAGGGCAATCGAAGTGACGATATGGGCAGTCCCACCCAGTTCCCCGACCATTCCGTCGAAGTCGGTGGCTGAAAATTGGAAAGTGTTCTGATTGGAATTCGGACGGGGTGATCGCTCACGTTGTGCGGCTCTCGGCTCCCGGACGCCAGTTCCCGATGCACTCAACCCATTGACGGTCCCACTGAAATCGGCGACTGAAAGATACAATTCAAAGTTTTGTCTGCAATCAATCCGACGGCGATTCCACTCACCTCGTGAGGCTTCCGCCTTCCCGACACCGACTTTTGGTCCGGATTCTGGGCGATTGACGTCATTAACTGTCGCGTCGGAATCAATGTCTAAAGGAAACGTTCATTATCTGTTCATTATTATCAACTTCTGAAATTGACGAAACTGATAAAAAATATTTGAAAATTGTATTCAAACTCACGTTGAAAAGCTATTTTGACGGCAAATATAACAAAGATAGTCCAAATTAGAAAGCACTTCATTGTATTTCAACGATTGAGTCTGAAAATCGGGAAAATTAAGTGGAGAAAGGCTGATGCCACGTGGCAGTGAGCGAAAAAGATACATTGTCAACTGGAGAGTCATTTTCTGTGAAATTCTTTCGAAAACATCCGTAATTTTACACTTTTACTATTCGAAAATTGCGGAATTTTACGGATACTTCAGTACTTTAGTGAATTGGCGAGTAGGCTATGATTGGATTGTGGGAAAATTTGATTTTTTATCGAGGAATTTGGAGGTTTTACAAGTACAACACGAAATTGTCCTTTTTTCCACTTCATAACAAATTTTACCTAGGAAAAGTGACCAAGCAGCGTGCTTCTATGAAAGATGTCTGAAAAATTAAAATTGCAGACAGGAAAAGTCATTTGCAAGCGAATCATTGTAAATCTGAGAAAATCAAGGCGAAAAAGAAGACGTCTTCTCGAAAAAATCGGAATGAATAAAAAAAAAAGACGGGCGGCGTGCCACGTGGCGTGCCACGTGGCGTGATCTACTTTTCAATGGAGCGCACTTGCATAGTCAAAACGTGGCAACTGAAATTCAACGGAAAATGACGGCTTTTTCGGAGAATCGACAGTGCAAGTTCACAAAAATGTACAGAAAGAATGAAAAAATGATTTTTATTGGCTAACAAATTAAAAAACCGGGTGAAAAGAGTCAAAAAGCATTAAATTCGAAATACAAAAATGATTTCCGACCTGCACCTCCTGCGAGTCGACATCCGCACGAAAATTCAAATTGTCGCCAGACCATCGTTTTCGGAATTCAAAAATTCTAAGTTTTCTCGAATTACTTCCAATTTTCCAATTTTTGTCGCAGTTTGTCGCAGTCGCGTACCGCTTCTAAAATTCGAATCAATGGTCTCAACGTTCTTAAGAGTCCTCTCGTCAATTTCTGAAATTGGTCAATCGATAATTTGAACTTTTGAAACTGTGATAGTGTTATCATTGATCATTTTAATCTTAAAAGAGGCGATTATCATTTAATACAAGGATGTGTCAGACAGTTCTAAAATGATAACATGTCTTAAAGTGCAGAGGTCATGGCATACTTATTTTATGTTATTAAGAAAGGTGAAACAGTCAGATGTAACAAGTACATCTCTATTCTTCAATGTTATCAATAACTGCGCTTCTTTTGTGCGAAACCGAGATTCGAGTGACCCGGGTGTTACCAAAATCGAAAACATGACAATAGTTTTCGACAAAAGCATCGCCAAGAATCCATTTCGGATCCCCTCCGTCTCCACTCGTTCCATAGAAAGAAAGTGCGCATTGACCGTTCTCCAGGTCCAAATCGACAACATAATCCTCGAATTTGATGGTATATTAAAACTTATGTCGCTGAACAGAGCGTCAAAAGTTACACCTTTGGACACTTATATCTCACAATTCAATGATTTTTTCAAAAGCTGGTCAACCGCAAATCTCCAATAACCCTCCTTAGACCTAAAAATTTATTTCAACTGCATGCTGTGCCGTTAAATTTCTACCGTACCCCGGAGTGTCGTACGGCACATTGTTTAGCGGAGAAAATCCAGAAAAACACTCATTCTTCGTCGTTTTTCTTCGTTTTCTTTCAAATTTTCGCGTGTTTTCAGATGTCGTGGCACGTGTGCACCATCTGCGACGGCTGCATCGACAAAGGCACACCAGAAACACCGAAACTTACCGTTCAAAAAGTTGGTTTTGTCGGAAAACCATTTTTTTTTTTAGAAAAAACTGAATTTCCAGAAGGTAAACTACCACGAGGCGTCAGAAAACCGTCAATTCCGCATCACAATCGTTCGGCAGTGCGCGGAGGCAACGGAAAACGGACTGGAAGCGCTGGAAGCGGCCGATCCGGCGGGGGACGGCCGGAAATCGGAATCCGTTCATTTCTATGTCGATCTAACCGAATTGACCACTATTTGCCCGTATTTTCAGCAATTTCAAAAGGTTTGTGCAAAAGCGTGAATCGAAACATGAAAAAAACTAGGAAAAAACATGATTCTTTAAAAATCTCTGTAAAAATATATATTTGCAGCATTGCTACGTGGAATTCTCGACGAACTGCACATCCACGTGGATCTCATCCACTTCAACTTCCTCTTCCGCTCCGTGCCCCGCCCACACATTCTCGTCTCAGATCTCCCCGCGCTCGTTCCACTCTTTCCTCGAATCCGCGTGCCCGGCGCTTTACTCGATCCGTCCGGTCCCGCTTTCGCTCGATTCGGTGCCGCCGGTCCTCGAGATCCTCTCCCACTTCCACTCGGAACCGCTTCTGACCAACTGCGAGCGCTTCCTGATGGCGGTGCCATTCGGATCGCTCGACCCGGCGCTCCTCATCCGGATCCTCCACCGCGGACTGTGCGTCAGTCTCGACCATCGCATTCTCGCCCGAATATTGTGCGTCTGCCTCATGAACACCCACAAAATGGCCGACGTGTCGCAGGAGTTGCACGGAACCGTCGGCGCCGTCTTCGCACAGGCTTTCGTCGCGTTAGTTGTGGGGGGTTTTTGGATTTTCTCTTAAAAATTTTCAGAAACGCTGCGAAAGGGTTCCGACACGTGAAACCGCTGGAGCAGGAGTCGCAATTGTGGCCGGAAGCGATGCGGAATCTGATGGGCGGCGCCGATTCGACGCGGAAAAACGGCCGGACAGCCGAAGCGGAACGGACGCGGAAAGAATCAGCGGAAGGGATGCGATCACGCCAACGAATCGTGCGTTTTTGGCAGGGCTGACCAATTGACCTCGACTTTTGGACGACTTGCAATATACTGCTCGGACCCAAACTTTGCAGCCGTATTGGACTTGGATTCAAGTATACTGGGTTCAAGGTTCAGACCGATCGGATCGTTTACTGTCGATATATAGTGCTTGAGGGCCAATTTCAGTCAATGATCCACATATCTCGGGATCAGATGATCCGATCAAGCTGAAACTCGGACCCAATATACTCGAATCCAAGTCCAATAAGGCTAAAAGTTTTGGTCCGATCGGATGATTGCAAGTGGTCCAAAAGACCAGGCCAATTGGCCAGCCATGGTTTTTGGGGAAAACATTCGGTGAGATTTAAAAACAATGATTTTTTTTCCAGATTCGAGTGCATTTTGTGCTTCGATCAGCGATGCGGAAAGTGCAAGGGAGAGACTGCCTTTTGCTATAAGGTTCTTTAATTTTTGAATTGAATTGAATTGAAAAAAACGTGAGAAACTCAAAGCTCAAACAAGTTTTTGTTTGCAGGCGCTGGACAATTTCCTGTACGAAGTGCGTGTGCAGCTGTACCCGCACACGTACCGACCCCATTTGGACCGTGATTTGCTTCGCGAGGACCGCATCAACGACTACATTCTCCGTCACCAACTGCAGCCGCTCCCCTAGAATATTCTCGTCTTTTAACCGATTTTACACTGTAAATACCCAAACTTCCGCCCGAAATGCACCTTCATATCATGTTTTGTACATATTTTTCCCCTTTGAGAACAATGTGGCCTACGCGCAAAAATGCACAATAAACAAACATAGAAAGGGGGTGGCACTGTCTCCCCAATTTCAGTTCTGAACCTCAAAAACTGAAATTTCTCAGTCATTTTTGCATTTTATGAGCTGTCTCTGTGCTCAAAATTACCGCCGTTGTCTGCTGAACAATCGTGAGGCAACTATTTTCTGAAAATTTCCGAAAGCTTCGCGAAGGCGAGACAGTTTTTTGCTATTTTTTCAGCCTGGAAATGACAGAGACCGAGCTGAGCTCGCCGACGATTTTCGAAATAATGAAGGACGAAATAACGGAGGGAAAACATGAAAAATTGAAAAAAATTCGAGGAGTCGTGGAATTTCACATTCATTTGGACGGAAAAGAGCGCGCCGTTTGGAGTGAGTTTTTTTTTCGAATTTCAAAGAAAAATTGACCGGTTTTTCGAACGAACGACCTGCTTTCCGTTGCTTGAGAAATTGTAAAAGGTAGAAGAGAGAGAGAGAGAGAGACGCAGACGGTTGACACTTAAAGGCGCATATCATCAAATCTTTCTTTCTTCTTACTGAACTGAACGAATAAAGCAGACTTGCCAAATCCCGGGCCGGGCCAGCAAATCGTCGGCCCGGAAGTTAGACCTCAAAAAAAATATGCAAAAAAAATATGAAGGAAGAGGAAAACGCGTGCGGCAAAATTGCTAAAATGGCGTGCCAGAGTTGCAATCAATCGCTCCGCCCACTCTTGAGAAAATTTTCGTAATTTTTGTGAAAATTTTGCGACTTTAAACAGCAATTTTTTTAGGTGCATCCTCCCGGGCCGGGCCGGGCCGGAAAATTTCCAATTTTGGCCCGGCCCGTTGCAAGTCTGGAATAAAGGTAATGCCGAGATATGTGGCCTAAAAGCCTTTCTCGGGACCGGATAATCCGATCGGTCTGAAACTTGGTCCCAATGGCCCTCAATAAAAGTGCAACAAACCTGCAAAGTTTGGGTCCGATCGGAATGATGCAAGTGGTTTAAAAGTGCAGGTCAAGGGTCGACCAACGAAAAGTCCGTTTTTTCAGCCATAGATCTCCGCGAATTTCCCGGCCATGTTTTTGAGGGAACATCGCCGAAAGGGACCAGAATAAACGCGACGGTTACGGTAAGTGCTCGCAAAGAAAACATTTCAGAGAAAAATATAAAATTTTCAGATCGAGGACGACAAATTCGTAAAACTGTGCCTCGGCGAGCTGGAACCAGTTCAGGGATTCATGAGCGGAAAGTTCAAAGTGAAAGGCGACATTTTGATGATGCAAAAGCTGAACACGGTCATGAGGGGCGTCCGCAAAAGTGTCCTCTAATTTCTTCTTTTCGCTCGGTTACTTTATCTGGAAGAGTACAATAAAACTGACATTTGTGAGGAGAGTGAAGAATAAATTTGCAGAAAAAAAGATGGAAAAATGGCAAAAAATCAATGTGAAAGAATGAAAATCATTCAAATTTGATAAGTGATTCGGAAGTGTTCTTTTTTTTGGGGGGTGCAACTAGAAGGCCTTCAGGTGAGGAAATTGACTAAAGTTGGGGAAGAAGGGTCAAAGACCGGTAAAAAACTACCGTAATCTGGGGTGGGGAGTGGAAAATGAGGAAAAAAGAGGGGGCAGAGAGTCAATACATTTTGTGCAGATAGCAGTAGTTTTGTGGTTTTCTCTAGCAATTGCATCCAGAGTTCTGCTGATTTTGCTGGTTCGAGTTGAGACGAATTTGGTCCGGAAATTCGGGGAAATCGTTGGTTTCCTGCAAGAATTGGTATATTTTAAGGAAAACATGAGATTTCGACACAAAAATTACACCAAATCGCATTGTTCGTGATATTACCTGTGATTCTCTGGCGAGTGCGTCGCGAGCGATCGCAAGGAACGCGGCCTCGACGTTGAGCGCCTCCTTTGCCGAAACCTCGTAGTACGGAATGTTTCCCTTCGTCTGGCACCACGATTGGGCCCTCTTTGAGGAGACGGCTCGCTGCGCCTCCAAATCCACCTTGTTTCCGAGCAAAACGAACGGGAAGTGGTCCGGGTCGCGTGGGCTGCAAATTCGAGACATTTACAATAGTTGAACCAATTTTAAGGGAATTTGATTCTGTATCGAAAAACCGGGCACATTTTCCGGTTTTTCAGCGCTAGAGTATGAAAATCTTAATTTCCGCTCCGTTCTTCGCTATTTCCACGAACCTCGCCTGAATGAGAAACTCGTCGCGCCACGAGTCGAGCGATTTGAACGAGGCGGCGTTAGTGACGTCGAAAGCGAGCACGCAGCAGTCGGCTCCTCGGTAGAACGCCACGCCGAGCGACTGGAAACGCTCCTGGCCAGCCGTGTCCCAAATCTGAAGGCGAACATTTGAATTTCAAATGAAAATAGACGAAAAGACGACTATTCCGAAAAAATTACAGCAAAATCTACCAGTAATCTGGAATTACCTGAAGCGTGACAGTCCGATCGTCAATATTGACGTCACGAGTCAAAAAATCGGCTCCAATCGTTGCCTGAAACTATTTTTTGAGCAACATTCGCCCGGAAATCCATTTCTCACCTTGTACTGATTGCTGAAGCGCCGATTCACGTACTGATTCATGAGCGACGTCTTTCCGACGCCCGAATCGCCGAGAATGATCACCTTGAGAAGGGCCTTCTTTCTGGTTCCCGACATTTTCGCAAATTATTGATTGATTGCGGTGAAAGCTGCAATGTTGGCGGGAATTATCAGGAAAACGGCGGGAAAAAGCGATAAGAGAATGACGATAACGAGGTATCAGGAGGATTTCTTGGAAACCTCAAGAATGAGAAAATTGTAGAAAAGTAGGAGACTGACAAATTTTTGGATTGAAAACCGGCATAAAAACAGGAATTGATTGTTCAGAAAGGCGATGAGCACGGGAAAGAAAAAGAGAACAATGTGGATGAAAATACAGAGTATAATACAGTTCTGACTGGAAAAATAGAGAGTGTCAGAGACGAAAAGTGGTTAATAAAAAATGAGGAAACATGATGAAAGTGGTGGATTAATCGGCCAAAAAATTGCATTTTAAAGGTCAAAATCGCGATATTTGCCGATATTCTCGGCCGGATGCCACGTGCGGTCGGGACAATCGTAGTGCTCGTGATCCTTGATCCGATCCGTCGACAGCACGTGCAAAGGGTTGAACTGACAGAATTTCGCTTCCAATCGCCGCGATTCTGTGCTAGACTGAAAGAAAATGCGGTTGAAACGGCATATTTTAAATTTCCGTGTTCTTTTTGAAAATCAAAATTTCCGACGAATTTCCGGTTCAAAAGTACACTTCCCGATCACAACGTTCAATCACAAGATAAAGGCGGACGTTAAACTAAATCACATGACTCGATCAATCAATCGGTTACGAAATCAATCAATTCTATCACTTTTTCATTGAAAAAATCTCATTTCCGCCCCATTTTCCGGGCGACAAACCTCATAGTACCAGTTGGTGATGGGCCGTGACTCAGTCTGAAACCGTTTCGTCGGCTTCACCTGGTACCCGTGTCCCATACTCGACTTTTGATGATTTTGATGAGTGTGTGAAGGTCGAGGCGCTGAAAAATTGCGAAATTGAGGGGAACAGTAGAGAAATGTGCTAGAAAATTTGAAAAACTGGAAATGCGCAAAAACCTACGAAAAATTAATTTTCACCTAGAAAATCAGAAAAATTCAGCAAAAACAAAAGCACAGATTTTTTTGTAGAAAATCGTTAAAAAACCAATTTCAAGTCTGAAAATCGGTCAAAAAGTGCCCTACCGATGGCCCGATTGTTCTGGTGTTGTCGGGACGCTTCCGCCGGCTGCCGATCGGCCATTTCTGCTATTGTGTCGATCTGAAACAAAAGCGACGCGTATTCTTTGTGAAAAAGTGTAAAAGTGCACGTGACAGGCGCCTTCTTGTCAGCTGTCTGCGCCCCGAAAAATGAGCGACAGCGCACGCGACGCGACACGCACGCTTCTCAGTGGAGCGCACTTGCATCACCGCACATGTGACTTTGACGGTTTTCCCCACCGAAAATCGCCGTTCTTTAAAGGATTCGAAGCTAAGAGTTCGGACAAAAACAAGAAATTATCAACTATTTCCCAATGAGAACTGGTTTTGAGCAAGCGGAAGTACAAGAAAACACACCACTTTCAGATAGAATTCCCCATTAGCGTGTTCGTCAGAAGAATGGTCAAAGTAGAAGCGGCGCCGTGCTCCTAGAGCTTCCGAACAAGAAAAAGACGGGCTTCTGGAAGATTTTCTGTGTTTTTTGGCTGAAAAAAATACCGGTTGGAACAAAAACTCCGATGGGAAGGTTAACAATAAAATAAATGGCAAGAGGAACAGAAATATAGACGGTGTGGACGATTACCTGTCAAACAGTTATGAGAAACGAAATTGCAAAAGTTTTCCAAGAACGCGTCTCAACGCCGGCCGGCTCTTCCGAATGTTGATCACCGCCGCGATTGTGCAATAAAAGTGCGAAGAATCCATTCAAATTATTAGAAAGCACACACACACACACGCACACACAAAAAAATAAAGAGTTCACACATTTCGAGCTGTCCTCCTCACTTCTTCTGGCTCTTCTTCGACTTTGACTTGTCTTTGGCGGTCGTCGTCTGGAGCACCTCCACATTTTTCAACTTCTCTTTCAACTCCTGCTCGGCCTTGGCTGCATTTTCCCTTTTTCTACGGGCTAACTCGTCTCCGTTTGTCCGGAAGCATTATAACCGTCTCGAACGAACGTTCTCTGTTCTTGCACAAAGTGATCGATATTTTCAACAATAACCCTTTCGCGGTGCGTATCAGCCTGGAAGCAAAACAAGCTTTTTTGTCAAACAGATACCATTTTCTCACTCTCACTGCCATTATCATTTTGACACTCATATTTAACAGAGAAGTATCCGATTTGTTAGCTGTTCGGGAACGCTGAGTGGCAGAAATTGCTTAAACTTTATGAGATTTTAGCGCAAAGTTTAAGCAGTTTTTGCGCAAAATTTAAATTAGATATTGTATAAAGTTAAAGCAATTTCTGACGGACACTATCTGTTAAATGGATTTCGATTTAATTAGAGCCAATTTCCGGTTGATTTTGCTCGCTGGGCCCGAAAACGCTCAGACTTTGCAAGTACGCTCCAGTGAGAAGTGGGTCACGCCCACGTACTTAGCGCACCGCCCGTCTTTTCTCATTTTGCAAATCAATGGCTTTTTCGAATAAATGATCGGCGTTTTTAAGTTTTTTGGCGCTACAACAGATTATAACTTGAACGAAATAGAGCTGTTACGAATTAGAACGAATTAGAAGCTTGACATGACCTCTGGCTACTGCCGGCCAATGGTCATGTCAAGCCATTGTTCCTTCCCCCACCCACATTCCCCCTCTTTTTTTCTCTTCTTTCTTTTTTGTTGTAATTTTATTCCTAGGTGGCTGAAGAGAATAAATGAGTTATTATTATTATTAACGACGCTAAAATTCCGTTCAATTTCTAATTCGCTGTAACGCCGTTTTTTTCCTGCGATTTTCGACCGTTTTCTTGTGCAAATGCACGTGTGTTCATTCAGAACTCCCGCCATAAAAATTTGAATTTATTTTCAAAGGGCGCTACGCACCGATTCAAAATTTTCGTTTGCCGCCTTTTCGCCGGCGTACGCCCATTGGCTGCGTGTCGCCCCTGTGCAAACACCGTTCTAGATATTTTGCGTACTTGGCACCAGATACTACGCAAATTTTAGGCCAGCTGTTTATTTATTCAAATTAGAGAGTGCGAGATTGAAGAGACGCCGACGATGTTCGGTAGGGCGCGCTTGCATGCGCGTAACAGTTCGAACGCTCGTGCAAATGGTGTGTGCACTTTCCGTTTCGCCCGCATTTTGAACCCTTCTCCCAAACATTTTGGAATTTTTCCAGAAAATATCCGAAATTTTTCGAGTTGTTAGTCTTCTAGTTGAAATTGTTCTCTCTTTGTGTAAATGTGTTGTTTTCTTGTCAAAAAGAGCACTTTTCCAGAAATTTACCGCCGCGGCGAGATCAAAAAGTGGTAAATACCGATTTTTCAAGAAGATGTCTTCTTTTTCGCCTCGATTTTCTCAAATTTACAATTATTATCTTGCAAACGTCTTTCCCTGTTTAAAATTTCACTTTTTCAAACATTTTTTTATATAGAAATACGCCGGTTAGTCTGTTTTCTTAGGTAATATCTGTTATGAAGTCGAAAAAGGGGAAGTTTTACATGTTCTTGTAAAAACTCGAGAGTTCACTCGCTAATTTACTAAATTACTCAAATATTCGTGCAATTTTCTGCAATTTTCTCATGGTAAAAGTAAAAATGCCGGGTGTTTTCGAAAGAATTTCACAGAAAATGACTCTCCAGTTGACAACGTATCTTTTTCGCTCACTGCCACGTGGCATCAGCATTTCTCCACCTAGTTTTCCCGATTTTCAGACTCAATCGTTGAAATACAATGAAGCGATCATCTTTGTTATATTTGCTATCAAAATAGCTTACCAACGTGAGTTTTGAATTCAATTTTCGAATATTTTTGAACAATTTCGCCAATTTCCGAAGCGAATAATAATAATAATGAACAGATGCTGAAAAGCGAGAAGAGAGATCGTGGGGAGTGATTTTAGTCAAATTCAGAACTGTGAACCGTGTCTTTCAGACAATGATTCCGACGGGACCGTTCAATCGCCCAGAATTCGGACTAGAAGTCGGTTTCAGGAAGACGAAAGCCGCACGAGGTGAGTGGAATCGCTGTCGGACTCTTTGCCACGTGGCATCCAATGTTTGTGTATCGATCTGTAAAACGAAATTAGGTTTCCACTGTTTTCGCCTTTTCCTGAACACACTCGCCGCTATTGTTCGTTCGTTTTCGTAGAGGTCCCAAACTGGTTGGAACTTACTTGTTAGTGTGACCGTCTGTTTATATCGGGAGACGAACGAGACAATAACAATGTGTTCATCCTGCGTGCTGAGGGAGAAAGCGGGCACTGATAGTAGGCAGATACGGAAACAGGTTCGAAATCGGATCGACACGAAAAACGGTGTTTCCCTGCCGCACTTCTCTGAGCACTATAAAGCGCACTTTTGTGTTGCCACTCTGACGCGTTTTCGGTGCGTTCACGCACAACTCTTCCAGTTCTATTGTCGATTTGCAGTCAATTGTCTGACAGAAGTGTTCGTGGGGGGCGGCGGAGGAACAATGAAAATGGCGCGGAACCAACCGAAAAAGGGGGGTCCTTGTGATGTAAAACTATTCCATTTTCACTCAGTTTGTCCAGTTGTCTATCTCAAGAATTGGATTGTTGTTGGTTTTGGACGTCGCCAAAACAAACTTTATTTTAATCCTACAGTATCCGGCCGTAGTCCTAAAGTACAGAACTTTAATAGTAATCCTTGAATCTACGGGTATCATCACCCTGGTCCTGGTCGCAGAGCCTACAGTAATCTTTAGCATGTACCGTTTTTTTTGTCCCAGTTTTTGGTACGGTATCCTAACTTCTAGTACCCTTTACTACCGTAATCCTTTGCTTGCATACGACCCAAATCTACAGTAATAGCAAATTGTGAAAGCAGAAATGGGTACAGTAATCCTTCATTCAACTTTATAGGTTCAAATCTACAGTCAAACTGCACGCTGGGATACTGTAGAATCATCAGGAGCTACTGTAATTCTACAGTAACCTAAACAGTAATTTTGACTACCGTACTTACAACTACAGTAATTCTTCAATACCTCTCTGTAGGATTACAGTAGCTCCCAGGATTACTGTACTTCATCTCTCTCTCTCTCTCTCTCTCTCTTTCACTCCCTCATTTTCTGACGTAACATTGGGCTATTCAGTCCGGTTACGGTCCTCCTCCGTCGCTTTTCCGCGCGGAAACAGTGTCAGTAGTTCCACTTGTTCACTATGCAAAAACATCTGAGAGAGAGAGAGAGAGAGAGAGAGAGAGAGAGAGTAATCAAACGGGTTTCGATTAGACTGAACATCTCCTTCTTCTTCTTCTTCTTCTTCTTCTCCCCCTCCCTCTTCTCCTCATTCCTTGTCTATAATTATGAGAATTAGGTAGTCTACTCGAAAGGATCTGGTGGTAGGGGTTACTGTAGCTGTAGTTGACGTTGCAAAAGGTACTGGTTACTGTAGTTTGTTGAAAGTCTAGTAGGATACCTTATACCTTACCCTAGACTATTGTAGAATGCCAAAATTTGGCTCAGTAGGAGTACGGTAGTTGTTTTTGGCGTGGCAAGAGGTCTAGCAGGATTACTGTACATCTAGCTGAATTTTTTCAAGGTACGGTAGTTGTAAAGGCCACTGTAGATCCAACTTTTCACGTGCCATGAAACCAGCCTCTAATCCCAAGAAATTCGAACCAAAAACGTTTAGATCTACTTTGAAGCTCAACGTTAAGGTACTGCCCCGGATTACTGTAGCCCGTTGACAAGTGCCCCCTCCCCAGTTGATATTGTCGTCTTCCCAAAACATAATCACAATCAGGCTAATCAGTGTCCCCGTTGATTCGTTCGGAATCCGCCGTCGGAATCCTGTCATTCTGGCGGCCCCCTCCTCCGATATTTCGGTTTTATCGGAACAAGCGAGAACCGGATATCTCTGCCTTATTCGACCGACCAACCGAAGAAGAAGAAGAAGAAGAAGAAGAAGAAGAAGGAAAAGGGGAGGAAAGCGGCGGCCGTCGGTTTCGGTTATCGGCGTGACCGATTCAGTTGAGACCCCCATCCAGCTGCGTCCGATTCTAGCCGGTCGGGTTCTCCGACGCAGATTTGTGCGTTGACGCAATCTCAAACGTCGATGAGGAAGGTCATGATGCAGTTTTTAGCGTTAACCCAAGTTATAAGAGCAATTATTTCTATCTGCCCTTTCTCGAAGCGTTTCTAGAGTTCCGACGCAGATTTATTCGTCGAAAAGCTTGAAAAGTTCGCCGGTTTCTCGCCGTTATCATCGAAATGTCTTATCAGAACAGCCCTCTGCTATCTTTCATCTCTTTTTGTTTCCGGTTGTTGACCGGTCAGCAACCGGACTACAAAGTGTCCAGTTGCAAAGTGTCCAACAAGATTAGACTCCTAGTACCTAAAAGTTCCTTCCGATTATTCAGTTTGCCCCATCTTTTCATTGTCCAATTTATTGCCTCTTTTCAATTCTCTCTCTTTCTCTCTTTCTCTCTTTCTCTCTTGCTCTTTCTTCCCTAAAATTGGTGCTCGTTCACAAGTTTCCGGAAAGCCGGCGGTCCGTCTCCGCCGCCCAAATCCAATCGTCTCCCCCTCCCTCCTTTCCCCTTTTCCTTCCATTTCCTATTTCCCCTCCCGCTTCTTCTTCTTCTTCTTCTTCTCCTTCTCCTTCTTCTCCTTCTTCTTCTTCTTTTCCGTTCTTCCCCTCCTTATTTTGCTTTCGCTAATCCCTCTCCCTTCTCGAGAACCTTCGTTCCGCGCGGAATACTGACCGTCAACGCGGAAAAGGAAGAGGGAGGTACACTTTGCAACCAAGTATCGCAACTTTTGGATGCAAAGCGTCTTCACTTGAGTTTGGACGTTTCGCAACTGAAGACACTTTGCATCAAGATGACTTGTTCTCAAAGATTGGACGTTTTGCCACTCAACTCATCATTAAATCCAAGGCGATTTGTTCGTCATCGCTCGTTTTTTCTTTAGATTCTCTAGCTGAACAATAGTTGCAAAACGTCCATCTTATCAAAAGTAAAGTGGACAAGACGTTTTGCAACCATCTCCTGTTTCCTTCGCATCTCCCTTTTCTGCACTTTTGGACAGCGTTGTTTTCCTCTAATCTTTCATTTTTTACAAAGTTGCCTAGTTGCTTGGTTGCAAAACGTCCAGTTTTGATTGCCAAGTGTTCTTCAGTTGCAAAGTGTCCATGAGACGCTTCGCAACCATCACTACGTCCGTTTTTTCTCCACTTTTCTTCCACTCGCCTTGCCTTTATCTTTCCGGTTGATTTCAGTCCTCCAGGTGGAATATTTCCAGTTGCAAAACGTCCAGTTGTGGTTTCCAAGTGTCCATACACTCCTTCCGCCTCGATTCCGTATCCTAACGGCCTCAAGATTCGTGCAAGAGCCCATTTCTGCTCCATCTTCCGGAAGTCTCCCTCCCCGTTATTACTCTCTCTCTCTCTCTCTCTCTCTCTCTCTCTCTCTCTCTCTCTCTCTCTCTTCCTCTCTCTCTCCGGAAGCTTTTCCGCTTCCCTTCCGCGTCCATTCCGCTCCGTCTGTTCGCCTAATTTTCGTCTCACCCCCCACGACGACGGCGTCGCCCTTTTCCGGCAACAAGAAGAAGAAGAGAGAGAGAGAGAGAGAGAGAGAGAGAGAAGGGGTTGCCGGACCGGAATCGGAAAAGTGGAAAGGGAAAGAGAGAGAGAGAGAGAGGGGAAGGCTACCAAGACGAAATCTCCGTCCTAGTGCCCGTTTTCCGCCGTTTTGACTTCCGTCTCGACAAATTTCTGCCCACTATGCCATAAAAATGAATTTTTTTTTGTTAGAAAATTATAATGTCAATCCACTTTCCATTTTCTCCGTTTCCATGGTTTCTCTTCTTTCTCATTTTGCACTTGTCGGTTAGTCATGAGCCTTTCAGTTTCAAAATTGCAAAAATTACAATAATCCTACCCGTCCTTACCTTACGAAAGACAATTTTTGGGAAAATTTCATCAGCCAGAGTGCCTTCTGAGCCCATAAATAGCTCCTTCTCTTTGATGTTCCACTTTTTCGCTTCCTGGCGGTCTTTGTCCGCAATTTTCTAGTGCGACGGCTAAACATTTGCAGAAAAACGCCAATTTTGGAAGTTTACAATAGCGGGAAACATTTTATGAATATTGGGAAACTGTGGACGGATACTGCGCTTTGTGAAACGAGATATCTGTGTCAAATTTGTTTTCTGAAACCTCGCCTCGGGGCCTAGTACTGTTTTTTTGTAGTTGATCACTTTATTTTTCTTTCTGGAGTACTGCAGTCTCTGGAAGTTGGGAAGCGTCCAGTGTCGGTTGCAAACTGTCCTGCTGGACATTTTGCAACCATCCCTAAGTTAGAAACGATCCGAAAAAGTTGGAGCTCCTCCCGCTGTTCTGTAAAAAACCGGAAACCACTTACCTCCTCCTACCTAACCCCGTGGCCCTCCTTCAATAAAAATCGGAAAAGTTTTGCGTGGCGCCGATCGGGTTGGCTCACAAACTTTCCACTCCCTCTCTCTCTCTCTCTCTCTCTCTCTCTCTCTTCTCTCTCTCTCTTTCTATTGGCACTGTGTGTGAGCCGATCGGATTGCGCAATAACCGGGGAGAGGGGAAGAGGCGAAAGTTTACTTTCCACTAATTTTTGTGTTTGTCTAACCCCGTGTGCCATTGGGGACCGTGCGCCCGCCGGTTTTCCGTTCTTCTCTCTCTGTTTGTATTACTGTAACTACTCTCTCTCTCTCTCTCTCTCTCTCTCTCTCTCTCTCTCTCTCTTTAGCCACCGCTTACTTTACTGACAGTTCTTGAAAGAGAAAGAGAGAGAGAGAGTTGGTTGACTTTTTTTCGATGACAGCCCCTTTGCCCCCAAATTCCGGGCGGCGCCAAGATCCCCCGGAGTTGGGTTTCATTTCATTTCGGTTTTTTTGTCGGTTTTCTCTACTTGCGACTCTTCCTACTTTTAGCCGTTTAGTACTGTTTGTTTTTCAGTAAGTAGACGTTTTGCAACCAAGACTTTTTGCAACTGGACAGGTTGCAAAGTGTCTGGCACCCAGAATCTACATAGTAAAACCTTGCAGGTCCTAGAGCTTCGAACGTTCAATAGAAAAACTTGAATAGCTCAGTGGCAAAGTGTCCTGGTTGCAGAAAGTCCAAAGCCCAGCAAACTAAAGAAAACGCTTATGCCTTTAGAATTTCAGCTAAACTCTCCCATGGTATCAAAAATTGTAACGGTTTCAAAACGTCCGCCAGTTGTGAAGTGTCCAGAGTGTCTAAGACCTACCGTAATCAAAGGTTCTCCTGTAAAAAGTTATCAAATCACGCACAAATGATCAGGAAGAAACCACCGAATGTCTCCACTTTCCAACACGAGCGGTCCTCGACCGACCGACACAATCCAGTCCCTCTCTCTCTCTCTCTCTCTCTCTCTCTCTCTTTTCCGCAATCCGGATTTCTTGCCTTTTCGGGTGGAGGGGGGCGCCGCGGATCAACGGCTTCTTATCTGATATGATTCGCTTTCTCTCTCTCTCTCTCTCTTCCTCTTCCTCTTCCTCTTCTTCAACGGAAGAAAGCAGTCTCCTGACGACCGGCCCAGACACCACTCCCTCCTGCTGTGAAGAAGAAGAAGAAGAAGAAGAAGAAGCGGATACGTTTGTGGCGGGAAATGGCGTTAGTTTCCTTCCTTTTCCGCGACCGTTTCGGCCTGGTATCCAATTGGGACCGAGTTTTCGGTTTCTAGGCCATCTAGACATGCGTAGGACCTTCAATTCTCTCAGTTTTAGCGTTTTCATAACAGTTTCGAGCCTCAAATCAAATATTGTTCAGTTTTCCGGCTCCCATACCACTTTAGAGCAGTTTTTGGGTTCTCTAGACCACTTACCGATCTGTTTCCACTTTTTTTGGGTTCCAAGCCATCGAGGCCCGCATGTAGACTTCGAAATTACAAAAAACGGCAAAACTGAAGATTTACGGTTTTCCTAGGCCATTGAAACGGTAAAAATTTCCCCAAAAATCAAGACATTTCGGTTCCTATACGCTTTTTGTCAAATTTTCACTGAAAATACCTTTTTTCCACTCTTTTCCCCAAAAAACTCTAAAATATCCGATCAGTTCCGATATCATCAATCGTCTCGTCCGCAAAACCGTAATCGGTCGGAAACTCGTTGACAACGGGTCTTATCACTCTCTCTCTCTCTTTCTATTCAGCTTCTTCTTCTTCTTCTTCTTCTTCTTCTTCTCCCCTTTTTTCCCTCATCCGATCCGTTTTTAAAAATCGAGTTCGCTGCGAACACCGTCACAACAAAATGCACACTTTTGAGCCTATCGAAATCCGCCCCCCCGAACCGATGGGGACCGGAAAAAAATAGCCATCGCTCTGTTTTCTCCTTGATTTCACCCCGTTTCCCCCGAATTTTTTGCGTTTTTCTCCGGGAAAAACGCCCACGCAACCGGTTTTTGGTAGTTTATCATCAGATTAGATTACGTACACTCCGATGATGGCGTCTTTTGGTGTTGTAAACTTTTTATTACGTAGTACATACATGTATGTTGACTGGAAAACAAGGAAACGGTTTCGAAAGGGGGGGAACTTGAAGAGTTTTAGGTTTTAATGTGGAAATTCAACGTTGGCACCTCAGAATCCCTTAAAATCACGTTTTGTAGGTTACGGTAGGCGCAAAAGTCTGCGGTCCGCCATTTTAGCGTCATGGTGCATGCACAGCTCCATTTCTGGCGACAACCTTCACAAAAATTCCGAAAATCATCTCGTTTTTCTCATCGATATTCTTCAGTTTTCCCTCCATAACTCTCCCCGATTCCACCACTTTCTTTGCAGATGGCGTTCCAGCCGGCGTTCAACGCGCGTCTCATCAGTGAGGTGCGCAAGTACCCGTGTCTTTACAACCACTCGCGACGTGGCAGCGGGGACACGATGGAGAGGCAGCGGCTGTGGGAGTCTATCGCCAAGAACATTGACGCGAACTGCGCCGCCGAGTTCGCCAAGAAACGGTGGTTGCAGCTGAGGGACCGCTACCGCAAGGAACTCAAGATCGCCATCAAAAACGGGTTCGTGACGCCCGTCCGGTGGTGTTATTTCAATCAGTTGTCCTGGTTGGACCCCTATTTGAAGGATAATATGTGAGTTTTTTTGGGGGGCAGCAAAAATGCCCGACAAAATATTTGGCCGATGCACCAACCAACCATCTCGTTTTGCAGTGGTCAAGTGGCGGACGAGGGCAAGAAGACGACAATAGAGGAGAGTTCGTCGGCGCCGTTCAACTGGTTCGGCTTCCCTTCGCTCACGACGATAAAGGACGAGATGGAGGACGAGGACAGCGAGGATCCGGCCCTCGAATCGTCGGTTCTGGACCGTCTTCTGGCACAGACCGCGCAGAGATTGGACAGTATTTCGCCGGAGATCGAGAACGACGAGTCGGGGACGCAGTCTTTGGACGGCAACGATCGGATCGACGTGGAGGGCATGGATTCGGACGAGAAGTCGTTGAAGGGCGAGCTGGAGGAAGAGGAATTGGGCGGCGAGGTCGAGGAGGAGGAGGACAAAAAGCCGGCCATCTCTTCCATGTTGGAGGTGCTCCAGAAGCCGTCCGTCGAGACGCTCATCGCCGCGAATCAGGCGAGATTCGCGCATCACCTCGCCGCGCAGCTCACCGGAATGTCGTCGATGCTCCATGGCGCGAAGAAGTCGGAGAGTGCGGCGACGCCCATTTTCAAAGAGAGCTCGTCGCCAGTGCAGCAGAGGGCGCAGACTCCGCCCCCTTCCACCTCGTCCAATGGAGCGCACTTTCATCCGTACAAAGAGGCGATGCTGCGGAATAGACATCATTCACGGCAAGCAGAGCAGTTGATGAGACACCACTTGCAGCAGGTACTGTACTTTTCTGGGGGCTCTTGAAACATTGAATATTTTTCAAATTTTCCGTTTTTCAGGTGGGTCGTGTGGCTCTCGAATGGTTAAACGACGAGGATTTGTTGTACAGCCGAATAATTGGCCTCAAACTGAAGAAAATGGATCCGAAGAAGCGAAAAAAGGTGGGGATTATCGATTATTTGCACAATTTCGCAATCATCCGTAATTTTGCAGGTGCGCGACCAAATAATGTCGCTTTTGGAGGAGACGGACGACGGCGGCGACAACGAGGATTCGTGCAGTTCGCACAGTCCGTCGGCGCGGGACCACGACGAAGAGTGCCACGTGGAGCCGGCGGAGAGCGAGGTGTCGCCGACGTCTCTGCAAATTTAATTCATTATCGATTTTTGTTCGCATTTTTCAAGGTGCTCAACTCGTAGAATGTACTTTCTGTTAGTGATGTGAGTTTTCGTGTGTCTAGTCAGCGCATTTTTCACTTTTCTCGCGCGGGAAATCCGAATTCCCACGTGAAACCCTACTTTTCCAGTTCTTGCCTGTATATTTTTGGAAACAACAAAAAATTATGAGAATAAAACGTGTATTTTTTCGACGGACACACAATTATTGCTGAACAATGAAGGTTCCGATTCACGACGACGGCGCCGGCGGTTTTCGCACGAAATGGGAGGAGATGACGACTTGCAAATGGGTACGGTAGGCACGAGTGAGCCCAACCCGACCACAATTCGCAGATTATCATCGGTGGCGGCTTTTTCTGGGCCATCTTCACTCTTCTCCTCGGATTTTACAACTATTGCGCCATTCAGAAGCCTTCGCCGGCCATTTCGTTCGAAGAAGCGCTTTGTGCGGTGCGTTTAACGGAAAAAAACATTTCTTTCTCAAACTTTTACCTGTTTTTGCCCTTCTAAAAGCCAAATTTGCCCATATTCAATTCAAAAACAAGATGTTTCCCTTCAAAATTGAAATTCCACGAGAAGGTCAAGTCTGCAAGTCCAACGGTGTTTGCAGATTTTCATTTACCGTAACCTGAAAATGTTTTTTTTTCACATGTGTGTTTGCTGAAAAACCGTAAAGTTTAGCCGTTTTGCAGATGAAGAATTACAAAAAAGTTGATAAAATTGCAGGAAGAAGAAGCGTTGATGTCGACGAGATCGCAAAATTCGCACAGATCGGCCAAGTAGTCGACGAGAAGCGCCAAAAATTGAATTTTTTTGAGAATGCGCTAATAAAGAAAGGTAGATCAAATGTTGTGTTCTTTTATTCAAAAAAAAATATATCGGCATTGTTCTTCGATTCTTCCGCCTTTCCGATGATTCACTCAAAATTTGCATAATCCGATTGAGAAATGTTTTTTCGGCGAACAAAAACCACATAAAAATGACGCATTTTTAAGGTAAAAAATGCGAAAATTTTCTTTCCTCATTACCAGTTCCCTCAAAAAAGTAAACTCTCACTGATTCTCAATCTTTTACGCAAAACATAATCCGAGATTATCGCTAATTTTTCGACACCAGAACACACAACGTTTTTTTTGGATATTTTTGATCTTCGGCCTATTTCTTTAAATTGTTTAGGCAGATTCAGGTGTCAAATCCTCTTTATTTCAATTGTTATCCAAAAGAAATTCATATTTCGTTGTTTGAGTCCTAAACGGTCACAAATTGTACATTGTGTCCGGCGATTTATAGATTTACGTTTACAAAACTTTTTTTTGTAAACAAAAGTATTATCTGTTCATCTAAACCAAATCTCTTCAGTTTGATCGTGAACTTTCGGTGATTTTTTGATTTTTTCTGCAAAGGATTACTGTACTCTGCAAATTGCCGTTGGATCGAATGCTTTGTGTGCAGTCACGTGCGTTTCAGTGCCAAAAATACGTTTTTCAACGCGAAAAAGTGGCGCTGAACAAAAAACAAGCACTTTTCGGGTTTGGCCTTTTGAGCCGCCCATGTGTTCGTCATTTTTGCCATTCCATTGTAAAGTTTTGAGCTGATAAGATATTATTTATAGAAATTTTTATGGCACCAACATAAGGAGAGAAATGACCTTTCTAGTAATTCTTGAGGCCAAAAATTGTGCGTTTTTTCATTTTCCCATCAAAAACTGGAATTTCAGGCCAATGTTATTGTTCTTGAAAACAGAAAGCAATGTTTGCCGTTGTGATTGCAAATGTACCATGCTTTTGGCCTACTCTGACACAAAAACAACAAAAAATCGCAAATTTCTCCGATTTTTCTGCGCTTCGGCTACAACATTGTCACTTTTATTCGTCGAATCACCGCCGTGACGGCTAATCGATTTTCCCGGTCACATTTCCATTTTTTCTTCGTTCATTCTCTTTGCAAGTGTCATTTCGCTGCTTTTCCTGAGATTTCCGTCCATTTTCCGCCCGACTAAACCGGTTTTTCCTCATCCATTCCATTCCATTCCATTTTCTGCCCGCAATTTCGTCTCTGATTGTCTCGCGCCAAAAAGCGGGGCGTGGCCTGTTTTGATCATATTCGGCCGATGTGCGGTATTTAAAATGAAACTGAACTTCTCACTTTTTGCCATTCTTTGCAGTGAACTTTGGTAATCCGCACCGGTTTTCTATTCGGTTTTATCCCTCCGAACAGTTGAACCGCACACTTTTTGTAGTTTGTGATCGAAATCGTTGCACTGCGCTGGAAACAAACCACGGAAAACACAAGAATCGGAGGTTCTCTCGATAAACGACCCTATTCCAGTTGGCAAATCCAAACAAATCCACTTTTATTTCCTTTCTCTCCACACATGCCTATCAACCGGTTTTTCACACCTTTTCCCACTGAAAAACACGAGTTTTTCACACGGAAGCTCACTTTTTATCATTCTCTCACAAATTCGATCGTTTTAAGACCAAAAAAGTGAACTCAAAACATTTCGTTTCGACACCGAAGAACACAACAAACAAGATCTTGTGATTTATCACTTTTTCCTTCATCTTCGTGCCCATCTGACCTATTTTTTATTCTGAATTTCAGTGCGAAATGACGCTGGCAAGTGTGGAAATGCGTCCGCCGTCCTCGAATTCTTCGAGCGCCTCCTCGTCTGCCGATTCTCGGCCCGCCGAGAAGAACATTTCGATGATCGAATTCAAGGATTCGAGTATCCCATCCACCGCGTCGGCTAGTGGTTCGTTTTAAGACCAAAACGGGTATTGGCAAATGTCAGACTTGTGATGGTTCAGCGTACTTACCTTACAGACTTTTTGGATTTGATTTGAAGTACCTACTTCGATCGGTCTGAAATTTGGACCCTAGGTACTTTTATGCAAAGCCAGGAAGCCTGTACAGTTTGCAACCTTCCAAATAGAGTCGAATGCTCAAAGGTTCAACAATTATTCCTACAGAAAGCGGTTCACAAGAGGATGTGGAGCAGACGGACTGGAGTGCAGTCCTCATGGCCGCCCTCGTCACGTTCATCGCCGCCATCGAGAATACGGTAGTCGGGATGAGCGAGTGGCCCTACATGAATCAGGTACGTTCGGACTGTCTCTGTTTCGAGTGTCAGCCTCAGGCAGAGCTGATTCTTTCATACTCGTGTCCTCAGCGTTAACCGCCAAGCAGAGTTGAGCCGTTCTATGAACATCTTGCTTTCTTTGCTTTTCTCGTCAGGAAATTGACGTTGATGCAAAACATTTCCCGTACTTGCGCTAAGCTCCGCCCTTTTTGTGCTAATTTCGCTGTTTTCGACAAAAACGAATGAATTGCACTTGAAGTCGGCGGTTAGTTACGGTTGACAACACGATGTCTCATGACAGGGCCTAAAATAACAACTGGAATATGAGGTCGGCACTTTGAAGTGAAACTGGATTCGTTTGGGAGTGACTATGCCACATTTTGGTTGATAATCTATCCAATGTTTTGGAAAGATTATGCGATGAACGTAGAAGTGCTAAAAAAAGAATACAGTTTGTTGCAGATCGACAAAGAAGCGGACGCGCAGTTCTTCGGCAACGCGACGGCCGCGTCGAAGCTCTTCCACGCCGTCTCGGCGCTCTTCTTCGCGGTGTGGTGCCAGCGGAAACAGTCGTTCCGCTGGCCCCTGATCACCGGAAGGGCCGTTGCGTTCGGCGCGTGCTGCCTCTATTTGTGCGTCGAAATGTTCGATCACGGAAGGAGATATGTGATGGCCGTCTGCTACATCCTTTTCGGAATTGCGGCCAGTGAGTTTTAGCGCTTGGATGTTAGGGCAACTTAAGTGATAGTACCCCAGAAAGTGGTCTACAAAAATACAGTACTAGACCCCGAAGATTGTACAAAAGAGGCTACAATACTCATTCTCAGGCAGCTCGACGATTCTGCGTGCCTACGTGGCCGCGCTTTCCGTGTCCAAAGATCGTCCGCAGGCCTATTCGGCCCTCCAGGCCGCCACAATGATCTCCATTATTGTCGGACCGGGTAAGCCGTGGAAAAGTAACATTGCTTCTTTTATAAAAAAGGTCTCCAGTGATCCAGGCGGCGTTCTCCGCGATCGTCTACCCGGGATACGCGCTGTTCCTGCTGCCCAAAATCAAGTTCCACATTTATTCGGCGCCGATTTGGGTGGCCGCACTCACCAACTTCGTCTCCGTCGCCATCATTTGGTTCCTGCTCAAAGAGCTGCCCAAGCGAGCCAGGAACACAATGAGTACGTAAGCCAAATAACGAAAAAAGTGAAAGCTAGTTGAAGTTTGCATTCGTCGTTTTGACATCAATTTGAACTGAAAATTGAGTTTACCGTTTTGAAAACAGGTTCTGGCTGAAATGTTTCGATGTTTTCTGCCCTAAAATCCTTTTTCCATTCCAGAACACAATCAATCAATGTTCACGATCGCCGGAATGACGGCCCGCATCGAGCGCGTCTCGGCGATGAACCTCAACTGGCCGGTGGTGCTCCTTTGCTGGCTGCAGAAGATGCTGGCGACGCTCTCGATAGTCACCCTCACCACACTCACCTCCATCATCTTCCTCACCAACTACGGATGGGGCCGCGAGCGCACCGTCCTCACCATGTCCGTCACGATGGGCGCCGTCGGGGTGTTCGCCGTCGCCATCGCCGCACTCTACTTCTTCTGCAAACTCGGCGATTTGTAAGTTGTGCAGCATATTGTTCTTATTTTCGCAAATGCGCTCCGAACGAGACCTGCCGTCGCGAGCTTTCGCCGTTCATAATATAATAATAAGTTTATGCTCACAGCCTGCAACAACGCTGGGCGTTCCTCATCGGATTGGTGATCTTCCTGTCGATGTACCTGCTGGCGTTCCCGTGGAGATTCGTGAGTCGGCCGGTGGCCGCGTACGACGTGGCGGCAGACCTCGGCTGCAACTCGACCGTCTACTCGTGGTGCGACACCTCCTTCGCCCCCGCGCCCCTCGTTTTGCTCACCGTCATCGCGCTCGTCATGGGCATCGGAATTCCGCTGTCGATGATCGCGTTGGACGCCATTTACTCAAAGTGCTTGGGTCCGATTAACCAGGTTCGCGTTTTGCTGCAAGTTATTTAGCAGAAACAAGTGAAAATTAAGAATATGCATTGTTTGTCCTTGAAAATCTGCGAAAATTTTAGGCCACATTGTTCTGTAACGTAGTTTTTTGTTTGCAGAGTGTGATGCAAGGAGCCATGATTGTCGCCGAAGACGTCATTCTTATACTCGGACCGATTTACTCTTCGTATGTCATTTTTTTCAAATTTTTTGCCAGAAATCAAGAATAACCGATTGAAAATGGCAAAAAACGAACTATTCCCATTTTTGCAGCGGAGTATACAAACATTTCGGCTTCGAGACGTTGTGGACGTGCAACGGAGTGATTGTGTTCGTCGGAACGCTCCTCTGGCTCTTCAACTTCCCAAAACTCGAGCCTTTTTCGTAAATGGACAATATGAGAAGGGATATTCATTTCTTTAAATTCTATTGTGATAATTTATGCATACCTTGTATTTAGTTTTGGACCGCCCGGGTTTTTATTTATTTGTTGTCGTTTTAAAATATAAATCAGATTTATATGGGAAAAATGTGAAAAAGAGAAGGTTCCCTCGCCCCTCACTGGCCGCCGGCGACCTTTGAAGTGTCGTGGCCGAGATCCACACCCTTGTCAATGGCCTCTTGGCCCGGGTGCGAGTGCTGCACGCGTAGCGCAGGCGGGAAGAGTGCCGGCCGCGCCCCGGTTCGATTCTCACCAACATTAATGTTGCCGAAGATGAGCAATTGAGCATATCACTGACTGTTGGTGAGGTGTATTTACAACCTGAGGCTTTTTGTTTTTCATTTTGGAAAAGAAACAGTTGTGTGGGAAACATCGAAAATTCGCGGTAGATAACGTTTTCACGAAAGAAATTAGAAAAAAACACTATTCAGTGTTTTAAATTTATTAATTTTTTACTCTTCTCTGTTTCCAGACGTTTTTCCGTTGTTTTTCCAGCAAAAACATCGTGTTTTCAGTGTTCTCGCAATAAAAACATTTTCCCGTCTGCAATCCGACGTGACGGTGTTTGCGGAATTGCGCGTCAGTTTCGAATAATTATTTCTTTGCACTGAAAATTTACGGTTTTTGACACTCTATTTTGCACTTTCTTCATTTTTCCTCCTTTTTATATAGAAAGTTAAAGAAATTCATTTTTTCATCCAATTTTAAACAAAGTATAGCCATTATCCACCAAAAATCCTAAGTTTCTCAGATTCTTTGTAAAATTTCACAAAAAGCCAGCTATTTCCCATTCTCCGTCTGTTTCAGACCGAAAACTGTCAATTTAGAATCTGTTAATCTGATTTTTACGCCAGAAATTTCTCAAAAACTTCAATTTCCCTCACAAATTACCGATTTTTTCCCAAATTCCTACTAACCTCTAAATTTTCGTTCAGAAATGTCGGTGGAGCAGTTCATCAACGACAAGCTCCACTCGATCGTCGGCATTTCGGACCGATCGATATGTCAGTACGTGCACGCGCTGGCAAAACAGTCGAAAACAGCCGGCGACCTTGTGCAAAAGCTGCGCGATGCCGGCGACTTTCCCATCACACCCGCAATTCAGTCGTTTGCCGAAGAGCTGTGGACGCGGATCCCCCGCGCTGCGCCGCCCACGCGTCAGAAGGGTCCAACGGCCGCAGAACTCGCCGAGCAAGAGCTCCGACGGCTGAACCGCGCGGTCGGAGTGCTCCATGACGATTCGGGTGGCTTCGAGGCGAAGAGCAAGGCGAAGAACAGTAGAAAACGACGGGAAAGTAGTTCGGACGAAGAGGAAAAGGCGCCGAAGAAGGCGCAAAAGACGAGGAAGGCTGAAGAATCAGACGACTCTGACATTGAGGCGATAGAGGCGAAACTCGACGCGGATCTCGCCGAAAGAGACGCGTTGGCGGCGAGAATCAACAAAAAAGACAAGGAACGGACGCGGAATGTGATGGAGAAGAATCGCGACGACAACAAGGACAAGGAGGGCAATTCGATGGACAAACTGAGGGAGGAGTCGAGGAGACAGTACCTGAAGAAGAGGAAGGTGGACAAGTTGGAGGAGCTGGCCGCCATCGTGCACGACGATCAGACCCTGTTCGCCAATGAGAAATTGACGAAGCGGGAGCGCGAGGACATGGAATACCGCAAAAAGGTGCTCGAGTACGCGACCGCACACGAGAAGGCCGGAGATGTTATGAAGATCAAGAGGTACTTCTTAGAAGACATGCGTGTAGTTTTTTCGAACTTTAGACGCGGCATCATGCGACTTTTTTCAATTAGACAAAACAAGTTTCTATGAATAAAATTGCATTTTTTAAAAGAACCTAAAAAACCTCAGGTACCACCTGCCGGACGCGGGATCGAAGCCACAAGAATACGCGGATGAAGAGGAGGAAGAGTTCCGGCCAGGCGGCGACGGAGCTAAATGGGAGGAGGAGCAGCTGATGGCCTCGATGCTGCATCTTGGCGCGAAGGACCGGAAGCGGAAGGAAGAGGAGTTCGAGTTGCTTCTCGACGAGCAGATCGACTTCATCCAGGCGCTGCAGATGCCGGGAACGGGCGACGAGGAGGCGAAGAAGGAGTCGGAGGCCGAAAAACGGAAGATGAGCATCGAAGAGACGCGGCGGTCCCTGCCCGTGTACGCATTCCGCGACGCGTTCATCGAGGCGGTTCGCGAGAATCAGGTGCTTATTATCGAGGGAGAGACGGGCTCCGGCAAGACGACCCAACTGCCGCAGTACCTTTTCGAGGCGGGCTTCTGCGAGGGCGGCAAGAGGATCGGGTGCACGCAGCCGAGGAGGGTCGCCGCCATGTCCGTCGCGTCCAGGGTCGCCGATGAGGTCGGATGCAAACTCGGAACACAGGTACGGTGGATTTGAATGGAAAATCGGGAACTGTTTAGAGGAAACCAATGTTACTTTAATTCGCATCGCACTGTTTTCTACTGCAAATGTGGCCGAACTTTTCACTTTTCTTCAAACTCGGTCTCGAGATCAGTTTCTCAACAGAGCGCGATTGTAGTGGAAATCCCCCCATAATAAAACAAATTGCAGGTCGGCTACAGTATCCGTTTCGAGGATTGCACATCAGAAAAGACGGTGCTCAAGTACATGACAGACGGAATGCTCCTCAGAGAGTTTCTCAACGAGCCCGATCTCGCTTCTTACAGGTACTTTTTAAACTAAAAATTATCAGCTACCATTCGTTATTACTTCTTAGCCTACTGTATCACCCTGATTTTTCTTCAGAATTTTGCAAAGCCGTTCTAAAAGTACTTCCCTAGTTAGACGATTTTCAACTTTGTTTGCAGTGTGATGATGATCGACGAGGCGCACGAACGTACTCTGCACACGGACATCCTGTTCGGTCTCGTCAAAGACATTGCCCGTTTCCGGAAGGACCTGAAACTGCTCATCTCGTCGGCGACACTCGACGCCGAGAAGTTCTCCTCGTTCTTCGACGACGCGCCGATCTTCCGGATCCCGGGCCGGCGGTTCCCCGTGGACATGTACTACACGCAGGCGCCCGAAGCCGACTACCTCGACGCGGCCATCGTCTCCGTCATGCAGATCCACATGACACAGCCGTTGCCAGGCGATATTCTCGTCTTCTTGACGGGTCAGGAGGAGATCGAGACGGTCCAGGAGGCGCTCATCGAGAAGTCGAAGGCGCTGGGCTCAAAGATCAAGGAACTCATCCCCCTGCCCGTCTACGCGAACCTTCCCAGCGATCTGCAGGCCAAGATCTTTGAACCGACGCCCAAGAATTCCAGAAAAGTGAGTAAAATTTTCTATTTGTTTTTTATCCAATTCCCCTTGTATTTTAAGGTGGTGCTGGCGACGAACATCGCGGAAACGTCGGTAACGATCGACGGCATCAGTTTCGTCATCGACCCGGGCTTCTCGAAACAGAATTCTTTCGACGCGCGCAGCGGAGTGGAGCACCTCCACGTGGTGACAATCTCAAAGGCGGCGGCGAATCAGAGGGCCGGACGAGCGGGCCGCACGGGACCGGGAAAGTGCTTCCGACTGTACACCGCGTGGGCGTACAAACACGAACTCGAGGAGCAGCCGATCCCCGAGATCCAGCGGACCAACCTCGGCAACGTGGTGCTGATGCTCAAGTCTCTGGGCATCCACGACCTCGTCCACTTTGACTTCCTCGACCCGCCGCCGCAAGAGACCCTCGTGATCGCACTGGAACAGTTGTACGCCCTCGGCGCACTCAATCACAGGGGCGAACTGACGAAGTTGGGGCGGCGAATGGCCGAGTTCCCGTGCGATCCGTGCATGAGCAAAATGATCATCGCGAGCGAGAAGTACGAGTGCTCCGAGGAGATCCTCACCGTCGCCGCCATGCTCTCTTGCAACGCCGCCGTCTTTTACCGGTACGCCGGGGCGGAAAAAGCAGACTTGTCAAGTACAAGCCGGGAAACATATAGAAGAAGATCTCAATTTTTTTAGAACCTTATCTTCTCAAAAAATCTAAAATCAGATTTCGTTTGTAGACCGAAAGCGCAAGTGATCCACGCGGATTCGGCGCGGAAAGGCTTCTGGAGTCCGGCGGGCGACCACATCACTCTAATGAACGTCTACAATAAATGGAAGGAATCGGGATTCTCGCAGAGATGGTAATCATCGTCATTTTGCCCCAAAAACCTTTTTTTTCTATCCAGAACAGAGACGGGCGCGGGGAAAAGCGACTAGTGCGAATTCACTCAAGCCTTTTCGGCGGCGGGTCCCGGGACTCCCGCCGCTATTTTTGAGCTACGGTGTCCTTCACTTCAGCTGTGTCGGGGCGTTTGGCCTGAAATTAAATCGCACAGCTGAAGTGATCTACACCGTAATCCGAAAGTCGCGGCGGGAAGGAACCGCCGCCGCAAAAACTTGAGTGATTTTCGCGCCAAAACGCTTAACGTCGCCTTTCGCCCATCTCTGATCCAGAAATCCTTTTCTACTGCAAAAACACGTGGATTTCAGGTGCGTCGAGAACTATGTGCAGCACAGGACGATGAAAAGAGCACGAGACGTGCGGGACCAGCTCGTCGGACTGCTCGAAAGAGTCGAAATTGAGCCCGTACATACCTTTGTGGCTTTTTGGGGTTCTCTGAAATTATTACTTTCAGAAATCGTCGACGGACACGATTAAAATCCGAAAAGCCATCACTGCCGGATACTTTTACAACGTCTCGAAACTCGACAATAGCGGTCAGTTGTGTTAGATCATTTCCCCTGAAAACTGCTCCAAAAGTGACCCGATAATGAGCAACGTCATGATTTTCCCCATTTTAGTCATGATACTAGTGTTCCACACGTAAACATGACGACTCTTTCATATTTCCGGATAAATTTGACACGTTGAGCCTAATTCCCCGTCATTCGATCCATTTTGAGTCTTATTAGTGAATCAAAACAACAAATGGCGATTTTGCAGTGATTTTCCATTTTTTTAAACTAACATTTGACATAAATCCATTAATTTAATTTGCAGGTCACTACAAAACGGTGAAACACAAGCACACGACACATCCGCACCCGAATTCGTGTCTCTTCGAGGAAACGCCACGATGGGTCGTCTATTATGAACTCGTTTTTACGAGCAAAGAATTCATGAGAGAGGTTCGACGCTTTTCCGGACGAATTCCCCCGTTTCTACATCCCTGCAACGCTGAAAATTCACTTTTAGAGCTCTTATTTTAATTCAGAGTGATATTTCCCGCTCAGAATATCATTTCTCAGAAATCTAGGTCCCTTGTCATCGTTTTTCGACAACGATGAGATGCGATTCAATTTGCTATTCCGATCCGATTTGCGCCCTTTCATCCGTTGCAGACGGCGCGTGAGAATGCGTGGGAGTGATCGACTCAAAAATCGCACTCTTCGTGGGAAAATTGTGATGAAGTGCTACTCTTGTAGCCAGCAAATCGTGTTATGTGGCCAATTGCGAAACTTTCGAGAATTTCTGTGCCACGGAAATGACGAATAGCTCAGTCCTCTAGAAATTCGTCAAATTCGTCATTTTTGTGCCAGATTTTCCGGAACTTTTGCAATTTCCAGTAGAACCTCTACCCGACAACAGTAATCCGCTAGAGAGATGACGTGGCATGTTTTGAGACGCTCGTTAGACGCGTATTTTGGTCGATCGATGTTTTTGTGCGAGATTTTTGACGTTTGCCAGAGAGAGAGAGAGAGTAAAAGCCAAAAATCACGCAATTGTTCGTTTGCAGATGTCCGAAATCGAAAGCGCCTGGCTTTTGGAGGTCGCGCCCCACTACTACAAGGTAATTATCCGTTTGTTGCCGAAACATTGTGTCAAACAAAAGACGTTTTTTTGCAGGGACGAGAACTGGAAGATCCGACGAACAAAAAGATGCCGAAGCAGCGCGGAAAATCGGCCAAAGAGCTCGAGCGATGAGCCAAATTTTTGTTGTTGTTTTTAAACAGGTTTCTGTCTTGTTTTCGATTGTGTTTGTAAAAAATTGCGAAGAACAACAAGAGGAATGATTTATTGTTTTAATTGTAATTCACAGTTCTCTGTTCCCCCTTTTCTTCTTCTTCTTCTTCTTCTTTTATTGTTGTCATTTTCACCAGGAGGGTTGCGAGTTGAATCGGAACTGCTGATCGGCTCCGTATCCGCGATAGAAGCTGTTCTCGTAGCCATCGTAGGCGGCCGGATCCGAACGGATGAGACGGACCGAACGCGACGGCAACTCGAAGAGTCCTTAAAGGTTTTGCACTTTTTTTTTGAAACAATCAAATTCGTATAAAATTCATAATTTGCTAATTTAAATCTAGAGAAAAAATTGGCTAAACTTTGAACTTTTTGATCGTAGCAAAAACTCCTATTAAAATTCTGTACACTTTTTCTCTGGAAAAGGGGGTACAAAATTAGTATTCCAAATAGTATATTGTACACTTTTGAGTCAAATGACATCATCTCGAAAACAAAAATCCCTTGAGACTATCAGTACTCTTCCTTTCTTGGAAAGACAATATGAAAAGTTGTGCACTTTAAAGGTGGATTATTACGGTACTGATATAGTTAGTTGTAGAGAATCTACGAAAACCGGAAGTTTTCTGAAATTGACACCCTACCTGGAGCCGCTGAAACTGACAGCATTAGGAGAACGGCGAGCAGGAGGGCGAAGAGCGTTTTGAGCATTTTTCTACTGAAAAAAAAACACAATTTAATAAGATTTTTATAAGGAAAAATGGGCGGCTTGAACGGATTGAACCTAATAAAATTTACCAAGAAACAATAATTTTCCATGAACAAAAGAAATTGAGTTATTCGGCAACCCCCCATGCTTCTCTGAAGCCTCTTTTACGATGAAAACGGGGAGCGGGGCTCCCCGAGCAAATAGGGGCGGAGCCTAAAGTTGTGAAAGTGGGTGGGGCCTTGTGACGGAGAGAAATTGCATTTTCTTTAAAAAATAGATGGCCTAACTTTCTCAATGATGACCTAGAAACCCAAGTGTTCGATGTTTTGAGGGAAAATGGACTTTTACCCTGAGAAATCCAAGAAAAAGCGGAAAACTAGAACACTTTGTTGATGGCCTAGAAACCCAACTCACGCAGATTACGGGGATAATCTTTTGGATGGAAAAAAAGAAGAAAAAGTCATCGAGAATGAATCACACGAAAACAACAGACAAGAAATCTGACAAAAACACATCATATTCTCATTATGGAATCCTCTCGAGACACACAACAATAGGCGAAAGATGTGCAAAACACGGATTGAGGGTTTCTAGGCCACCGACGCGGAAACTTAGGCCATCGCGTTTTTATGAGGAAAAAACGGGGTTTCACGTGGAGAGCAAGACAAAAAAGGGTTGGTAGGTCAGGGAAATTAAGCAAAAAGCAACGAAAAGTCCGATTTGGGAAGTTAGGCCATCGAGTGCAAATCCTAGGCCATTTATCATCTAAGCTACAATATTTGGAATTCTAGGCCGCGGCGAGCACTCCGATTGATTGGAAATTGATGAACGGCTGATCCCCAGTTGATGCGGCGCCACTCTAATATTATTTGATTCTCTAAAATCCATCTGACAATCCCGTCTTATTTGTGGAGGAGGACCCCGCCGGATTACTGTATTTCGTATAAAAGAAGAGCACCGAGCGATCTGGTTGAAAACTGGCCAAAAAAGAAGCGCGGAAGAATGCTCACGAATTTCTGGAATTTCGTCTTTATTTTCATCATTTTCTGCTGGATACCGCCCACGCAATCGGCGGACAAGATTACGGTAGGTGGCCTAGGTTTTGCACACGGCCGGTGGCCGAACTTTTCCATCTCGACTCATTTTGATCATTTTCGAAGCGTCGAATGTGTGCGAAAACAAAACAAAACCTAAAATATGAGTGAGTCAGTCACAGACACGGAACAAACTTTTCGGTCACGTGACCCACCGAAATTTGGCCAATTTTCAGTTGAAAATCGGAAGTATCGGCTCGAAAGAAAACGGAAAAATGTTGGCCGATATTGTGGAGATGGCGAAGAGACGGATGCGCAGAGAAGCGGTGCTCGACGACGAATTCGACATTGAGTAAGGTCGGATCACCACGCGTTTTTCCATGCTTTTCATCGCCAAACATTTTTCGTGCAAAAAAATCGCCTTAAATCGCTCGAAACCAAGAATGCGCCAGGGCACGAGAAACGCGCCAGGGCACGAGAAACGCGTCTTCTTCCAGAGTTCTGAACGTGGAAGGGTGCGGAGCGTCGTTCGAAGGAGTCGCCGCCGCCGCCGAACTCTATCACGTCAACAAAGTCGACGCCTTCTTCGGACCCTACTGTACTAAAGGTACGCGTGGCCTAGCTTTTCCTCTTCCCCGCCGCCCTCAACTTCCATTACGCATTTGTTAGCAATAAAAAGGCGGGAAAAATGCAATTAAAAGGGGAAATTCCGTGAGAAAGAGCCAACAAGTTTCACTTTTAATGTCATTTCGACGAGCGGCAAAACGTGCACATTCATTAGAACGCAAAAACGGAAAAAAAACGGGAAGGAGTGACGTTTTTGTGAATGTATAATATCAACTTTGTTTGGTCGATGAGTTCCTAGCACTTATTTGCGAATATTATGCATCTTTTCGAGGTTTGTGTATTAGATGGATATAATTTGAAGAGAAATGGGAAAATGAAATGTTTTTTTCCATTTTTCCACTCAAAAGTTCAACGTGAAGTTGAGCATTTTTAATTAACATCCTTTTCTTCGAAAATAAAGCCGCCGGATTGCATAGAAAAATGCTCCAACTTTGAACGGGTACTGTAGCTTTAGGAGACGTGCTATTGAGACCAAAACGTTTTTGAGTAATCTTGGGGTCTAGTAGAGTATTTTTGTAGTTGACACTTTTTCTCTAGAACCTCTCCCTCGAGTACTGTAGATCTTGGAAGTTCGGACAAGTTTAGTGTACTAAAATTGTATCCTAACTTCCAGGGACTACGGTACTTTAGGCTGCGGGTGTAGGAGAAATGTGTCAACTGTGAAATTTTAGTACTTGCTATAAACTTTACTTTTGTAGTTGATCACTTCTTTCTAGAATCACTCCCTGCGGTACTGTAGCGCTTAGAAGTTGGGCCTAGTTCAAGGCCGTTCAAAACTGCTCAAACTTCCAAGCGCTACAGTACCCCAAGGATTGGTCCTAGAAAAAAGTGACCAACTACAAAAATACACCACTAGACCCCAAGATTTCTCAAAAAAAAATTTGGGACCGATACCTCGTTTCACAAAGCTACAGTATCCGTTCAAAGTTGGTCCATGTCCCTTGGTCCTCTAGAACATCATAAAAACGTTGTTTTTTGTCAATTCCAAATAATCACACTTCCAGAGCTGTCCCCGGTGGCGACAATGGCCTCGTACTGGAATATTCCGATCCTCGCCTACACGGCCATCTCCTCCGACTTCTCCGATTCGCGAATCTACAAGACGCTCGTCCGCACCTCCTTCCAGTCTCTCGATTCGATATCCGACGCGACCGCCGCTTTCCTGGCGCACAATAATCTGACAAAAGCTGCAATCGTCTCGAATATCGGACCGGATTCGTTCGAAAAAGTGCAAAATTTGGAGAGGGCACTGCGGGAGAAAGGGATTACGGTAACTCGGAGGGTCATGTTCGAGGAGGCCGCGAGTGCCGAGGAACTGCTCGATAACGGGTACATGGACGAGTTGAAGGACAATAGTCGCGGTGAGTCACAGATCATTTCCACGAGTACTGTAGTCCTTGGAAGTTGGCACAACTTTTGAATCGCCTGGAGTAGTCCCAACTTCAAAGAGCTACCGTACTCCAGAGAGTAGTCCTAGCAGAAAGTGATCAACTACAAAAGTAAAGTTCACAACGTGAACTATCTTTTCATAGTTGACACTTTTTTTCTACAACCACTCTCTGGGGTACTGTAGCTCTTGGAAGTTAGGTCCACAATTTCAATGCACCAAACTTGTCCCAACTTCCAAGAGCTACCGTACCCCAGTGAGTGGTTCTAGAAAAAAGTGATCAACTACAAAAATACAGTACTAGACAAGATGTATTCACAAAACAATTTTGAAACCAGTAGCACTTTCCCTAAAGCTACAGTACTCCTACAAAATTGGTGAGCATTTATGAAGTGAGCAGGAGTTCTTTTGGAAAACAGCAATTTAGCAAAGTGTTCATTGAACTTCCCTTTCAAAATCTGTTCTTACAGTAATCCTGCCGGTGTTCTCTTCCACTCGAGACCTGTCTACCGTATTCCGCAACGCTACCGTACTCTCGCAAATGTCCTCCGCCGATTTCGTCTACATTCACCCCCTAATGCTGACGAAATCCGCCGGCGAGCCGCCCGTTTTCTACGGAAAATCGTCGCAGACTATTGTGAAATCACAATTTGCGAACACAATTCAAATCTACAACTCCTACGGATTTTCCGACGATTTATTGGATGAATTTCTGAAGACTTTCGAGGGAAAACGCGTTTTTATCGAGGAAAAGGACCTTTTCAACTATGTGGCACTTTATGAGAGCTTTTTGGTTTTCGCGAAGCTCTCGAAAAAGTATCTGGGAATGAAGGACGTGGAAACGGATAATAACGGACGGAAGATCGATGGAAAAGCGTTTTGGAACATGGTCAGAGGGACCACTTTTGAAGGTGAGCGCTGAAAAAAGCTGTGCTCCATATATTGTCGCTCTATTTCTCATTTTTTTGTTCTCCATTCAAAGAAACTTTCAGGTGTTCGCGGCAACATTTCGTTCGACAATTCTGCTCAGAGAATGAGCTCGTTTAGCGCGTTTTATGTGGACTCTCGAAGGGATCAGGTACGCAATTGTTTAGAGCGAGATTGTTACAAACAAAACGGTTCAGATCCGAACAGTAGCTCTCATAAACTCGACAAAAACCGAAAAAAATTGCGGAGAAATTGTTTGTGCCGAGCTGGTAAGTACCGTATCTTTGAACGGGTACTGTAGCTTTAGGAGACGTGCTATTAGGCCCAAAATCGTTCTTTGAAATCTTGGGGTCTAGTAGTGTATTTTTGTAGTTGATCACTTTTTTCTAGGACCACTCTCTAGGGGTACTGTAGTCCCTGGAAGTTGGGACAAGTTTAGTGCACTAAAATTGTGTCCCAACTTCGAAGAGCTACAGTACTGCAGGGAGTGGTTTTAGGAAAAAAGTGTCCACTATGAAACTTTAGTACTTTCTTTGAACTTCACTTTTGTAGTTGATCACTTGTTTCTAGAATCACTTCCTGGGGTACTGTAGCGCTTAGAAATTGGGACGAGTTCAAGGCCGTTCAAAACTGCTCAAACTTCCAAGCGCTACAGTACCCCAAGGATTGGTCCCAGAAAAAAGTGATCAACTACAAAAACACACTACTAGACGCCAAGATTTCTCAAAAATTTTTTGATCCTAATAGCACGTCTCCTAAAGCTACAATACTCGTTCAAAGTTGACCGGTTTTTTGACAGGTCGTAAGTGACGTCGTGACTAAATACTGGTCAACTTCCACCGGAAAACTGCCCGAATCGGAGCCCGAATGTGGTTTCAAAGGCGAAAATTGTGATTACACGCAGACAATCGTCCTCTCAACCGCTATTGTCTGTCTGACAATGTTGATCATTCTTGGCTTCTGGCTCAAACGCATTTGGTTAGTAATCGTTCATTTGAAAAACAATTTGTGAGTTTAAGTGAAACGAAGCAACTCGAAAAGATGCCATGGCGCATTTTCCGTGGCGACGTGCAAATTCTGGACGAGGAACAGGCGAAATCCGTGATCTCGATAAACTCGAACACGACGAAGATGTCACAAGTGGAGGCGAAACTCATCAAAAATCACGCGATTGTCGGAGTCAACACTCACGCAGTCTACGATATTTACGAGCAGAGACAGGCGATTCGGTTCCGCAGGGACGACCTGATTCTGCTGACCAAGGTGCGCAACTTTTCAGACCACTCGCAAAAAACCGAATTTATCTGTGCTCTCAGTGAAGATATGAAAAAGTTGTCAACTGAAAAAATGTTCAGTATGACATTTTGAACATTTTATTAGTTGACAACTTTTCGGTATCTCTTGTGGCTACGGAGTTACATGTAGTTTTGCAGATGAAACAGGCGGTGCACGACAACATCAACCCGTTCATCGGAATGTCGTTCAACGAAAAGAGCGAACTGCTCCTACTTTGGAAATTCTGCTCCCGCGGCACCCTCCAGGACGTCATCTACTGTGAGAAGTTCGAGTTGGACGAGAAGTTTCAGGGCGCATTTGTGCGCGACATAACGATGGGACTCGAGTATTTGCACTCGTCGCCCATCGGCTATCACGGCGGCCTCGCCAGTTGGACCGCGTTGATCGACAAGAACTGGATGATCAAACTGACCGATTACGCGGTTTGCGATCCGCTCAAACGGTGGGAGAAGCACGGACGCATCGATTGTAAAGTGGACAACGAGTCGGAGCAAAAGTGGCAGAAATCGGGTGAGCCAGTTTGGAAGAGCGGTGTGAGAAACGTGCAAATAAATTGTTGTCAGCAAGTCTATACGTGCCTCCGGACATCCGCACCGCCAACGAGACGAATCGGACGCGTCGGATGGACCAGCAATGGCAGCATCAGTCGCTTCTTCGCCGCCAACAGGCCGACATCTACGCGTTCGGCGTCATCATCTACGAGATTCTGTTCAGAAGTATGCCCTACGACGATCGGCTCGATCTCACAGGTTCGTCTTCTCATTTTGCACAACGACAATATCATTGCATTCACACGTTTTGAAGAGTTGGCGCAGAAAGCGGCCGAAGGCGAAAAGATTCAGAAGCCGCAAATTCAACGCAACAAAAAGTTGAATCCCGATATGATTGCACTGTTGCAGGTGAGTTAGGGGGGGCCTAGAAATGCCCAAACTTTGAAGGGGTACTGTAGGCTTTTGCAGACGAACTATTGACCCCAAAATTTTTTTGTAAACAAACCTTGTCTAGTAGTGTATTTTTGTAGTTGAAACTTTTTCTCTAGAACCTCTCCCCGGAGTACTGTAGCTCTTGGAAGTTGGGACAACATAAGTACGCTTAAATTGTGTCCTTACTTCCCAGAGCTACAGTACTCTAGGGAGTGCTTCTAGAAAAAAGTGATCAACTACAAAAATACTCTACTGGACCCCGAAAGTTCACAAAAAAAAGTTGGGACCAACAGGACATCTCGCAAAGCTACAGTACCCGTTCAAAGTTGACCAACTTTTCAGGACTGCTGGAGTGATCAACCCGACATGCGACCGACGATCCGGCGGGTCCGTTTGGCCACCGAAATTGCGCTGAAAACGTATCGGACCGCCCAAAAAACCTCCTAAAGTTCCATTTCTTATAGAAAAGGAAATCTGGTGGACAGTATGATGCGAATGATGGAGGAATACGCGAATAATCTGGAGAAGCTGGTCGGCGAGCGCACAAAAATGGCCGAGGAGGCGAATTTGAGGGCCGAGAGATTGCTCTTCCAGCTTCTGCCAAAGTGATATTGTCGAGTTCTCAAATATTGTCAATCTGAAATGTGTTCCAGAGGCATAGCGATTGAGTTAAAGGCCGGAAGGACAGTGGAACCGAAGTTGTACCCGTCGGCCACCGTCATGTTCAGCGATATTGCCGGATTCACAAAGTTGTGCTCACAGTCCAGTCCAATCGAGGTAACCGCGAATGCGTCAAGGCACCAAAAGCACGTCATTGCAGGTGGTGACGCTGCTGAACAAGTTGTACTCGGAGTTCGACACGGTCATCAACAAGCACGACTCGTACAAAGTGGAGACGATCGGCGACGCGTACATGGTCGTCTCCGGCATTCCGACGGAGAACGGCAAGCGCCACGTGGCCAACATCTCCTCGGTCACTCTGGATATTGTGGAGCTGCTGAAGCGGTTCGAGGTGCCGCACCGGAGGGACTACCGGCTCACCATCCGGCTCGGATTCGCGACCGGAGCAGTTGCGGCCGGAGTCGTCGGACTCAACTCGCCCCGATATTGTCTGTTCGGAGAGACGGTACGGGCGTTTGGGATCCTAGGCCACCAATGAGAAAGTTAGGCCACCACAATTGTTTGATGCTCTAGACCATCAACATCGTTTAAAAGTCTAGGCTACCTGATTTGAGCCTACTAATTTCTGTTCCAGGTAAACATCGCCTCAATAATGGAATCCTCTGGGGAGGGCGGTCGAATCCAAATGTCCGAGTGCTCCAAATCGTTGCTCTCCGCAGAGTACCCGGAATTTGTGACCGAGATTCGAGGCGTCAACAAATCTGTGGTACTTTTTTCACCTTCCACCACCACTTTTCCAATGCAAAACGACAATTTGCAGAACAAAGACGACTTTTGCACGTTCTGGTTGATCGGCAAAGACGAGGAATACTTTCAGAAGAGAAACTTGTTGGAATGAGCATTTTTGTGTTTGCATTTATTATTATTATTCTTTCCATTGCATTTATAATAATAACTTTTAATCTTCATTTATTCTATCATTAGAACATTTCAGAACAAATCGATACGATGGGCAGTAAATTGAAAATCCTGAAGAAAATTTGATTTGGAGAAGAAGAAAAGTCTTTAGCTGAAAAAAATGCTGAAAAGAAAAATTGCGACTCCATAATGCCGAAAAACGAGAAAAGCTATCACATTGGTTCAGTTTTTTTCTCGGTGTTTTATGTGTCTGCCACATGTTTTCACGCTTTTCTGCTTTCTCATCCATTTGAACTGAAACTTTTACAAAACTCTTGTCCAACTAGATAATGACAAGTAGGACAAAAAAAGTTAAAGTCTTTGGCCGGTCCTGAACTTTACTAAACCCGATGGCAAAAGCGCGTCGAAGAAGACGCTTCAGAAAATTAAATTAGGCTCCTCCGCAGAGGCTCACAGAGTGGAAACGGAGAGAGAGAAGAGGAGCGGGCCGGAATGTTTATTTATTCGGAGAAAGAACGAAAAGAGCGGAGGCACTGTCCTTCTCCTCCGAATGACCCCCCTTTCCGAAAGTTGTGTCCACCCTCCCCCAATTCTTTCGGCGTCTCCGTCTCTTTCTTTCACTCTCTCTCTCTCTCTCTTTCTGTTCATCATCATCATTCTCCTCTTTTTCCGCTTTTCTTTTCCTCATCACCCGCCAACAACAAACCGGCTGGGCACGGCGAAACGAGAAGAAAAAACAGCGAAGAGGAGAAAAACGACATCGATCTTTTTTTTTGTTTTTGTTGGCCCTCTTGTTTTTCAGTTTTATGGCCTTTTGTGCGGATTTTGAGCAGTTTTTTCCCCAGACTTTAATGTGTTGTACAGTTTCGCTAAATTTTTAGCGAATTTCGAAAAAAACTTCAGAAATTAACGGCTTCGGCGAGTTTGGATTGAAATTCAACTCGGCTTCTTAGCCGTTTCGATTAAAATGTACTTTTTCAATGAAAAATCACATTGCCACCCTAAAATTGTGAAAAACAACAGAGAATTTGGGGGAAAACAGGTGAAATTGTTGTTTTGCAATCATAAATGTACTTACTTTGGCGCCGTTTTCATGATTTTTACCAAAAACAACAATTCCTCTGTTTTAGCAGATTTCCGCAGCCGTTTTTGTTGTTATTACCCCATTTTATCACCGACCATCAAAATTTTGCAACAAACATGTCTTTTTGCTATTTTTTTAGCAGCCGAAAAACGTTTTTGATGATGCTCGTCAATTGAAATGCTTTGTACGCAGTGGTGAACATTAGACGCACAGTTTCTCGGCTACCGTAATCTTTTAATTTTTCCCATCTGGAAACCGTCATCTTTTTCGCTGAAAAAGTGCATTCAAAGTCTGAAATTCCGTATGTTTTGTTCAGATCGATGACGGTGTCAAACAGTGGTATGGCGATGCCGACAATGCCGCCGAAGATCGACTTTTCCGAGGCGATTCAGGTAATTTCGTTAAAGTCTTGCTTTTAAAATTTCTAAAAAATTCCAGGATTCTCCACGATTCCGGGCGGCTCTTGCCCAACATGCCGCATACTTTAATCGACTTGAAAATCGATTAAACGAGGTAAAAACATATTTTTTTGAGGAAAATGTGAGTTTGACTTAAAAAGTCAATTTTCAGATGCTCCGTCACATTACCGCCATGATTGACTTCAGTAAGAATTATGTGAACACTTTTTAGTAAGTTTAAACTGATTTTCTGTTCAAAAATTCGAAAAATTTGCAGCAAACTAACGGTATCGGTAAATCAGTTGTGCGACGAGAGTTTTTCGGGCAATCCGCTCGCCACCACCACTTTTTCGGCGCTTTCCGAGGCGTACGCCCACACGGTCAACCTCTACCGCACCTACTACGACCACTCGAACGTCGTTCTCTTCACCAAATTGTCGAATTTCATCAAAAAGTGAGCAGCTTTTTTGATTTGAGGCTAAACTTTGGAGTTTGACACGAGAAAGTTTTGCAGTGAGCTGGCAAAAGTGGCAGAATCGCGTGCGCACTTCGACAACATGTCCCAATCGATGGACGATGCACTCGTCAAAAATGCGAGCATTTCGAGACAGAAACCCGCCGACGCGGCCGACGGACGCAATGCTCTCACTGCGGTAGGTCACTAATTAAAGAAGTAAAACTCACATTTCCCTCTGCAAAATTCCAAAAAAAAAAAATGCGTTTCGCTGCAGTTCCAATTGATTCGGTCAACAAAGTGTGGCGAAAAGCGAAAAAGAGCACTCGAAATGCGGAAATTGCAGAGAGAAAAAGAGTAAAGAATAGGCATTTACTTTACAGGTCGGCGCGTGTTTTGCCCACACAACTCTCGACTACGTGGCACACATTAATATTGCACATGCGCACAAGGATCACATGATTTTGGACGCGGTACGCCAAGAATCTTGGTGTCGTGCACTAGAAACGTGACATGATTTTAAAGTAAAGTTCAAAGTGGAGTATTTATGTTCTCAAAGTTCCGCGATTATCGATTTTTCGTGCGGCACTCGCATAGCTCGGTCTGAAGTCGGATTCTGATCTTTATGGACGAGGATACCGAAATAAAAATTCAATTTTGGCGGCCGGGGGACTAGAAAACTCCACCCGTCGTTTACTTTTCGTAGTCGCCTTCGCTTTTTTTCCGAATTTGGCACCTTGGGAACATGAATTCCCCACTTTGAACTTCTTTTTGAAATCATGTTACTTTTTGAGTGCACGGCACCTTCAAACCAATTCAATTCGATTTGCAGCTGTGGACACTTGTGCGTGAGTCGTCGGCGTTCTTCTCGAAGGGACACGCGACGTTCGACGAGTGGACGGCCGTGGACAACGGCTCCGTCGCCGACACCATCCAGACGTTCGCCGCCAAATCAAAGCTGATCGAGAGGAAGATGCAGGACGTGCACTCCCTTGTGCCCAAGGTGTGTTCCGAGCGTACCGCGGCATTTCGTGGCTCCTCTCGTTTCGCAACTTATTCCGCAACCAGCGTGTAACAGATGTTTCATGCGAAAATCAAGGCCTGGCCAGATAATCATGGCCGAGCCGTGCTGTGTGAAGATTTCAAGCCAGACTTGGATGTCAGAGCCATGCTGAGCGGAGCCGGTTGCGAAACGTTAGAGTTGATGCGATTGTTGATCTTGTTTCGAGCCGAGACGTTCGGGACGTTTCTGAAAATAAGCAAATGGTTGGTCAGGTTTTTCAAAAGTACGGTTGCCAAAAACTGTCATGTGCTTGTGAAAACCACAGAATTTGCTATCGTTTCGCCGAATCGGAGACTTTATAATAGTGCCTTTTCCACGACTATCAAAAGTAGGAACAAGGAAATCTATTCAATTTTTCATTTCTGGAGCAAATCTGATAGTTTCAGGCCCAAAATTGTAGATTTGATAAATCTATGCTCGTGCATACAAAAATCGTGTCATTTCCGACAAAAATCATGAAAAGTAGGCCTGAAATTTGAATTCGCGCCGAAATTGTGATAAACTAGTTGGACGATCCAAAGATGAAAATGATGACTCATTTCTGCCTCTTTTATGCCCTGACGTATCATTCTGCCTCTAAACAGATTGAAGATCACGGAAACGGTGGCTTCTTTGCAAATTTTCCGCGTTTCCCGGTCGATGCACCATGTGGAACAATGATTTCTGACGCATTTCCAGTGCGCTGACGCCCTTTCGAATAGCTGAAACTCTTGAACAAACAGAGGACGAAAGACCGGGCGATAAATGTTTTCCGCCTATCGTTTTGTGCGGAAAAAAGGCATGTGAACATGGAAAATTTTCCGACTTTCCCCCGATTTCACTGATTTTCTGCCTTTCTCTGCGTCTCCGTCCGCCTTTTTTCGGTCAATTCATCATATAATTGTTGTAACGTCGCCTATTTTTCCGACTTCCCACAAAAAAGAAACGCAAAAACTCTGCTCCAATTTTCTTTTGACTCTTTGCATAACAATCGAAATTCCAGTCGAAATTTGCCTAAAACCCACCCCATTTTCGGCCTATTCACATGACTTTTTCGACTGAAAATGATCCAGTTTTTGGCTGGAAAAATGGACAATTTCATAACCCCTTTTTACCCTCCTTTGTGTCGGCGCCGTGATGATTCACAAAAGAAACCGAAAGAAAAGTGCGTCTTAGACAGTTTTTATCGATAAAGTTTTGTGTGATTATGTGAAAATCGATAAACATCCATTTATGAAGCGTTAGGCCTGAGTCGCTAGGATTTTGCTCTCTCTGGACCCAATTTGGGGCCTTGATCCGACCAGGGACCGCGGAGCCGGACCTGATATCCATTTTGGGTATCAGTGTCAGAGTAGTCAACATGTAGAGTTTCGCGGACATTGCCTCTTAATATTGTCGTAATGTGCACATTTTAGTGATAAGATAATGACGGAAAATTAGTCATTGCGCTCTGTTCCGATGCTCAGACACAATTTCAGCATGTTCTCCTGCAAAATTAGCAAATTCGAAAAAAAAGCTTGTTGACACAGGTGTCAGTGAAAGTCCCCGCAGAAATTGCCTTGTTATCTCATGATCTCTCATTTTCCCGCTAAAAAATAACTTTCCTCAATTGCCCGTCTCTTTTTCTAGTCGCCGAATGTAAAATGTCGACGATAACTGCCACGTCATCCAATTCTTCATCAATAACTCACCACCGGACCGTTTCGGAACTCATCACATTTTTCACGTATCAAGAAGAGGATGCCGATCCGGTCGATGCGCCATATGAACCATTTCGACGCGCCACAAAAGAGTACAATAGCGGAATACGGACGTCGAGAGTAATATCGAGAACGTTGACGATAAGCACGGAAATGAAAGAGAGAATCGATCGGATCGAGCAGGAACGACGGGAGGAACGAATTCGAGCGGAGAGGGAACGGATTCGCAATGCACAATATCAGAACGGAATGGAAATGCAGAAGATGACGAGCCAATCGAAGCGAGAACGGATGAGAAAAGCGGCGAAACGAACGAAAGGACGCATTTCCAGCATTCTGAGGGATTCCGTCCATTTGGGAGGCACTTCTTATTCTCCAGAATCACCGAAAAAGTATGGACGTGGATGCTCGATGGAATTGACGCCCTCGCAAAATGGACAGAAAAAAGGATCAGGAAATGCGGATTACAGCAGATTGTCCGCATCGCTCTCTGATTCGAGACTGTTGGACAGAGGCGCAAATGTTCGTGAAAATAAGAGATTTTGGAACAAATAACCTGACCTTCACCTGACCAACCATTGAACAACCCCTGAAAAGAACAGAATTGTTGTCAACAAAAAGATTGCAGGAAATGTTCCAACACCCGCCGGGAATGCCGAACGAACCGGACGTCATGATGGAGGGATATCTGATGAAGCAGGCCTCGAACGCGTTCAAACGCTGGAATCGGCGCTGGTTTCAGATCAAGGACAACAAATTGGTAGGTCAAATTGAGAGAGTTTTCGCGCCTGTGTCGCCCCCAGACTTGTGTTTTATAAGCCATGTTACCGGAAATTTTTCACATTTTCTCCAGAAAATCAGTGTTTTTTGCAGCTGTACTCGCACCGATCGAACGAGACGGAACCGCCGACGGTGATGGAGGAGAACCTGCGGCTGTGCCTGGTACGCCCGGCGCCGGCGAGTGTCGACCGGCTCGGCTGCTTCGAACTCGTCACTCCGACCCGCTGCCACCTGCTGCAGGCCGACTCGGAGTCCCTTTGCAACGACTGGATGCGCGCCCTCCAGAGGACCATTATGGACCTGCACGAGAGCGATTCCTTGGTGAGACTGGCTAGTTTTTTGATCGTTTTGACCGTTCATGTTTTTCACGAAAAAAGCGGACAATAGCTGAGGTTTTCTAAAAACGCACATCCGTGCAGCTTTGATCGTCCTGAAAATGATGAATGTATTGCAGAACGATGCGTCGCCGAGCCCACGCAACAAGTCGGTTTCGGCCTCCTCGGGCGCCGCGAACAACTCCTCGTCGGCCCTGAATCCCGCGGATTTCGACATTGCCAAAGGAAGATCCGTGTCTGATCCGGCGGCTGCTGGTGAGATTTTTACGCCTTTTAGACGCAAACTGATGGAAAATGTTCGTAATTCGACGTGCTCGAAGAACATGACGGAATTAGAATTGATTGTGAAGAAAAAAGAATTTATTAATTTTGAAAATCGACTTAAAGCTTCTTGAGTTTGACGACGGTGAAGCTAGTCGTTCCCGGCTTGTCCTCGTTGTGAAAGTTACGGTAGATCGAGATGGTGTAGCCGTCGGCAGATCCCAAAACTACTCGCTCCCTGAAAGAAACCAATTATTTATTGGCACAACATTTTCAAATCTTACCCGAATCGGTCGTACGTGGATCCGATCCAGTACCGCAGAAAGTACTCGAACGTGGACACTTTGACGCCCGGAAAGTTCTTGAAGACTCCCGTAAAGTGACTTCCGATCGACAGATCATTGAGGATTAGGAACTGAAAATTGGGCATTGTTATTTCACAGAAGATATTGTGAATTACTCACGTCAGCCATTCGTAGAAGCGGAGCACTGCTGGACATATCCAAAGTGATATTGACCAACTGACTCTTGAGCACGTCGTATCGCATTGCCACGTCTTCGTTCGGAATGGCGGCGATTTCGGCGCGCACCACCAGTTTCTTCGCCTTCTTCGCGACGGCCAAACCAACGACATTCGAGCATTTACAAGAATCCACTAGCTCGAGCCTCTCAAACGTGTGATCCTTGATCCGATCGAACCATTCTGGGCAGTACGAATCGAGGTGCCACGTCAAATTGTCACACTTGAGGTCCGTGACGAACTCGAATGGGTCCTGGCACCGAATGAGCGTCAGATGCTTCACGGGTCTCTCCAGATAGTGGGCCAGATACTTTTTGGCCACATTCTTGTCCTCGAACGTTTTCGTCTTCCATGGCGCCGCCTCGCAGATCACCGTGACCTTCTCCGTTTGGGAGTCGTACTTGAACTGCCAGTTCACTCCGTCAACCGTGAGCTTCGAGTTCTGGCCCGGATCCTGCTCGAAGACGACTTGGTTGAAGTTCCAAGCCTTAATCTTCGTGATCACTCGCAGCGAGCGGTCGAACGAGGAGAGTGGGGCACTGAAATGATATTATGGTCATGATACCGTACAATAAGGGATGACTTACATATTTCCGTACTTGGAGTACTTGGCGATTTTCTTGAGGCAATCGTACGAGAACATTATTGGTGGAGAGTAGGAAGTGGAGAGTAGAATATGAATGTTAGGAGTGGTGCACACCGAGCTATATATATATGTAGACGCGTTCGGTTAGAATGTGGTGATGTGCAGATCGGATATGTGCACATTAGTAACCGAGACGTAATTTGTAACGGGAGGGGGGAATCCTTTGAAGGACCTCGAGGTGGATGTGTGCAGTTCAAATTGTTATGGATATCCATAGAAAAGTAGTTTCGTAGTCAAAAACGTCGAACATTTCTTGCGGTGTGTTTGTCGCCTGCCGTTGTCAACAATTTTGCCGATTTTCGACACAAGAAATCCTGGAAAAAGTGCTCACTTTATGAAAATAACACGTCTTTAAGCTCTCAAGACCTCGAGTTATCAAAATAAACTGAAAAGTTCCACCAGAATCCACAGAATATTATCGATTGCAGACTCGTCGACCTCGCTGACCTCGTTCGCCGGGTCCTCTGCGGCCCTTTCGCACTCCTCGGCGCACTGCTCGTCCACTTCGAACCCGAAGACGTCGACGTTCGAGCAGATCCGTCGGGTGGCCGGGAACGAAGTGTGCGCGGACTGTCACTCGCCCGCCCCCAAATGGGTCTCCATCAACCTCGGAGTCGTGCTGTGCATCGAGTGCTCGGGAGTGCACAGATCGCTGGGAGTGCAGGTCTCCAAAGTCCGATCGCTGACGATGGACTCGATCGATAACGAACTGCGCGACGTGCTTTTGGCACTCGGAAATCGACAGGTACGGGTTTTTACTTTGAAATCGAATAAAAAAAACACGATGATTTTTACAGGTGAATGCGATATTCCTGGCGCACGTGCCGTCGTCGAACGTGATTCCGCCGCCCGCACACGCAAACTCGCCCCGTCCGGTGCGAGAGGCGTGGATAAAGGCCAAGTACGTGGAGAGACGGTTCGCGGTGGCCGAGGACGAGCGGGCGAGAAGTTCGGCCACGAACAGAGGCGAGCATCTGAAGCACAAGACGAGCGGAGGGAGCGGAGTCAACCGGAGCTCCTCTTATGCCGATGTTCAGGAGGCCGAAGCGGACAATAGAGCCAGAATTGAGGCCGATCCGTGGAGTGGTACGTTTTTTAAATTTCTTTGTGAAACATTGAAATATTTCTAATATTTCCAGCGGATCTGACGATCCCGATCTCGCCGATTTCGAAGAGATTGTCGGCATGCGGCTCGGACACGGCACTCGACACCGTCGCATCGGTCCAGCTGAATCCGGAGGCGACGACGTGGCACGCGGTGAAGGAGGCGTGCGAATCGGGCGATCTGCTGTCGCTGCTGAAGGCGCACGCGCAGGGATTCGACCTGATCGGACTGCACGCGGGCACCACCGCCCTGCACATTGCCACGCGGCACGGACAGACCGCCGCCGTCGAGTTCCTGCTGTTGAATGGCGCGAAACTGAACATGCTCGACGAGAAACTCAACACCGCACTGCATTTGGCCACCCAGGAGGCACACACACTGTTAGTCGGCAACTTGGGCTTTGAAATTATGAAAATACGGCTTTTGGTCACCAGAACTCTTTCCGCCAGACTCTGAGTTTAACCTGAATGTGTCATGTTCTGTTCGTTTACAAAAATACGTCGAATTGCAAGAATGGAAGAGTTTTCACACCAGAACTTTCTTGGCCACAACTTTGACTGTGAGCTTTTCAAGGCCTCCCGATGCCTGAACGCTTCACCCATTTGCAATGATCAGATCGGACCCAAACTTTGGAGACATCTTGTACTTGGATTCAAGTATATTGGGTCCAAGTTTCAGACTGATCGGATCATTTACTCTCGAGATATAAGGATCAGAGGCCGAAAAGACCGGGTTTTTAGCAAAGATTGCGGGGCCCTTTTCGGCCTCAAACCAGCATATCTCAGGACTTGATAATGCGATCAATCTGAAACGTAGACCCAACATAATTCAACCCAAGTCCAAGAAGCCTTGAGTCCGATTGGAATGTTGCAGTTGGGTCAACAGGGGAAAAATCGAAAATGTCCAATTTTTAGACAAAAATATTTGCAGACAAGTGTGCCAACTGCTGAAACGTGGCGCCGACAACAATCTGGCGAACGTGGACGGAAAAACGCCGTTGGACATTGCGATGGAGTGCACGCACGCCGATATTGTCACTTTGTTAGTGTTGCTGCTCCGGTTGCCAGCCGGAATAGCCAAGCTCCGCCGATTTAAAAGTCGATAGAACGGATATATTTGCAGATTCCGTGTGACAATAATGCGAAACGAGTTCAACGCGGACTACAACAATCCGATGGACGAGACGATGGAGGTGGTCATCTCGGACATTGCACAACGGGCGGTCGCGGAGAAGGAGCAACGGAAGACGGCTTCGTTGAAAGAGGAGACCAGCGACATTTAGAAGCACCCCATCTCTCTTAACTTTTGTATTCTTCTGCCATAATTTTCCCCTCTTTCTCTCTCTATCGCTTCCCCTCTTTTGTTTGTAAATACGCTTCTTCTTTGCTTCTTTACCTTTTTCAGACCATATGTGAGTGAGCCATGAATCTAAATCAAGATGAGCAGTTAAAAATTGATTGTTTGCAAAGGATTTTTATTTTGGAAACGTTTAGCGGGGGAAGAGAACGAAAAGACATTGAAAGTATGAGCCGTTACAGAAAATGTTAGAAAATCGGGAACTTTGACACGTGAATGAATGGATGAAGGGTAGGAAAAAGAAAAGAAATGGATAGTATTATAGTTTGTGTCGTTTTGCGAGTGCGGCGATTGCCTCGGCGGCGGGCCGTTTGAGGGTGGCTTCCGGACGTCTGTGCACATTCCGATTGATTGCCACCGCCGCCATTCTCGGGTCGAAGGCGAACGGTGCCGGCTGGCTCACCGGCTGGTCCCGTTGGTTCTTGCGACGAGGTTTGTTCGTGGTTGGAGCAGAGGACGGTTGACGTGGAGCACGGGGTTTCTTCGTAGCTGGAGCCTTGGCGGGAACTGGAGCACGGGGTTTCCTCGTCGTTTTCGGAGCAGCAGCAGCAGAAGTTGTGGACTTTTTGACGGCAGGAGCACTTGGTTTCGGAGCAGGAGCCGCTGAAGTTGTGGGCTTTTTGATGGCAGGAGCACTTGGTTTCGGAGCAGGAGCCGCTGAAGTTGTGGACTTTTTGATGGCAGGAGCACTTGGTTTCGGAGCAGGAGCCGCTGAAGTTGTGGGCTTTTTGATGGCAGGAGCACTTGGTTTCGGAGCAGGAGCCGCTGAAGTTGTGGACTTTTTGATGGCAGGAGCACTTGGTTTCGGAGCAGGAGCCGCTGAAGTTGTGGGCTTTTTGATGGCAGGAGCACTTGGTTTCGGAGCAGCAGCAGGGACCAGTTGAGCCGGAGGAACTGGAGACGGCTGACGTGGAATTGCCGGCGGAGCACTCGGAGTTTTAGGCAGCTTCGGAACGGACGGAAGTTGTGCACTTGCTGGAGGCGGTGGCGGAACTGGCGACGGCTCCCGGTTCTCCTTATCCTCCTCATCAGATTCATCCGAATCGGATTCATCCGAATCGGATTCCTCCTCCTCATCAGATTCATCGGAATCGCACTTTTCGGACTTATGGGCCTCCCACATTGCGCGCATCATTTCAGCATTCTTCGACGGAGCATTGGGACGGACGGGTCGGACCGGCAGAGGCATGTCTTCTTCCGATTCGGATTCGGAAAGATCGAGGCCGTACTTGCAGAGATTGGAAGACATAGTTGGTTGGGAATAGAATGACAAAGTGAGAAGTGTGTCACTGAGGTGTGAGTTGTGACGCCAAAACGGATATATATATGTTTTGTGAGTGGGCGGAGCAACAGGGAAGATCCGTTTTAGGGGGGGGGATTGGAGGTATACTGGGAAAACACCCGGTGGTCCTTTTAAGACCACCCAGTGTTTATTCCCAAAGACAACTTTGAGTACAGGCTGTGGGGTCGTAAATTCATAACTGAAGGCATAGATGTCAGGAAACTGCCTCGAGGAAGGTATGCATAGGGAACACACCGAAAGAGGTCGGGAGATTGGTTGGCAAAGGACGGGAAAGTGATTTCAGGAAGGAAAAGGAACGAAACTTTCTTGGTTTTGTTGCAGTTTATCATGTACATTTCGATTCCGATATCATCAAAACGCTGGTGGACGGCCAGTGTCACCCCGACAACATGGAAACTTCTTTTCTGAAAGATAGATCAAGGAGGAGTGCTTTCAAGTGGTCCAATCTGTCTGAAATGCATTCCAATGGCGCTAGAAGAGGGGTGATAGTCTGAAACAGTATCAGCGCAAAGAAAAGGTGTGAATCTGACTTTAAAATCGGATTCAGCACATCAAAAACTACCGAATTGCGTTGTTACATGGCCGGCGGATTTGTTTTCATCTTAAGATGGCAATCTCATCATAAACCCCGTCTGTTTGTTTGGGAAAACCATGACAGTTCGGCTCAAACTGACAGTACCAATGGATTCTAAGAGGTCGCATCTTATGATTCCACGAACTCCTGATTCAGGGCACTCTTCAAAAAGGAATCATTCCATGGACCTTCCAGCAATCCGCTGCAATCCACAAGAGTGTCTCCACAATCAATTTGTTTTCATCCAAGAAGATCAAAGTCCTGAATTGGCCAGCCAACTCTCCGGACCTCAACCCAGTCGGAAACGTTTGGGGATTACTTGCTAAGCAGTTTCAAACAGTTGACGAGCTCAAGGATGTTATTTGGAACGAATGGGGCAAGCTCTCGCCAACCTATTTGGAGTCTCTGACAAAGAGAATGCCGAACCGACTGAGCCAAGTGATCCAAAAGTTTGGAGGAACAACTTCTTATTAATTATTTCATGTTCTGTGAACATTTAATAAGTTTCCTTTGTTAATAAAACATTTTAAAACAAAAATTGTTCAAAGATTTCGATTTTGTCCGGAAGAACTTAACATCTATGCGAACAACAATATAATTGGATCGCTTTGTTAGAAATTCAATAAAAACACAAATGAATAATGAAACTTTAATAATACAACCCAAAAACCGGAACATTATCTGAACAAAGCATAAAAAGTTTAAAAATCCCTCTATTTTTGGGGGTGTCCTATCTTTATGACGCGCCCGATTTTAAGACTTTTCAGTGCTGTAGCTTCAGTTTTTGACGTAGGAATTTAAAAAATTGGTTTCGTAGGTTGCTTTGGATACTGAATCGAATGGCATTCACAGTTTTTCTCGAAAATGTTTAGTTCTCTCTAGGACGTCATTTTAGGGGGCTGTGTCCTATGTTTATGACGCGCACTGTAGGTGAATGAGGAGTCTGTGGCCACCTACGGTCACCCGGTGATACTGAATCATAAGATGTGATTGGATGCATGTAGTCGACCTCTTAGAATCCATTGGTACTGTCAGTTTGAGCCGAACTGTCATGGTTTTCCCAAACAAACAGACGGGGTCTATGATGATATTGCCATCTTGAGATGAAAGCAAATCCGCCGGACATGTAACAACGCAATTCGATAGTTTTTGATATGCTGAATCCGATTTTGAAGTCAGATTTACACCTTTTCTTTGCGCTGATACTGTTTCAGACTATCACCCCTCTTCTAGTGCCATTGGAGTGCATTTCAGACAGATTGGACCACTTGAAAGCACTCCTCCTTGATCTATCTTTCAGAAAAGAAGTTTCCATGTTTTCGAGGTGACACTGGCCGTCCACCAGCGTTTTGATGATATCGGAATCGAAATGTACATGATAAACTGCAACAAAACCAAGGAAGTTTCGTTCCTTTTCCTTCCTGAAATCACTTTCCCGTCCTTTGCCAACCAATCTCCCGACCTCTTTCGGTGTGTTCCCTATGCATACCTTCCTCGAGGCAGTTTCCTGACATTTATGCCTCGAGTTATGAATTTACGACCCCACAGCCGGGTAAGCCAGTGTCCAAAGTTGTCTTTGGGAATAAACACTGGGTGGTCTTAAAAGGACCACCAGGTGTTTTCCCAGTATACCTCCAATCCCCCTAAAACGGATCTTCCCTGTTGCTCCGCCCACTCACAAAACATATATATATCCGTTTTTGCGTCACAACTCATACCTCAGTGACACACTTCTCACTTTGTCTTTCTATTCCAAACCAACTATGTCTTCTCCGTCCAAGCTCGCCAAGTACGGTCTCGATCTTTCCGAATCCGAATCGGAAGAAGACATGCCTCTGCCGGTCCGACCCGTCCGTCCCAATGCTCCGTCGAAGAATGCCCAAATGATGCGCGCAATGTGGGAGGCCCATAAGTCCGAAAAGTCCGATTCCGATGAATCTGATGAGGAGGAGGAATCCGATTCGGATGAATCCGATTCGGAGGATAAGGAGAACCGGGAGCCGTCGCCAGTTCCACCACCGCCTCCAGCAAGTGCACAACTTCCGTCCGCTCCGAAGCTGCCTAAAACTCCGATTGCTCCGCCGGCAGTTCCACGTCAACCGTCTCCAGTCCCTCCGGCTCAACTGGTCCCTGCTGCTGCTCCGAAACCAAGTGCTCCTGCCATCAAAAAGTCTACAACCTCTGCTGCTGCTGCTCCGAAAACGACGAGGAAACCCCGTGCTCCAGTTCCCGCCAAGGCTCCAGCTACGAAGAAACCCCGTGCTCCACGTCAACCGTCCTCTGCTCCAACCACGAACAAACCTCGTCGCAAGAACCAACGGGACCAGCCGGTGAGCCAGCCGGCACCGTTCGCCTTCGACCCGAGAATGGCGGCGGTGGCAATCAATCGGAATGTGCACAGACGTCCGGAAGCCACCCTCAAACGGCCCGCCGCCGAGGCAATCGCCGCACTCGCAAAACGACACAAACTATAATACTATCCATTTCTTTTATTTTTCCTACCCTTCACCCATTCATTCACGTGTCAAAGTCTCCGATTTTCTAACATTCTCTGTAACGGCTCATACTTTCAATGTCTTTTCGTTCTCTTCCCCCGCTAAACGTTTCCAAAATAAAAATCCTTTGCAAACAATCAATTTTTAACTGCTCATCTTGATTTAGATTCATGGGTCACCCACATGGGTCTGGGTCACATGGGTCACATGGGTCTGAAAAAGGTAAAGAAGCAAAGAAGAAGCGTATTTACAAACAAAAGAGGGGAAGCGATAGAGAGAGAGAAAGAGGGGAAAATTATGGCAGAAGAATACAAAAGTTAAGAGAGATGGGGTGCTTCTAAATGTCGCTGGTCTCCTCTTTCAACGAAGCCGTCTTCCGTTGCTCCTTCTCCGCGACCGCCCGTTGTGCAATGTCCGAGATGACCACCTCCATCGTCTCGTCCATCGGATTGTTGTAGTCCGCGTTGAACTCGTTTCGCATTATTGTCACACGGAATCTGCAAATATATCCGTTCTATCGACTTTTAAATCGGCGGAGCTTGGCTATTCCGGCTGGCTGTCGGGTGGTAAACACCCTGGTGCCATTTCGGTCACAAGCGCACAGTGTGCGCCGTGCGCCGCACACATTCTCCTTATGAATCCACGTCATTCAAGACACGCTCAATTCAAATGCATCGTATCGCAAAACACGCTTCCGAGCGGGTGCTGGCGCACAAAATGGCGAGAAATGCGCAAGCGAGCTCTCTTTGGTTTCTTGGCCTAAAAATAGTTTCGAGAGGTTCTTTGGAGTTTTTGGCACCGGGGTCGACCGGTGCGTTTTTATGTCTTGTGGCCGCATAGGCGGTGTATAATTTGTTTCTCGTTGTAATAAAGCAGGTGAACAGCCATTTCAGTGTTTTGTTGGTGAGTGTATAAGAGTGAGTACTGTTCGTGTCTGAGAAAGAGCACGACTTGGGGGCCGAACACCGAATCGATTCCGGGGACGACCGTCAACGAAAAAGGAAGGATTCTCCGAGAAGAAAAGAAGATTTTCTGAAGCGACAAGAAAAGAAGAGTTTCTGAAGCCAAGAGAAAGAAGAGAAAGCGTGCAGGTTCTGTGTCGATAAAACCGCCAGAACTTGAACGCAGAAAAAGAAGAAATCGAGTGAAGAGACTCAGTGACGGGTACTGAGTCAACGAATTGTCTGGAGAGGAAACTTTGTGTCAGTATAACGGCAGAGTTCCCTTGAAAGTCAGCGATTATCGATTTTCTGGAGAAAAACGGAGATTGAGTCCCAATCAACGGTTTTTTCGCAGAAAATTGATCTCGGTTGGAGAGAAAAGAGCTCGAATTGCACTGTGACTCGTTTTCGAGAAGAGAAATAATACGTGGCCTGGGAAAATCCCGAAATTCTCGAAAATTTGAAGACCTTTTGAGAAATTGAAGGAAAAAAGGAAAGAAAAAGAGGGAATCGGTGAAATTCCAGTGATTATCGTCGATCACAACAAAGTATTCCTGATTGAAGTAAATTTTCGCTGATTTTATCGATTGGTGTCGAATTTCTTCGAGTTTGTCGAATTTCGTCGAGTTTGTCGAAGACCAGAAATCAAGTGTCAGCTGGATTTACTTGCGTGTCAAATCTTTCATCGTCTAATTATCGCTTGAATAGTGAAAATACGTGAAAGAAAAGGAACTCGTTTTGCAGGAAATGGCGTCCACCAGTCGCACTGAGGAGATTGCTGAGAGCGAGTTTTCAAATAGTTCCAAGGACCAGGAAGATCTCCTGAGTTTTCCAAAGACGGACGGGGACGAGCTCGAGCACATGGACTGGGTACGATTTAAAAATAGCAGGGGAAAAGAATAATGAGATGATGAAAAGAGACATGACGCAACACCTCAGAACTTTTGCCAAGTTAAATGAATCGGAAACGAAGAAAATAATCAATAAATTCATGGAAGTAGCAGAGAAAAGAGAGATGGTGATTGCGAAAAGAGAAGCCTACATTGATAAACTTCGCGAAGACAAGAGAGTCCTGGAGTATTACTATGCTCATTTGCAGGCCAATGAGCAGCAAGTGCAGCAAATGGAGCAGATGCAGCAGGAGATGCAAGCGCTCCGAAGACAGTTGGAAGAGGCGCAGAAGCAGCTGACCAAAGAGCAGAACACTGGCGTACGAGTGGTATCGGAGGTAACCAGAATGAAGGAAGAGAGAGAAGAAAGACTGTTGGAATTACAGAACGCGGAGGCGGAAGGCAAGAGGTTGCGCGCGAGAGTGTCGAAACTTCTGACGGAAGCTGAGGAAAGGAAATTCCGAGTCAATGAGGTGAAGCAGCAGAACGAAGAGTTGAAGAAAGAGATCGACTTCCTGAAGAGACAGTCGGCGACCAACACGTACTCTAGGCGCGGTGAGCTAACAGAAAAGGAAGCCAAAAAACAGGAAGATGTTCAGACCAAGGCCGACGAGTTCCACCGGAGGACAACCACCGAAGAGCAGAGGACTTCAACGTCTCGTAAGTGGGGGAAGAAAAGTGGGAGGAGCCGAGAAGGGAAACCACTAGGCGGTACCACGAGGAAACCCAGGAAATTATTGATGATAATAATGAATGGGAAAGAAGAGAGTATAGGAGGAGGAGTATTCCCATCCAACTATGTCTTCTCCGTCCGATCTCTCCAAGTACGGTCTCGATCTTTCCGAATCCGAATCCGAAGAAGACGTGCCTCTGCCGGTCCGACCCGTCCATCCCAATGCTCCGTCGAAGAATGCTCAAATGATGCGCGCAATGTGGGAGGCCCACAAGTCCGAAAAGTCCGATTCGGATGAATCCGATTCGGAGGAATCCGATTCCGATGAATCCGATTCGGATAAATCCGCTGAGGAGGATAAGGAGAACCGGGAGCCGTCGCCAATTCCACCACCGCCTCCAGCAAGTGCACAACTTCCGTCCGCTCCGAAGCTGCCTAAAACTCCGAGAGCTCCGCCGGCAATTCCACGTCAACCGTCTCCAGTCCCTCAGGCTCAACTGGTCCCTGCTGCTGCTCCGAAAACGACGAGGAAACCCCGTGCTCCAGTTCCCGCCAAGGCTCCAGCTACGAACAAACCCTGTGCTCCACGTCAACCGTCCTCTGCTCCAGCTACGAACAAACCTCGTCGCAAGAACCAACAATTTGAACTGCACACATCCACCTCGAGGTCCTTCAAAGGACTCCCCCCTCCCCTTTACAATTTACGTCTCGGTTACTAATGTGCACATATCCGATCTGCACATCACCACATTCTAACCGAACGCGTCTACATATATATAGCTCGGTGTGCACCACTCCTCATCAAACATTCATATTCTACTTTCCACGAGAGATCAACAATGTTCTCGTACGATTGCCTCAAGCAAATCGCCAAGTACTCCAAGTACGGAAATATGTAAGTCATCCCTTATTGTACGGTATCATGACCATAATATCATTTCAGTGCCCCACTCTCCTCGTTCGACCGCTCGCTGCGAGTGATCACGAAGATCAAGGCGTGGAACTTCGAAAAAGTCGTCTTCGAGCAAGATCCGGACCAGAACTCGAAGCTCACGGTTGACGGAGTGAACTGGCAGTTCAAGTACGACTCCCAAACAGAGAAGGTCACGGTGATCTGCGAGGCGGCGCCATGGAAGACGAAAACGTTCGAGGACAAGAATGTGGCCAAAAAGTATCTGGCCCACTATCTGGAGAGACCCGTGAAGCATCTGACGCTCATTCGGTGCCAGGACCCATTCGAGTTCGTCACGGACCTCAAGTGTGACAATTTGACGTGGCATCTCGATTCGTACTGCCCAGAATGGTTCGATCGGATCAAGGATCACACGTTTGAGAGGCTCGAGCTAGTGGATTCTTGTAAATGCTCGAATGTCGTTGGTTTGGCCGTCGCGAAGAAGGCGAAGAAACTGGTGGTGCGCGCCGAAATCGCCGCCATTCCGAACGAAGACGTGGCAATGCGATACGACGTGCTCAAGAGTCAGTTGGTCAATATCACTTTGGATATGTCCAGCAGTGCTCCGCTTCTACGAATGGCTGACGTGAGTAATTCACAATATCTTCTGTGAAATAACAATGCCCAATTTTCAGTTCCTAATCCTCAATGATCTGCCGATCGGAAGTCACTTTACGGGAGTCTTCAAGAACTTTCCGGGCGTCAAAGTGTCCACGTTCGAGTACTTTCTGCGGTACTGGATCGGATCCACGTACGACCGATTCGGGTAAGATTTGAGCATTGAAAATGTTGTGCCAATAAATAATTGGTTTCTTTCAGGGAGCGAGTAGTTTTGGGATCTGCCGACGGCTACACCATCTCGATCTACCGTAACTTTCACAACGAGGACAAGCCGGGAACGACTAGCTTCACCGTCGTCAAACTCAAGAAGCTTTAAGTCGATTTTCAAAGTTGATAAATTCTTTTTTTTTCACAATCAATTTTAATTTCGTCGTGTTCTTCGAGCACGTCGAATTACGAGCATTTTCCATCAGTTTGCGTCTAAAAGGCGTAAAAATCTCACCAGCAGCCGCCGGATCAGACACGGATCTTCCTTTGGCAATGTCGAAATCCGCGGGGTTCAGGGCCGACGAGGAGTTGTTCGCGGCGCCCGAGGAGGCCGAAACCGACTTGTTGCGTGGGCTCGGCGACGCATCGTTCTGCAATACATTAATCATTTCACGAACATTTGCGCCTCTGTCCAACAGTCACCTCTTCTTGATACGTGAAAATTGTGATAAGTTCCGAAACGGTCCGGTGGTGAGTTATTGATGAAGAATTGGATTCCGTGTGACAATAATGCGAAACGAGTTCAACGCGGACTACAACAATCCGATGGACGAGACGATGGAGGTGGTCATCTCGGACATTGCACAACGGGCGGTCGCGGAGAAGGAGCAACGGAAGACGGCTTCGTTGAAAGAGGAGACCAGCGACATTTAGAAGCACCCCATCTCTCTTAACTTTTGTATTCTTCTGCCATAATTTTCCCCTCTTTCTCTCTCTCTATCGCTTCCCCTCTTTTGTTTGTAAATACGCTTCTTCCTTGCTTCTTTACCTTTTTCCGACCATATGTGAGTGAGCCATGAATCTAAATCAAGATGAGCAGTTAAAAATTGATTGTTTGCAAAGGATTTTTATTTTGGAAACGTTTAGCGGGGGAAGAGAACGAAAAGACATTGAAAGTATGAGCCGTTACAGAAAATGTTAGAAAATCGGGAACTTTGACACGTGAATGAATGGATGAAGGGTAGGAAAAAGAAAAGAAATGGATAGTATTATAGTTTGTGTCGTTTTGCGAGTGCGGCGATTGCCTCGGCGGCGGGCCGTTTGAGGGTGGCTTCCGGACGTCTGTGCACATTCCGATTGATTGCCACCGCCGCCATTCTCGGGTCGAAGGCGAACGGTGCCGGCTGGCTCACCGGCTGGTCCCGTTGGTTCTTGCGACGAGGTTTGTTCGTGGTTGGAGCAGAGGACGGTTGACGTGGAGCACGGGGTTTCTTCGTAGCTGGAGCCTTGGCGGGAACTGGAGCACGGGGTTTCTTCGTAGCTGGAGCCTTGGCGGGAACTGGAGCACGGGGTTTCCTCGTCGTTTTCGGAGCAGCAGCAGCAGAGGTTGTAGACTTTTTGACGGCAGGAGCACTTGGTTTCGGAGCAGGAGCAGCAGAAGTTGTGGACTTTTTGACGGCAGGAGCACTTGGTTTCGGAGCAGGAGCAGCAGAAGTTGTGGACTTTTTGACGGCAGGAGCACTTGGTTTCGGAGCAGAAGCAGGGACCAGTTGAGCCGGAGGGACTGGAGACGGCTGACGTGGAATTGCCGGCGGAGCACTCGGAGTTTTAGGCAGCTTCGGAACGGACGGAAGTTGTGCACTTGCTGGAGGCGGTGGTGGAACTGGCGACGGCTCCCGGTTCTCCTTATCCTCCGAATCGGATTCCTCCTCCTCATCAGATTCATCGGAATCGGACTTTTCGGACTTGTGGGCCTCCCACATTGCGCGCATCATTTCAGCATTCTTCGACGGAGCATTGGGACGGACGGGTCGGACCGGCAGAGGCATGTCTTCTTCGGATTCGGATTCGGAAAGATCGAGGCCGTACTTGCAGAGATTGGAAGACATAGTTGGTTGGGAATAGAATGACAAAGTGAGAAGTGTGTCACTGAGGTGTGAGTTGTGACGCAAAAACGGATATTTATATGTTTTGTGAGTGGGCGGAGCAACAGGGAAGATCCGTTTTAGGGGGGGATTGGAGGTATACTGGGAAAACACCCGGTGGTCCTTTTAAGACCGCCCGGCTGTGGGGTCGTAAATTCATAACTCGAGGCATAGATGTCAGGAAACTGCCTCGAGGAAGGTATGCATAGGGAACACACCGAAAGAGGTCGGGAGATTGGTTGGCAAAGGACGGGAAAGTGATTTCAGGAAGGAAAAGGAACGAAACTTCCTTGGTTTTGTTGCAGTTTATCATGTACATTTCGATTCCGATATCATCAAAACGCTGGTGGACGGCCAGTGTCACCCCGAAAACATGGAAACTTCTTTTCTGAAAGATAGATCAAGGAGGAGTGCTTTCAAGTGGTCCAATCTGTCTGAAATGCACTCCAATGGCACTAGAACAGGGGTGATAGTCTGAAACAGTATCAGCGCAAAGAAAAGGTGTGAATCTGACTTCAATATCGGATTCAGCACATCAAAAACGATCGAATTGCGTTGTTACATGGCCGGTGGATTTGCTTTCATCTTAAGATGGCAATCTCATCATAAACCCCGTCTGTTTGTTTGGGAAAACCATGACAGTTCGGCTCAAACTGACAGTACCAATGGATTCGAAGAGGTCGACTACATGCATCCAATCACATCTTATGATTCAGTATCACCGGGTGACCGTAGGTGGCCACAGACTCCTCATTCACGCGTCATAAAGATAGGGCACAGCCCCCTAAAATGATGTCCTAGAGACAACTAAGCACATTTTCAAGTAAAACTGTGAATGCCATTCGATTAAGCATCTTCAAACAGTTGACGAGCTCAAGGATGTGAATTGGGACGAATGGGGCAAGCTCTCGCCAACCTATTTGGAGTCTCTGACGAAGAAATCAAACTCCATGTGGATCTCCATTGGGGGAAAAATGCGAAAGTTTACTTTCAGCATGATAACGCTCGTCCCCATGTCGCCAGAAAGACCAAAATTGAACTCTCTGGATAATCATGTCTCACCCGCCGTACAGCTCAGACCTGGCCCCCTCTGACTACCATCTCTTCAGTCACCTCCAACGCCATCTCAGTGGAAGGAAGGAAGGTATCCACAAGTTGGTGACACGTTGGCAGACAGTCATCGAAAAACATGGGCAATATATCTAATTAATCGGATAACTCTTTGACCTGTTTCACAATTAATTTTTCTGAATCCAAAAATGACTGGAACTTTCCGAACAACCTAATATTATTACACATATTATAATATTAAAAACAGATTAGTAAGGCTTCGGATCCAGAGGCTTCAGCTCTTTCTCCGAGGAGTCCGTGGCCACCCGACCTCTTAGAATCCATTGGTAGTGTCAGTTTGAGCCGAACTGTCATGGTTTTCCCAAACAAACAGACGGGCTCTATGATGATATTTCTTTGCGCTGATACTGTTTCAGACTATCACCCCTCTTCTAGTGCCATTGGAGTGCATTTCAGACAGATTGGACCACTTGAAAGCACTCCTTGATCTATCTTTCAGAAAAGAAGTTTCCATGTTTTCGGGGTGACACTGGCCGTCCACCAGCGTTTTGATGATATCGGAATCGAAATGTACATGATAAACTGCAACAAAACCAAGAAAGTTTCGTTCCTTTTCCTTCCTGAAATCACTTTCCCGTCCTTTGCCAACCAATCTTCCGACCTCTTTCGGTGTGTTCCCTATGCATACCTTCCTCGAGGCAGTTTCCTGACATCTATGTCTCGAGTTATGAATTTACGACCCCACAGCCTGTACTCAAAGTTGTCTTTGGGAATAAACACTGGGCGGTCTTAAAAGGACCACCGGGTGTTTTCCCAGTATACCTCCAATCCCCCCCTAAAACGGATCTTCCCTGTTGCTCCGCCCACTCACAAAACATATATATATCCGTTTTAGCGTCACAACTCACACCTCAGTGAGACACTTCTCACTTTGTCTTATTATTCCAAACCAACTATGTCTTCTCCGTCCAAGCTCGCCAAGTACGGTCTCGATCTTTCCGAATCCGAATCGGAAGAAGACATGCCTCTGCCGGTCCGACCCGTCCGTCCCAATGCTCCGTCGAAGAATGCTGAAATGATGCGCGCAATGTGGGAGGCCCACAAGTCCGAAAAGTCCGATTCCGATGAATCTGATGAGGAGGAGGAATCCGATGAGGAGGAATCCGATTCGGATGAATCCGATGAGGAGGATAAGGAGAACCGGGAGCCGTCGCCAGTTCCACCACCGCCTCCAGCAAGTGCACAACTTCCGTCCGTTCCGAAGCTGCCTAAAACTCCGAGTGCTCCGCCGGCAGTTCCACGTCAACCGTCTCCAGTTCCTCCGGCTCAACTGGTCCCTGCTCCTGCTCCGAAACCAAGTGCTCCTGCCGTCAAAAAGTCCACAACTTCAGCGGCTCCTGCTCCGAAAACGACGAGGAAACCCCGTGCTCCAGTTCCCGCCAAGGCTCCAGCTACGAACAAACCCCGTGCTCCAGTTCCCGCCAAGGCTCCAGCTACGAACAAACCCCGTGCTCCACGTCAACCGTCCTCTGCTCCAACCACGAACAAACCTCGTCGCAAGAAGCAACGGGACCAGCCGGTGAGCCAGCCGGCACCGTTCGCCTTCGACCCGAGAATGGCGGCGGTGGCAATCAATCGGAATGTGCACAGACGTCCGGAAGCCACCCTCAAACGGCCCGCCGCCGAGGCAATCGCCGCACTCGCAAAACGACACAAACTATAATACTATCCATTTCTTTTCTTTTTCCTACCCTTCATCCATTCATTCACGTGTCAAAGTTCCCGATTTTCTAACATTTTCTGTAATTTTCCTACGTTTGTCTCTCTTTCATTGAGAAGTTTCATCAATAAAAAGAACATGAGAAAAACATTTGTTTTGGGTTCTGCTCAAATAGACTCAAAATTAAAAGTTCAAGAGAAAAAGGTTCATTCAACAAGTGGAAATGCTTAAACATCCGCTTTCATCTCTTCCTCCAATGGTTTCTCCTCCTCCACATCGTCGCCGACTTCCGCCGTTTCGAACAGTTTTCCCCACCAGACAGCCTGCAAGAAAACACTTGAATGGAACCCCCATACCGTATATTCATGACAGTATATCTCAGCTGCCGGTTGAGATATCGAAAAGTTGTCAACTGATAAATTGTTCAAAAGGACATTTTGCACCTTTTATCAGTTGACAACTTTTCGATATCTCAACCGGTAGCTGAGATATGGGAATTGGAAGGCATACATTTTTTCTCTATGACTCGGGGTGCTACATTCTTGGTCCCAACATCAAAAATGTTTAGAAAGAAGCGAGGAATCGAATGAACTCGCTTCCCAAAAAACTCACGGCACCAGCGGCGACGGCCATTCCGACCGCAATTCCGACGGCGACATCGCTCCAATGGTGTTTATTGTCGGTGATGCGAGTGCAGCAAATGAACAATCCTCCGATCATGACCAAAGTTTGCAACAGAGCCACGAGCACATTGTTGCGGATTGCCGGCTTGAGGCGTGCTTGCAAGTACAGCACAACCCAGAAGGCCGAGAACATGGCCGTGGCCGAGTGTCCGCTGTAGAAGCTCTTCCGTGCTTCGTCGACCTCTTCCGCGTGTCCTTGACACGTGTACTCGAGCACAAAAGTGTTCGCATTTTGGGGGTGGATGGAGCAGTTATCGATGGGAAGCGGATTGCAGATTTGATGGAAGTAGGGACGGAGACGGCCCACGAACGATTTCACGTACTTTACGAGCACTTCGTTCATTATGAAGCCCACTTGGTTGTAACCTGAAGAGAGATAAAAGTGCGAAATGACGCATTCTCGCTTCGAAAGTGCGGTAGGGCGCACTTGCTTTCGTGGCGAGACCCGTAGCTTACCCAGAAAAGTGACAACTGTGACCAGGTATTGTGGAACATTCCATTTTCCGATTTTAAAAGTTGGCTTTTCGCCTTCGGACGGACAATAGAAATTCCGAAAGGCTTCCACAAGGATGACGGTGCAGAAAATCAATAAAATACTGTAAATTCGGAGGTGCAAAGTGGGCACTTGTTCCCGCTTTTGCTCGTAATGAATCGACGGGTCCACACAGAAGAATCCACGTTTTGTCGTCCCGATAATGCTTATTATCGGTTCCGAAACGAAATCTGCAAATATTACCGTAATCCGCTCGATTTAAAGGCGCATAACTTACAAAACGCGTACAAAACGATGAAATTGAGGAGAAAAGTCCAGAAATTGATGTGAATTATCGATCCGACACGACGGAACACTTGCATTTCGGCTGAAATTGAATACGATTGTATTATTCGTTCAAACGACGGTTTGCAATATCAAAAATGTCGTTATTGTCCGATTTTCCACTCAGAAACGTTCTTCGATTTCCGTCGGAACAATATTATGCGTTCGCGAATAAAACCATTCTTTATGCGCCTTTAAAACTATGGGTTTTCGTGTCAAGACCCAAAATGAGAATACAAAAAATTGAATGCAAACAACTTTTTGAAACGGTTAATCCGTATCCAAATCCAAATCCAAATCCGTTGAACCCGAACTTTATAGTCAGTTTTATCGCTTGTGAAACAATTTTTATTCAAATCATGTACATAAATTGACGTCATCATATGCAAAAACAAAAGAGTGTATATTTGTAATTTATCGAAAGACGACAGTGCGCAGAGTGTCCTCGTCCCTCACTTCCATCAGCGCCTCGGATCCGTCGTTGAAGCGGTACGAAATGCCGCCGTCGATCACCAAGTGCGCGTCGTATCCGCGCGATTTTATGCGGATCTTGTCCGCAAATCCACGTGGATCCGTCGGTGGGAACGTCGCGTTGAAGATCGGATCACGGACCGAGAACGCCAGTTCTGGAAATGAGAAAATGATTCAAGTAGGAGTGCTACAAATAGAGTCCAAAACTAAAAACGAACGTCTGCGATCGGGATCGAAGATGAGTTGCTGGTTGAATTTGGTGCAAATCTCGCTGACGGCGTTCTTGTCCTCGTGCGGGATCTGCGGCAGTTTGCAGTGCTCGGCCACAATTCGCATGAGGTCCTGCACGCACTGCTCCGTCAGTTTGTTGATGTTAAAGTGCCACGAGGTGGAGCCGGTGCCCGTGCAGATCGTGATTCCCGAGCTCTTCTGCTTCAGCATCGGCTCCTCGTTCAGTCCGATTTCGTAGTAGGAGACGCGCGAGGAGAGGCTCTCTCCGATGAACACCTCGTTAAGCGCCAGCACCGGCAACTCCACCGTCTCTTTCTCCACTGTCGGCGCCTCCGAGATCGTTCGTTTTTTACTGCAAGATGAGATAATTTTTCAGTTTTCTAATTCATTCACGGTTCATTCACGGTGAAGGAGTAGCCAGGACTATCAGTAACTATCAGTCTTGACTCAAAAGAAAACTTTCGGCGTTGTTAGAATCTAGCAGACTTGCCAAATCCCGGGCCGGCCCGCCGGGCCGGGCCAGCAAATCGTCGGCCCGGCCCGGCCCGGTCGGCCCACTCTTGAGAAAATTTTCGTAATTTTTGTGAAAATTTTGCGACTTTAAACAGCAATTTCTATTTTTTAACAGGTTTTTATGCTATAACATTGCCTTTTTAAGTCTATAAAATTTTAAGTCTATAAAATTATGTTCGTTTCGAAGTTCTAGTTCGCTTTGAATTTTTAGGTGCATCCTCCCGGGCCGACCGGGCCGGGCCGGGCCGGAAAAATTTCCAATTTTGGCCCGGCCCGGCCCGGCCCGTTGCAAGTCTGGAATCTAGATTTTCAGATGGATTTTTAAAGTCAATTCCTGTAGTACACAAGAGCTTTAGAAACTAATCTCCGCGTGTGAAATACATGATTTGATTTCAACAATTTGTATAAAATCAGGTCAGCAGATTCTGACAACACAAAAATGATCTCTTGGTTCATTACACCGCACTTTCTTCACGCTACAACGTAATAGAACTTGAACGGAAAAATGACTGTTACGGAAGAGCTGTGTGATAAAACTGTGCGGAACAAAACTGTATTGAGATAGAACCGCACGAAATACAACTCTATTTTCATGGTTTTTGCGATTAAAACCGTGTCGATAGAGTTGTATTTCGTGCCAGTTCTATTCCGCACAGATCTATCAAAGAGCGAGTTTCATTTCGTACAGAGAGTGAACGAGTTTGCGTTTCAACCGGATAAAAAAACGGGGGCGAGAGAGAAGTGATTTGCGTCTCTGTCTTTTCGCGCACAAATCGCGTTTCCCTCGTCCCCGGTTTTTTCTCTATGCAATTTTTCAGTCAACGCGAACCGGATCGCACGCCCAGGCCTGATTTCGTAGCGGTTCTTTTACGTTCATGTTATATTTTGTTGTAGCGTCCACTTTTCTAGTCAGCTAATGAATCAGATAATCCGATCAGACTGCAAATTTCTATGAAGCAGTACGACTTATCGATAACTAATGTGCGATCTATATTGTTTCAATTTGCACCAAAATAGAACGTTGCATTGATTCCCGGAAAACTCACACAGGCGGCGACAGGGACATGCACTCCTCCACGTCGGTCTCCCTGGCCGGACTCCTCGGATTGTCCGTCCACCGCGTCGTCGTCGGATCGCGATTCAGTTGCTGGTCGTGCAATTCGATCGCATCGCCCACTCCGTCGTCGCCCGTCACCGTGATTCGGATGCGTTGGCGGTACAGCCATCTGCAAGCGGACAGTATTACAAAAGTTACTTGTTGTTTGCCTAGAATAGAGCTGTATGGAATTGCGTTTACTTCGTTTTCAGGGGTACAAAAATTGACTTCCATACAGTTCTGTTGCACACGACCAACAGCATAATAACCAGTGTATAACTTTGAAAAATGCTAAAAGTCTCAAGTAAACTGACTCGAAGTTGCCGCTGAAGAGTCTCTTGAGTGCTGCGGCCAGATTCTCCTCAGGCAGTTTTCTCATCAGACACATGTAGCCCTCGGAGCCCTGCGGATCTGTGTTTATTCCGATCACCGGCTTCCGCTTCGTGCGCACTTTCGACGACGCCATCAGGAATGTGCCATCACCGCCTGAAAGATTAAAAAAATTTCTTACACTTCTGAGAGATTCTCAAATACCTGCCGAAAAGACGGCGTCGGCCCAGTCGACGGCTTCCTGAGTGTATCCGAATCGGCGAACGAGTCGTGATTCGATTCCGGCATTCCTGAAACGAAGCATTTTTATTTTCTCGTTGTTTCCTTGAAACATACTCAAGTTCCCTTTGCAGAGTACTCAAATACGAGTGATGAATTTTGTGCTTCGACAATAGCCGATTGTAGTCCGATCCGCGTTTTTTGAGCTGCAAATTTCCGCAATTTTTCAAACATTTTTCAAAATACAGTGAACCAACAATATTGGCGAGCTGCTCGTCGTCGCATCCCTTGTTCGTCTTCTTCTCGAACTCGTATCTCGTGAGTTTGCTCAGAATTAGCACTTTTTTCGGCTGGAAACTCGGCTTTTCCATGTTTCCGATCGATCGCTTCGATTGCGTATTTTGTGTTTGGTAGAGGGCGGCGGCCAGCGAGCGCGGCAGTCTCATGTGGTCTGGAAAAGTGCGTTTGTTTTTTCTTCGGCGCCATTCCTAATTTACCGCATTTCCTGACAAGGGTTAACATTTTTCGCAGCCAAATTTTCAGTGTTTTCGCACAGTTATCGATGTTTTTTGTACAAACAAGGGCAAGGTCACGTTTGTGAAGAAAACTAACAACATTTTCGAAAAATGATGGAAAACTCGATACGAGTTAAAGAATTCAACAGTCATGCAAAAGAGAAATGGGCCAGGCGCTATGACAAATCTGTCAAAAATCGATAACGTACTCGTCGGATCGACCCAATATCTGCCGGATTCTCCTTCGTCGACAACCGGACGTGGCGTCACGATTTTGGGAGCGACGGACGGTTGAGCACTGCACAGGATTGCGTTGCGCAGGTGTTGATTCACCTGCAATTCCGAACAATTTATTTTGTTGGTAAAACATTCATCAAAATCATTTTCAGCGTATGTTTTCTAGTGCTTGCTGTAGTGTGGTCCATGTATTTGCGCTGTGAGACCCATTTATTGATCTATCGAACCCGTTCGTTTCGATGGCCATCACCAAACTCCATACATCACCCGATGGTCTTCTTCTTTAAAGATCGTCTCTCGGAGATGATTAGATTGTTATTGATGGTATTGATGTCATCATAAATTAGACCGCTCTTCTATAAAGATGGTCTTTGTGTCCGAAAATAGATTACCTGTTCAACGTGTTGCGCTCGAATTCGAATTCTCATTTTTGCGCACTATCAGCTCTCGGTATCCGTTCGCTTTTCGTTCGGTGGCGAAAAATAGTGGGGCAGATTTTTAAACTTTTGACTTTGACTTTGATGCATTCGCCGGCGTGGCTAGCACGTGGCACAACCAGAAACGTGGACGGAGGGAAAAGCGGGGCTGGAATTTGAGCGGAAATTGAACGTGAGCACGAAAAATGAAAGAAGTTCTGAATTCCAAAAAGAAAAGAGAGATTAAGGAAAGGAAGAAATATAGAAATTGCTAGAAAACTGGACACAAACAGTTTTGCATCTTCAGCAGCAGCAGCAGCGAGGGAGGGATGGGAATGGACTGTCAGACTGACACGCTACCGGTCCGTCTCGTCGTCTCGCCACTCTCTCGCATCTCCGTACTCTCTCCTCTTATCGTGTTATCATTCTTTGTCACAGAAAGCGCCGAGTGTGGACCGACTTGCAATGAAATGATGATATATTGGATTGGATTGGATGATGTGACGAACATTTTCGAAATCATGCCGTCAGAATGTTCAAAAGTCCTCTTGGGAACGATGCACAAATGCACTGATCTTTCGGAATCCTATTACTTTAAATACACAGTATCGAACTTTTTTTTTCAACATTTTTTCAACAACATTTCGAATCCTCAAGGCATGAAATCGTTGAGAATCGAGCTTGAAATTCACACTTTAAAAAAGTTTCAGATCGATTCTAGGTTCCAGAAACTATCTTCTGATGGTAGCTCGTTTCCCGGATTCTTCTGAATCTCTTTTCTAGAACAAGGAAAAAAGCACTTCCTCGTTGAAAGCGTGGAAATAGAAGAAAAACAAGACGGCGCGGGCCCGTTTGTGATGCTACAATGAAATGGGAAAGTGGGAGGGGTGGGAATCCGACTTTTTCACGTTTAGGTCAGATGGTCGAATCACACGGTCCGAAAGATCACTCAAAGAGGGGCGGACTGGTTTTGTTTCGAGGAAACTAGACAAGATGGAACAAAACAAGTGGGCGGGGCTTGGCTATACTGCTCAACCTTGATAAAATGATGTCTTTTTGCAACAACAAAAAAACCACGTCAACAGACTGACTATACATTTTTCTTATCAACTGAAATGAAACTGACCGTCAGATGGCCGGTTTACTGACTGATAAGGGCGTGGGAGTTGGAAATGGAGAGCCTAGACCGAGAAAGTACAATGGAGTGTAAGTTTCTGACAACATCCAAGAAAGTCAATGTAAAGTCCAATGATTGATGACGTGGTAAACCGATATTGGCCAATATCCTCACGAAAAACTCACACGTGATAAAGGGAAAGTGACATGAAAATGTCTCTCAAGGAATTTTTGAAGCGGTCCGAACACGAGATGAGGTGGGTCGGTCATCGGTCGAAACGACGGAGAAGAACGAAAACATCTGATTTGATAATAGGACATTCACGAGGCGATAGATTTTCAGTGTGAAACATTGCGGTTTTAACAGTTTCTATGAAATCAAAATCTCCAGTTGAATGACTATTCCTAAAGTAAATGTTCCCCTGAACTGAATTTCTTGAGCTATTGGAGTTTTGTCCAGTGTTTAGTATGCAATGCTTCACTTCCAATCCTTATGTTTATTGTAAAGCCCACCCTAAAGCGCTTTGAAGTTTGAATTGCGATGTGATCGGCCAAGACTCTTGTTTTCTAGGACTAAAGATTGTTTTTGCTTCAAATCGGATTTAGGCTTGCTTCGAAACCGATCCGTTGGTCCACAACATTGCAAAGTCGACCCCATAGCGCGATCGCGTTGTTTTCTGCGGACGTTCTTCTGCAATCGCCCTCTCCGATTTCGTCAACCGCCATCATCCGCCCTACAAATTCTTTCGGCCACGTGGGCCTCGATTTACCGCTGATTGTTTGAACTTTTGTGTGTGAACTTTGTGCTTATATCGTTTTTCGGGTAGTTTCGTAGTATTGCATCAATAGAGTAGGCCCAAATTAGATCAACTATCGTCTATTTTTGGGTCATCAGATGATGAAATGTGTGTGTATGATAAATAAAAGATCGCGTGAGAATCAGGAAGTCTATCCGATAGGGAGAGGGTCTCGCAGCGAAAATTTCAGCAGAAAACGGTAGCTTACTTTTCAGACTTTCCCTCGATATTTTTCGAATTCGGATATTGGCCTGACTGTAACAAAATGTTAAACAATTTGAAAAGATTACCCAAAAAATAACAATTGCGCAATGTCGAAAAATGCTAAAACCAATCGATAATAAAAACTGAAGGAATTTTTACATTTTATTAGTTTTTTGAGTGTATCGCAGAAAAACAGAGGGGAAAACCGGCAAGAAGTATCAGATATTCGTGAGTAATTATTCCGGTTAGCGGGTGGAATCATTATGCGGAAAGGGCATTTCGAGCGGCGGATATGCGGGTTAAAAATCACAAAAATGAGGGAGACAAGCACTAAAAAATATTCTAAACATCCCAAATTTTCGAATGTGTGTGTCATGAGAACAAGCGGAAAAGTTCAAATTTAGATGCGGCACGGCGTGAATTTTCTCGGCTCCGACTCCTGCTCCAATCGGATCAATTTGACGCCCGACATGAACCGCGCGTGACTGTTCACCAAATTCTTCGGCGTTTTCGGATCCAAATCGACAATTTTGATGGAAAATGCGAACTGGCGGCCGTTCGGGAGGCGGATCACGTCCGCACGCGTCGCAAATGGTGCGTGCGCGGGCGGCAGCAGGCGCAGGGATATCATTACCTGCAAAAATGGAAACATTTTAGACAATAACAGTTTAAAACGCTCACCGAGCAATCCTTCATCGTCGCGGCCACAAAGTACCTCCGCAACTGCTGCACGTACTCTTGTTGCTCCGCACTCTCGGTTTTCTGTGCTCTCGGCTCCAGAATCGAATCGATTCCGATCCGGGTCAGTGCCGCTTTGTCCAGGAGGCTCGCCTGCAAAACTCTAGTTGCAAACGACAATTTTTCGTGTGAATTACCTGCAAATGCGGCTCCGTTCGCTCGTAAATCGCGTGCGCCCGTACTATTCCGATCTCGTCGACCTTTTGAGCTCTCAGAATTTGTCCGAGCACCGAATCGTGGCGCAGACCGAACTTCTTCTTCGATTGGCTTCCCGACAGCGCTAGACATAGCTGAAAATCAGTGTTTTTTGTTGCTCTATCGCAATCCCACGTGAAAACTCGGCCGCGGCCGCGAATTTTTCTAATCTAGCAGTTTCTTGTCCCAAAATCCTAATTTCCCCAACTGACCACAGAAATGAGATCGTCGGAAGTGGCGTCTTTGCGCGGGAACAGTGTCTCCGTGAAATTGTTCCGATCCAGCAGCTTCTCGTCCGAATGCACCTGATTTCCGTCCACGAATATGCGCAAATTCCTGTGCGGAACGAGGAAGAGCGAGTGGATCGCCTTGCGCATTCGGGAATAACTGCCGGAGAATAGATCCAGCGGGCAGAAGTCGTACATTTCCGAAAAGTTCGATTGGCCACACGACTTTTCGATCTGCAAATTGGATCTTCTAGCCACAATTTCGCGGGGAAAATCGCTTAAATTGGCTGGCACAGTGGCCATACGCAGTATGCTCCTAAAATTATGATCCAATGAAAAATCACCTGCAGAATGCAATTATTGCAGTGCGGAACGTCGACGTTCGGATGATTTTGAAGAAATCCCTGCTTTGGCTTGATTTCCACCTGTAAAATGGGGAAAAGTCAATAAAATCTCTAAATAATTGTGAGTACCGTAATAGTGGAGCTATTGTGGTGTTCGAGAATGTTCATGGGCAGTTGGGTGGCGTCGAGCATCTGCAACGACGTCAACCTCTTGGGATTCGTCACTATCACCGCGCCGTGCACTCGTTGGAACGTGTTCGTCGGCAAAAACGAGTACTCTTCTGGCAATTCGAACAAATCTTCGAATTTATCGATTTTTCTGTTCGCCGGCAGGCTCGGGATCTGGAAATATTCGAATATTTAACAAACTGTTTTAAAATTGAAATATTTGAAGCGTTTCGCGGGAAAACTCGATTTGTATTGGCTGGCACAGTGCCAGTGTACAAACGCGATACACAATTTCAATGCAGCGCACTTGCAGCACATTCGAACAAAAAATAAGACGGACCTTAGCCAACTGGTGCACATCGACAGTGTCGAACTCGACAATATTCATTCCGACCAGGTATTCCTCACCGAAAAATGGCCGGACAATTCTGAAAAGTCTAGAAAATTGATAGAAAGTCTGGAAACGAAGAGCGTACCGTTCCATGTAGTTATTGACGAGTTCGCTTCTCGCCTTCACCGTCATCAGACCACTTTTTCGGGCCTTTGCGAATCTCCAGACTATTCTGCAAAAAGAAACATTTGTTTTATATATTATGACGGCATTTTTCTGCAATCGCGCTCTACCGCAGTTCCACGTGAAAACCCGGCCGCGACCGCGACCTTTTCCATTTTAGCACTGGATTCACGTGGTGTGCGGTATAGCGCGATTGCAGTCAAATAACGCACCGCTAATAATTTTCAGAGCTTCCTACCTGATTCCAGTGAGTTTGTGCCTCGCACTTATCACGAAATTCGCGCGTCCTTCGCCGCGAAAGCAAAACGATCGATAGTCGCGGGGCTCCACGAGCGTCTGGAAATGATGATTTTACGGATTTTTCTACATCAATTTCAAAAAATGCCTCACCTTGCCCGACTGATGAATTTGCATTTCTGGGTGCTCCTCGCTCAATTTCTCAGCTGAAAAAGGTCCAGAAAATGATGGAAAAGTGATGTCAGGTAGACCGATTATATACGGGCGGAAAGGCCAACAAAAGTGGTGAATCATCATCGGGCGGAAGCAAAACAAAACCGAAAAAAGTCTGTGTTGTATTACGAAACGTTTTCGTCGTCTATTTACTTGCCGTCGCGTGAGACGCAGACGGTTCGCCAATCATCTGACTTGGCATTCAGCCAGGTCAAATGACCGTTTATATCACTTTCAAATCGGTTATTATTCAACAAAAAATCGTTTCCCAGCCGAAAAAATGATTTTTCCGCTCACAAAACAAAACTTGTCGCTCAAAAAACCAACAAAATGACGAGCTTTAATATTTTTCCATAAAGAGCCCAAAAAACCGAGCAAAAACGGAGGAAATTCACGATTTTTGGTCAAAAAAGGGGACTTGTTTACGGCGAGCCTGGTGCAAACGCGCTCCGATGAACAAACTGGCACAGCTGCATAGGGCCAATTATCCGGCGGATATCGCCGATTTTCGGCTTGTTCTTTGGTTTTTTGGACTATTATCGCGCAGAAAATTCGCATTTTTCACTGATAACCGTGCCAAACGACCGGAAAAGCGGTCTGATAAGGTTTTTGTGTAAGAAATGGGGACTAATCCGGATTTGCCCGGGGGATTTGTGCCGGATGATATTAATTAACGAGACACCTGATTTTGCGGTTATTTTTAGATTTTTTTTTTGGCCGGGAAATTGGAAAATCACATCGCTTGTTCCCTTTTGTTTTGAGAGAGAACGCGACGCGCCGAAAATGGATGAGAATCGAACAATTGGCGATTTTTTTGAGACAAGAAATGGAATTCGTCCGAGGCCTCGGGGAATCGATCGCGACCGGTCGAAGAAGCTGAACCCTGAATGCAGATCGGAATGCAGCAAAAGCTTGGGCTTTCTTCAAGAAAGAAAGCGGGAAAAAAGTGATTATGAAATCCGTTTCGTTGACATTTTTGTATGAATCATCCCGGCTTCGAAATATCCTATTTCGCAATTCTGCAATAGAAAATTCTGACGTTATCAAAAATGAACGCTTCTTGAAATGGAACCGCCACAGAATATTATTGCTCTCTCAAACATGTTAAAAGGTAAAAATCGTCTTTCTTTCACCCAAACAATTCCCATAACCGATTGTTGTCCTAATCCAAATCCGCTTGCATCATTTGTTTACCACCGCTTTCTCTCCGATCCCAACTCGGATTGGCGCCCGCCGAGAACATCAAAATACGTGCAAAACTGCCCGTTTCCCTCTCGCTTCTCTCCCACACTCTCTCACTTTTCCGTTTTTCTCTGCTCCCCAACCTTTCTCACTCAAAAAAAATCGAATTTTCTTCTTATTTTCCTCTCTTTCTCCCCATTTTTGTTGTCAAAATAGTCAATTGTCGCTTATCAAACAGTATCGATCGACTGACTTTTTCATGTGTTTTCTGGTGTCTGATCACCTTTAAAAGTCAATCGAAAGGCCATTAGACGGAAGAAGGAGATGGGCGGTTTGTGGTTTTTCTCGCTTTCCGAATTTTTTGCTGATTTGACACACTTAAATATCCCAGAAATTCAAGGATTTCCTTACATCTTCGCATTCTTCTCCACAGCTGGTCGATATTTTTTGATTTTACAAAACATGCAAAAAAGCATACTTGTGATTGGTGATGTTCGAAGCCTTCTGCAATTTTATCGTTTTTTGGCGAAAAATATCGTGAAAAAGACATTTCAATCCATATTTTCTAATGAACGGCACAGCAATGAATTGTTTCGCGATGCGCGCGTAGATCGAAAAAACTAAGGGTCTCGCAGCGATCGGACAAATTTATGGGCGCGCATTCAAAACGAGCGCGCGTTGCGGTCCTTTGAGACGACTGGAAGGACGGGGAGAAAAAAAGAGGATCGTTCTGGCCAGAGAGTCCTCTCGGACGGAAGGACCGCAGAACGCGACGCCAGACTACGAACAGATGATGACAAAACCAACGAAACAGTCGTAAACATCGTTTGATCTCTGCGACATTCTTGAACGGTCCCTGACCCGGTCATTATAGTCATCACTCTGGCGTCGCGTTCTGCGGTCCTTCCGTCCGAGAGGACCATTTTCCCTAACCGATCCTCTTTTTTCTCCCCGTCCACCCAGTCGTCCAAAAGACCGCAACGCGCGTTCATTTTGAATGCGCGCCCATAAATTTGTCCGATCGCTGCGAGACCCTAAGATTTTTCGATCTATGCGAGCACCGCGAAACTATTACCATTTGGCCAGTCCTCGCTGTTTCTCTCCGGGTTTTTTCTTCTGTCGCAACGTTTCCACTGAAAACCGTAAATTCGCCCATTTTCAGAACCCAACGAAACAATGGCCCGCAAGTTTTTCGTCGGAGGAAACTGGAAGATGAACGGCGATTTCGCCACCGTCGACGGAATCATCACGTTCCTCAACCAGTCGGCCGGTGAGCAATTGACAGAATTAATCGATAAAATCCGCGGTTTTTCCAGGAAATGAGTCGGTGGACATTGTGGTCGCACCGCCGGCGCCGTACCTCGCGCACGCAAAGGCGAACCTGAAGGCTGGCGTGCTCGTGGCCGCTCAGAACTGCTACAAAGTGCCGAAGGGCGCGTTCACCGGAGAGATCTCGCCGGCGATGATCAAGGACTTGGGACTCGAGTGGGTCATCCTCGGACACTCGGAGCGGCGCCACGTATTCGGCGAGAGCGACGCGGTGAGCAATGGGTTCTAGGAGAAATTTAGAATTTCCCCGATTTGCCTCATAATACACCAATTTGGTGAAAATCTGTGCTTTTGGGGATTGATGCGGAACAACGCCAACGTACACTTTTGCAGTTGATCGCCGAGAAGACGGTGCACGCGCTGGAGTCGGGCATCAAAGTGATCTACTGCATCGGAGAGAAACTCGAGGAGCGCGAGGCTGGACACACGAAGGATGTGCGTGCAAATTTCGATAATTTGATTAGAAATTCTGAGAAATCCCCGAATATTCTAATATTTTCCAGACTTGTCGAAACTCGGCCTGTCCTGAGTTCAAGTCTAGTACCAAAACCCGGTCCGACTCACGACAATTCTGATTTTCAATTATTTTTTTTTTCAAATATCGGTGTTTCAGGTGAACTTCCGTCAACTGCAGGCGATCGTCGACAAGGGCGTCTCGTGGGAGAACATTGTGGTCGCCTACGAACCGGTGTGGGCCATCGGGACCGGAAAGACGGCCTCGCCGGAACAGGCCCAAGAGGTCCACGAGTGGATCCGCGCCTTCCTCAAGGAGAAGGTTCGCTCTTTTCTTCTTGGCATAAAATCATTTTTGAGCCTTTTGGATTCAGTATGAATACATTGTTATTTGTATATTTTGCATTGCAGGTCTCGCCAGCGGTGGCCGACGCGACGCGCATCATCTACGGAGGATCGGTGACGGCCGAGAACGCGGCCGAACTCGGCAAAAAGGCCGATATTGACGGATTCCTGGTCGGAGGCGCCTCGCTGAAGCCCGACTTTGTCAAGATCATCAACGCCAGATCCTAAATTATTGAAAAACATCGTTCGCAATTTTTTTTGCACTCTTTTTCAAATGTATTCATAGAAAATAGCTGCTCACTAAAATGTATTATTCTCCGCTCCCCCCAGTTTTCTCTTTTTTCTCGTCGTAACATAAATAGTCTTGCCTGCATATTATAATTTTTTTTCGAATTCTTCTGAAATTGGTAGGTTTGTTGTGCGACTAACAATGCAAAATATCTTGTGGAATTGAGAAAAACGGGTTTTTTAAAAGGAAATATTTTAGATGAGTAATCAATACATCAATGAGCCGATCACGAGTGGAAAGGTGAGAGAAATCGTTAAGGTTTGCAGAGAAATGCATTGTTTTTAGGTAACCCTCGAGACGACGGCGGGAGACATTGAAATCGAGTTGTGGACGAAAGAAGCGCCGCTCGCGTGCCGGAATTTCATTCAATTATGCATGGAGAACTACTACAAAGGATGCGTTTTTCATCGACTCGTCAAAAGTAACACTTTCCGGATTCGCTGGCATTTCTTCTGGCAAAAGGCCGGCACAGGCTTTTTGAAGGCCTGCCGAGTCCTGGATTTTTGCACTACTTGCATAGATCAGATCGGGATCAAACTTTGCAGGCCTCTTGGACATGGGTTAATGTATGTTGGGACCAAGTTTCAGACCGATCGGATCATCTGGTCCCGAGATATATGGATCATCAGCCGCAAGCCCCGGATCCACTTATCTCGAGACCAGATGATCCGATCGGTCTGAAACTTGGTCCCAATGGACTTTAACCCAAGTCCAAGAGGCCTGCAAAGTTTGGTCCCGATCTGATCATTGCAAGTGGGTCAAAAGTGCGGCCAATTGCCCATTCCTATGCAAAACAAACGTTTTTTTTTGCAGATTTTATCCTGCAAGGAGGCGATCCGACTGGCACCGGAACTAGCGGAGAGAGCATTTATGGGAAGCCGTTCAAGGTTCGACTCATTTCAGACTGTTCCCCGGGTTTTAATTTGTCAAAAGTTGAGTTTAGGATGAACTGCACCAACGTCTCAAGTTCAACCGGCGCGGCATCGTCGGAATGGCGAACGCGGGCCGCGACGACAACGGATCGCAGTTCTTTTTCACGATCGGAGACCGCGGCGCGCCGGAACTCGACCGCAAACACACAGTATTCGGAAAGATCACCGGGCCCACTCTGTTCAACATGCTCAAAATGACCGAGGTGGAGACGGAAGGAGACCGCCCGGTCACTCTCTATAAGATCACGGGCGCACGCATCGACAACAATCCGTTCGAGGATATCAAACCGAGAGAGAAAAAGAAGAAGGAGAAGGGAGAGAAGAAGAAGGAGCAGAGGGTCGTCGAGACGAAGAAGACGAACCTGCTCTCGTTTGGAGACGAAGCCGACGAGGATGAGGAACAGTTGACCATCTTCAATAAGGTAGTGTACAGGGCCCAAACTTTGCAGGCTTCTTAAACTTGGATTAAAGTATTTTGGGTCCAAGTTTAAGACCGATTCGATAATTTACTCTCGAGATCAGAAGGATCAGATGCCGAAAAGACCGCAATTTTGCAAGCAATATCTCTACGGACCATATGATCCGATCGGTCTGAAACTTGGACTCTAGATACTTTAATACAAGTCCAATGGACGGTATTTACGGTACGCATTCCAATCCTTGCAGAAAACGGCGCACAAGCCAAAGTCGGCGCACGACGTGCACGACAACGACTCGATCGGATTGTCGAAGCAGGCGGCGGTGACGCGCGACGAAATGAGCAACTACTGTCCAGAGGACGAGGACGCCGTTAAGGACACCACGTCGGTGTCGTCGATCCGAGAGAAACTGCTCAAGAAGAGCCAGAAACGAAAGGTCCCGCTCCGATCTTGGTCCCTTGAAAAAAGTTGCTGTTTGTAGATGGAAGACGGACCGAAAGCGGGCGAAGATGAGGACTACGAACAGCTGATTGCGGACGAGAAACGGGCGAAGGAGCAGAATGAAATGTGGGTGGAATAGGTGGAATGCAGACAACGAACACGCATTTTCAGTGATAAAATGAATTCGGAGCTGAAAGAGATGCAGAAAGAGTACATAAAGGCGTTGCGGCCGGTCAAGGAGAAGAAGAAGAAGGTTAAAGGTACGGAACGTTCTGGAAGATTTTGAGGGTTTTCGGGGCTTGAGAAAAAAATGTGGTTTGTTTTAGGGGATCTCTCCCTTTTCGCAACTTTCAGTACGATTCCCAACTTGCCGTTTTGCAACCAATTCCGCAACTGGCTTAAAAGCATTAAAAGTACTATCGGGCCCGATAATGTAGAAAATGCTACGTTTTTGAAGTTTTGGACTGCATCGAATGTGCCAAAAGCTTTAAAACGATGAAAAATTTTGTCAATTTTGCAGACGAGACGCTGTCGGAAGCGATGCAATCGTATCAAGAGCTGAAGATGAAGTTCAAGTCGAAGACGAAGAATGTGGTGAAGCAGAAGGACGCGCAACGCGAAGGACAGACGATGCAAATGCTCGAGCGGTTCAAGAAACGGCTCGGCGCCTCCAATCAGGAGGCCATCCTGTTCGACCGCAAAATTCAGGTATCGAAACTATTATTCCGGTGTTTTTCTCGTAAAAACCCGATTTTTGTGCTAACAAGTCTCGCTGATCTTCCGCACGGTTTCCATCAAAATGTGATGAATTCGAGCGCCAGTTCAAAAACGAGTCTCTAAAACACTCTAAATAAGCTCCTCTAGAAGCAAAAAAAACTGATGAAATTCGTGTCGAGACTTCAATTGTTTTAGGTGAAAGAAGAAGAGCCGAAACGAGTGGAAGATGGAGAAGAAGCGGCTGAGGGAGAGGAGAAAAAGTTTGGAATGGACTTGGACGCCGAGGATATTCAGGGCACTTCGTGGTTTGAAAACGGGAATCAATCTGGAAATATGCTCTTTCTTTTGCAGGATGTCCCACCGTTTCAAAGCAGAAGACGTGGTGCTGTCGTCGCGGGCAAAGGACGCGAACTTGCGCGAGGAGAGCGAGGACTGGTACCACATCACCGATCCGCGCAACAAAATGGCCAAGAGACGGCGTGGCGAACAATGATTAATTTGATTTTATTGTTTGTCTCCGTGTGCTTTCTTTTCATTATCTCATTTCCATTTTTCAACAAGAAAACTGTCAAAAGTTTCATTGAAAACTCTCTTGCGATACGGGCCAGAAATCACTTTTAAGGCCTGCAGCAGTCTCACGAGGCGCCTGAGCCTGTTCTGCATGCTACTGATATGCTGATCTCTTGGCGAGCTCGCCCATTTTGTCATGTAAGCCTCTGTTATAAGCTGAAAAAGAGAACGAGAGAAAATCTTAGAAAGCGATTGAATTTCTTGGTTACGCGTTGCTCAAAAATTGTTTACAACGAGCAACTTTTGCGAAAGTACTCGTAAACAGTTGAACTTGTTGAAACCATGCACAAAATTGCGAGAAAAAAAGAAAGAGAGACAGAAGAAGAGGTAGAAAGAGAAATACAGAAAAATAGGAGCAGAAAAAAGCAGAGATCCTGGATCAGAAGCTTTCCTATTCATTTTCGGTGTTTTTTCGGAATTGATATTGATGAACGAAATAGAGTTCCTACTTTCGTCAACATGTCAGAACGCTGATTATCGTCAATTCAGAACGCTGGCATGTGAATGCTCTACATCGAAAGGATCATATATAATAACAATTGCAAGACACAATTCTCCACGAATTAATAAATTTAGGGCTAATTAGGGGAACATTCACGAGTTTTCCATTTTCGGGCGCCCTGCCGGCCGGGATCCTTTATGGGTCCATAGAGGAATTTTCTTCTTTCCGTTCTTTTTCCAGCACTGTTGTCATTTCATCGAAACACTCGTCTTTCCATTTCCAGATCATCGTTACCAGTCTTTCATTTCTTTTCTTCTATAGAATTCTACTCTTTGCGCAGTCCTGGTTTCGAATCAATCGATTCGCACAACGACATTTATCTAATCACAAAAAGAGGGGTACTAACATCGAATGAAGTGTGTGTGTGTGTTTGAGGATAATTTACAGATTATAATACTTTTCCAAGCAAAAAAGGAACGTTCCTGAATCGCCACCAGCTGGGCAAAAAGGGGCGGATCTCAATTTGAGAAAAAGACAAAATATATTTCAGAAAAAAGTGCATGTTTTAGAAGAGTCCACGTCGGCGCTTCGGAATCGACTGCTGCTCCGCCTCCTCCTCGCTGATCTCGCGGATCAGTGGGCCTCCGATGCGATTCGAGTGCGACGAGCGAGATCTGCAAACAAATAGGTGACGTCTTCAATTATTTTAACGAGACAAATTTCAGGCTCTAAATTCTCCGTTTTCCCCCTAAAAGCGGTGGCTTACTGTTGCGGTTCCTCCTCTTCGGGCAGCGTCACAATCGGGGCCCTTCCGCCGGATCCCACGTCCGTTCTCCTTCTGCCGTCATCGATTTCCCTCTGATTTCCACTTCGTCCGTGTCTTCCAGTACTCGGATTTCGGATTCGCGTCGAGAATTCACGATCAAAGTCCTCGGCGTTGGCTGCAAAAAAAAACGATTTTCTCCTGAAATTTCCGAATTTCGCCCTGTGAGTGATGCCCACCGAAGTTTCCAATTGTTTATCAAATTAAACGGCATCCGTTTTGACAATGAAATGTGTTCTAATGGATAATCGAAAAAAAAAGGGGACAAAGAGAAGTAGAGACGATTTTTGATTTTCGAAAACCGGATGGGCAACAAACAGCTGTGTCGTCAAAAAATGTGTGTGATCGGAGAGGGACCACACCCACGCGGAAATGAGAAGAAATGGGTGAAAAAGCTGAAAAATGCCATGGACCCGTGACCGTCACCAGTCCATGCTAATTTTTCTAGAAAACGCGACGGCTTACCCTCGTCCAAATTCACGAATCTCTGTTGTTTTCGCACATTTCCCTCGCGGTCGCGTTTTTTGTCGATGAAATGCGAACGCTCGCCGATCGAATGACCGATCGTCATCGACGATTCGCCGTTCTTGTCGACGCGTCTGCAAAATACACTCTCGTGGCCTAGTTTTAGTTTTCGAGGCCATTGTGCCGAAAAAGCTTCAAAACCGAACAGAAGTGCTGATTTTTTCGCGTAAAAAGCGTACCTCTTGGTCTCGGTGACATCGCCGGCCCTGCGGACGGTCTGCTGCTCGACACGCGGCCGCCCGTCCGGTCCGATCGTCATCACACTCGTGCTCATGAACATGTTCGACGCTTGCGACGGATCCGGCACCATCATTGGCATGCCCTGAAACTCATTTTGCATAAAAACACTCGTTTCGATTCATTTTCTATTGATTTATGCGCAAATACTGTATTAGAACATGTTTCTCGAGTTCGGAACGATGTCAGCCATCAAAATACACGAAAATGTTCAAGAGACAGTACGTTTCCAGGATTTTGACGGTTTTACGCCTTAGCTCCACTCAATTTAAGCCGATTTTTTTACCATTCCGCCAAAAAGGCCTCCAAAAGGGGCGAACGGGTTCATCTCGAGTTCGTGGCGTCGGCGGGTCGGCGGTTGGCCGGTTCCGTCGGTAATCGCCGCGCCGAACGGACCGCCCATCATGCCGCCGAACGGAGAGCCCATCATGCCGCCGAACGGACCGCCGAGCATTCCGCGCAGCATTCCGCCCGTCATCATGTTCATTTCGTTCATCATTTGAGAGTGCATTTGGCTGCAAATTTGTTCGATTTTTTCAAGAATTTCCGCCCAAAAACCAACCCGAAATTTCGCATCGGATGCATTGGAAATTCGTCGTCGTCGTTGAACATTTCTCCGATTTTTTTCTGAAAGTTAACATTTTCTAACGAAATTTTTAGAGAATTTCGAAGGAAAAGTGTCGATTGTTGCAGATAGATGGACGAGCAAACAACCCATTGAGTGACAGCATTAGGATAAGAAATTGATAAGAGGAACATTCTAGAAAGGGAAAAAAGTGAATTTTGGTGTCAACAGTTAGGAATTGACAAGGACTGGGCACATTTCGGCTCAGGCTTTTTGAGGCCTGGACTTTTGACCCACTTGCAATGATCTGAACGGGTCCAGACTTTGCAGGCTTTTAGGACTGAGATTGGAGTATATTGGGTCCGAATTTCAGACCGGTCGGATCGCCTCGTCCCGAGATACATTGACTCCAAGAAGCCTGCGAAGTTTGGGACCAATCGAACAATTGCAAGCGTGTCAAAAGCCGGCCGGCCTTTTACACAGATCACAAAAAATGGTAAAAACTAGCATATTCATGTTCGGAACATGAGCAAAAAAGAACGGAAACACGAGAATGTAGACTCTAATCCTCTTATGACTAACCAGTTGGTGATGTTTGGAAAGCGGTCAAATTAGAAATGAATTCGATCTTGCCCACCTTTTGAAGGCATGTTGAAGGCTTGTCGAAAAAGGTTCAAACTACAAATGATTACATTTCAAAAAGTAATCGAACACGTCTGTTTGACGATTGAATGCGACACACGGTGTTGTAGAATTCGAACATTGAACAAAAGAGCCTAGCAAGCGACAGTTTGGCGCGAAATTAAAATGTTAACCTCAAATTTAGTATAGAACAATTTTATAGGCAAAAACAAACTTGTTAAGCGCAAGACCGTCAAATTTGGACGAGTCGCAACTCGGATTTATCCGTTTGAAGTTTTTTGTCAAAAACAGCGAGAATTTGAGTTATTTTTGTTGTTCGCGGGCTCAAAATGCTTGTATTTACGCAATTTATCACTTGCAAAACAACTTGCCTGAAAACGGTCAGAAATGCGCCAAAACGTCAGAAAATTCGATAATTCTTCTGTTTTCATCGCTTTTGACCTATTAAGGAAAAGTAAGCTCTGGACACGATGTTACATCACAAAATGCATAAAATCGATAATTTCTAGAGTCGAGAATGTTCTAGAAACGTGAAAATTGGGCGCGGAAAACGCGGACGAATGTCTTCTTTTACTTTTTGTTGCTGCAAAGTAAAAACGAGGGCGTTTTGTCTCTCTTTCCGATGGAAACGAGAGCGAGAGAAAGAGAGAAAGAAAGAGTTGTTTGTGGTCGATGTGTCGGCCCCTCCCAGCTGTCATTCGGTGGGGACCGAGAGACGGAGAGAGTGCAGAGAACAGAGACTCTTCGAGAATGTTCCTGTGCTTATTCGCTTGCAAATAATTGGAAGCGCGGCGAAATCGGGAAACAGTCCACAGTTTTGTTTGTACAAAATGATAAAGCAAGTAAGAAAAATCCGAAAATCAACGTTTTCAGAGAGATAATTCAAAACTTTGGATAAAACGACCGGACAAATGTGTTCGTTACCATTATTAGAGCAAGAGAATCGAATGGGGATACCGGAGAAAATATGAATAAAAATCCCAACAAATAGCACAAGATAAGGCGAAAACATGTCAAATATATCCGAGTGGGATGGCGTCGGTTTTGGGGCGCAACGGCTTCAAATAAACGTCGATCGGCCGCTCGAATCCTTTGGATTTCGCACCGGCCACCCCCATTTTCTCGACCGACTCGAAGCCGACCGTCTCGATGAGCCACATCTCGAAATCCTCGGGTTTGAATTCGATTTTCGAGTAGTTCGCCATCAACTCCTCGTTCATTTTCGCACGTTTTCGGTACGTTTCGAATTGTTGCGGTTCGATGATGAGACGGCCGCCTGAAAACAGAAAAATTAGGAGGATGTATATTTAAAGTCGAAAAAGTACCGGGCTGAAGCTGTGCGTAGGCTCTCTTCAGGAATCGACGCATTCCGTCGTCGCCCCAGTTCAGATGGATCCATTTTGTGATGGAAAGTGCGAGAATGACGTCGAATTCTGGCTGAATCATATCGAGCATCTCGTCCGACTCCAGCACGTAGTTCTCCTTTTTAAACCAGACATTGTCGGGAAATTTGGTGGAAAACGAGCGCGGCTCTGCTTTTTTCTGCGATATTGTGCCGAATTGGACGCCGAACGAGGCGGGGAACTTTCCGGCGACCTGCAACATTTTTGTAAACAATTTTGAGAAAATCAGGAAGAAACAGTACCTGCAAGTCATGATCACAATAATGTCGTATATTTTTGCGGGCGACTCCAATCAGATGCTCATCAATGTCAATTCCCAGAATGCGACGAGGAGAAAAGTCTTTTGCGATCGATAATGTTAGAAATCCCACGTTGCACCCTGAAAATAACATTTTGCGACTTTAAAATGTTGTATTAAAACAACAAAAAACTGACCAATGTCGAGAACGGATTTGCGTTCGAACCACTCTTTCTGGAAGACGGTCAGTCGTTTGTCGGATTCGCCCGGATTCAGACGCACTCCGTAATATCGATCGAAATTTCCGTAGCGGTACTTTCGATTGAAGTATTCCGTTTTGTTTTTGCGGAATTCCACCGCGTCCTTTTGATCTTTCGTCAAATGTGGCCGGCGCGCGTCTTTCTTCGGCGAATTGTTCTGGTTTTTCTGGAAAAATGCAATTTTTAAGTGCTTTCTAAGCCGAAAAATGAAATATTTGTTTTTCTTACGTCTGTACACATTTTTCACGCTCTATCAGCAAAAACATACCTTTGGCGAGAGCTGCGGCGTCGAAAGCTCGAAATTCGCCTTTTCCCGCTCGGCGCGCTCTTTTTCCAGAATCCGGTCCTCTTTTTCGAGTCGCCGCCGCTTCTGACGCTCCGGAGTCGGTTCCAGAAGGCCCAGACGCTCTTTTTCGAGCTCCGGATTCTCGGACAACTCGATTTCAATGTTCAGCGGATCGGTTTTTGAGCCGCCCGGTGCAAAAGTGTCGCGATAGAAGCGTTTGCGGCCGCGGTAGGCGCCACGACGAATGCCAGACATTTCTTTGGGCTGAAAATTTGAAAAGTCGACGAAAATCGACCGAAAACTGCCAGAATATCGTTTCGAAATGCATTCAAATTCGGCAGGGGGACTAGGAAACTCCTCGGCCGCGGCTATGCCTCATTTCGGAGGGAAATTCAAATAAAAGCGGATTGTTCGGTTTTTCACCATTTTGCCTCGAAAAAACACGGAAAAACAGCAGAATAAAAATAAAAACTCTTATTTCATAATTTACACACACATAATTCTTCGGAAAAATCCATAAATAATCATTGGTCGTAGCTATAGTGCGAATTCGTGTCGAGACCCACAATAGGGCAATATTGGTCATCGTCGGCGGCGTCCGCATTCGAGTACCTATTCTCAATCACCAAACACACTGCTTTTCGATGTTTGCTATGTCGATAGCCGTACAGAAAGTAGGAAACTGCGCCTGAAATTGCAAACGCGCTCTAATGAGACATTTTTCGAAATTTGCAATAAACCTATAATAAAAACAGCCGTCAAATGGCCTAATGTACGTGTGGGAACACTTGCGGAGAACGAAATAAGCAGCAGAAACAGTGCGAACAGGGAGGCCGTCGGGAAAAGTGTCACTTTTGATTCTTTTCTGAAAAAGTACATTTTTAGGCGTACAAATTTCAAATTTCCGATTTACTTGTACAAATAATCGTTGGTTTGCAGCCGATTGATATTGATCGAGAACAGAACGATGCCCGCCGCGAAACAGACACTCACAATCCAACATGCGGCCGTGTGCGCCGCGAAGTTCCGTAAATACGCGGCAAATGAGATTGTCGTCACGCAAAAAAGCGTCAAAAGTCGGCGAGAACGGCGGAGAATCGAAAAACTGACATCCGGAGAGGGTGGGCGTGGCGCCGACGAGGAGAACGTCGAAAAGAACGGCAGTTCGGGCTCTTCGTTGGCGAACAGGTGCACTTCTTGCGAATTGTAGTCTGAAAACGTATTTTCTGCATTTTTCCGTCAGATGCAATGTTTTGGACGCATTTTCGGGTCAACGAGCATACCATCATCGTTTTCGGCGCCGCACTGTTCGGCAACACAATTATGCGCGTGTTTTCTGTGCTTCTTCTTGCATTGCTCCTCGATCGAGTTGTATTGCGACACGGATTTGGCGAGAACCGGCCGACGTTCCTCGTTTTCGCGTTCTTTCTCTTCCTGCAATCAAAAAATGTGCAAATTGTCGTGAAATCGGGTGCACAACGAGCGCCTACCCGATCGAGCCGTCTCTGCAGCCGTTCCGTCTCCATCTTCGTGGCCTTCATGTAGAGAAAGGCGGTGGTGTCGAACGAGGAGCGACTGCTGCTCACTTCGCTTTCCTCCTCCTCACGCACTTCCGACGCGCTCTCCGCCGCGATCGAAATGCCGTCGTCGATGTGCACGCACGTGCGTTTCTTGCCGATCGTCTTGTAGCTGCTCGTCTCCTCGGGGATGCCGATCTGCTCCGGATGGTAGTGCTGGATGAAGACGAGCACAATCTGAAGAGGCAACCAGATACCGTCAACACTGTGATAGAAGGGGAGAGCTTCGATGGCGTGTATCTCAGCTACCGGTAGAGATGTCAAAATGTCGTCAACTGAGAAAATGTTCAGTACAGAATTGTGTACATTCTGTTTCTACGGACCGCTGAGCTACACTGTGCCCTTCTATTCACCGTAATGGCCATCTTGACTGGCGCCATAAAGATGACAAAATTGAGGAGGACGTTCTTCTGGATCATGGCGCAAAGGGCGACGAGTGCGGTGCAGAGAAGGACGGCAAAATAGGGACTTTTTGTGGAAGTGTCCCTCGCGTACGGGATGAGACGGTCTGCAAACGGAGGTGGGTCTTTAAAGGATGCGAGGGGTTACTGTACCGTGACAGAGGGCCGCAATGACACGCGTGGCCGGCAGGAAAGACGCCAAAACTCCGCCGGAAAGGGCACAAACCGAACAGACCGACAGCATGTACCTGCAAATATCGATTTATTGTACTCGCGTGAAGCTTTCAAACCCAAAAGAAAAAAAAAAAAAACTACTCGAGTTTCTAAGCGGGAACCAAAGAAAAAGCGGAAATGGATCGACGAACCGCATTCGGACGAACCCCTGCTCGTAGTAGGATCTGAATGCGTGGGAGGTGATTGGCGACTGGGACGCGCTTTCGTGATGCACCATCGGAAATCGACGCACCCAGTACTTTGGCGGAGGCGACGACGATCTGATAGTGAGAGGAGAAAACGGGGCGGAAATTCGGAAAGTTCACGAAAATTCATGCGGAAACTGTGCAATTCTCTATTTTTTGTGCATTTCCGTGCAAAATTGGGATGAAAAACGATATTTTTACACGGTTTTCCCAACTCACTTTGCCGCCGGAATGTTGATGACCGAAAACACTTCGGGAATCATGATGCCCTCGGACAACGCCGTCACATTTGTCGACAAACTGAAAGTTGCTTACGGTAAGTCGGGAAGGATTACTGTAGGAGTGGCGCACCTGAAAGTGACGGAAAGCACGAAGAAGATGGTGGTGAGGGTGAGCACGAGGAACGACAATATACTCGAAATTCGCTTTCGCGGATTCTTCGTCTCTTCCAGGAGGCACGACGTGCTCTCGATGCCCGTGTAACAGGCGCACAGGGCACAGATTGCGTAGAGTACCTGGCGGGCAAAAAGTAGGTCACACAGTGAGTAGGTCACGTCAAAACTCACGCCCCGATATCCGAAATGAAAAAAGTCGGCGCGTATCCAATTCTCGGGATCCGAATGGAAGAATGCGACCATCGTACACGAGGCGGCGATGAGAAGAGTGACGGCGAGAAGCGAGACGCAGATGGTGCCGACGACTCGGAGCGAGCAGAGCAGCAGGAAGAGCGTGATGACGGCCGAGACGACGGTCAGCACGTCGACTCGCGGCGAGAGGATCGACGAGTCGGCGGAGAACACCGAGAACGTCAGCGATTTGGCGGGGAGCCCGCGGAACAGCAGGTTCTGGAAACGGAAGGAGCGCGTACTAACTTAGCCCTAGATTTGATGACCTCTTGGCCAACTTTTAGGAAAAGAAGGTCCACTAGGCCACGAAACTCACAAAGTGATCGGCCCACGCCTTGCAAAACAGTCCGGCCTGTCCGATATAATCGGCCAGACTCAACCAGGCGACCAAATAAGCGGGAAACTCGCCAATAACCGCGTAGGCGAAATGATATTGTACACAATTCTTGGGCATCGTGCACGACAGTTCCGACAAGTGAGCGGCTGAGAAACCGTGTCTTTTTTTTGGTGCTAGAAAACAAAAGGCCAACCGGAAAAGAAGACGATCAAAAAGGCGAAGATGAGGGCGAGAACGGTGCTCGGGCCGGCGATTTGTGTGAGCGAAAAGGGCAAAATGATGAAGAGCATGAGGGCGACGCTCTTGATGGCGGCCAACGCGACGACGAGCGGCACGCCGAGCCGCCGCGCCCATTCCGAGTGCCGCAGGAACTGCTCGTCGATTCGCCGTCTTCGGAACACTCGCGCCAGCCATGACGGGACCATCCTGGAAACGAGCTGATTGATACTGAGGGGGAACCGAAAACGAGGTCGGTTTACGGTAATTTTGACCTACTTTTTTTTGCGTATTTAGGTCTGAATGGCAGAAAAAGAAGCGGGAAAAGTCTTGAAAAATGGTCAGAAAGGCAATCTCCTCCTCGCGGCTTTAGCCCTTCATCCCCCCATTCGCCCATTCCAATTCCCATAACTCCCCCCCCATTCTCAGAGCCGCCTAACTGCTCTTTTCCCTTAATAGTAGCTTTATTCGAAGAGGTTTAGCGGAAAAAAGAGGGGAGACGAAATGGAGAAAGACAATATTCATTTGGATTGGAATTCGAACGGCCAAATTTTGGTGAGGGGGGGAACAACAGAAGCGAGAAGCGGACAATAGCAGAGTTTGCGCCGAGATTTCCGGCCCGTTCCCATGGGACACTTTTTGTCGGAAAGTGACAAGTTTTCGCGAAAACTTGCTTGCTGTCTGCCTTCCGAACAACTTAAAAACCGCGTTTTTTCCCCCTGTAACCATGGCCGGTTGCCACGTGTTTTGAGCGAGCGAAAACCAAGATTTTTGAAGTCTGGAATGTAGTGGAAATGGGAATTCTAGTCGCCATAGCTTTCCTGGGAGCCGATTTTTCCGGCCGTACACGGTGAGAGCTTGAAAAATCTGGAAAAATAGAATGCCAGGGTTTTGTGTGCGTGCCGCTTGCCAGTTATGACCGACGTGCCGTGCATATTCCGTCTTTCAAGCAAAAGTTTCGAAAAAGTTGTAGAATTTTTAAACTTTTGCGTGGGCGTAGACACAAAAACGGGCAAAAAATGGATACCGCGTGTGGGAAAAGAAAAAAGCTTTTTTTCAGGCCAACTACTATGAAGAGGGTCGCGTGTCAAGAAGAAGCAGGAATATTGTGGGCTCACGGGAAAATGGAAATGGTGTTGTTCTTTTTCTTCGCTCCGCCCACTTTATCTTCTCGACGAAACGAGGACGACAATTTGCGAATTGTGATAGTCAAAAAGTTGGTTCTCGATAAGCGAGACATAAAAGTTGAGGGAAAGATACAAAAAGACGGGTGCGAGTGACTCTTTCGGGTGCCCAGAAATCGAATCAGAGACGCTCTTGTGTCATGTTTTTGCCGCTTGGCGACTTGATTCAATTTCAGGCGGCAAAATACGCGTTTTCAGTGAGGAAACCAGTTGAAAAAGCGTTTTGTGGAAAGTGTCGTGAGATCCGGTGTCAGGTACGCATTGTCATTGTCACGAATCCGAGTGAAACACCAAAAATGGGCGAGAAAATCGGAAAAAAATGCGAAGGAGAGAGAGAGAGAGAGAGAGAAAAGAGCGCTCGCCCACAAATTGGATTGACTTTTCTTTTTTCGCATTGGATAATCGGAGGAAGCGACGCAAATCTTGTTTTCTTCCTTTTTCCCGTTTTCGAAAGTTCATCCGGACGACATTTATGCACAGAAACGGATTTTTCACTGAAAAGACGGTTACTGTAGCTCCTAAAGTCCCTAAACACCGGATTTGACGACCAAACGCAGAAAAACTCCAACAAAACGTTTTCCAGGCTTTTCGAGGATAATTAGGGCCTCCAGAGGGACGTCCAAATTGTTCATTTCCCCCCAACTGACAAGAAATTGTTCTTCTTCTTCTTCTTCTTTTCGTTTGTCAATCAAACAACAGGCTTCGAGCCCTAAATTGGATCACAAGAGACGGATATTTTTCCCAAATGTTTTGGCTGGGAAAAAAAAACGTTTTTGGCTACCCGCCTCCCAGAAAAAATGAGGAAAAAAGTGGATTTTTCCAGAAAAAAGAGAGAATGTTGACAAAAAGGCATCTAACAAGCCGTACGAATTTGAGAAGTCTCTGGAGAAAACGAAGAAGCCTCGAAAGGAGAAGAAAGTCGGACGGCTCATATTTTCTCCCTTCTCACTAGTCTGAGAAGTCTGAAGTCTCTCACGATTTGTCAGACGATTTTCCGTCGAAATGCGCTCGCTTCTCCTCGTTTTTCTACTCGTCGCACCGATGTTCGGTGGGTTTAAGCTATTTGTCGTGGGATTCGGTGTTTGCGGGCTTTTCCGCCTACCGTAATCTTTCATATCGATGGGCTTTGGCGATTTGCATGATTTTTCTGCTTTCTGGACAAAAAAGATACCCTAGATTGCAGAAAAGTTCATTTTTGCACATATTTGGCGTTATCGTAACCCCTAAGAGCGTAGAATTTTACAGCTGAAATCCGAATTCCACTTTTCGGCGGCTCCATCACCATCCGCAACAATTCCGACGGAAGTTTCACAGTGGCCACCGAAAAAGTAGCTAAATTTCGTAATTTTCCGATATTTCCTTCCAGAAACTCCCGAAAAACGTCGAGAAACACACAAAGTTCACTCTGATCAATGGCACGGTCGCCGATTTCGGTGAGTGTGCAGTGGTTGCCGAACAGGCACTATTTTTGACGACAAAATGCCGAAAAGGTGCAATTCTTCCAGAAACTTCGACAAATTCAAGCGGAATCGCATGGAAAATCGAGGAAAACCCGGAACATCAGCCGAAAAAGCGGCCTTCTCAGCGGCGCCCTAAATCCGACGTTCTCAATGCGTTGCTTTCAATGTTTGGCCGATTTTGACTCCAAAAAAGGCGAGACTCAATAAAATTTTCATCCATTCACAAATAATACAAAAAAAGCGATAATTGCAGTTTCAATTTTGTTCACCAATCCATTTCCAGGTACGATTTGAGAAATTTCTCGTGAATTTCCGTAAAAATCGCATCGCAGTGACGGATTTCGTAGCGGAGCATCTGAAAATTACGCGATTTCGGGGAAAAGTGCGGTGTGGCGCACTTACATCACGCTCGTCGTTCACTTCGTCCCGTTTTCCCTTCAGCTTATCGAATTGCGCGCAGATTTTGTCGATGAGATCGAATTTGGCGGTGATGAGATGGATGAGCTCGCCCTCGAGCACGCACCGGTGACCGAGCGGGATCTTGCGCTCCTGAAAGTTTGAAAAAATATTTGAGATGTTTTGTTTTTGACTCACACAGTGCTCCTCCCAAATCTCGAGTCCCTGGGCGGCCTTGTCGAGCAACTCGGTGAGAATCTCAAAACGGTCCTCCTCAAGACTACGGTCTTCTTTCGGCAGAGCCCAGAGCGTTCGTTCGACCTGTTTGATGCGTCTCTCGAACTCCACGAACCGACGCGCTAGATCCGGAAGGTAGCGGCGGGCGATCGCGTCGGGGATCTAAAACTGTTTTCCGAGTGTGTCTCGGAGACCGTGAAAGATACAAGAAAATGGATAGAAATAAAAGTGATCAGCATACAATTTCCCACCATTTGATATACAGTATGTCTATGAAACATTGTTTCGCCCACCTCCTTCATGTTCTTGTACACCGTCTTCGCGTCCTTTTTCTTCAACTCCTCGTAGAACTCGGCGTCGATGCCCTCGACCGGTTGATCCAATCCCATTTCGCGAACAATGTCATGGAGGGGAAAGTCGACGGCCTCCGGAACACCTTCCAACGGCTTCGAACGCTTCGCGCGCTCCTCCTCCAGCAATTTCTGCTCCAAATCCGATAAAGGAGGGATTATGGAGTACTTCTGAACGGAGATTTTCGCTTTGCGGTATTGAAAATGGCAAGAAATCTGCGATTTTTAGTCCAGAGTGATAAATTCGCTCACTCTGTCGTTGATATCCTGCTCCATTTGGTCGGCATCCAAATGGAGCTCCGAGAGCTGGTCGCGCACGTTTTCCAAGACGTCCAGCATCGAAAACTGATTGTTGTTGACTTTTCTGGACCCTTCCATCAGTGTTCCCGATTCTTGTTTCCAGGATTTCACGTCGAAATGCAAACTGTTTGAATAAAAACTTTTTTTGCAGAAAATGCTCACAATGCCCAACTTTTCAAAGGTCCAAACCGGTAAAGTCAGAAATGTCTACACACGAGAAAAGGGGCAGCAGTCTGGACATTTCCGACTTTACCGCAACTGTAACACGTTGTCAGGTTGCCCCCAGTGTCTCCATTACTTCTGTGGGCTATGTTCTTCTAGCTTGTCTCAATTGCATACACGAGAACACTTCTTTCGTAAATTTTTTCAGGTTCCTTGTTCATTTTTAGGCCCGAATTTCAGAATTTCAGCTTCCTATTCAATTTTTTCCGCCAATTTCTCGTTTGACCAACGAGAGAGTGTACGGAACGAGAAGACGCAGAGAGTGTGCAAGTGCGCTCCAGCGAACTCACCGCCAAATCGTGGCAGTTTAAAATTGGATTTTCGACGCTCCACCCGCTTTTCGTGTTGATTTTTCGTTTTTCCGCACTTTTCGGACAAAATTAATTTCAGCGATGGAAGAAGACGGTCCACCGCCGGAATACCCAAAAATTCCAGCTGAAAAACCGCCGGAAACGAGTAAAAAGTGAGAAACTATCGATTTTTTCCGGATTTCTTCAATTCTCCCGCAGAAATCGACGTCGATCGGCGCTCAGCGATCAGATAATGAGCACATTTATGGATTCGGCGAACGAGGCGACAATGAGCCCAGTAGAGCCGAAAATTCGTCCGAAACGAACGGTCCGCATGATCCAGGAGGCGCTGCGAGGGCCCATGAAGCCGGTGCAAGTCGTGCAGAGGGTCAAACCCGTCAGATACTCGGTCAGTAGATTCTGCAAAACATAACCACAAATGTTGAAGATTATTGGATGTTTATCCGATTTTGTGCCGAAGTGTTGCATTAAAAAATTGCAGTTCGATTTGGGCGAGCGTGTAGAGACGAAATCGTGTCTGAAGCCGTCGACGGCTCCGATTTTGATTCGAAAAGGTCCCGTACCGGCGAATAGGACGATAACTCAACGAACGGCCCACAAAATTGTGGCCAAGTACCGAAAGAGCGAGGACGCGAGAGTTCCGGCCGTCAAAACGGACAGGCAGATCAAGTTTCATCGGAATTGCACGATACGAATCATGACTCCGCGTCCCGAATATGTTAGTTCAATTAAACATATAGAGCTAAACAATGCAGATTGTTTTCTGATTTCTTAAAGCAATTTCCATTAAATTTGCCAGATAAGGTTCAAAAACTTGAATTTCCATGCTTTCAGAACCCGGACGATCTGAAAATGCCGCATTCGGACGACGAGGAGGACAAGCCGATGAATCCGAACCGCGAGCGCCTGAGCACTGTGCAATTACGTCTGACGCCCACCTCCGAGGCACAAGTACGTAGGAAACGTGAAAGAAACTCTTTCTGTGAACTTTCAGATTGTTTTTTGCATTTCAGAAAACACTCAGATAATCTTTGACACAGTTAGGCCTAAAAAGCGAATGTTTTTCAGATCGACGACCTTCCGAATCGTCAAATAGTGCAATTCAACGCAGAAATGGTATTCGGAGACGTGGAAAATGCTCCGACGGCTCGAGAATCCACGTCATCCAATTCTTCCTCGAATATTCCTGAGAAGAAGAAGACGTCGCGCAGGAAATCGCTGATCCGTGGAGCCGCGTCGCCTCTGAAGTTCCCGCCGATGGCTCTGATCGAAAAACCGAGATTCGACGACGAGGACGGCGTTGATGAGGTCCGCATTCGTTTTTTCTAAATATTTGAAGCATTGTAGTCTGGAGCCTGAAAATGTCTGATGAACACGATATTTAGAGTTCTTGAGGCCTCTACTTTTGACCCACTTGCAATAATCCGATCGGACCCAAACTTTTCAGGATTGTGTCCGCTCGCATCCTTGTGGGGTGGATCAAAATCCAGGCCTCGGCAGGCTTTCAAATAGCCTGGGCCGGCCTTTTGCCCAGGCCTGGAATTTTCGGGATTCTAGGCCATGAAATAGAATCCCAGGCCACAGTTTTTTCTTGCAGATATCCGAGCCGAAACGCAAATCGTCGCGTCGTTCGGTGCGCCTGAATCCGCATTCGAAATCGTCGGAATCCTCATCGGAATCGGACATTTTGGAGGAAATAATCGAGGAAAAACGGGCGGTGATCGAAGAGATCAAGACGAAAAATCGACGGAAAAGCGGATTTGTGGAGGCGGAAAAAGCGGAGAAACCGAAAAATTCGAAAAGAAAATCGGGATTTTTGATGATGAAAAACGATGAAAAAACAGAGGACAAGGGCAAAATTTCGGCGTTTTTCGCGCCGAAATCGACGAATTTGGAAACGGAAAAATCGAGAGAAAAGAGCCGAAAAAGGCGGTCGACACGATTTGTGCTCAAAGATTTGGAGCCATGCGCTTCGGAAGGCGCCACGACGTCTTCCGAGCCGATTCCGAAGATTCCGAAGAGCACGGAGCCCGATTTGACGGGAAATGAAGCCCAGAAAGAGCCGGAAGTCGTGGGAACGCCGAAAAGTGTGAAAATTCCGGCCATGTTCATCAAATCGACGAAAAAATGCGAAGAAAAGGGGGAGAAAATTAGTGGAGAGGCTTCGCCGGCTCCCGCCAAGCTTTTCTCGCTATTTGCGCCGAAACCACCAAAGCCGACACCAGTCAAAAGTTCGGATATTGTCGATTTGACGAAATCTCCAAAATGCGCGGAAAAAAAGGGTGCGATTCGGCTGGAATCACCGGCGGAATCGTACGAATTTTTCACAAAAATGCCCATCTTTCCGTCGATTTTCGCGCCGCAGTGGGAGGAGGAGAAAAACGGGTTGAAATTGCGAGAAACGCCCGTGGATTTGATGAAAATCGATGAGAAATGCGAATTTCGAATGAACTTCGACGAGGAAATCAACCTGAAGTCGGCGTTTTCGACAGAGAACGCGCCCGAATCGATGCGGAAAATGGAGAATTTGGACGGGAATTGTGCGTTGAGCGTGCGGCCGTCGCGGATGGAATCGCTGAATGCGGGCGCGGAGAGCGGCGAGCAAATTGTACGATGGCTGCGGAAATGGAAACGAAAGGTGCGGAAAGAGGCCGAGAAAGAGGCGAAGAAGGAGCGGAAGGGCAAGAAGAAGAAGAAGAAGAAAGAGGAGGAGGACGAGGATGAGGAGGAGGATGAGGAGTATCAGGTCGGCGACGGCGACGAACTGCTCGAGAACCCACTCGTACTCATCGGACCCACCGGAGTCGGCAAAACTGCACTCGTACGCCTGTTCTGGGGTTTTTTGGGATTGATAAACGTATACTTTTGCAGATCCGTGCGTTGGCGAAGCAAGAAAACATGCGGATTCTGTGCACAGGACCCGAATCGGATCGTTCCGGTCTCAAATTGAAGCAAAAGTTGGAGGAGGCCACAATTTCGCATCGGGTGGACCAGCAATCGCACCGGACTCTGCAGTTCTTTCAAAAAACGCGGCCGCCGACGGAATACCGCCTGAAATCGGAGGAGCCGAAGGAATCCACGCAGACGCTGGTCGTTTTCGAGCACGTCGACGTCTTCTTCGACGGACTCGACCGGAACTCCCGCGGAGCACTGCTCGAACTCGTCAACGACGCCGTCGTTCCGATCGTTTTCACGTGCGAGAGGGAGTGGACACGCAGGACAGGTGGTGTGGAGCTGCGGAGACCGCCCCTCGAGGTCTGGTTGGACAGGAAACGGCACGAGACACAACAGTATGTACAGGTAACTTTTAGCGATTTTCTAGAGTTTACGGCATTTTTAATATATTTTTTTTGTTGCAGAACCTGATCTACTCGTGCCGCGGCGTCTACATCGACGATCCGACAATGTCGCAGCTCGCCGAGTCGGTCTCGCACGATCTGAACGCCCTCATCCAACAGTCGCACTTTTATTCACTCGATCCCACCCGTCCCCTCCCGCTCACCTCCCGCCACCTCGTTCCCAGCGGATTCGACGTCGAATGGGAGCCGAAGAACGGAAAACGGACGGAAATTTCGGGTTTGTCGAAGATCGAGTCGATTCTCGACGATTACGCGGAATTTCTGCCGGACGGACACGTGGATTTGCGAGAGATCGAAGGAATCGAACGGATTTGGGACGCGGAGAAGCGAAAGGCGGCTGATGCGGAACGGAGCCGCGCGGAAGACGTCCGCGCCGCCCACGAAGCACTCGGCGGCCGGTTTTCGCGGCGAGACCTTGTTTTGGACGTGCTGCCGATGCTGCGGCCGATGGATCGCGTGGAGACGGCAAAAATCGCACGGAATCGACGACATTTGCACCATTTCAAAGAGCATTCGGAGATGGCCACCGACGGAGACACACTTGTGGACGTCGTCAGACGATGGAAATAATTTTTCGGATTTTCTGGATTTTCAAGTATGATTTTTCACGAGCTTGGACTGTATTATGAGTAACTACTAGTAAATTAAAAATTATTGATTGAAAATCTCTCTCTCTCTCTTTTTTTGTATTTCAACTTTATCCCGCTGAGCTTTACCGTCTCTCTCTCTCCTTTTGATGAATGAAACAAATGCGACGATTGTCTGTCTCATCGGACTTTTCTCAAAATCTCGTCGACAATCGGATCGGCGGATCCCAAGTTCGGAATGACGGCGAACACCATCAGTGTGGCGCCGAAAATGAGAAACGTGAAGAGGAAGAGCGAGAATCGGTCGATGACCATCGCCATGAATCGCCAGTTCAGAGTCTCCTCCTCTTCTTCTTCGTCGTCCTCCAGTTTTTGCTGCAAGAACAGTGGGTGGTTTTTCAGCGTTTTCAGCTTTCTAATGATGCAATTCGCATTGGAGCGCATTTGCATCATTTCAATTCAAAATGCTTCAAATAAGAAGGAAACTTACGCGAAAAGTCTGTAAAAATCCGATAATTTCCTCGAAATACGGCACGCACGAATCGACGACAATTTGGCTGTTGACCAAAAGTCTCGGCCGGACATTTTTCGGCTCCTCGAGCATTTTTTCGTGTTCTTCTGCCCGCGTTTGGTCGCCGGACCCTTTGGATTCATTGTCCTCCTCTTTGCTTTTTTTCCGTCGATGCGGCCGTCGAAATGTGTGCTCCGGGCGGCTCATTAGAAGAAACCACGGCAGCCATTCGAGGAAGACGAAGCGGGTCTGCAAAATTTGACATAATTATACTCATTCGATAGGAAATTTGTTTTTGTTGTTGCACATTTCGAAAAATACCGACTCACCCAATCGCCCATTTTGTGCATTTTAGGATGTCGATAGAAAATAGTGATGTTAATGAGTGAAACACAGATGGAAAGGGCCAAAATGCCCATGGAAAGCGAGAAAAACGCAATGATGACGGGGATGGATTCAGAAGTGGGCGGAGTCACTTCGGACACCATTTGATGGAAAACCATGACTGAGAGGAAGTTGGTGATCTCTGAAATGTAGAAATTATCCAAGAACAATCCACGTTTTTCTGAGATTTATTGATTTTTCGCGGGGAGGGGTGATTGTTGAGGTCTAACTCGAAAACTAGAAAAGATACGAGTATGTGGCAAGAGAGAAAATTGATCAGCGTGAAATTTGCAATCGAATGAGTATAATCATCAACTATTTTTTATGACAAAAATTTTTCGGACCACTTTTCAAGTACTCAAGACAAACATTTTTCTGCAAAAGAAAAAAAACGAACGCAGCGTGATCTTTTCACCGCACTCGGGCGGCATGGTGAATCCCAAAATGTTGCTCAGCGAGATCAAGATGGACGGGATGATCCAGTTCATGCCGTAGTACAGTACTCTCCGCTTCAAGTGCATATGAAAATAGAGCTCCACGTAGGTTTCGTCGAGAAAAGTCGTCGATTTTCGCATTGCGGGCGTCGCGAGCAAGTCGAACTCTCCGTTCGGCACGTAATATTGTAGGTCCATTTTGTGCTGTCCCGACAGATCCGCATCGTCGATTTGCAGGTCCAATTTCTTGCCATAAGTCCACGAACCGAACTGGAATTAGGGTTGGTGGCCGACGTTTGGTTTTCTAGGCCACGACTCACTTTCAAATAGCAAACTTGTTCATCGAACGGAAACCAGGTCATTGAGAGCGAACACGAGACTTGCATAATACCTGGAAGACGGAGAATTTTGATTGTTTCACGTAGTAACATTCAAATTTCCCCCGCCGAAAGCGCTTACTGACCGGGCGGCGCGAACAGAACGGATCCGTCGTTCGAGACGACCATGTTGACGGGAAAACTGGCGTCAAAGTGCTCATTGGCACTGTTGAACAGCAGAATGTCGGGCTTCCAGAGCGTTCCGTACGCGATTTGGAGTGTCGTGATGTTACCGTACTCCTCCGGCGACCACCTCATTTTGTAGTCGTGCCACGTGTACTGCGTCCACACCACCAGAGTTATCACCTGCCGAAGTGTGTGAGCTTTTGCAACTTTCTTCTCACATCTCACCTGATTTTTCTCGTCCACATCGACCAATTGTTGTAAAATGAGTCGTAACTTCACGTTCACCGGCTTGCGATGATCTAAAACGGGCCGTTCCATCGGATCGTACCTGAACAACAACGATGCACCATGCGGACGCGCGCTTTCTACCAAACCCTTCTCGAAGATCCTTGAGCAGACGATACTCGTCATCACTGCCGTAGACCAAAATTATGAGCAGACCGAAGAAAATCAATAGTTTCCATGTCATGAGTCGACAGAAACACCGTAACAATATTTGTGCAAGTGTTCGGATGTGCGAATGAAAATGATATCCACTTGAGAGAAGGTGTCAATAAGAACTGTATTATGATTGGGAAAAGAGTAAAAGTGTACAAAATTGTGGAAGATTACATCTTGTTTAACATTTGTGATTCGAGATGTGCCCATCGGATTAGTGATTAATCAAACAAAACGGGGAAAGAGATGTGTGTTCGGGTAATGGACAAGAGAAACAAATCAATCAATCAATCAATCAATAACATTCTTTTCCGTGTTTTTCGAGCATTTCGACGCGGCTTCTCTGAAAATGTGTCGGGAATAGGAGAGGAAAGTCTGGAAAGAGAGTTGTAGTTAGCTGCTTCTGAAGTCCACGTTCTCAATGATTCGCTGAACGACAAGTGGTTGGAGTTGAGCGGGAATATAATCTGAAAACAGGGAATTCTCATACAGCTCTGTGGCAGGTACCCTTTTCGTCCGTAATACGCTCTAATAGCCCCCTTCTCCGGAGAACGGCCCGCGTAGAGTGTGTGTGTCGAATCAAGAGACGCAGAGAAGCCAGAGAAAAGGTCACTGACCCCAAGCGCGTTCGGTTATGTGTTTCGAGGTCGACCGATTGCATCTCACAAGCGCCCATACAAGCCGAACGCGCGCATTCATCCGTCTTCCTGCAGAAAATGGGTGGAAACGTGTCCGTCCAGTTGCCAAGCGTCGCGAGTGTACGAATCGTCGAACTTGCCGACATCGAAGACAGGTTTTTTCGCTATAAATTTTGTGATATTCATCAATGTCAACGTTTTCAGAGAAAATTTCGCCAAGTGCTCGAGTAGATGCGCCAGGTTCAACGCGTCGGTCAAATGTGTCTACGAGCAATTCGCAGTGAGACAGAACGAGGATTACGTCGAATTTACACGATTCGGAGTGAGAAGCGCCGAACCGAGAGATGTAATTAATCGATTCGAGTCTGTCGTGGACGCCATTGAAGCTCTGAAAACAATGCTCTCCCGGAAATCGAGTATTCTCATGTTGAAGGTGAATGCAGAACATTATTCGTTCGGACACCCTCGAGAAGAACTGGACAGGTTGCTGCGCTCACTCGGATATCAGTTGAACGTCCGGCAGGTGCAAGTAACCAGTTTTACGCTGCCCCTATGTCTCCCGACTGTTCTCAAGCATCTGTGCCCGAGAACACTAAAGTCGTGCTCGGTGGATAACACCTATTCGTGGACCAGTCCGGAAGTTTACAAAACGGAGGCGTGGAAACAACTGGAGGAACTATCGATTTGTGGCAATATCATTTCATTCGAACACTGCTGGCACATTCCGATACTCACACTTGATGAATTCGGAGGGTATCTCGAGAAGGAAGAAGTTCAGAACATCACTCGGGTAACCATTTTCTATTCGATCCACAAAAACCACAAAAACAATTTCAGCATTTTCTCGAAGACGATCAATTGAAAGTGTGGAAGTATCAGGGATTTCCAATGTACGAGGATAAAATCGAGGAGCTGTTCGGATACATCAGGCCGGCGAATCGTGACGGCGAGAACTACAAGTTCGACTTCTCCGCCAAACTTCCTCTATTTGTTTTTTGTCATGATACATTTGTGATTTTTAGTAGAAACAGGAATGAAGCGGTATCCTTTTATTTTTGTGATTCTTTTTCTTCTTCTCATCAAGACGTTCATTGTCTACCAGGGATGTTGGGTTGCAGAACAGGCGCCTGTTGCAGGGAAACGTTTTCTGATAGCTGATTCTTTTTTTTTTGAAAATTCAAGTCAGGCAGGAAAAAACTGGTTTTTACCTGCAAATTCTTCATTAAAATTAGTTTTTTGCAATAAAAGTTGATTTTTGCATTGTCTTAACATAACCATTACTCGTTTGCGTTTCAGAAACTTCGAAAAATGGCTCGTTGATCACTTTGCTCACGGTGATTTCTCTTTGGGGTCTCGCGGAGGTTTCTAGTCCGCGACCCCGCGACCCTGGCCGCGGGGTCACGCCGTTCTACTAGGCCAAAACAGGTTTTCCAGATTTTTCTCAAAAACTGGACCGTACAATTCTTAATCATCCGCATACTTTTCTTCTAAATTAAAAGAGCTTTTTTTTAAAAAAAAGAACAGCAAAAAAAAGTTGGTCCCGACCAGTTTACTTTTGGTCCCAAAACATGGCCGAACGGCAGAAGGTCGTCCACGAAGGCTTCTGAAAATTGGCCTATTTCTGCGCATTTTCAAAAAAGTATGCATTTTGGCGTGACTGTGCGTGCAACTATTTTGCCTACCGTACACCTTTCCATTTTCTTCTTGGGTGGTCTTCGGCCATTTTCGGACGGACGATCGCACCGGAAATCCGCCATTTTCGATAAAATGCTCAGATTTTTTTTTTGCTAAACCTAGTTGCTTTCCTTGGAAGATATGCGTCATTTCTGTTATTTCGTCGAAAACGTGAAACACTTTGCAGAAAGCATGATGTCGCTGTCGCAGCAGGAGAAAATGAGAAGAAACGTGGCTGCCGCGCCGTCGAACTCGCATCTGTAAGTTTTTTTTGCTTAAAAATGTGATATCGTTAGACAATTTGAGTAACTATCGATTTTCAGCGGAATGGACCAATTCGAGCACGACTTCAAGTATTTTCCGTATTCGCAACAGAGAAATACGTGTCCACACCACGGAAATGCTCACTTTTACGACGAGCAACCGGCTCACAGGGTAAAATTGCAATTTTTGTTTGAAATGTTCGCAAAATCAATTCTCAAAAGTGTTTCAGGAGCATTGCGAAGTGCACTCGAAACAGGCACGTCATCCGGGCGGATACGATGCATTTCCCATCGATTATTCGGCTGAAATCGAGCGGATTTTGAGGTTCTTAGCTCGAAAATGCCTTAAAAATCGATTTGTTCAGACAACAAGCCGGCCTGGATCTGATGACTCCTCCCGCAACTGCCACCAATTCCAGAAGCACTCTTTTCAATTGTACATCTAGAAAAAATTGTTTTTGTAAAAAAAATCCTTTTAGACTCAGCTCAGCAGTCGTACTTCTCCAATTGCTCGTCTCCGGTCACTTCGGACCAATTCGACCTGCTCTCGTGCGGATCGCCCGTCAACGAATTCTCCGAATTGGACAAGGGGTGCTACACTAAAGGTTTTAGGCAGATTTCTGAAATTTGTTGAATTTCCGAGCTGAAAGTTGAGACCTCTTTGTTTCGCAACGTGATGCAACTAGCACGGTTCGCAACTTGTACGTTTTTCTGAGCGTGGCAACGCGGGACCCCATCTTTTTGGAGGTACCCGCCCCATCGAGGGAATCTCTTCTTACCTTTTGAGGCGACGCCCAGCACCACATCTGTTTGAAAGAGATACTCCAGCTTCAGGGTGATTACAATCGTAAGAAATACAACCGAAGAGCACCCAGAAACTGCTTTGAAACACCCCTAGTTGCGAAAAATGACGATTGCGAGATGTTAGGTTGCATTTCGTTACAGTTGCGAAAAGTATTAGTAGCCAAACGCATGGTTGTAAAACGAGTGAGTTGTCAAAAATTGTTTGAGCGGCGAAACGTAGCGGTTATGGAACATCGCGTTGTGAAACGAAGCGGTCTCTGAAAATTAGGCCGCTTACGAGTTGTTAGTTTTCCTAACGTAATATTGTGAAAAGTGAAAAAAGAAACAATTTCGGACTTTTCGGACAACACGTCGGTCCAAAGACTACGTTAGCAGGCGCGCTCCACAGAAATCAGCATGCCAAGTTTTGAATTTCAATTGAAAAACGCGACTGAGTCACAATCGGCGGGAAAATTTGAATGAGTTCGGTCGCGTAGTCTTTGGAACCCCGTGATCAAAAAAATGTGGAAAATGTGTTGAAATGTGCCAAAACGTTTCTTTTCTTGCTTTCCGAAAATGTAATTGCATCAAAAACAGTGAGGATAATTCGGGAGTTGGCCGATTTTTCAATGTTTTCGAGACATTTGACTTACGGTTCACGAAGAACAAAGCAAAAAGCAAGAGAAACAGAGGAGAACCGGCCAGAGTCCATAGTTACGCGATGCGCGCGCAGGTCAAAAAACGGAAGGGTCTCGCAGCGATCGGACAAATTTATGGGCGCGCATTCAAAACGAGCGCGCGTTGCGGTCTTTTGGGTCGACTGGGAGGACGGGGAGAAAAAAAAGCGGATCGCTCTCGCCGGAAAGTCATCTCGGACAGAAGGACCGCAGAACGCGACGCCAGACTACGAACAAATGATGACAAAACCAACGAAACAGTCGGCAACATCGTTTGATCTCTGCGGCAAGCGTGACCGGTCCCTCACCCGGTCACCTTTAGTCATCATTTTGGCGTCGCGTTCTGCGGTCCTTCCCTCCGAGATGACTATCCGGCGAGAGCGATCCTCTTTTTTTTCTCCTGGTCCTCCCAACCTTGCCTGCCGTCCCAGAGGGCCGCAACGCGCGCTTATTTTGAATGCGCGCCCATAAAGTTGTCCGATCGCTGCGAGACCCTTCCGTATTTGATCTGCGCGCGCACCACGAAACTAAGTACTCTGGCCGGTTCTAGAATGTTGTTCTCATTTTTTGTTCCGTTGAGCGAAAATGCCTCCTTCTTTTGGAAATGTCGATGTTTTGTGGCAAACACTTTTGCCTAAAATTCGATAATTGCAGAAGGCTTCGGAGTGGTGTACGGGCAGGAGAACATCTTCACGGCGGAGCACGTGCACAGTCTGGTCAAACATGAGCGGAAGGGCGCCGTGCCGCGATTGTTGTCGAACAAGGTGTTCGTGGGCGGAATATCGCACTCGATGAACCGCGAAATCATCAACAACTTTTTCGCCCAATTCGGACCCGTTTTTGTGGATTGGCCAGTCAAAGGACCGCGCACCAATGGTAGATTTCACAAAACATTGCATTGCAAAAAAAAACCCTTGTTTTTTCAGCGCGCGGAAAAACGATGCCGATGTCCTCGTACTCGTACCTATTTCTGGTGTACGTCAAAGAGGAATCGGTCATTCAGCTGATGCAGATGTGCGATGTGAACGCGAAGAACGAATTCCACGTGTGTGTGCCCGGAACTGACGCGCAGGTACTTTCGTTTTCGGTTTTTTCCCCAGAAAAACGTGAGTTTTTTGCAGATACAAATCCGTCCGTGGTTCGTGCAGAACGCGTTCTACGTGGCAGAAGAGGCGAAGCACGAGAAAGTGATCGACATCCACCGGACGGTGTTCGTGGGCGGACTGCCGAGAATCGTGACGGCCGAGGAGATCGCGCGCGTGTTCGCCACGTTCGGAACGGTCTTGCTCGTCACGATCGACATTGACCAGGACTACGGATATCCGAAGGGCGCCGCCCGCGTCGCATTCCGCACCGACACCGCATTCAACAAGGCGCTCGAGCGGAAATATATCAAGTTCGACGATTTGGACACCAGCAAAACGGTTTCTTGAATTTTCCTGTTCAAATGTTTAATTTCCAATCAATTTTCAGACGATTGAAATCAAGCCGTACGTGATGGAAGACGTCGGATGCGATCAGTGCGGCGGACTGTGGTCCAACCCGTTTCTCGAGATTTTCGACCAGCTCAACAATGAGAATATGCCGTTGAAAAAGGTTTTTTTAAGGCCTTTCAGTTCATTCTAGTGAAAGCGTTTGGTGAAACAGGGAAGACAAGCTTTTAGAAGAAAGTTGGATTTATCACAATAAAAATTGAAGAAACACAGGAAGAAGTGAGACAGAAAGCATATTACAAGTCGGTCAAAGTAGCGAGAGATCAGCATCTATTTCTTTTGACGAGAGCAGCCATTGCTTCGGACGCCGGCCGTTTGAGTGAAGCTTCCGGACGTCGCTGGACGGTCCTCGACACGGCCACTGCCGCCATCCTCGGATCGTAGGCGAAAGGGGCAGGAGCAGACGGTTCCTTTCGTTGGCGTGGAGCTCTTCGGGCAGCTGGCTTTGGTTCCTTGGGCGCCTTGGGTTCCTTGGGGACAGGTTGACGTCGAGGAGCACGGGGCTTTGGAGCAGGAGCAGAGGCACTCTTTGGATCCTTCTTTGGAGCAGCTTGACGACGTTTGGCGGGTGGAGCACGGACTGGTTTCAGCGGAGCAGACATCGGTGGCAGTGGAGCAGGAGCAGGAGCAGCAGTCTTCTGTTCCTTCGGAGTTGGAGCACGTGGTGGTGGTGGTGGTGGTGGTGGAGATGGCTTCGGCAATACAGGAGTCGGCGGCGGCAGGTTCTCTTCCTCGTCATCCGAAGAGTCCGATGAGTCCGAGGAGTCCGAGGAATCGGACTCAGAGGAGTCCGAATTCGATTGGGCGTCGTGAGCCGCTTTTGCCAAGATCATGTTCTTGGACGGAGCTACTGGCCGGTTTGGACGGACCGGAGCTGGCGCTGGAGTCGGAGACTCATCATCGTCCGACGAGTCCGACAAGTCCAATCCGAGCCGCGAATAATCGACGGACGGTTGTGGAGCGGGGCTGACGGATCTCGCAGAAGACGACATTACAGTTGGCTAATAGAGCGAACTGGTCCAAGAATGCGAATGGGTATAGTGAACAGTGAGTGTGAACCCGTGCTATAGGATTTGCTGCAAAAGGGCGGAGTCTAGACGGAATGTTCACCTTAGCGTTTAATGCCGCGCACGTGGAGGAAAACAGCTCATCTTCACGTGTCCTACCGTTGTGGGAAGGTCGTGAAAGGGATCATGGATACTAGACTGGGATTACATGCCGTTCCTTTGCGAGACTTTCAACAGAATACAAGAAAAATCACAGAAATTCCGCAACTAGTTCTAAACATGGTCAAAACATCGCGAAACCGTGATTTTGGGACCCATTTCCAAAGGGATTCACTTTTCTATCCAACTTTCTCGACATTTACTTTCAAAAACGTTTTTGTTTTAGTCCTCGCCGGAAGTGTCGCACTACGACACGTGGTCCTCTCCGCACCCGCTCACCCAACACGCATCCAACTATCATCGAATTCTGCGTCGCGAACTCGAAGAATTGGGTCCGGACGCGGATTTGCTCAAAAAAATGGAGGCGGTGTCGCGGAGGACGTCGGCGGCAGCGGAAAAAGACGAAAAGCACGAGTCGAACGAACGGAAGGCGCTCAAAAACGGAGCGAAACTCTTCTTGACGGTCACGCAGGCCTACGAGATGCACGAGGCGAAGAAGGTGAAGGTGGAGGTGGACGGGGTGGAGATGGACGTTCCGATCGGGCCGGACCTCTGGAGACACTTCATGCCGCCCCCCAACTACCAGCTCAACAACGACCTCGTACGGTTTTTTGGTATTTCGACAAAGTAATATTATCTCTGATATTACAGATGTCGATGACGCTGGACAAACAGATCGAGTCGTATCTGCAGCTGAAACGTGGAAGTGTGTACAGCAACAAAAGCTCGTACTGCAAAGAGAAGCCGTGCCGCCAGTATTATTGCCCGTCGTGCTCGAACAAACTGCACTCTGGCCCGAAGCAGCACACGCTCCTGCCGGCCGGAAAACCGGAGCGTCGTCCGAGAAAGGACAAAAATATGTACCTTGTCCACTAATGAATCCGCCGTTTTTTTTGCACTTTTCCCTCCCCTCAGAAGAATCTCTGTTAAATTTTTGTTATTTTTTGTTTGCCCACCAAAATGCCGAAAAATGGCCCCAAATTTAAACAAATCTGTAAAATTGTTTTATTAACTCAATTGTTCCCCATCCATTTGTGCATCAATTGACATGTTATTCACGTTATTAATATTATGCACACATTTCTGCATTCTTTTTTGATGTTTATCAAAAAGTTTATTGACAGGAGTACGATGTTCATGTGTTGACTCTAGTTTTGCGAAATCCCGGCGAAAAATCGTTGAAATATATTGTGGATTCGCTTTTTCCCACCATTTTCCCCGAACAGTGTGCATTTTTGCGTATCCCTGTTTGCGTACCACTGAATGTCTCGCAGTTTACGACATTTCGTGTTTTCGAAACTCAGTCGTTTTCCACTGATTTTTAGCAGATTTTCAGCCGATAACATGGGGAAAGAGCACAAATCGAAGCACAAGAAGGACCGGTGAGTATTGCTTTTTCAAATTATCAACGAAAACGTGAGAGAAATCCGTGTGAAAATGTGATTTTTTGCAGAAAACGTCAACGATCGCCGTCGAGCAGCGAATCTGATTCGGATGATGAGCAGACGAAGAGAATCCAGGTAGGAAAGCGATTTTCAAACGAGATTTTGACAAGAATATTAAAAATTGAGAAAAACCGGAGAAACCGGCGATTTTTCTATAAAATCCCCAATTTTTGCTTTCAGAAGCGGCTCGCCGAGCAGAGATTGGTGAAAAAAGAAGAGAAGAAGCGGCAGAAGGAGGAGATGAAGGCGAACGAGACGGCGGAGGAGAAACGGCGGCGACGGATGGAGAAGAAGGCGCGGAAAGAGGCGAAGCGGCGCGACGCGGAAGCGGAAGACACTCTGATTCCGCCGGAACTCAACTACACAAACCTCAACAATCCGTTCAACGACGCGAAATTGACGCAGACTTTTGTGTGGGGCAAGAAATTGGAGAAGGAGGGAAAGAACGGCCTGACGCAGGAAGAGATCACCAAACAGTACGCGTCTTTTTGATTTTTTCTCTAAAAAACGGAAATCAGACTCACCAATTCACTTGCAGAACCTCGCAACGAATCCGCAAAAACCTGACGGAGGCGGCGGAGTTCAAACGGATCCGTGATTCGCGTGCGGCGGCGAAGGAGGACGCGGAAATGATGAAGAGGGACGCGGATCTGCGTTCCGGACAAATGTCGGACACTAAAGAACGCGAGTTCCAGCTGGATCAGGTGAAGGAACGGACAAGGATCCGCATCGAGCAGGGAAGGGCCAAGGCGATCGACCTGCTGACGAGATACGCGCGCTTCACGGACGAGAACTCGCCCGAATTCCAGACGTCGGCCGACTTCGAACTGGAGAATCCGGTCGAGTACATGAAGGCGAGTTGCAGAACGTCCGAAGACATTGAGGACCTTATCGAGGACATCCGCACGTACCGGGAACTCGACGGATGGGCCAACAACCACATCTGGTGGGCGGACATTACCCGAATTGCCGAGGACGAAATTGCGAGACGCGTCAAGCAGAACAGTCGGGAAGATGTGCACGAGAGTGTCAAACAGGAAGTACAGACCCTTTTTAAGGTGAGATTTTAGCGGCATTGGTTGATTTTTCAAATTTTCCATGTCGGCTTAAAAAACGAAAGAGTTTAAAATAAAATATTCATTGTGGGGAATTCAGTGTATGTCAATCACGGAATGACCCCATCGGGAAAAGTCGCTTACTTTGTTCATTTGTTCTTTCCTCCTTTTATTCCTTCTTCTACTCCTCCTCCTCCTCCTCCTCGTTTTCCTCGGGAACATCCTCCAACTGAACGTCGCGACACATCACGAGACGGGGGATTTCGTCGGCGGTCGGCTCGCGCTCAAAGTCCATATTCTGCTCGTGGTCGGTGATTCCGCCCAGTTCCGTGTAGATTTGCGCCGTGAGCTCGGCGAGCAACGAGTATTCGTGCTCTGCAACAGCCACACGGTCCGAGAAGACTATTTCAGCGATTTTGTGGAATCTGAACGAGAAAAACATTTTTCGACTGTTCTGTTTCGGGCTAAAACTCACTGCTCGGGAAGCTCCTGGAACTGCTGGCTCTTGCGGAACTCGGTCTTGGCCTCTCCGACGAGCTCCCGTCTCAACGACGCCCACGGCAGCTCCCCGAGCACCAGATGGAGCGTCAGGTAGAGCCACGACTCGAGGTCGTGTCGGGCGCCCACTTTCTCGTCCGAATGGTGCGCCAGCGGGGCGTAGTCGAGGGAGCCGACAAAATTGGCGACGGCGCCCTCAGAAACACCCTTGATCAGGGAGGAAATGTCGGCCTGGAAGAGGTGACGACTCGCCGCGTCGTAGTGGAACACGTCCGGATTCACGTTGCGGAGGAGGTAGCCGTGCTTGTGAGCACAACGAATTATCTGCAACAGATTCTATCATATTACTAGTTTTCCAGTAGAAAATTAAGGATGACTAGTTAAATTTCCAGAATGCTCACGTGATACTTTTCTAAGGAGAACATTTTCTAAAAACTCCCGCCCACGTACATTCAACACATCGTTGGAGAGCCGTCCGGCGGTTCCGAAAGTGAATTTGTTGCGGAGAGCGAAGCACTGCTCCAAAGAGGGTCCGCCACGGAAGTAGAGGGAGAGGTGGAAGGCGTCGTCCGTTGCGAATATCTTGTGCACCTGCGAGAAGTGGCGCCAGTCATTCGGCTCGGCTCCCTCCACTTTGCACAGGAAGGCGGCCTCCATGCGGACGGGATGAGCGGTCTCGTCGGCTGGAGCCACGCGCAGCACCAGCTCTTTTCCGTCGGCGCCGAGACCGTGGAACGTGCCGCCTACGCTGTCGTCGTAGCCGATGCGCTCGAAAATCTGACAGAAAATTGCTTGTTGCTCCTTTTTTCTGGTTCTTTGTTCAAAACAATCGGTTTTCTACTGGTTCTTCCCGGTTTTCGAGTCCCACCTGAATGTGTCCGTCGACAACGTGTTCGGGTTGGTAGCACGGAATCCCGTTGATAATCTCGTAGCCCTTGTCACACTCCGCCAGAAATTCAGTCTTTTGGGCGCGCGGCGGCGGAAGAGCCGGTCCGATAGGCTCTGCCTCTTTCTGGTTCTCCTCGAAACGGTCCAAAGTGTCCATTGGTTCGAGAAGATTGCAACTCTTTGATTTCTTTTCAACTGATTTCTGAGACCATTTGTCGATTTGGAAGCGCCTGGAAGGACGCAGAGGGTCACGGGAAATTGTGACTGAAAGTGCCAAGAACAGGAAAAATTGTAGAAATCCAAAAATTTGCCTTTTTGTAGTAAATTAAATTGTACAATTGCAGAACAAGTCGATAGATGAATTGCTGAAACTCGAGGATCAAATCGACGAGAAGCTGCGCTCGAATTCGGGAAACAAGGGATATTGGCAGGATTTGGACGCGCAACTCAAGGTGTTCATCGCCCGCAAAAGAGTTCGGGAGCATCACGGACGGGCTCTGCGGCTTCAACTGGCACGGATCAAGGAGGAGCAGGCGAGGGAGGTGCAGAAGGAGCAGATTACGGCGAAGAAGATAAAAGTGGAGGAGATGAAAGAGGAAGTGGAAGAAGAAGTGGAAGAAGAAGAAGAAGAGGAGGAGGACGAGGACAGGAACAACGAGAAGATGGCCAAGAAAGTGAGACGGAAGGTCGACGTGAACGTGCTCGACGACCCGGAACTCGACGAGCCCGAGAGGGAGCGCAAGTGGAGGTGAGACGTGACTGAAAATTGAGTGGCTGAAAAGCTTAGGCCTTGGCAGGCTTTCGAAAAGCCTGTCCCTGAATGTTCCTGCCCATCCTTGGCAAAAACTCACGAAATGTACAGCAGAGAGAGCTTTTTTAATTAAAAACATTGAAGACACAAATTTTCCATAAAAAAGTTATGCCACTAGAGTTTTCATTAAAACTTCATTGTATTTTCTGCAGAGCCCTAACGGAGGACCAACTGGAGGAGGTGACGCTGGAGCTGTACCGCGTCGGCGGCTACAGTCCCCCGTACAACTCGTTCCTCGACACAATGCCCGGAATCGAGATAATCGACGTGCAAACGGACGTGGAGAGTCTTCAGGAACGTCGGCAGAAGAATCGACAGAGTTCCGGACTCGTCTCTTCTTCTTCTTCCGCTTCCGCTGCGGGTCCCGACGCGAAAATGCTGGCGATGGCGCGGCAGGGAATGGAGGGCGACGAGTCGACGTTCTCGGTCGAGGAACAACTCGAGACGCAGAAGCACTTGTGGTCGGACAAGTACCGCCCACGCAAGCCGACCTACCTGAACCGCGTGCAGACCGGATTCGACTGGAACAAGTACAACCAGACACACTACGATCAGGACAACCCGCCGCCCAAAATTGTGCAGGGATACAAGTTTAATGTACGGATTAGAATGTGGGAATTGCAGAATTTGCAGATTTTCCACCGAAATTCAAAAAACGTGTATTCTGTTGCAGATCTTCTACCCGGACCTGCTGGACATGACTCGAACGCCGACGTTCACGGTGACGCCGTGTGACGACCGTGACTTTGCGGTGATCCGCTTCAAATCGGGCCCTCCGTACGAGGACATCGCCTTCAAAGTGGTCAACCGGGAATGGGAGACCCTCCACAAGAACGGATACAAATGCCAGTTCCAGAACGGAGTCTTCCAGCTCTGGTTCATGTTCAAGAAGTATCGCTATCGTCGTTAAATTTTTTATTATCATCTATATTTATTCGTTCATTTTTCTCTATAAAAACGTGTCTGGGAATATGGGAATTTTACGCTTTTTTGCTCATAAAATCAGTAATTTCAGCTGTAGACTAATATTTTGTCAAATTGTCCAGAAGAAGCTTAGAGTTAACTTGCAGATGAGGCAGCTGGCGACGAGGTTTCTCGTCAGCCTCTTTTCGGCCAACGAGACGGCCTATCTGGCCGTGGCCGCCGTTTTGCTCATCGTCGAGGCCGTCGTGTCGGAGATGATCATTCAGAATGTGAAATGTGAGCTTTTCAAGTGCACATTTCAAGTTCGAAGAGAAAAAAACGAGCAAAAGACGCCAGGAAGCGTGTGTCTAGAGTTCACGCGTGACAATTTATCCTTTTTGAAGAGTTGAAAGTGTTATAGTTACCATCCAAAAGTCTCTAAGAACGTCTCCGCCGGTCGGCGAGGGCATGAGCGTTTGGCCGATAGGCGGCAAGAAATCGGGCAGCTGATCTTCATTTTGCCGAAACATGAAACAGGAAATATGAGTTGAATAGCAGAACAGGCATCCAAACGGCTTGGGAATCGGGCGGTCCCCTCTCGTGGTACCAAAGGAAGAGCTGCACGGAATGGGGAACATTTATTTGGGTTCACCCGCGTCCCAACTCTTCGGATACCTGATAGCAGAATGAAAATTCTGACCAAATTTCGGGAAAACTCGGAGAATGAATAGTTTTTTGCAACTTTGCTAAAGACTTCCAGCAGAGATTCCCTACTTTCTAACATTTTGCAGACACGGAAATCGACTGGAGTACGTACATGCAGCAAGTGGAGTGCTACGTGAACAAGGGCATTCTCAACTATACGCAAATCGGCGGAGACACCGGACCAGTTGTGTACGCCCTTTTCTAATTTGCTTTTTTCAAGAACAATGGCTTTAGGTACCCAGCCGGCCACATTTGGGTCTACCGAGTATTGCACTTTTGCACAAATGGTGGAAAGAATATCCGAGCCGCCCAACACATTTTCCAAGGATTCTACCTTTTGAACCTCTTTCTCGTGTTCAAAATTTTTCACAAAACAATGAGAGTAAGTTTTGAAGGGATTTTATTCGGAGAGTTGGATTTTGTCCTTAAAATGAATAAAGGCGAATAATTGCAGATACCCCCAATCGTGCTACTTCTGGTTACGGTAACCGGCTACCGTATCCACTCGATATTCGTGCTGCGTCTCTTCAACGACCCCCTCGCAATGCTCCTTTTCTACGCGGCACTCGACAGATTTCTGAACGAGAAATGGCTCGTCGGATGCATCTTTTATAGGTACAAATTGAACGATTTTTCAGATAAATTGAAGACAACTTTTCAGTTCCGCAGTTTCGATAAAAATGAACGTTTTGCTTTTCGCGCCGGCTCTTTTCATTACTTTATTGCTCAATAACGGATTTTTGCACACAGTCGGCTATATCGCACTTTGCGGGTACGTTTATCGTAGACAAAACAGCTAACAAATGTGTGTTCTTCAGGGTAATCCAACTGTACGTGGGCAGTCCGTTCCTTTTGTACGATTGGAAGAGTTATGTGCAGAGATCGTTCGATTTGGGACGCGTTTTTATGTTCAAATGGACTGTCAACTGGCGATTTTTACCCGAACAGGTACGCACCCCATTTTCTATAGAATTTCCACAACCTTTTTTGCAGATTTTCCTCGACAAACGCTTCCACATTGCCCTTCTTGCTGGCCATCTCACGTGCTTGGCGCTTTTTGCCTGGTTCATGTGGTTTAGGTCAGTTTACTGTACTTTTCGTATTTTTTAAGGGACGAGGGAACTCAATAAGAGACGTTTCCTGGTCCTTTAATTGTTCAATTTATTTGTTATTTATTGTCGTGAAAGCTAAGAAATAATAATCATTTAGACGCGTGAACGGAGTGGGCGCCTCCGTCCGCCTGGTCCTCTTCCGCTCGATTCCGACGGCGACGGGCACCATCGACACTCTTTCGGCCTTTTTCACGGCGAACCTCATCGGCATCGCGTTCTCGCGTTCCCTGCACTACCAGTTCTACTCGTGGTACTTCCACCAACTGCCGTTCCTGCTCTTCTGCGACTATCCGCACGTCGCCTGCCTCGCCGACATCCCCGTCCGCCAGTTTGTGTGGAAAGTCGGCGTGCTGCTCGCCGTCGAACTCTCGTGGAACGTCTATCCGTCCACGTGGTGGTCGTCGGCCCTCCTCCACGTTTGCCACGTCGTGATCCTTTGGCACGTGGTCGTGACGAGACCCGAACGGCCGCAGGAGACGGTCAGCGAGGAGACGAACCGGACGATCCGATGGCGGCACGCGATGATGGAGAGGGTGGCGGCGGAGAACGAGGGGAACGTGGTGCCGCGGTGCAAAATGGAAGTGGACGCCGAGGGGAACGAGGTGCCGATGAAGGTGGAGCCGAAGGAACCGCGGATCGGAGGACGGAGGAGCAGACGGCAAATGGACAGAGACTTTGAGGAGTACTATCAGAACGAGATGGAACACTTCAGGGAACACTTTCAGGTCTATGTGAGTTTAATTTGCCACGGTCTCCACAGGTTACAATATGGCCGCGGCCTCAACACTTTTTTTCCTGATTTGTGTGCTCGACAAGATTAGACTTTCGCTCCAAATTGTCGCTTTGTGCGGCGGAGCGAACTTGTAAGCTCTGGAGACGGTGTATTCCCAGAGAATGCCAAGTTTTTAACGCTGTTTCATCTCGGCAGCGAAAATTAGTGCGTTCCGTCTTCTTCTTGTAATTTGTCTAACAACTAGTAACTAATCAATTTTAATGGAAATTTTGAGAAAAAACATGTAATTTTCAGTACGGATTGGACGGCGAGAAAGAAGTGACCGGATTGCCGCCGTTGGGCGATCGGAGCAAGCTGGAATTGCACGAAAAGGTCAAGTTATTGTATGCGGAGGCGTTGGAGGTCAGAACATTGACTTTAAGCTTCGGAAAAAGTTAAAAATTGAATGTTTTCAGCTGCAAAGTCAACTGAACGCCCAAACGCCGCCGCCCGTCGCAAACGGCCACTGTAACGGCACGATTTTGAGGGAGGAGAGCGAAATTGAGCATGGGAGCTCGAATTCGGAGCACGAGACCGAGTCGGAGGATTATAACAGCGAAAATGAAGCCGTCGACTTTCCCGAAGGCTTCGTACGACGTCAGCTGCCGCGCAGAGTTGAATAGCGATTTTGTGTGATTTTGTTTGCTTTTTCATGTATTTTTGTGGGTTGTTGGCAATCTTTCTCTACCTCTTCTTCTTATTTAATCAATTTTCATGTGATATTTTTGTTGGTTTTTCCCTTTTTCATTGTTTCTTTTCCCCCTACACAATGTACAGTTTCGACGATCGTTTTTGAGTATTATGAACTGGTTTCGACATTTTGTTGAGAAATAATAGGTTTGACCGTAAAATATTTGAAAGAAATGCGTGCGAAAAAATGGAGGGCCGTTTTTGTAGACTTTCGTGAAAATGATTCCCCGATTGCGGAATCATTTCGGCCGCCTTTTTTCGTCGTGCCACGTGGACGCCAGCACCAGCCAACAGGCGGCTCAGAATTTGGTTTGCCGATTGAATGAATTAAAAAAAAATCATTTCCCTCAATTTGCAGGTTTTCGACCGTGAAACGAAGCGGAAACAACGAGATTGGGCGGTGCGGCAGCCGGATTTCGCAGCCGCACAATATCTGAAAGAGGAGGTCGGATGGAGGGTCGCCGATAAGGTACTTGAACACTTTAACAATAAATAGTGAAAATAGAGCTCCGCGACATTTCGCAACCGGGAAGTGAACTTTGGCAACGCAATTTATCTCAAAGTAGTTCATGATTGTTGCGGAACGTCAGGGAGCCCAGAACTTTCAAAGACCTGGACTTTCGGACCACTTGCAAGGATCCGAACGGACCCAAACTTTGCAGGCTTCTTGGAATTCGATGGAAGTATATTGGGTTCAAGTTTCAGACCGATCGGATTATTTCGTCTCGAGATATACTGGTTTGAGACCGGAAAGCTTTTTCGCCCATATCTCTGGACCAGATGATCGGATCGGTCTGAAACTCGGACCCAATATACTTCAACCCAAGGCCAAGAAGCCTGCAAAGTTTGGGCTCGATCGGAATATTGCAAGTGGGTCAAAAGTACAAGCCTTCGAACAGCCCGGACCGGCCATTTCCCCAGCCCTGAAAAAAGGTCAATTTGCAGGTATTCGATCTGACGAAATTCAACCCGTTGGTGCTGGATATCGGGTGTGGAGCCGGGCATATCACTCCGCATCTGATCAAGGAAAATGTGGGAAAAATTATACAGGTAACTGCGGCAATCGGCTGCCTTCCCTCTTTGTTCGACATTCTGAATCGAACTGAATCAATTTTCAATTGTGTGACAGCTTCCAGTGCTTATAGTGTTTCCGCAGGTGGACATATCGGGCGGGATGGTGCAGTCGAGTGCCGGCTGCGAAGATCCCGATGTGATTGTGGAGCGTCGGTGCGTGGACGAGGAGTCGCTCGATGGATTCCATGCGGACCAGTTCGACCTCCTTTTGACGTCCATGTCCGCGCACTGGATCAACCGATTACCCGACTGGTTCCGCCGGTGCCACGACATCCTTAAACCGGACTGCCCGTTCATCGGATCCATGCTCGCAGACGACACTCTCTACGAGCTCCGGTGCTCACTTCAGTTGGCTGAGGTTCGCAATAGGCTTGCAATATTCCGATGGGACCCAAACTTTGCAGGGTTCTTGGACTTGGATTGAAGTATTTTGGGGGGACCAAGTTTTAGAGCGATCGTATCAGATGATCCGATCGGTCTGAAACTTGGACCCAGTGCTCTTCAATCCAAGTCGAAGAAGTCTGCAAAGTTTGGGTCCGATCTGATCATTGCAAGTGGTCCAAAAGTCCAAGCCCACATTGATCTGTTCAGCTGGAGCGTCTGGGCGGTGTCTCGTCGCACATCTCGCCGTTCGTGCGTACTCAGGACGTGGGCGGTCTGCTCTCCTCCGCCGGATTCGACATGATCACTCTGGATTCGGACGAGATCCAAGTGGGATACCCGAACATGTTCGCACTCATGTACGACCTGAAACTGATGGGAGAGTCCCATTGCACTTATCGACGGAACCATACCATTCGGAGGGATGTGCTCATCGCCGCCGAGGCTATTTATCAGGTTAGGGACCAGGGATTGGAAGTAACGTCAAAGTTTTGCGACGTTCATTTCTTTCGTCTAATCCGGACCATTTCTCGAACGTTTTAGTGTATGTATTTCGATGTCAAAAATTGTTACAATTCGCGTTGATCCTCCTTTCTTGCAGTCAATGTACGCAAAAGACGGAAAGTACCCGGCGTCGTTCAAAATCGTGTCGTTCATCGGCTGGAAACCGGGTCCGTTGATGCCGAAACCGGCGAAAAGAGGCTCGCAGTCGGTGTCGCTGAAGGACATTGGCAAAATTGTGGAGGATCCGGAGATGATGCGCAAAATGAGCGAGGATTCGAACAAGAATAAAAAATAGCATTTGCTAGACGGATTTTAGTGATTTTCGATAGAAATTCGACAAATGTTCTCGAATTTATACGCCCAAATAAACCGGAAGCCGTCACTTCCGTTTTTTTCCGAATTTCTCCTTGCCCCCCAAAAAAACACACAAAAAGAGTCAGGTGATGTCGGCGAAAAGGTTGGCACACTTTTCTCGTTTCTTTTTCGCCTTTTTGGAGGTGTACTTTTTTTTTTTTTGAATTCAGCTCCAAATAAGCCCGCTATTATCCTGATCCAAATGAGAGCTTCCTCCCTCTGGATTACGGTAATCGGTGCGCCCCGGGGGACATTATGATGCGATCATCTTTTCATATTTCCCAAACAAAGTCAATCCTCCGAATACATCTCTCATTTCCCCGGGGACCCGTAGGCCGGCACTCGACCTGCCCGATTCGCTTCTCCGCTTTTTTCGCCGGTGTCAATACGCGAGAATGGCGTCATTGGCTTCGTTTGTCTACATTTATCGATAGTTTTATCTCAGAACAAGCCCATTTTTTGTGTTTTTGAAGAAAAAAGCTCAAACCTCTTCTAGACTAAAGATGATCTCAAAAACATCATAAAAGAGGGGTTCGATGAGGAAGTAGAAGATGGATAATATAAGAATTGAGGCAATTTGGGTTTTTCATAGGAAAAAGTGCACTAACCTCCTTTCAAAACAAATTGTTTTACCAGATCGGAAACACGTTTTTTTTTACGCTTTGAGAATTTCTAAACTTTGAATGGATACTGTAGCGTTGGGAGACGTCCTTTTGCTTTGAAATTTGTTTTGTGAAATCTTGACATCTAGTACTGTATTTTTGTAGTTGAACATTTTTTTGTAGGATCACTTCCTGGAGTACTGTAGGCTCTGGAAGTTGGGACGACATTAGTGCACTAAAAATGTGCCCTAACTTGCAAGAGCTACAGTAGTCCTGGGAGCGGTTCTGGTGAAAAATTGTAAACTACAAAAATAAAGTTAATATCAAGTACTAAAATTTCTTAGTTGACACCTTTCTCTAAACGCCACTCCCTGGGGTACTGTAGTTCTTGGAAGTTGGGGCACAATTTCACTGCACCAAACTTGTCCCAACTTCCAAGAGCTACAGTACTCCAGGTAGTGATCCTACAAAAAAAAGTTCAACTACAAAAATACACTACCAGACCCCAATACCTTACAGAGAAATTTTGAGAGCACAGAACAGTCGGCGTAATGTGTCTCAATCGCAACAACCTTTCACTTGATTGCTTTCGTCCAAAAGCACACACGATAATCCCTCTTATCCACCTTCAAAGCTAAACTTGACAACAAGACGCGAAGGATTACGGTAGAAGAGGGGCGGGGCTTCCAGAAAAGCGGATTCAATATTTTCTGGAAGGAAAGAAATCAGATAAAATCCCGATGCTTTGGCCCAATTTGCATGCCTAACATTTGGAAACATAGAAGACTTCACAAAAGTCTAACCTCCATTTTTCCGTCCAAATGCGTCTAGACACCCCCCTTCCAAAGTTTCGCATTCTTTAGTCCGGTCCCTTTCGAATCCATGTTCCCCCCCCGGGGGACCAATTTTTTAGGTGAGAAGTCATTCTTCACGCCTTCTCGTTCTGCTTGGAAACATTTCTCCACTTTTCCAAATGAACTTGCATCTCATTCCCATTTGCAGCCGACAAAATGCCACGTCGCCACCCGAATTCGTTGCTCGCATTGCTCATTTTGGTGTACATTCACGGGGGCTCTGCTGCTGCGGCTCTCCGAGTTCAGCTGACGGATTACGATGCCGAAAGTTGGAGGGGTGTGTTGCGGAGGAGCACGCCCCGCTGGGTTCACGAGGAGTTTGCGGACGTGCGGGTGAAGAGTGCCAGCGAGAACGGATACGAGGTACGGGTACGGCAGTTTGACCCACAATATCCATCCCGCGTATTCAGCTGCCCGCTCAAGGCGCGGCCCGCATTGAAATCGACGCCGCCGGCCGGAAGACGGTGTACGCGAGCACTCCGACAGACGCGTTGTACGCGATCAATGTACGTGGGTGGAGTCGTCGTCAAGTTCGAGATGCACCATGTACGAGTTTCAGGTCTATCTCCGCTCCGAGTGTCTATCGCAGGTCTCGTGGTCGAACAGCTCGTTTTCGAGCGGATGCCGAACGGCCAAGAACGAGGCGATCAGTTTTGAGTCGAAACAGTGAGTGTGTGATCTACTTTTGACCTACTTGCCCAACTCTTTGCAGAATCCGCTATTTCGGCAACATTTGCACGTTCTCCTACTCGTTCGCCTGGTGGCAATGGCCCGATTGGGAGCGATTTATCGATTGGATCGCGTTGAGTACGTTTTCAATCCATTTCAACCCAAAAAACACGAGTTTTGCAGACGGTTTCAACACAGTACTCATGCCGTTGGGCCAAGAGCTCATCTGGCGGGATGTTTTCATGGGATTGGGAGTGCGGCGCGACGAGTTGGACCGATATTTCACGTCGCAAGCCTATTTGGCATGGTGGGTACTACTAAGTAGCCTTTAGATATGTTTAGAATGAGATGAGCTAGGTTGAAAGGTCAAAATAAGTCAGCTAAGTAGGCCAATAACCAATGAGACCAATTGCAGGCACCGAATGGGAAACCTGAAGGGCTACGGAGGTGGTCTCTCGGACGCGCAGCTTCTGAACGACCTAAACCTGGCGAAAAAGATAACGGCGCGTCTGACGGAGCTCGGGATCACTCCCGTCCTGCCGACGTTCGCCGGATTCGTGCCCGATCAGCTGGCGTCCCTGTTCCCCGCCTCGAAATTCAACCGTCTTCCGTGCTGGAACAACTTCTCCGCCGACGTCTCCTGCCTCCTTTCCGTCTCGCCGTTCGACGCGCTCTTCGCGCGAATCGCCACGTCGTTCGCGAAGACGCAGCGGAAGGCGTTCGGCGCGCTGACCAATTTGTACAGCGCCGATCCGTTCAACGAGATTCTGCCGAGCGACTCGTCAAAGTTCGACGCCGGGTTTGTGAAGCAGACGGCGCAGGCGATCATGGCCGGATGTCAGAAGGTCGACAAGAATTGTGTTTGGTGAGTGGAAGAGGGTCAGGGAATCAATCCATCTCTCTCTCATTTTGCAGGGTGCTCCAGTCGTGGTCGTTCACCTACGACAAATGGCCGACGTGGGCGGTCAAATCGTTTCTGTCGGCGGTGCCAACCGGTGGCCTCCTGATCCTCGACCTCTACGCCGAAGTGGTGCCGGCGTGGCAGCTGACTTCCTCGTTCTACGGCCACAACTTTGTCTGGTGCATGCTGCACAACTTTGGCGGCACCCGAGAGTTGAGGGGCAACTTGCAGAAAGTTGATAAGGTCGGTGAGACACACGAGAAAGTGTGTAGACCGTGGTTGCAGGGCTACCAACTCGCCCTCATGAACTCCGACTCGAATCTGGTGGGCGCCGGGCTCACGATGGAGGCGATCGACCAGAACTACGTGATGTACCAGTTCATGATCGACCGAATGTGGTCGTCGACGCCGATGCCGCTCCACAAGTGGCTCCGTTCGTTCGCCGAGTCGCGCTATTCGCTCGACGTGAAAGTGGTGCACAAGTTCTGGAATCTGCTCGCCGCCACGTTCTACAGTCAGCCGGAGAAGGCGCGACGGTTCTCGGTGTTTTTGTACGAACGGCCCGGGTTCGGGAAGAAGATCGAGTACTGGTTCGGTGTGGAGGAGGCGTTCGCGATCGTCGGAGAGCTCATTCCGGCGCTGATGCACGTGCTCGGCGACCATCCGTTGTTCAGGTGAGGAATCCGGGTCACCGGGCCACTTTTATGTCAAGTTTTCTTGATTAGAATCGAAGTCAGCGTTTCCAATTTTGCAGAGAAGACCTGAACGACGTGATGCGTGCGATAACCCAGTTTGAAATGGGCAACGAGGCGGTCCTCTCCATTTCGGAAGCGTTTCTGCTCGAGGACAAACAACAAATCGGCGCGAGTTGTGCGAACCTCATGGAAATGTTCGCCAAACTCGACGCCTACACGAATCGCGACGTCCGGGACTGGATAGGTGAGTCTGGAAGCGGAAGTCCCGCTTGTTACCAACTCATTTGCCCTCCAGAAAACGCCGAATCGATCGCGGCGAGTTCGGAAGAACGCGAAACGTTCGCCGTCTCGGCTCGCGACCTTCTGAGCACTTGGGGACCACGTGGCGAGAATGTGGACTACGCGCACCGCGAATGGAACGGACTGATCAGTGGCTACTACGCGCCGAGATGGGAATACTTTTGCGAATGGATTCTCGCGCACGACGTCTTCAATCACACCGAATTTGCGAATTCCGTGTTCGAGGACGTGGAGCGACCCTTTTTGACGGCCGTTTAGAGCACTTGCGAAAATGAGAGAAATCCCCCCTTTTGTTAATAATAAATATGCTTGTTAGTGACCCACAAACTTAATCTTTTATTTATGAAATCTTGGGATCTGGTACTGTATTTTTGTAGTTGATCACTTTTTTCCACGACCACTTCCTGGAGTACTGTAGCTCTTGGAAGTTAGGACAAAGTTGGTGCATTGAAATTGTGTCCAAACTTCCAAGAGTTACAGTACTCTTAAGAAACGACCTATCAATCTGAAAATTTTTTTGTTTAATACTTTATTTTTGTAGTTGACAACTTTTTGCTACTGTACCTCTCTGGAGTACTGTAGCTTTTGGAAGTTAGGACTAGTTCAAGGCATCTAAAATGAGTTGCAACTTCAAATAGCTACAGTACTCTTAAGAGAAGCAATTTTTTTGTGAACTTTTGACATCTAGTACTGCGTTTTTGTAGTTGACACCTTTTCTCCAAAGCCACTCCCCGGAGTACTGTAGCTTTTGGAAGTTGGGGCACAATTTCACCGCACTAAACTTGTCCCAACTTCCAAGAGCTACAGTACTCAAGGGAGTGATCCTACAAAAAAGTGATCAACTACAAAAATAAAGTACCAGACAAGATTTATTTGCATGCAACTTTTAAAGGCAGAGATTTGCGCTTTGCGTGGTCACTTGCCAATCAAAAGATTGACAATATTTCGGACATCCATGATATCATTTATAATAATATTAAGAAGAAGACGAGGAATCGTGCGTTGAGGAGGAAAAAGCGAAAACTCGTTAAGCCCCCCGCCCGCCCCGCCGTGTTCATTTTATAATCAGTGATAAAAGGCGGAATGCCCGTCCATCCGTCCCCATTTTCCAGTTTATTTCTTCCATTTTCCCTCCTACCGTACTCCCTCTCCTCATTCTTTTTTTCCATTTCAAAAAGTGGATGATGTGTTCAACTGAAAAGATTCGATAGAGAAGCTAGAAGGAAATGAGATAAAATCAGATATTATCCATTCTTTCGACTGGAGTCTTCCGTTTCGCAACGTTACACACCCGTTCCCCTGCCTATTCGGCTGGAAACCGATTGAATAAGAATCGGATAATATCGGAAAGAGAGAAAGAGAGAGTTCTAGAAGTGTTTAGCATTCACTTTCTCTGAAACTTCCAAATTTCCAGTCTAAAATCTCTCGGTTCCCTATTTACACCGTCAGGGACTGAGTCTCGCTGCGAACTTTCCATTTCAAGGGATTTAGTGGAAATGCCCTTTAATTTGACACATTTGTCGATAAATTTATCGAAAAACGCTCTATAGATAGTTTTTTATTGATAAGACAGACTGGTAGAGCACAAAATTTGAACATTTGCAGAGACCAGAATATCAGCAACTGTAATAACTGTTATAGAAGGGACACCCGTATAATTGTTCATGTATCTCAGCTGCCTGAAGAGATATCAAAAAGTTGTGAATTGATAAAATGTGCAAAAGATCTTAATAAACAAGTTATTAGTTGACAACTTTTTGATATCTTCACAAACGACTGAGATACAGCACAATCCGAATCGCTAGAAAACTACAATAGTCGTTTGAGTGCTGTTTATTCAAAACGGTGTATCTCAGCTGTCGGTCCGGATAGCAAAAAGTTGTCAATTGATAAAATGAACAGAATTTCTTAGCAAACATTTTCTCAGTTGACAACTTTTTGATATCTCCACCGGCAGCTGAGATACATGGACAATATTGAGGTGCCCCATTTATTTCACTGTTTCATTGCTCCTTTCTGATGTTCCTGATTTTTAACTTTATTTCAAGTGTTTATTCCGCCAGTACATGACCGTAAAGTGTTTTTAGTCTAAATAAAGTGAAAACATCTAAATTAGTACTCACATCGCCACAAAAAATCAAGTTCTTCCTACTTTTCAACAAAAAATCGTTTTTTTTAATCAAAGAGAACCTTTTTACACCGATATCGCTGTTCCTTTGTTTGTGTGTACCGAATGAAAGAATTGGATTCGCTTTTTTTCCGAGAAAGTGACATTGATACACTTTTATTACACTTAAAGTCGAAAGAGAACGCGAAGAACTGCATTTCTGCTTTTCATGGCCGATGCACCATATCTCATGCACAATTGCACACAACTATTGTATGAAAGACGTTCGCCGAGAAGAGGAATGAGGTCATCATGGGGAGTTTGGGCGGTGGGGGGTCTATTGTCGAAAATCTATAAAAATGCAAATTTATTTCTTCTTCTTCTTTTTGCAAAGAAGAAGAAGAAGAAGAATGAGGTGAAAATGCGGTCGTTAGATGTTCAATGCGAACGTGATAATAAAGAGAAGTGGACAATAGACGCGCGAAAAAATGGTGTAACTTTGAAGGAGTACTGTAGGTTTCGGAGATGAACTCTTCGTCCCAAACTTTTTTTTTGGATTATTGGGGTCTAGTAGAGCATTTTTGTAGTTGATCACTTTTTTGTAGGACCACTCCCTGGCGTACTGTGGCTCTTTGAAGTTGGAACACAATTTCACTGCACTAAATTAGTCCCAACTTCCAGGAACTACAGTACTCCAGACAGTGGTCCTACAAAAACGTGGTCAACTACAAAAATGAAGTACTAGATGTCAAGAATTTCCAAAAAAATTTCTAGAGTCTTAGGACATCTCTCAACGCAAAAAAGCTGCGTTGAAAGTTTGCCAACTTTGAAAGCCGACGTTCCAGCAGGCAGTGCCACGTCATTTCCTTTGTGACGTGTCAATATGCATTGTCCTTTCGGCTTCTTGTCCCCCGTCAAAAGGTGTGTCTAATCGCAACAATCTAGGCTAGAAAAAGGGCGTGGGAGAAAAAGGGCGAACCTACAATATCATATGTTTATCATCTGAACTTGAATTGCTGACCCTACTATTGTCCACTTCCCGACAGATCCGTCTCTGATTCACCCTCTATCGTAAACCCCCTTTTCTAAAAAAATGCCATGTGTGGGCGTGGCCAAACTTTCCGGCTCCTCCCCTTTTTGTGTTGGCTGATGGTTTGAGGCAAAAACGAGTTGAAAGGGGGTATAAAAGTAGAGAGGGGCGCCGGCGGCCAATGTTGACCACAACTTCACTTGTTTCACTCTTACTTTAACTTTTAACTTTCTTCCATCTTGGAACAAGATGATATGATGATAAGACGGCGGCGGCGGTGTTATTTTCGGATGCCTCGCCACCTGTTTATCACATTTTCACGCGTTCTTTGAAGGCAACGCACCGAAAAGGTGCTTTATCTATGCAAAATGGATTCTAGAAATGCGTTAGGACTCGCGGAAGCAACCTGGTGCGCCCGCCAGCAGTCAGACTCTCCTCCTTTCCAAAAAAAGGATATCTGGTCACCGAATCTCAAAGATCGTCGTGCGCGTCTTCCAAACATCCGATCCGACATCAGATATTGTACGCCTATATATGAATGGCGATTGCATGAATTAGCAGCAGCCGTGAAGCGCATTTTTGAACCGTGTTTGAGGCTTCTGGAGAGAGCGGTCACCGCACACATGAGTCATACTTGTTTAGCGGGAAGACAAAGCCTCGAGTAGTTGTAGTTGACCTCGAAAATTACCACTTTTTGGGGGGAGGGGGGGTCTAACCGGAACTTTTTGAATGTTTAGATGATTAGGCGTCATTTGTTCCGCTTTCGCTTATAATTAACACTGAAAAACGTTGTTGTACATTAGTGTTTCAGCCTACGCCCCCACAATACAATAATGCAGACTGTCACACTTTTCGCCCTCCTCGCCTGCATCGCTGTTCCGGTAAGTTCTTTCTTCCTGTAGGGGTTACTGTACGGGTTACTGTATGCTCCTTTAATTTCAGATCCTCGCGAACGAGTGGGACTACTTGCGTGCCCGCCGCGACGCCGTCGTCGTCGAAGGCTCCGGAACAGAAGGATCTGGAAGCGAGGGATCGGGCGAAAAGGCGGTGGAAGCATCGGGAGAAGGATCCGGAGCGGAAGGATCCGGAGCCGAGGGGTCTGGGATCGAGGGATCCGGCGGGGACGCCGTTCTGGAGTCGTCTGGAGCCGAGGGATCCGGGGAGAACTCTTCTTCTTCTTCTTCTTCTTCTTCCCTTCTCCACGTCGCCTCGGATGCTCAGAAGGACGTCAAAGAGCTGACTTCCAGCGAATTCGCCGTCTCCGTTTAAGAGTCCCGTAGTAACTTATCGACAGTATCTCTTTTTGAAGTATTGTTGGTTCCCTTTTCCCTTTTTTCTTTGTCCCCCCTCCTCATCAGTATTTGTACGTATCTGTGTGTCGTTTTGTCGCCGGTGTATAACGAAAAGAGTTTTGAATAAAACAATGAAACTTTATCAAAAAGTACAATATCAATTCGTCAAACTTCATTGAGTAATTCGGCTTTCGGCGCCAGTTCGGTCAACAAGGATAACATCATTGCGGTCGCGGAGAGCGTCTGAAAATGTGCAGCGTAACTCAAGAATGACGGGTTTTGGGACGAAATGATCAACTACAAAGTTGTTGAGGACAAAATTTGCAACACCTTTCTAGTTGATCAATTTTTGAAATAATCATTGGATCTCAGGATATAAGCGTCCAAACATACTAAACCTTTTGGGCGGTTCGAAAACTATATATCTCAGCTGTCGGTAGAGATATCAAAAAGTTGTCAACTGATAAAATGTGCAAAATTTTTCAATAAACAATTTGTTAGTTGACTACTTTTTGATATCTCTACCGGCCGCCGAGATAGAACAATTTTTTAAAGTTGACATCGTTGCTTTGAGTCAAGTCATCAGAAAACATCAAAGTATCATAGGCTAGTGTCCGTACAATCCCAAAAACTGACTCCCAAAATGAGTGGTCTCGAAAGGACGGCGAATCCCCAGACGGAGACGCCCAAATCGAACTGTTCCATGTGAGAAGAGAGCGTATTCGCGATCAGGTACACTTCTTTTCGATACGGAAACCATATTGTCCGGTTCTGACACAAATGACCTTTCGAACGGCAGATCTGCAATACAAAAATCGTACAAACTTACAAAATCAAGCTACAAAGCCCAGAGTTTTGAGCTTAAAATGAGGAAAAAGAGTTGGAGAAATTTCAAAAAAAAAAACGTGCGTACCTCATCGTGTAGCCTGGCGGGAGCGATGGTAACTGCGAAGAAGCTGAAGGCGCAGAGGCCGATCGTCGGCAGGCAGAGAAAGAGATCCAGAAGCGAGTGGATCCGGTGGTTCATCATCATTAGCGTGAACACCATCGACGGAATCGTGATCAGAATCATTATGAACGTGTAGAGCTGCAAGAGCGCACTGTCGGCGAGAAATTCAAAATGTGAACGTTTTGAGCCAAAAAAACAGTCAAATTTCTCAGAGATTCAAACATTTCAGATCAGAACGAACCCGAAAAATGAGGTCCAAATGTCGAATGACCGCGCACAAATTGCTGTAAATCTCCAAATGCCCCAGAATATTTTCGGCGGCCCCGGGTCCGGATCCGTCGAAATTCGAGATTTCCTCGTTGAAGAAACGCATCTCCAGATACGTGGCATTTGTGTAGAGGATGAGAACGAAGAGGGTCATGTTGAACACAATGTACAGGTACGTGGTCACCAGGGTGTACAGCGGACGGAGCGGCGGATAGTAGAAGATCTGGAAGTAGTGACCATAACTCGAGAATGAGAAGTTTTGAAGTGAAATGATCAACTACAAAGTTGTAGAGCACTTAATTTGCAACAACTTTTTAGTTGGCCACTTTTTGAAATAATCATTGGATCTCAAGATATAAGGGTTCAAAGTTACAGAACTTTTTGGCCGGCACGAATGACGTTCATTCGAGAAAATGTGTTCATGATCATTTGTTAGTACACAAGATCTTGCGTTGAAAGATCGAAAATAGTGTGAAACTGATGATTTTACTCACAAAAGACTGTTTCTCTTGAAATTCGGTGTGCTTCTCCTCCAAATGATATTTGGCAGCGAATGCGGCAGTTATCGAGCATGTCAGGAATATGGTTGCGTAGAAAAACCTGTTGGTAGCTGCAAATCTATCATTTCTTCAGCAGAACCTTTTTTGGGCGTCCACCTCTCACATACTTCTTTCCACGATCGCTGGCGAGTCCCTGAAATCCTTGGCATTGAGCTAAACGTTTCCGGAACTCTGACAAATGACCGTAGAGTTGCCAGTAGACTAGGAATCCCTGAAATCACTGAAAATTGCCGATGAAACTATGCAAAAGTACCATAGAGATGAGCGATTGAATGGCCCATAGAATGATGAGGAGTTGGGCGGCGAGTTCGGCCGACAAATGACGGGTTAGAAAGGTGATGCGGATGTTGAAGCCGATCGAGTAGGTGGCTGAAACTCAAAAATGACGAGTTTTGGGATGAAATGATCAACTACAAAGTTGTAGAGCACTTAATTTGCAACAACTTTTCAGTTGACCACTTTTTGAAATAATGATTGGATCTTGAGATATGAGGGTTCAAAGCTAAGGAACGTGTAACGCACCCACAAAAAACAGAATGCTCGTGACGATTCCATTGAAATTCCGCGCGGTGCCGGGTGTCCGCAAATCGATGCACAGGTACTTGGCGACGGTGAAAACGTGGCTTCCAAAATGCGATTTGAACATTTTCGGCTGCTCCCGTCGATGCGCGGGCGTCGGAAGCGTTATCAACACTTCCGAGAGCTCCATTCTGCAAAAACAACGCATTTTTGTGTGGAATTTCATAGTGAAATAGAAATATTGCACATTTTTAGTGTAACGGGTCAAGTGGCGGAGAAAAATGAGTGAAAACGGAGCACAAAAATTGTCTCATAAAGTGCGAAAAAGCCGGATGGTGTCCTAGCGGGAGCAGAAGAAAAAGAAAAGTGTGATAGACATGAGAAGAAGATTGATGACTTTTCGGATTTTTGTTTGAAAATCCAAAAATCGATTTTTTCAAGTTTTGGTTGAGCCATTTTTCTAGGCCAATTTGAAGAATAACCAGTTTTTAAAAGGAAGCTAGACGAAATTGGGGCTCTTTCGATTAAAATGCCGTTTTTCGACGGCCACTATTGGCTATTTTGCATTCCATTTTTGACAATTTCTCAAATTTTCCACAAAAAAGTACTCACTCAAGAAATCGATGTGTCCTCATCGTTTTTGAAGCCGAGTGAATGCGAGTGCTTCAATTCTTCTACCCAAATTATTCAATTTTTTCAAAGTGCTGCGAAATGCATTTTGGAGAGGCTCGTTTGTTTGGCATCGTGAAGCTCATTTATTGCATGGAATTTTCGCATTTCTCATATTAAAAATCGACAAAAAATTGAGAGAGGACAAGTGATATTTACAAACAAATCGAGGCAATCGTCGTTTCATTGATGCTTTTTCCGTTTTGTAGCTCGCCACACTGATTCTGCTGCAAAAAATTTAAAAATTGTTTTGTTTTTTGGGGGAAAACAAATTACGAGGCGCCAAAAAACTGTAAAAGGAGACGACGGCGACGATGAGAAACGCCATGAATACGCTGGCGTACAGGGTTATCCATTCACCCGTTTGGAATTTCTGCAGAGAACAATTGCGTTGTTTTAACAGAAAACCCGCTTAAATACCCCACTATTTTCACATATTTCCAACTGAGAACTCACAATTTCAGATCGATTATTGATGTTGTTCGGCGGCGCGGCTTGTGGCATTATTGCAAACGCGCAAAAAAGTTGGTGGAATATTTGGGGAACAAGAACGAGAATAATCGATAGTTTCGGCGCGGGAGTACTCTGTTTTGCCTGGAGCCGAAGAGAATAGGAGAAGTAGCGTGCGGCGGTCGGCCGGCGCGGTGTCTGCCGTCTCTCCGTTCCCGAGTACTCTCTCGGCGGGGGGACCTCCGGGCACAGCTGTCACCAATCTTTAGGTTCACACCACCCGCAACTTGAGATCTTGACTCCAACTTTTTGAATGCGTACGCGGAAAGCTAGTTTTTGAGAGCTCTGCAATTCTTCAAAGTGTCTGTACGACAGTAAGTTTGTGAGTGAGGACCCTTTCATAGATGTTTGACACATTTCTCGTTCTTATTGTCGAATATTTCTGGCCACTCTCCTTACTCACAAAATTCTTCAAAATTCCGACAAAGTGCAGACCATTTTGTGTCTCTAATCTGCTCTACTGTCTACGCGAACTCTCTAACAGTGTTGAGAAGCGCTAAAGCGACGAGCGTTAGCTTGGACCGTTCAGCGCTAGCCTGGTAACGTAGCTTTCGCTAAAATGATTTGCTATGTATGGAGTGTAAAGCCAGAACTTTGGCGTTTTTTAAACGGAGCTCCAGTCTCGGGTAACAAAGTTGTCTATGGTTACTCGGTTATGCTAGCCTAGCCCGGATGTTACACGCTTTAGTCGCTTATAACTAGCATTCAGAAAACACAGAGAACAACATTATTTTCAAGAAATATAGTCGGATTGAAAGCAACACAAATTTTTCTACAACTCACCGGAGTAGTAGACATAGAGATCGGGAATGGCATTTATTTGTTGTGCAACTAGTTCTTGGTGATGAGAGGTCGTTGATAGTGAGGATGGTGGGCGTACGGATCTGAAAAGATTGGTGGTACAATGCATGGGAACAGGAGGAATAAGAACTGTTACAAATGAGCAAGCACACAACTCACTTTTCTTGCAAAACTTGTAATAGGCGACGACGGCGAGCGCGAGCGCAACGGTGAAACAGAACATGATCCAAGTGAGTATCTCGCCCGGTTGCATCTTCGAACGAGTCGTTGTTATGTACATTTTCTGAAAAAAAAACGAGCCGTAATTGAGTGAAGAAATAAAAAAAGCACGAGGCTTTCTGGAGAACTGGGCTATAAAAACTGGAATGAATGAATGGGCGAGTGAGTGACCTGTGAAACTTGAGACTACTTTTAATGTGTGTGTGTAAGTATGATGTCATTGTGAAGTCGGAAAGTGATCATCAAAACAATGAAGCTGTTAGGGATCTTAAGTGCTCGAATGTCACAAACCTGGAGAATAAAAAGAAACGTGGAAAAACAAATGTTCGTTTTTGTTTTTCCGCAATCAGTTGATAACATAACACAGGCATCAATCACAGATTGAACCAGGAAGAACGGAAATACACGAATTTAAAAAGAAACGCGCTATTGTCCTCATTTTCACTGCTAAGTTTCCATGACAATGAAAAGTTCGCTTTCGAAATGAGTTCAAAGCGAGCATTTTATGAGCTGTATAGCCAATTTGACACGACAAAAAAGATGGAGCACAAATTAAAAGGGCACGGCGGTCCCCGGAAGTTTTATGAGCAAAATTGGAGGCCTTTTTTCAAATGCATTTAGAAGGGGGCTCAAAACAATCTGGCATTCAGTCAGTTTCTAGCCTCTTTCTGAGCACTTAGGATCAGAAGTTTGGAAGTGGTTACTCAGAACCGAGTATATCTCGGGAATGGATAGAGATATCAAAAAGCGGTCAACTAAAATTTTATAGGCAAAACATGTACCTTCATTGTTGCAGTTGAACACTTTTTGATATCTTTACCGGTTGAGGAGATATGACCCCACGAAATCATGGGAAAAGAAAGTGTAAAAGTCGTTCATTTCCCCCAAGAAAATCTTTTGGAAAAATGGCAAAATGACGTGGCAAACGGGAGCAGAAATCTAATGAATGTACATGGTAAAAGCGGGGCGGGAAATGAGCTCTCGAAAGTGCAAGTGAAAGGTCCAAAGTGGAGGGAATAATGAAGAATAGATGGGAAACGAAGGGATTAACGGACGGATCATGACGTGGCGCGTGTCATTTGGTGGCTAACAGAAAAACGACAAAAAACCGCTAAAAAGTGGCTAGCCGGTGACAAAATACAAAGTGCATTTGGGGGACCGAAAACAATTTTGCGGGCCGTAAAAACAGCGAGACCGAAATCCGGTCAAATTTTGTTGTGGAAGTGGGGGGAGAGGGAAACAATTGGATTTGAGTGGGACGAAAAAGAGGTTTTCGGGCGGTGAAACGTGTTGTTTTCGGGATGCTTTCCACGGGCCTAATCCTCTGGTTCACGGGCGCCCCGGGGCAAGATTAAGCCCCCATCGACTATTGTCGGTCCGCGTGAGACGGCACTCGAGTTGCCGAGGATTATCCGTTTCTGTGAAAATATTCACGCAGGGACCTGACTGCTTTGGGTTTCGAATTGAAGCGAAAAGCATTGGGAAAGAGGGAAATGACAGTTACCAAAAGAAAAACCTACATAATGAAGCTCGCCGAGATTGTCGTTGATCGTGAATCGGATTCGGAATTATGCATCATCATGACCCAACGCTTGAAATGATAGGATGAGCCTCGATAAAACGATCAATAGTTGTTGTTGTTGTCGTGTGGATCTCCTGTCATTCTCTTGTTGTTAATCTGCGTTTTTCAGTAAGTAGATTTGCATTTTAAAGGCAATTTCTTACTTTTCGACCCATTTTCCACTGCAAATCCATTTTCCCGCACCAAAAACCGTCCATTTCTGTCGAGTTTGGAATTCGAAACGAAAGGGGGTCAGCAAGTGCGCTCCATTGCGAATTCGCGCCGACGCAATTCAAATTTCGCAACCCGCGTTTCTTCGAAAATCGTCGCATCTTCGGCTCGAATTCTCATTGTTTTTTTGCTCTTTTCTCGCTAAAATTTGTGTTTTTCGACAATTTCCCGTCGAAAATTGCCTGAAAATTGAGTTTTTCAGCAAAAAAGCAATGGTGGAAGTGGAGAAAATGTCGGACGCCGAGTTGCGCGCCGAATTGAGCGTTCGCGGCGAAAATGTGGGTCCGGTGACGGGCACGACGCGCTCGTTGTACGAGAAAAAGCTCAAGAAGCTGATCGCTGCCGGCGGAAAGGTAAAATACCGAAAAATTGGGGGAAAATCGAGCTTTTCACTAGAAAATATATATTCGTAAAAATGGTTTACCAGACCGAAAAACCTCTGAAAAACTGTACAAATATCACAAAAATTGCAATTTTCCAGACGCCAGTGCGCCCGGCGGCCTCGAAACCGGCTTCTTCGTCGTCGGTCAAGCCGAAACTGACGGCGCCGTCGAAACCGCCCGTCGTCACGAAGCCCAAGACTCCGGACACCTCGCGCCGATCGATTCCACGTGGCAACACGACCGTCAACTCGACGTTCAATCGATCGGAAGCGGAGGATTCGGACGGGAACGAGGAAGAAGAAGAAGAAGAGGAAGAGGAGCCGATTCTGTCGCCCAAGAGCCGCTCCAAACTCAGCTCGAGCTACGTGAGCATTTCCCGTGGCCGTGCGGTCTCCTCGACGCCCACAAAAGTGAGCCCAAAGACGCCGACTCCGCCGAAATCCGCCAGACTTCCGCAGGCAACCTCCGCGTCCAAGGTTGGTTTTGAACACATTTTTTACATTGAAAAATCGGGAGAAATTCTAATTTTTTACAGACGTCGACGACGATCCAAACGACGACGAGACTGCCGACGACGCCGCGCACGCCGCTCAACTCGTCGGTGAACGTGCCGGTTCCGAACCTGATCACGGACTTCACGCCCAGCTTCTCGACGTTCGATCGTCCCGGGGCCACTCCGCCGCGCAACCGGCTCAGCGTCTATCAGTCGTCGCGCAAAGTTCTCGACGATTTGGGCAATACGACCGGCGAGGAGGACTACGAGGACGACAGCGGCGTCGAGAGCTCCAGAATCATCTACCAGTCTTCCGGTAAGGCATTTTTTTTCAGAATTTTCTACATTTTTCCAAAATTTGTCAGAAATTTAAATTTTTGCAGAACCGCAGAGAGGACTGGTTAAATCGGCGTGGAACAAGGTGCTCGGCTACGGCTTCGCGGCCTCCAAGACTCCGGGGGAGAGCTACGACCTGCGCGCGGGCTCCTCGCGGTTCCACGTGCGGAAGAACGCGCGGACGGGACGCGTGACTGTCCGGCAGTCGAACGTGTTCCTCGATTCGCTCTGGCTCGCCCTCTACGCAGTCTCCATCACCGCGCTCGTCCTCCTCGTAGCCTACTTCATCACCAGTTTCGGATCGAACGAAAAGGCGTCCATCTCCGGATATTGGGCCGTTCTGAAGGGCGCCGTTCGTGATTCCGTCCAGTTCTTCTACAATTACGCTATTCTTCCCATCGTCACAGTCGCTCTCGGTACGGCACAGTTTCTGCGATTTTTAGAGCATTTTTACCGTTCTCTATCATTATTGTGGCTGTCAGGGCTGGGAAAATTTCGGCCCAGGCTTTTCGAAGGCTTTTTGAGGCCTGTACTTTTACCCTCTTGCAATCCTCTCGAAAAGCCCTGCCCAGACTTGAGAAATTTTGAACATTTTTTAATGAAAATCGCTCCTGTTTTCAGTGGTCCTTCTCGGCGTGGGCCTCTTTTTCGGACACCGCAAGTACAAAGAGACGAAGGAGGTTGAGGAGGCGAAGCTGTACGCACTGATCGAACGGATCATCGAGCTGATCAAGGAGTCGTCGGCCGACGGAGAGCCCTACGTCTCGCAGCCGCACGTCAGAGACGTCATGTTCCCTCCCGCCAAAAGGTACATTTGAAAAAGAAATGCTGTAATCGCAAATCGAATCAGCATTTTCTTAAACATTTTCAGATTCTCTGGAAAATTATTTGCACAATACACGTTTCCATTCTTTTTTTGCAGACGTTCGGCGGAGATGGCGCGCTGGGAGTCGGCGGTCAAGTTCATCGACCAGAACGAATCGCGCGTGGCCACCGAAGTTCACGTTTTGGCCTCTGGAAACGAGTGCGCCGTCTGGAAGTGGATCGGAAATCAGTCGCAGAAGCGCGTCTGGTAGAATGAATAATTTCCGCATTTTTACCCCTCTGTCCGATTTTTTACTGTTTTTTTTTGAGGAAAATGAGTAGTTTTTTCCTCCTTTTCCTCTTTTCGAGAGGAAAAACTCACACTGATGATCACCCGACCAAAACGCATTATTTATCTCTTCACCCAATTATTGATATAATCCCCATTGTTTCCTGAAAAAATTGATCAATCTCACACGTTTTCTCTCTGAATAAAAGTCCATGTTGCGACGATTCGATGTTTTTCACCCATTTTTCGTCGAATTTTCCGTCCAATTCGGGTGCCTAATCGCTCTCTTTCCCTTCTTTCTCTTCGCACTCTCTCCTCGCTCCGCCCACCCTCTTTTCGTTTTCTCTGCGTCTCCGCGTCGAGATAGACGCCAAGTCGATGCGACGTCCGAAAGAGACATGATTCTCACCTTTTTTGCGGTTTTTGAACGGGCAATCGAATAATTTATGGATTTTTGCGGCGTTATGCCATTTTTGAGCGATTTTTCGGTGGAAAATTGAAGCAATTCGAGGTTTCTAGCGATTCTTGCGATAAAAATTGAATTTCCCGCCGAAAAATTGAAAATGACCGTTTCGACATGCTCTTCCTGTGCGAAATGATAAACTTTTACAGTTTTGCAGTGTTCGACCGCGAAAAGCTGAATTTACATTGTTCTTTCGTTTTTCTGGTCGATTTCACTAGAAAACACAATAACATTGCGTTTCTTCTTCATTTCCTTCAATTTTCGAATAAAAATGACTTTCCTCTCTAACTTTTCCAATTTTTGCAGTGAAAAAACCTAAAAGGGCCGTCAAAAAAGCGCCGAAGCGCTGAAAAAAATCGATACGGAGAATGGGAGTGCCAAAGTTTTACCGCTGGACGTCCGAAAGATATCCGTGTCTGTCGGAGGTGATAAACGAGTCGCAGATCCCGGAATTCGACAATCTCTACCTGGACATGAACGGAATCATCCACAATTGTTCGCATCCCAACGACGACGACGTCACTTTCCGCATCACCGAGGAGCAGATCTTCGTCAACATTTTCGCCTATATTGAGGTACACTTTTTGTAAATGAACAAAACTTTTAGTCATTTCATTCACGTACGCTTATAAAAATATTTTTTTGTTGCAGAATTTGTACAACTTGATACGTCCGCAAAAAGTGTTCTTCATGGCCGTCGACGGTGTGGCTCCGCGAGCAAAAATGAATCAGCAGAGAGCACGACGATTTATGTGAGGACAATCATTCTGGACTTTTGGAGCATTTTCGATATTCCGATCGGACCCTAACGTTGCCGGCTTCTTGGACTTGCATTAGAGTATATCGGGACAAAGTTTCAGCCTGATCAGATCATCGCTCACATATCTCGGGACCAGGTGATCCAATCGGGCTGAAACTCAGACCCGGTATACTTCGATCCAAGTCCAAAAAGCCTGCAAAATTTGGGTCCGATCGGAATATCGCAAGTGGTTCAATAGTCCAGGACAAGGGCCGCCTAGCCCTGCTTTCTTCAAAATTTTTCTAGTGAAAAATACTTCTAAAAAGCGGTGAAAAATTCAAAATCGAATATTGTAGGTCGGCACGAACGGCAGCCACCCAAATGGCGCAAGCGATCGCAAAAGGAGAGGTGCTGCCGACGGAGGAGCGGTTCGATTCGAATTGCATCACTCCGGGCACGTACTTTATGACGAGACTGCACGAGAGACTCCTCAAATGGATCGAGCACAAGACGAAGACGGACCCCAAGTGGCACGGACGACGCGTCATCCTCTCCGGGCACAATGTACGGGAGTCGGCAAGAAATTTGCGGAATTTTGAGACATTTTGATAGACTTTTTACAATCGCAATTCGTTTTTTTTCCTAGCTGCTCTTCACAATATTGGAAATGTTTGCAGTGTCCGGGAGAAGGCGAGCACAAGATAATGGACTTTATCCGAACGGAACGGGCGGCGGGGGACTACGAGCCGAACACGCGGCACTGCATGTACGGACTCGACGCCGACCTCATCATGCTCGGCATCGTGTCGCACGAGCCGCACTTCTCGTTGCTGCGCGAGGAGGTCACTTTCAACCAGAGACCGCGGAAGCACGAGCAGAAAACGAAGAGGCCGCAGCGGACCGACTCGGCCGAGAAACAGTTTCATCTGCTGCATCTGTCCCTGCTCAGAGAGTACCTCGCCTGGGAATTCTCGTCTGTTAAGGTACGCACAAGATTTTTGTTTGTCAATAAAAAGGGGCTATTTGTGTGCAGGACTCGCTGCCGTTCGCGTACGACATGGAGCGCATCGTGGACGACTGGATCCTGATGGGCCTCCTGGTCGGCAACGATTTCCTTCCGCACCTTCCGAACGTGCACATACACGACGACGCGCTGCCGCTCCTCTACACGACGTACAAAAAGGTGCTGCCGACGCTGGACGGCTACATAAACGAGGGAGGCATTCTGAATCTGGGCAGGTTCGAGACATTCCTGCGGCAATTGGCCATCAACGACAAGGACGCGTTCATGGACAAACTCGAGGATTATCAGTTTATGGAGTCGAAGAAAAGTGGAAGAAATGCAGAGGAGGTAGAGGACGAAGAGTTGGTGGCATTCGAGTCGTCGGACATTGAGAACGAGGAGGAGACGGAGGAGCCGGAAACGAACGGAAATGAAGAGGAAGACGAGATTGACGCGGCTTTTGTGAGCGACGATGAGGAGCAAGAGAGTCCTGAGGAGGAGACGGAGGTAATAATAACAGGTTCGCAAGTTTTATATAATTATTTGCAGTCGTCATCTCCACCGCGAACAGACGAAGAGGAGGAGACGAACGGCGAGTTTGTGGAGCAAGAGTTCAACGACGAATTGGCCACACTCGCCCTCTCCGCGCTCGACGACAAGGACTTTGAGAACAGTGTGGAGGCGTGCTGGACGCGCACCATCAACAATCAGTTCAAGCGGCACAAAAAGGAGTACTACTCGGACAAGATGCGCTACAAAAACATTTCAAAGTCGGAGTTGCGCGCGCAGGCGGAGGGATACGTGCGCGCGATCCAGTGGAACCTTCACTACTACTACCACGGCTGCTGCTCGTGGAGTTGGTTCTACCCGCATCACTACGCGCCGTTCATCTCCGACGTTACCGGATTCGCCGACATGCACATCGAATTCACGCTCTCCGAGCCATTCCACCCGTTCGAACAGCTCTTGGCGGTCCTTCCCGAGGCTTCGAAAGGTTGTCTTCCGAAACCGTTGCAGGAATTGATGAGCCCCGATCCGACACAGTCCCCCATTTCCGACTTTTATCCGCCGTCGTTTGAAACTGACCTGAATGGGAAGCGGAACGACTGGGAAGCAGTCGTTCTTATTCCGTTTATCGACGAGAAACGTCTGTTGGAGGCGATAAAATCGAAAGAATCGCGGCTTTCCGCCGAGGAGAAACGACGAAACGAGCACGGAACACACGTGCAATGCGTGTCGACCTATTCGCAAAGGGACAATATTTGGAAGGTCACCCGCACCGAACTGCCCAATGATCTGTTCCGGATCCCGCAAGCGCGTGTCAAGTGGGGACTCCTGCCGAATGTGAAAATGGACGTCTACTTCCCGGGATTCCCGACGATGAAGCATCTGAGTCATTGCGGAGAGTTGCGCCACGCCAACTGCAACGTGTTCGGAATGGCGTCGCGCAAAGAGTCGATGGTTCTGAGGGTGAAACCTCTCGGGACCGCCAAGGACATTATCGAGTGGGGCGCCGAGTTGTGCGAGGAAGAGGTGTGCGTCGACTGGCCCATCCTGAAGCTCGCGAAAGTCGACGCGATCTGGGGCGACGGACGGATCGTTCGGAAGGGCGAGGAAGACGAGATTGTCGTGAAGGACATGACGGAGGAGGAGAAGCGGCAGTGGACGGCCCATGTGAACCAGCTCGTCGAGCACGCCATCACCCGCTACGCCATCGAGTGCGGCACGGACCGCGACGAGCGGGGAAAGCATGTGCGCACGCCGATCGCGTGGGTCCGTCGCTTCACTGGACTGGTCTACGAAACGACGGCCGACGGAAAGGGCGGCGCGCCCGTCCTCAGAGCGGTCAAGCAGTGGGCGAGTCCGCAGACCGCACGGCCGGTCCTTTTGCCTTTGATCGTCAAGGTAACTTTCAATTTTTGCACTGGAAATGTGTTTGTACGCATTTCGAGTGCTAAAACTGTGAAAATGGGCATTTTAAAGCTAAAACTTTGAAGCGATTCAACTAATTAATTTCAGAACAGATTTTTAGGATCCTTTTTTGAGTTGGCACCAAAAAATGCTCTAATTGTAGGTGGCGAGATTATTAAAATACGGGTTAAAAGCAAAGATGTATAGATTTTAATCGATAATCGTTCAGGACGTGTTGCTGGAGAACTCGTGTCTGCTGGCCGATCTTCCCGTCACTCGGGCCTATCCGAAACAGGCGGTCGTCTGGGTGACCGACCCGAAGCAGGCTCTTTTCGGACTGCCCGGAATGGTGCAAGCGTATCACAACGAGAAAAGTGCCAATTGTGAGTTTAGTGGTTTTCAAGCGGAAAATGATAAATTTATAGCAGTGTTTTTAAGTTTTCCAATAATAATAAGTGGTTTGCAGGTAAGATCGAAGTGGTCGGAATGGTCGGCCTGAACAAAGTGGATAAAATGGAGGCGTTGCGCAAAAAGTACGAGCAGAAATCGTTGCGCTGGATGTCGAGCATGGACTGTGCCCGCCAAATACCCGTGGACAATCGGCTGTTCGCTCGCATCACAGGTACAATGTTTCTGTGGAACGAGCCGCGCGAAAAGGTCGAGAAGGGCCAGCAGATGTCGTCGGAGTCGAAGATCAACTGCGGAATGGCACTCAAGTTCAGCAAACGGGACATTTGTGTGGCCGAGTACACGGACCGCCGCGAGGCGCCCAACCAGCGGGACCAGCGGGATCCGCGACGCTACTGGAGCTACAGCAACCTGACGAGTCGTCTCGTCGCCGAGTACAAAAAGAAGTTTCCGGAAGTGATCCGACACTTGGAATCCTCGGCGTCCAACTCGATGGACGACGTCTACTACGCAGAGGACATTTGGCCGAATGCCAAGAAACGAGAGGAACGGTTCGTCGAGCTTCGCGCCTTTTTGGAGACACTTCCGAGTCGGGAGGCCGAGCAGTTCAGGTGCGGCACCGAGTACGCCGATCGGCAGATCATTGCCGAGATCGAGAGGGTGGTGATGGAGGGCGGAGAAGACGAAATAAAGAGACGGCGCATGCATATCTGTGTGCTGCCGCCCGCCCAAGTCTTCCGCTACGAACTCTACGACGGAAAGGTGCACGTGGATCCGGAGGCCGACTTTAGAATACTCGACCGCGTCGGCATCATGTCCTCGCACACGGTAAATGCTAGATTTGCAGCAGCACCAGTGTGCTCCAAAAATTTGCTCCAAACTGATAGATCGCAACACTGAAACCCACTTTTAGAGACTTTGTAGTTGAAAATTGGCCTAAATTTGTGATCTTGGTGGGGTTTATCGAGTAAATAGAACGAAAATAATTTCAGAGAGTGCCGAAAGTGTTGCAAGGGACCGTGGTGGGCCTGCACGACGACAAAGTGGACGTTCTGTTCGACGCGGAGTTTGAGGGCGGCTCGAAAGTTCGCGGATCGACATGGTCGGGCGCCGTACGCGTTCCGCAAAGCTCCCTTTTCAATATCACGTTCGGATTGGTCCGAAAAGACGCACTGCACAAGGTTTCCCGCTGATTTTTGCAAATGTTTGCAAATGTTTTAAATTTAGAAGCAACAGGAACAGGCTCTGCAGGGTGCGTACGTGCCACTCCCACCCAGACAACACCAGAAAAGACAGGAAGCCGGCGGATCCACTGGTCCGCCGACGGTCCCGTCGAAACCGTCGAAAAAGGCGAAGAAGGAGAAGGAGAAAACGGCGGAAAAGGCGAAGAAGGAGAAGGAGAAACCGGAGGAAAATACGAAGAAGGAGAAGGAGAAACCGGCGGAAAAGGTGAAAATAATGAAGAAGAAGGACGCGGAGGTGACGGTCGAATCGTTGACGGAGTCGCTGAACAAACTGCTCAAAATTCAGCCGAAAGAGTCGGAATCGTCGGAAGGCACCTCGCAGCAGACGGGCGGAAAACAGGTGTCCCTCATGGAGCTGCTCGGCGGTGCCAAGACGAGTGTGGAAAAGGCAGCGGATAAACCGGCGGATCCGAGCAAAAAGTCGATACTGGAGCAGTTGAACGAGGCGCAGACGAAGAAGAAGGAGAAGAAGAAGCAGGAGCAGCTGGTAATACTTCAGAAAATTGCAGAGGAAAAAAAAGAGGGATTCTGGCAGCAGACGCCCTCAGTTGTGGTCAGTTCTCCCGATTTTTGAGTGAAATCATCGGGTTTCTTGATATTGTGTGGTCTAAAAATCATGGAACGTTTTTTGGATTAAATATTGCTTTTTCAGCAAAACAAGGCCTCAAAAGGTGCTGAAGCGACAGAATCGACGTCCTCGACGGCTCCAGAAGCATCGGCCAGCGAACCGACGAGTTCTGGGAGTCAAAAACCTAAAGAGGACCAGAAAAATGAGCAGAAGAAGACGGAAAACGCAGTGGCCGCGCCCGCGCAATCATTTTTCTCCATGATCGGAATGACTCCGATCAACCCGCACGGACCGCCCGGACACGGACATCAGCAGTTTGGCGCCGAGCGAAGGGGATACGAGGAGTACGTTGGGAAATGACACTCTAAACTTGTTTAATTAAATGTATGCTTCTTTTTTTGCAGAAAACGCGCGAATCCGAAGCTGACGGACTTCAAACCGTCGACAGTGAATGCGCGAGTTCAGCGACAACAACAGGCGGCACGTCTTCACAACACGACGAAAGTGACGTTGATAACACGGCCGAAAGAGGCGGCGCCGGTGGAGGAAGAGCCGAAAAAGAAGGAGGAGAAGGAGAAGGAGGAAGAAGAGCCGAAGAAGGAAAAGGCGGCGAAGAAGCCGAGAAAGAAGAAGGAGTCGAGACTCGGAATCATGTTCAACAAACCTCCAGTTTAGGCGACTTTTTTGCGATGTTCTCCGAATTTATTCGAATTCCTAGGAGCCTATCTCAATTTTCTTGGCTTTCTTTCGAATCTTTAGGAGATTTTTCTGAGATTTCTGCCACGAATTTCTTGCATATTCCCCACGTATCCATCTGTTTTTTCAGTCTTGTATCGTTTATCATCTTGTGTTTATTCATTACATAATCCCAAAGGGTTTTTTTTTCTGCTAATAATCTAATGTCGATTCAATAGGCGACGCCCACCCACAATTGCAGTTTTTTTTTGTGAAACCACCACCCCTGTACCGTTTTTTTTTTTTGTAATAATGGTGAATATTAGAATCTCTCTCCCTCTCTCTCTCACTCTCTATTGTGGCCCCGCCCCCTTTTTCTGTTTCTGCCAGTACACAAGATGATATTAAATTCAAATTTTCAAATTTTGGCCGAATATTATCGATCATCATTTGTTGCGGGCCTCTTGGTGAATTGCCGCGTGGTCTTCTGGAGGCTCGAATTGCGAATTCTGGAAATTTTGAACTTTTCCCAATTTGCCCAAACAAATTTGAGCACAAACAAACCTCGTTATTTTCGATGAAATGATGAGAAGTGGGCAGATTGTGCTGCTGATAATATCCTTCCACGTACAAACTCTCTTTTTCGGCCGAATACGTGGATTCAGCAGTGGTTGTTGGGACCTCCTCGGACGGAGACGGATAATATCCCGGAGTGGTGGTCGATAAGCCCGCTTTCACATAATATCGATAGACAGAAGTGGTGGGCGGGGCTTCGGTAGTTGTGACGTATTCCGGGGATGGATAATACGATTCTGTGGTGGTGTACGGTAGTTGGTAGTACGGTCGGGGGACCGGGTTGCCACCGCCGATCGGACGGCGACGGTCCGGGCACTTGCACTGGCCGGAGAAGAGCAGAGCAGCGGAGATACCCGCTTCTCCGGGCTGCAAACGGAAAAATTGGGCATGGGTGACTTTGAACGGGTACTGTAGGGTTAGAAAAGGTTCTGGTGCTTTCCAATTTTTTTTGTGAATAAATCTTGTCTAGTACTGTGTTTTTGCAGTTGGTCACTTTCTTCTAGGACCGCTCCCTGGGCTACTGTAGTGCTTGGAAGGCACTAGAAAGGAGCCCTAACTTCAAAAGGCTACAGTACTCCAGGGAGTGGACGTACAAAAAAAGTGTCAATTAGAAAAGTGTAGCAAATGTTATTTATGTCATTTTTATAGTTGACAACTTTTGACCACGACCATTCTTTGGATTACTGTAGCTCTTGGAAGTTGGGACACAATTTCACAGCGCTAAAGTTATCCCAACTTCCAAGAGCTACAGTACCCCAGGGAGTGGTTCTAGAAAAAAGTTCTCAACTACAAAAGTACACTATTACATGTCAAGATTTCAGAATTAAATTTTGAGACTGATTGGACGTCTTCTAACGCTACAGTACACGTTTAAAGCTGGTATTGTTCTGGAACCTCAAAAATTGCGGCCTTCGACTAACAACGTAGATAAATGGCGTAACTTACCAGTCCGGGTGCTCCAGGCGGTCCGGGTATTCCGTGTTCTCCGGGTGCTCCCGTGACTCCAGCAATTCCCTCAGCGCCCGCACTGCCCACATTCCCCTGCTCCCCATACTCCCCGGGCGGTCCGAATACCCCAGTCGGGCCTGGTGGTCCCTGCAGGTTTCTGTAGATCTTCGAGTCTTCTCCTCGGGGCCCTGGCCATCCGTTCGGTCCGTTCTCTCCATCGTAGCCGCCTTCTCCCTCCGGTCCGCTTGGTCCCGGAAAGCCTTCGTATCCGTCGAGACCCGGTTGACCGGGCTTTCCGACGCCTCCCTTGTCGCCCGGCGGTCCCGGATCTCCCTCGATTCCACGGGGACCAGCGGGACACTTCACACAGCCGAGAATGATGACTCGGTCCTGAGCGAGCAGTTCCCATTCGGTTCCGTTGTTCCCGTCCACACCATCATCCGCATTCTCTCCCGGAGGACCCGGAAGGCCTGGGGGACCGGGCGGACCGCGTGGACAAGGGTTTCCGGGGCATTTGAGATCGGTGTCGGCTGAAAAGTACAAGTTTTGAGCTGTGAAGAATCATTTTGACGTCTCCTAACACGAAAACTAAATGGACAATGGCATCGATTTCAATTCGAACAAAAACATGTTGACAATGAATATTATCCAAATCCGAAAAAGCGAAAAAACTAAGCCCAATGCGGGGCTCGAACCCGCGACAACCAGATTAAGAGTCTGGTGCTCTACCGACTGAGCTAACCGCACAGGTAAAATGCGGAGGAAGCATATGGGTCCAATGTGCTTTCAACGCGGATCGCGCGTGGAAAACATAGGAATACCATATGGAAGCATTATGCTTGGAATGCGCCGGATCCTTTGTGCTTTCGCGGCGGATGCTTTATGCTTTCCCACCCGAAAATGGAAAACGCGACGCGCGCGCCACGAAACCTCCCACAAACCCGAACCCGTGACCCTTCCCGTATTAATGCGCGCGCTTACCTGTGTTCCCGTCCCTGCTGATGCTGCTACCAGAGGCTTGCATGACAAAATGGGCGAGCTCAGCGACTAACCAGCATATTAGTAACATAGCCTGGGATGCAGAACAGGCTCAGGCTCCTAAAATCGCTTGTTCTGCATCCCTACAGTAGCATCGAGATTTTTCAGGGAAGACAGTGAGAGAACAAGAAAGTTCAGGCTTCTTACCCGTTTTCTTCGGGAACGTGTTTATAATGAGGAAAACTTACAAAGAGCGACAAGAAATTCGCAGAAATGTGTATAAGTCAATGGAGAAATCGTTCCTTTCGAAATACGACTGTTTCGTGCTTGCTTTTTGTGTCTCTTTGTTAGTTTTCATCATGATGAACTCGTTCCCAAAAAAGCAAGTGAAATGAATCAGTTTTCTTCAGACGGCACGCACCAGAAGTTTTGGCGCACAGAAGAAGGCTTGGGAAGCGCGCCGCCGCCCGCCTCCCGCCGCTCGCTCGCGCTCTCCGTGTTCCGAGACTTTAGATGTGTGCCGTCGGACGAATACCTATTCGTTTCACCCGTTTTCTTCGGGAACGTGTTTATAATAATCAAAACTAACAAAGAGCAACAAGAAACACGCAAAAAATTTCCGAGGTTCAGCACGAAAACAGCTGAAATGAATCGGTATTCGTCCGGCGGCGCAAAGAAGAAGGCTTGGGAAGCGCGCCGCCGCCTGCCGCCTGCCGCCCGTTCCGTGTTCCGAGACTTCAGATGCGTGCCGCCGGAGAAATACTGATTCATCTTACCCGTTTTCTTCAGGAACGTGTTTATAACGATCAAAACTAACAAAGAGCAACAAGAAACTCGGAGAAATGTGTATAGGTCAATGGAGAAATAGCTTTTTTCGAAATATGGCTGTTTCGTGAGCGCTTTTTGTGTCCCTTTGTTAGTTTACATCATAATGAAGTGACCTATAGACATTTCTGGGAGTTTCTTGTTGCTCTTTCTTCGTTTTGATCATTATAAACACGTTCCTGAAGAAAACGGGTAAGATGAATCAGTATTTCTCCGGCGGCACGCATCAGAAGTCTCGGAACACGGAAAGCGCGAGCGAGCGGCGGGAGGCGGGCGGCGGCGCGCCTCCCAAGCCTCTTTCTCTGCGCCGCCGGACGAATACCGATTCATTTCAGCTGTTTTCGTGCTGAACCTCGGAAATTTTGTGCGTGTTTCTTGTTGCTCTTTGTTAGTTTTGATTAATATAAACACGTTCCCGAAGAAAACGGGTGAAACGAATAGGTATTCGTCCGACGGCACGCATCTAAAGTCTCGGAACACGGAGAGCGCGAGCGAGCGGCGGGAGGCGGGCGGCGGCGCGCTTCCCAAGCCTTCTTCTTTGCGCCAAAACTTCTGATGCGTGCCGTCGGAAGAAAACTGATTCATTTCACTTGCTTTTTTGGGAACGAGTTCATCATGATGAAAACTAACAAAGAGACACAAAAAGCAAGCACGAAACTGCCATATTTCGCAAAACGGTTTTTTCCCAGTGACCTATATACATTTCTGGGAGTTTCTTGTTGCTCTTTGTTAGTTTTTATCGTTATAAACACGATCCTGAAGAAAACGGGTAAGATAAATCAGTTTTCTTCCGACGGCACGCACCAGAAGTTTCGACGCACAGAAAAATGCTTGGGAAGCATGCCGCTGCCCGCCGCTTCTGTGGTGCCGCTCGTGCTGCCGTTCGGTTCATGTGGGAACTGCGTTTGAGTGCATTGAGCGAGTTCCTCCATAACTCGAAGAGCATAGTTCGTAGAAAATAATCGTCAACTACAAAGTTGATCAGCATGAGATTTACTCCAACTTTTCAGTTGACCACTTCTTCCCGCAACGTTTAGTTCTTGAGATACAGGCCGATGAAAACAATAGTTCTAAATCTTGCTGTATCTCGAAATCTAGTAAAGATATAGCTACGTTGTCAACTAATGAATTATTGATAAAGACATTGTGCATAGTTTTTCAGTTGACAACCTGTTTGCAAGTCAGCTCGTTTTTGTGATACGACTCACTAACCATTTCAACAGCCTGTATCTCAAGAACTAAACGTTGCAGGAAGAAGTAATTAACTGAAAAGTTGTAGTAAATCTCATGCTGATCAACTTTGTAGTTGACCATTATTTTCTACGAATTATGCTCTTCGAGTTATGGAGGAACTCGCTCAATGCACTCGAAGCCGCGACGCATAGCGAGTGATACCGCATGACTGAAAGCATATTTCATCCGTGCGCGATTCGGCAGCCGAAGTTCCCCTTTCTACGCACGCGCGAGGCATATCTTGCTTTTCGCTCGCGGAGGATCCTATGTGGATCCTATATGCGAGCATATGGCATTTTGAGGCATTTTTGAAGCATATGCTTCCTCCGCATTTTACCTGTGCGGGCGGCGAGAGAATTGGGGCACCGAGGCGGTCATAAAGGTCACACTCACCGCACTCCTTCTCCTCCCCCTCCTCCTCTTCTCCAATTTCTCGCCCACTACCATCCACTTCTCCCTCTTCTTCTTCTTCCTCTTCCTCTTCATCATCGTCATTATGCACTTCCAACAATTGGGCCAGTCCGTTCGTGTACCCGTTCTTCATTTCCCTCGTCGACATATTTCTGATGACTTCTGTCGCGTTTACCTCTTCATAATCTTCAGAATCTTCCAAACTCGTGATGGCGGCCTAGAAAATTCACTTGGGAAAGTTAGGCCACCACTAACTTACCTCTTCTTCCACTTCTTCTTCCTTTTCCTCCCCATCTCCGTCCGTTTCGCTCTTCTTCGCTTCTTCTTCTTCTTCCTCTTCTTCTCCCTGATTCTCGTACTTCTCCTCTCGACTCCAATCCGAATTTCGGTACTCATTGAGCTCCGCGAGCTCCTCCGCCACCGGCACATACTGTTTTCGCAGCCACGTTTTCGGTTTTCGCTCCTTTTTTCGCCACTTTGATTTTCGAGCTTTCCGCGGCCTTTTCAGCGACGATTGAGGCGTCTGCAAGTTCAACAATTTCCAATGAAAATCGAATGGTCTATTTTGAACGCGTATTTCTGCGTTTGGCCATGTCCAATCACTCCCAAATTTGTTTTTATGAATTCTTCGTTTCTAGTACTACATTTTTGCAATTGATCGCTTCTTTCTACGACCACACTCTGGGTTACTGTAGCTCTTGGAAGTTGGGACACAATTTCACAGCGCTAAAGTTATCCCAACTTCCAAGAGCTACAGTATCCCAGGGAGTGGTTGTACAAAAAAGTTGTCAACTACAAATGCAAAGTTCTTGTCTAGTACTGTATTTTTGTAGTTGACCGCTTTTTTCTACAACCACATACTGTAGCTCTTTGAAGTTGGGACTAGTCTAAGGCACCTCAAAATATCCCTAACTTCCAAGCGCTACAGTAGCCCAGGAAGTGGCCGTAGAAAAAAGTTGACAACTACAAAAATACAAAAACTGAAACATTTCCTAGCGCTACAGTACACTTTCAAAGTCTGGTGGCCTAGCCACTCCAAATTTGCGGCTTCTAGGCCACGTACCTGTCTTCTGGTCCTCGTATGCAATCTTTCCAGCCGGATAATATCTTTCCAAGCCGCCTGTTCAAAGCTCTAAACGTTTTCGTTGCCATTTTAACCAAAAAAAAAGGCTCGCCTGAAACAGATCCAGCTGAAGTTTGGCGTCCTCCTCGAATCCACGCAAATCCGTTGCGAAATACGCCAAAAAAGTCAGAGAAGTGATGAGAAGTACGGTAGAAGTGTAGGATAAGTGATAGAGAAGTTTCGAGGAGGAAGACGACGAGTTTGCCAACATTTTTACTATCTTTTTCGGTTTTCTCTTCTTTTATACTTGTGTGGACGAGTGGTTCTGCGATGACTAATTACTGTTTCTTACAGGTTAGTGAACGGGTTTTTTCGGCGGGGCACTGTATTTCTGGATAGTGTTACCGGTTTTTTCGGCCCGTAATTCTAGTCCGACGCGGTCTTTATCACCGCAAAAAATGGCCTGAAATTCTAGAAACTCGAATCGGATTATCTGACTCGGTAAAACGTGTACAAAAAGTTACAGAAGAAGAAGGATTCATTGCTGTGGCTGGTATACCGATAACATGAAGCTGTCCATGAGATGTACAATTGAACAATAGACGTTTTTGAACCGGAAACGACCGACAAAAAGGGGCGAATAAATAGGTGCGAATGAGGAGGGATTGTGTAAAACTCTGGAGTTGTTGTTGCGAGGCGCGAGGACGGACGGACGAGTAACCGAGTAGATACATACAAGTTTTGGCTGGTTTGGATGTTTTTGTGTGGATGGGTGTGTGTGGACGTTATCAGAGATACATGTAATAGTTGCGTATGGACAGGGATAGGAGGGAAGACAGGAAAGAGGAAAATGATAGAAGAAGAGGTACCTATATGGCAAGTGGCGAGACAGAGAGAGAGAGAGAGAGAGAATGGGGAGGTTAGATACGTCTAGCGTTCATTCATTAATATAATTAATTAAGGTTAGCGTTTCTATGTACATAACATTTCATCATTATCACTTTGTACAACAACGTGGCAAGTGTGGGGGTCTAATTCTGAACTTTGGTCGCTTTCAGAATCTGATTCAATTGATTTGAGAGTTGTTCCATCGGAATCTTCGGGAAGAATGTCATCGGAAAGAGCGCCGGATTCGAGGAGAGCAGCGAAAGTTGTTTGAGCTGAAAATAACCGTATTGCTATACCGTACTCGCTGTGGCTCTCAAACGAACCAAAAAATCGGTCGACGGAGGAGCGGGCACCATCGGAATGGGCGTGTGAAGAAGGGGCGTAGTCGGAGTGACCGGCGTGAGCACGGGCGTCTGCACAGGAGTCGGAAGGCCCATCGGGATCATGAGCTTCGGCAGTGTCACACCGCCGGAGCCCATAATCTGTTGGGCCAGCTGGAGGAGGTTCAGGTTGGGGAAGATGGGGAGCATCGGCTGCACGTGCATCTTGGGCAGTGGTTGGTTGTTGAGGACGCGGAGCGCATCCGGCGAGAGACTCTTCAGCAACGCCTTCTCCAACTTCATAGTCTCCCAACAACTTCCGTGGATTCCCTTCTCCGCTTCCTGGTGGAGGCGGGCAAAGTTGGCGGCGAGCTGTTGGATCTCCAGCTTGGTGCTTTTGGGCGCGTTCTCGTACTCGTGCATGTTCACAAAATCGGATTTGCGCGGATCGAAGACCGCCGAGCCCGTCGGCCGATAGTTCGGATCCTTGAGCTTGGCCTTCCACTGCTCCTCCTGCAGCCGCACTTTCTTCGCAAAGTCCATCTCCTTGATCCACATGAAGAACTCCTCGGGCTCTTTGAGCAGGAGCATCTCCAACGCGTGCTCGTCGAGGTTGTTCAGCGAGTCCAGAATGATCTCCTCCAACTTGTTCTTCGGCTTCAAACCCTTTGAGCCGGACGGACCGAGGAAGTCGGCAATGTGCAGTTTTCCGTTCTGCTTGCACATGTCGATGTCGTCGTTCGGGTTGTTGCTGACCCGTTTGATCTTCTTCGCGCGGATCAGCTCTCCCTCCTCCTCGTCCACCGTCATGTACTTGTCGAGTTTGTCGCGTCGCGCCTGCGGTTCCGCATCCGCGTACTCCCGCTCCTTCTTGCCGATCAGCTGGGTTCCATTGCTGAACGTATCCCACGCCTCCACGTTGTCGGCCGTCCTCGAATCCTTGTGCACCTCGATCAGTGCGCCCCACGCGGACGGATTGCAACCAATGTGCGCGAGTCCGTGCGCCGGTATCGGATAGTGATGGTGCATTATAAAGTCGGGCGGCGTGAACTTGGCGCCACACTCGCGGCACACAATGCACCGCATGCTGTGACGGTTTTTGTACCAAAAACCGTGAGTTCCACTCTACAAACGTACACTTTAGGTGCTAAAGCATCGATAATATGCGTACCTCGAGAGCATCCTCCTCGAGATCCGAATTATCCTCCAGCCAGTTCTCGTTGTAGTCGATGAAGTTGGCGTGGACGACGTGGACGCGATACTCATCGTCCCTACAAAAATCGACGTGTTCCGTGGATCCCCCCGGTTCATGTCAAACTCTGACGCATCACTGACGATGAGCTTTGGCCTTTTTCCTCATCATCTTCATCAAGACACGGCTCCTACGCACACTCTCTCTCTCTCTCTCTCTTTCTTTCTTTGCGTGTCGGCGGCGACTAATTAGAGGCAGGAAATGTGATGGAAAGTAGGAAAGAGAGAGAGAGAGAGAGAGATTGAGAGACGCCGTCGCGGACGGAACTTTTCAGGAGCAGGAAAACACGCGCACGTCGTCAGTGTCGGTGTGAATATCATTAAAATCGAGGAGCTTGGTGCATGACATAAAAGTTTAAAGATTCAGAGATCAGCTAGACTTTAGGCTTGACCATAGCTATAGGCCCGACAAAAAAGAAATCGCTGCAAGCCTATAGTGTAACCTCAAAACGTACCAATCGTCGTGCTCGCACTTGGTCGGTCGGCTCTCGCGTCTCAGCTCGCCCATGATGCGCTCAATGTCCGATCGCGACATCATGCTCATCGAGGTCAGCTTCAACTGACGGCACACCTCGCTCTTCGACTCGACCGCATTGAACTGCTCCTGCGTGCAAATGCGCACGTACACGTTTTTGTTTCCTGAAATTCTCATATGTACTGTAGCCAGCGGTTTTTGTTGTCTTACGCAGCAGGTCCTGGAAAAAGATGGCGTCGCCGAGGCTCTCCTTGGCGAGCACGTCGTCGACAATCTCGATCGGCATGTACGGCTCGCCATCGATGCTCAGCGAGGGGCATTTGATTCTGAAAATTATTGACATTGTTAATTATAGAGTTTGACCTAAAAATAGTGTACTATTTGTTATTCGGAAGACGGGATGTGTTCCCGCACTCGTACGTTTGTGTAGACGATCAAAAATGAGGCGATGTCCGGGTTCTCTTTTTTTTTAGTTTTGTTTTTCTCGTTTGCCCGGCCCGGATGAACTAGGAACTGAACTATTATGGAACCGATTTTATTTACCACGCTCTGCTCTCTATGCTTTCTGATCCCCCCTCCTCCCATCTAATCCGAATATCGTGTGTCTGTGTCACAGATGCAATCCAGAAAGCAAAAAAATAACAACATGATGTTTGATCTGAAAGGACGTGCGACGACGTGCGGTGCACTCTTCCGATTGTTTACCACATGAGCGCTTCTAGACGTTCCCTGAACAATCTCAGACCCCCCTCACGACGTCAATAACCAGACAGTGACCTTTGTGTTCTCTTCGCTGCTCTTTTGAGCTTTTCCCCCCTCGAGACACAATGTTGCAGACGGAGGGGGGGGGCGCGTGACCCCTCCCCCCGTACTTGGCTCGCGCTTCGGCGCACACACAAGAATGCATAATGAGTGGCGGTGGTGTGCAAACGCGGCTAGACGAGAAGAGAGAGAGAGAGAGAGTGACTAACGAGTGAAACATGCGCACAAAACAAAAACGAGATGTTCAGGATCAACCTCTAGCCCCGAACCCAGATGGATTAGGCTCCCTACTCACCCCAACGTCCAGATCCACATGAAGCGTCCGGGATCGCTGCTCTTCTTCATGTGCACGACGATGCCGTCCGACGGCGAGCACTTCTTCGGTCCGCCGTCCGCCTCGTCGTGCGGCTCCTCATCGTCGACGTCCGACTTGGTCTCCTCGTGCAACGCCTTCAGATTCACCAGCAACGGATCGTTGTCCATCAGATCCGGCGAGCGCTGTGCCGCTGCTTCCTGTGCGTGTGTTTGTGGTGGTTGCGCGGCCGAGGTGCTCGCCCCGTCTGACATAAATGATCTGAAAAAACGAGGAAGTGAAAGTGTCGGCACGAAATGGTATTTGAATATTTGAATCGAAAATTGTGGGAAGACGTGTCTGCATGCAAATGAGTCAGACGACGAGCGGGCTCACGGTGATCTTACAAACTAGTAGTCAAATCACCTGGCCACGCCCCCCGCGTTTTGACGGCGTGTAAAAGAAGAAGAAGAAGAAGAAGAAGAAGAGAAAAAAGCGAAAAAGTTGGTGCACACAGAACATCAGAGGGAGAGCAATGAATGAATGAATGAGTGAGTGAATGTCTCGCCGGGGGAGGGGGCGACAGTAGTAGACGACACAGAAAAAAGAGTTTGTTTGTCTGTTAGACCAGGGCAGGGCGCCCATGAGGAATGGCTGCGAGAGGAGGAGGGGGCGCTTTGATCTTTCTGTTTACAAGAGAGCGAAAAGGTTAAGAGCACGGTGGTCTAGAAAGGCTCTTATCAACAACTTTATCCCCCACTCCTAATCCTGAGCCGCCCGACTTACCGCCGTCTAATCGCTTTCATGGAGGTCGATGCGAGTTCTTTAAAATGGCCGTCTATCTAGAGTCTGGTGTCCACTTTCTCCAGTCTAGACCGCACTCAAATGTGCGGCGGCGGTGAGCGCGCGCGCGCAACATTTTCGTGTTGTTGTTTCGCGCTGGTGGTGGTGGCGGCGAGACACATCGAGACGCAGAATTTGAACGGAGAGGGCGGGCGGCCTCTGATCTTTTGATCTTCTCTGTGTACTACACGGTGTGTGCACATCTCGAACATGCAGGTTTTTGAACCTATTGGTCAGGTTGATAGCGGAGTGTGATCTTTATGATCTACTACTACTACTACAGAGAGAAGCGATTCAAGCTACCGTAACCGAGAGTGTGGAACCAATTTGTTGGAAACGGATTGAGAGAAACAAAAAGAAGAGTCGTCTGGCGCCACCGCCCGCCTCCATCTCCGACCGACGTCGACGCCTCCCCCCCACTTCCATCCTTTAGCGATTCCACACACACACACACACTACTGCCTCTGCAGGCAGCCGAGGACATGTGACCGAACTCTCTCCTCTTCGCAGTGTTGCTGTCGGTCGGTCGGTCGGCGCCGCTCCCCCCGCCATTCCCTTCGGCCCAGCGGTTGAAAAATGCGCGCAAAACGATAGACGAGCGTCTAGACGCAGCAGCAGCACAGTGTGTGTGTGTGTACGCTTTGCAGCATCAGAAAGAGCGTAGAGTGAGAGTGAGAGAGAGAGAGAGAGAGGTTTCGTTCTGCTCATGAGCTCGTCGCTCTCGCATGGCTAGACTCTCCCATCTTCTTTTTTAAAAATGTGTCGCTCGCTCGCTCGCCTCGCCTCGCCTCCTCGTTTTTTGAGCCCGCCGCATTCCATTCCGGTGTCATGATGATGAAAGGGCACTATACGTCTTGTTGGTCCCGGGACGTTGAAGAATGGAAAAGAGGAGTCTGGCGCAGTGTTCCTTGGACAAGTCTTAGGACAAGCCCCAGGTTAGAACACAGACTACAACTTGCAAAAATCTATGAGATAAAGATTAGGATAAGCCGGCTATGACTAACGGATTAACAGGATTAAAAGCGTGAACACTGGAAGAAGAAGACGAAGAAGAAGAAGAAAAAGTTCAAATTGTTTTCGTATGGCGGCGGCGGGTGATGTGAGATGTATGAGTGTGAGATCAAAACTTGAGAGTCTAGCCAAGCATGGCCCCCCGCCCTGCAGCAGAGTCAGCACACGAGGAAGAAGTCGGGTGGTGGTCACATGCGGGCGAGATTCAAAGTTCATCGCTCTTCGCCGCGAATGAGTTCTTTCTCACACTTTGAAACGCGTCTACTGTAGCCTTTAGGAGGCCACGCCCCCCTTTTCTCTGTTGGAAGACGTGCGAAATGCGAGAATGCTCCGGGGGGTTTCTGTGCAACAAACCGGCCACAAATCGTCTCAAAACGGGAAAAAAGAAGAGGAGAAGGGGTGTCCCGGGGGGAAATTGATGGAACAGGGCAAAAAAGGCGGGTGATGACGTTGGGGGATTGATAGACTTTTTTTGCTTTGTGCAGCAGCAGCAGAGGGGCGAGCAGAAGGGAAATGAGAAGAGGATTGCGTTCAAAAGAACTTTGAGGACTACTTTTACCAAGAACCCAGAAGATCTCTGAGAAAATTAGGCGGCAATACCAAAAAGTTCAAGTTTTAATGGCCTAGCACGTTCTGAGAACTCTCACACTGTTCCGAGAAGATAATGAAAGAGTTCTACTAAACGGACAAGTTGAACTTGAACCGAAACGACATCAATGTTCACACACACACACGCATAAACTGTCTAGTGGGGGGCGCTTGATGATGTTTCGTCCAAAGTGAAAGAGGCGCGTCGCGTCCTTCTTCTGCCGATTTCGGAGAAAACGAAGGACATTGTCAGCGTTGAGATAGATCAGTCGGCGCGTCGAAAATAATATCGAAATCGCGCGTAGATCGCCGATTGTCTAGACCTCCGCTAGAGGAAAAGAGGGGGAAGGGGGGTCTGGGAGTGTGTGTGCAGTACTTGACAGATACTATTTCAAAATGGGACATTTGCACGGTGACGCCTTCGAAAATTGTTCAATTTTTGTCGTTATATACAATACACAATACCAATTTCAGAAGCGACGACAAAAGGGCGAAACTGAGTCACGGCCAAATGTATTCGTTTTTCAGCCAGCTGGCCAGCCAAAAAACCACGCCTTGTGAGAAGAAGTGTTAGGACACAACGTTTTGTTTCTAGTCTGCTCGCGGGGGGGACCGTTCCCTAATCGGTGCACATCGCGCAATGATATTATCTAATTGTCTGCCGGTCGGGTTTCTCTCGCGAACGGCCCGCGCACTGTATTCACGTGGATTCCGCGTGTCCACGTTCTTTGCTCCCCCCCTGGATCGCGATTTTCGGAGAGATTTCGTCAAAAATGGCACTGAAAACAACGGGAATCGATCTTTCGATCTTCCCGCCAAACATTTTCAGGTCCATTTGTTTGTTTGTCCAAAATTTGGAATAATTCCAACAAATTCTAATCATCCTTCCTTCTCCTTTTTCCAATTTTCCTGAGGGGGGGACCACTCATTTTCCGGAAAAAACAACGGCAAAAACCACGTCATTTGTCTCTCTCTCTCTCTCTCTCTCTCTCTCTTTTGCTCAAGACGAGACGAAGGGACACATTTGTGCGGCGTCCTTCTCGTAAACATTCTTTCTCCGTCAACTTTTGCACGCAGCAGCACCCCCCAAACCAAAAGTTCTATGATAGCGATGTCTAGTCGTCTCTTTGCCCCGGGCGGTGCGGGCGGTCACATGGTGCATGTGGCAACTGCGCGCACACGGATCGCATTTCAGAGGGACCGGCCGGAAGCGGAACGACTACGAGATTATACGCATATCATAGAGTTCTTTAAGGGACGATGGATTGGGATTACTGTAGTCGTATAGGTTTTCACAAAGTTCACCAACCACTATGTGTAGGCGGCCGTAGAATAAAATCATCCATCAACTCAAAAGTGATTCATATTGATGTTTTTCGCAGGCGTCTAGACACAAAACAAAACATTTGACATTGTCTGGGAAGGCGACCACGGTTACTGTACCTACGATACGTTCTGTGATGCCCTTTTGCGAAGGAATGTGTCAATATGTCTGGTGGGACCGGTGGAGGGCGTCACGTGTCGGAAGGGATGGAAACAGGAGGAGAACCAAGTGGTAAACAGACGCGCCGACCAAAGTTCCATGTTCAGATGATCTAGTGGGGGGGTAGGAGGCAACTTTGTGATAACCGACCCACTTAATCCTAACCCATCCTACATTAACAAAATCCACAAAAAATGCCCCCAATTTTGTGCATTTTTGATCAGGAAAACAAAAACTTGACGTGGCAAGACATAAAAGTTCAAGTTTAGGTCGAAACCGAACTCATTCGGAAGAATTCATGGTCATTTCGGGGCGTAAAGGTTCAAAAGATTAATTGGGTTTGTGGGTGAAAGAGAGAGAGAGAGAATTATAATAAGTCCAAGTCTGACGACCGAAAGGAAGGGGGGGGGGGGGACATTTCAACGAAAATGTACTGAGAGTGTGGAACGGGTTGTGTTTGCCGGCAAATGAAATGAAAAGAAGGCGGAGGGGCGGTTGCGAAACGTCCAGACACTTTGCAACTGAACAGTGTGCAATTGCAAAACGTCCAAAAGCACAAATCGCCGAGGTTTTGCCTGTTTTTGAGCAAATGTCTATAAAAATTGATAAGCCCCGTGCTCAAATAGTTTCCAACTCTAAATGATCCATAAAATGTTTGATCAAACCTAGTGCAAGTGTAAAACCGCCTTATCATCATCACTTCTTATCACTTTTCGACGTGGCCAACAACAGAAACCGACAATATATCAGAAGGATCACTTCTTCTTCTTCTTCTTCGACGGTTTTCAATTCGAATTCACCTAGACAGCCTTGAAAAATGGGGGGAGAGAGAGAGAGAGAGAGAGAGAGAGAGAGAGGGAGTACAACAAACAAACTACGGTCTAGTCGGCAATCTCGTCGGAATCGGGCGGTCGGGCGGCGCGCAGCAGCTGTGTGTATGTGTCTAGGCGTCGGCTGGTGATTGCGCGCGCGCGCGCGCTCGCGTAAAGGGCGTCGGGAGTCTGAGGTCTGGACGAAATGGACGAAAATGAGGTGAAGTGTGGCATAAGGCTGCGAAAATAACTGAATTTTATCAAACACGGTTCTTTTTGTGCCATTGGACGAAAATGAGGTGGAATTGAGCAAAAGACTGGAAGAAAAGAGCTCAATTTTAGCCATTTTTCAAATTTGCCTAAAGGGAGGATGGGTTAGGATTACTGTAGTGGTAGATTTTCACAATGTTGAGGGTCTACAACACTCTTTGCCACATTCTTCTCGAAGAAAGATGCTTGACGTGGCACAGCGTCAACTACAATCCAACGCTTTTGACGTGGCAATGTTCCTTAAGGTAGGATGGATTGGGGTTACTGTAGTTTGGAGGATTGTCTAGTGACATTGAAGATTTGAAAGCAATGCCAAGGGGGATCAAAATTTGTAAGCGACCTTCCTCTCTCTCTCTCTCTCTCTCTCTCTTCTTCTTCTTCTTTTCCCCATCTGTTTCCAATATCATCCATTTCCTGTCTAGCCGCACCGCCCCCCGCCTGTCTGAAGGCCGTTTCGCTTTCGATGCGAGCGCGCGCGCGTACGGATGGATCGAAATTGGAAGGTTTTCAACGAAATTTTGAAACAGATATTATCCATCCACGAACTTTGTCCCCTTGCCGTTTTGGCAGACCAGCCAGCTGATTCGAGACCGGGTTTCCTTCATCTTTGCCCGCCAAACGAAAGAGAGAAAGAGAAAGAGAGAGAGAGAGAGAGAGAGAGAGAAAAAGATAAAGTCCGGTTCGGGGGGATACTGATGTGTAGGCGAGCGAAAACAGTACAAGTCGTGATCAAAAACCCAAAAATATTTGATCTATCGAGAAATGCATCAATTTACAACATGTTTTAGGCAAGCGGCAG